AACACAAACTATAGATGATAACAGTCGTTATTCTTAACACTAGCTTTTCTCAATCTTTTAAATATATAAACTGTTCCTATATAAGTCTTCTTGACCTAACAACTCAGTGATAGACCTATATAATTATGCATGAATGGCGTATAATGCACTCAAAATGATATTGCTTAATGTTCTTATCTCGCTACAAGTCCTTATACGAAAACAAAGAGACCTATAAAACAAGTTAGTATTGTCTTGGATAGCTTTGAAGGAACTTTGTATACTTTTGGAAATGCGTAGGCTGAGTTAAACGGCTGTAAAATTTCATCATATAAATCTGATGTTGAGAGTGAGATTGTAGGACAGTTATCCAGAGATTGGTATTTTTGTAAGTAAGTTATCTACATATATGGTGTATTGTATTTGGCGCATTATTATATATCGTTACTTTATACCAATTTAAATTCGTCGTGATAACTTATAGACTTCTTAGACCATTTGATTTGTATCATTATGATGCAATAAGTTGAGATTCTTGTAAGTTTTTTGTTTCATATACATATATCTATAGATGTGTATAAATATTATGAAATGATGTCTGTTAAACTTCTTGTATATACGTTTAATATTATATAGAGCTTGGTTTAAATTGTAGATGAAAAATTCGCTTATAACAAGCCGTTTAAAAATCTATCATTATAAGCTAATGGCATGCAAATAGCTAAAAACTCACGAATTGGACGGTTGGTTATTCATTGATTTGTTTACTTAATGCATCTATACTTCCCTTACGAAAAAAACACATGCGAAAACCACATGTGGAATCACATGTGACTCACATGTGAAATTGGAACCATTATATCACATGTGGTTCACATGTGGTGGTATCACATGTGGTTCACATGTGGTAGTATCACATGTGGTAGTATCACATGTGAGTCACATGTGGTTCAGTACATGTGGATCTGGAACAACCACATGTGGTTCACATGTTAGTCTGTTTTGACGCTCACATGTGGTTCACATGTGATCCACACAAACTACTGCATGACACCTTTAATTATCATTAAATCACTCAGACACAGTATTACCAGGTGAAGTAAATTAATGCACATATATTGAAAACCATATTACAAAATGAAGTGAAACATTTGACTGTTAAAGAGTAAAAGATACATCTGTAAATATAAAAAAATGAATTATAATACTATAATTTATTTAGTCATCCTACTGTCCTTAATTGTTGCTAAGATCTTCCTGATTCTTTCTTCGGTTTTCCATTGACAGCCTAAATTCTTTGCACTCTTGTGTCATAACAGCTTTTAAAATTGTATTATTTGCTTGAGGAAATTTCATGATGACAAAAGCTGGAAAAAATATAAACAGGATTGTTAATTAATAGCAATTGCAGTTCATCGCAATAAATAATTTAAAGTCAAATATAATTTCATTGCCTACAAAATAAAACATTAAATGGAAAGTGAGAATGTTATCTACTGTATACAAAAACATTAACAAAATAACAATCCATTCTTCTGAGAAACTGCTGTTGTTCATGGTCAACAGTGAATAAGGTTGTGCAGACCTAGGGAATGGCTAAGGGAAGGAATGGCTGAGGCAAGAAAGAGGCTTGAATCTTAGGAAAAGATGGTGGAACTTTGATGGTGTACATATTTTCTTGGTTGCAGCAAGTGCTGCTAAAACTCCTCTTTAAAGTCTAAATCCATCTGGCCCATGTTGCTGCAGTTGGTAGTACCAATCTGATACTGTGAGGCTTTTAGACCCAGCCAAAACATACAAAATATTTGAAATATCATATGTAAAAATACATTAATTTCTTCTAAATTAGGTGTTTAGAAAAACAAAATTCTGCTATACTGTATACAGAATATTGCTACTGTTTATAAGACTCCAAAGGTTATTGAATTAAGTTAAGGTGCAAGGGGTATTCCCTAATTTAGACCATATTGTGTACCGGTATATATCAAATGGTAATATGTTTCAAACCTTTATATTCTTTGGTTTCTTATTGTCAGCACTGGTCACATCTAATCGCCTCTTCTTGGCTTTATTATCATCACTGTTATTATCACTGTTATCCTCCAACTGCTCAATTCAAGCTAAGTTTTCATTAGTAACTCATTCTTGCTATCTGTGAAAAAACACAAATACTCGCTTTAGAAAATTTATATATACACAAATATTTTATTGCTATACACAACTAAGTATGAGCGAGCGAGATGTGCACATGTTTGGAAGATAACATTCCACACGACTATATATCCCAGTCTCAGTTGGAAGGACATGTTGATCTAGAAAAAACTATAAACAATATATTTCTAGCGCATATAATGTCACTATGTTCTGCTTCTTTCTTTGCTAAAACATTATTACACCGCTATTGAGGATATTTCCCGGCTATCACTAGTGTGTATGAGCGAAGTATTTATACGAAGATGAATGATGATTGATAAAGTTGAATAAACAATCTTCTGATTACAATAATACAATTCGATGCGGACCTAGGTTAAATTATTATTTATATTATTATTTAAGTGTCACTGAGATGCTTACCACTTTCTGCCAAAACGTTTCAAAATACGATTTCCATGCCGTCTTTGGGGAATTCATCTTTGAGTATCCAAACAAAACCATGCGATCCTTCTCGGGATGTTTTAGCATGCACACTTTTGTCTTTAAATAATATATTCTTTCTTTAAGATGCTTGTCTTATTTGACTCAATCCAGTGAACCAGCACCTATTTCATTTCCAATCGTATTAGGAGAGTGACAAAGATTATCCTTTTATGTCTTTTATCAAATAAAATTGCAATCTCCTCGTAGAACAGCCAAGAATGTCGTTGTAAAAAATTTGAATTTTGAAACGAATGCGCAACCTCGTTCCCAGGGTTTTCGCCTAATGTGGCGTCACACTTGTCGGTCGTTGGGGTTATTACACCGGTCGGAGATTGGCCTCAGATTTATAAATATTAGGACGAATGTATTATTACAACGAGGCTGAGTTTACTATTCGCTCATAGCCAACGAGGCTGAGTTATCTTATTGTTTTATTGTAAACTATAGCATTTAATAAGCAGCAGAATTTTGATATAATTTAAATAACCCGGCATATATAGACAATCCAATGAATATCCACAAGACATCTTCTGGATTGTCTTAATCAGCAGTGTTTTGATGTAAATAACTTTATTTGTAGATTACCAAATATGTTAGATAGAGATTAATTGTAAATAAGAAGACAACTTAAATATACAGTGTTACTTAAACTGAGCAAAGCAGTAACTATTATTTAGATGATTATGCACGTGTATTTGGGGAATAGGTATGTGGTATATGTATGCATTCACATTACAGAAGTTTGCTGATTCATTATTAGTTTGAAATACATTTTCATGTCAACCACATTTCGTTCACATAGGTTTATACATTTTCACATGTAAGCCTTGTGTGATCGCATATAAACCACATGTGATCACATATGAACCACTTGTTTGTAGAGACATTTCTCATGTGAACCACATGTGTATCTCATATAACCACATCTGCATCACATGTGGTTCACATGTGCCCTCATAGAACCACATGTTTTCACATGTGAACCTCATGTGTATCCAATATAACCACATGTACATCACATGTGGTTCACATGTACCCTCCATATAACCACATGTGAACTACATATAATCACATGTGATCACATGTGATCACATGTGATCACATGTGAAGCACATGTGATCACATGTGAAGCACATGTGGTTCACATGTACCCTCCATAAAACCACATGTGAACCACATATAATCACATGTGATCACATGTGAAGCACATGTGATCACATGTGAAGCACATGTGATCACATGTGAAACACATGTGAAACACATGTGGTTTGCATGTGTTTTTTTCGTAAGGGTTCACTAGGCAACTTTCTTTCCCCACTGAAATATAATATAATATAATACATATAACAAACCGTCCATTTACATTTTACCGAAGGGCTGTTTTCGCGAAAGATATACGCACTATACGCACTCATTATTCGTGTTATAGTAGGCTTTAAAACCATTTTATTACTGAGCATAAGATTATATGAGACATTCGTAAAGACATTAGGATACAATAATTTCATTCGCTTTCGGCCTGCTAAGATACACCATGGAAGCGAGGTCATTGGGTATATAAGATTAATCGGTATTGTATATATTGCTGTCTTGTTTCTTATAGAGATTCCTACCAGGGCGCCAACAACTGCTCCAACAGCAGCACCGACAACAATACCAACCAAAAAATTATCATCAAAAGCAACTACATTTCTTCCACCTACAAAAATTTCTTTTTCAACTGACGCGACCAAGTTTAAATCTGTTCAAACAAAGACTACCATAAAAGCAGCAGTAGTTCCAAAAAGGAAATTAAGACCAAAGGTACTATACAACGGTCCAGCAACGGTACTATCACGTGGCCTAATTTTGCCAAATTATACACGTAAATTTATTTTTGCACTTGTTATATGTATATTTGAAGGTTTCTAGCCTTCTCCTCCTGTAAGTTTAGCTTATCTCGCGTAAAAAAATATTCTTCTTATTCTATAAATTTTACTTAGAAAAAAATGTATCCAACAAACAAAACGAAACCTGGGACTGCTGCAGACAAAACAGACGATTCCCGCAGTGGCAACAGAGGAGAGACATTTTGGATTTTAGTTTATGTTTTCATGGCATTCGCCATATTCGAGGTTTTGTGTGTGGCATTTTTCTTAATTTACAGACACAGAAGAAAACGTAAAGAAAAAAGGTAAACGGGATTTTTCATTTCTATAGGTTGAGTGTAGAACTGTCTCCTTCTTTGTACCAATGTCTCAGCCTTTTCCTTAATACCTTCATATAGTTCCTGTTACCATTACGACAGGCTGATTGGTGTCCGATTTTGATCACTTATCTTATCTATATATTGTTCAGTAATCACAATATTTAGCATGTGATGTGTTATATTTTCTTAGGGAAGCCTCTGCTAATGCTGCCGCTGCTGACAGTCGTGGTAATCATACACAAACTTAATTCATCAAAAATATAATAACTTCGTTTGCTCTGAACTTCAAGCTAGCGTGAAGAGTGCGTCAGTGATTATTCAAATATTTTTTACTTCTAGATAACCAAAGCACGCCAGAGCCTCGTGTACAAATTACCATCAGTCCACCGCCAGTTTACCCAGAAGAAGAAAGGGAACTTTACGAGAATGGATCGAGCGAGCCAAGATACAGCTCTATACAACAGGTGCAAGGTTCATTGAACAGAGAAAACAGTTTCACACTAATTGAAAATGGTATTGCTCAAAGTTTGGTAAGATTCTCTATAATTAGGGTAAATAAGAGATGCTTGAAATGGTCCAACGCTTTAAGTAGAAATATGAAGTTTGAGACAGGCACATGCAGTGTTGAATATCGTTTGGCCGTGCATGAACAATTGAAACAAAAGCAATATTAAAGTATTTTGGTTAAGTATACAAGATTGTAACGTTATGGAGTTAAAATATTGCTCGTGAATTGCTATTCCCTCAGTGTTGTTTAATTTCCGTGTTTGATTGGGGAAAACTGAGTTGCTAACCGATGATAGAAGAGACAAATATTTTTGCCCTTTAGGTAAGCCCAGAGCAACGTTCAGGTCGAAATTCTCGCATATCTCAAGGCCGTTCGATTATTGTGCTGCCAAAAGACTGCGTTATTGTGCACACAGGCTCAAAGAAGTCACGACAATCGCGACATTCACGGCGTAGCACGTATGGAGAGAGCAGCACGCACGGTGAAAACAACATGCTCGAGATGGGAGTAATGAACGATGCCGGACCAACATCAGACGATAATAGAAGTCTTTACTCTTGGGAAAGCTTTTCGTCTTGCTACAGAACCAGCACAGATGAAGATTATGTCTCCGGAAGCAATCGAATCAACTGGGAAGATGATTCCTTATACGAAGAGCCTGATAAAGTGATTCATAATATAAAATCGCCCGGAAAATCGTTTGGACTAGAAAGACTTTTTGCACTACAAGAATCAATGATAAACGCCGAAAATGATAATGAGAACACTGCTAGTGCGAACACAGAATATGCTAATCAGAACGTTGATAACAACAGGGAGTATCCTAACGAGAAGGTGAGATATGTAAATGAGAATGCCGGGTATCTTAGTGAAAATGAAAATGACGCGGCTGACATCGTAAGTTATACAAATCAGGATGTTTCACAACAAAATAATGATCACATTGATGAGGAACATATCTATGAATCTGCCGAAAGTTTCAGGAGGGACCGCAATTTGGCCTATTATGAAAACGCGTATGACTTGCCCGAGGACGCCCTCGCAAAGTGTCTTGGGAAACCAAACAAATTTGCGCTCAAGCATGTGTTCCACGAAGAAAATACGGAAAATTACGAGGGCGAGCCGAGCCTGAATTTAGGGTTGGAATTTGTGAACAACAATGAAGCCATGCTAGAAGGAGAAGATGTCAAATTAAGGCCGACAAGACGAAGTACTTTGTATTTACATCAGGTGAATGATAACAGTGATAATTCAGCTTCAAGTTGTTAATTATTTTTGTCATATTGCTTTAAGTTCTTCATCTCACATGAAAAAAGTGAAGAACAAATTGACTCTTAAAACCTGGCATCTAATGTCAATGGAAGGGTGATATTTATAAGTTTTTTTCCGCATTCCGGGAAGTCGTTTCTAGCGACAACAAAGACCGCAAATATACGCAAATTTATTCATTTTTGAAAAACCAACCTCCTACTAAATTTGTGTATAAGAAATACACGCTATATATCTCCATATTTAGTAGGTATAAGAAAGTATATGGTAAAACAGTCCAATTAATATATTATCAAATCTATAAGCAATATCGAGTCTATATATAGTAATAAATATATATCTATTTTTTCATTTTATTTACCATGTATAGACGAAGACATAATAACCATATATATTTGGAATGCTCTACTCTTATTTCCCTCATTGATATTTCAAATATAAGGGGCCCTGTCAGCACTAGCAGCTTCTAAATGCAATTTTCCATTACGTTCATGCACCTTGCACAGGCGCTGCGGCCTTCAAAAATCTCCTCGTGTAGGCGTGACTTGTCTTGAAAAACAAAGCGCTATGCCCATGCAGGCTGGGCGAACAATGGAAAGCAACCTTAATTGCGTTGCCTGAACAGTTGGCTGGACTATTAATTGTATGACAGAATAAAAAGCAGAAAGTTTACCCGATTTTAAATAGCTTGGAAATCCGAGGGAGATATCCTTGCCTCCACCTTTGTCCAATATTGTTCCTTGTCCCAAAATCATAAAACGAATTCTATTAAGTACGTAACGCTGTCTATCTCGTGAAATAAGAAATTATGATAGAACCTGTCAACGACTTAACATGTGTTAGTCAAGATAAATGACTTCATCAAATTTTGAATTTGAAGTGCCTTAATTACGATGCTATTGGTTATAAATTTCTAAAGAATATTTTAGAACTGAAATCTACCAATAGTAATAGAGTGATTTTGAAGGAGTTTTAAAATTTAAATGTTATTATTATATAAATGTGGGCTCAGTGTTATAATTTATCCGGTATCTTCTCTGTGTCTTGACTAACGCTTAATCTACCAAAAGAAATCCACGATATACAAGAGGATTCGTTGAAGGTGAGTTCCATTTTAAAACATAAATCCTAGATATATAGGACGTACTCGCCAATGCCGATGGTAATATGCATGAATAATCATTTGGACTTACGTCTTGATTAAGTATCCATCAGTTTACCTTCAATGATGTATAAGCTCAAATTGGTATCATTAACGACCATTTTAATGTAAAAATACCGAAGTACATATATATTTAATTTTATTTCATCGTTAATAATGATTACAATATAATTTTCAAGTCGCAAATTATTGCGTTTCAGACCTTTCTCAGTTGGTTCTGACAGTTGAGTGTTCAACAACAAATCACAACCTATAGGTCATAAATTCTGGTCCACATTGCTTTTCACCTGGCTTATCGAAGCCATCGGAAATTTCTTTAGCATTTTTCTCCGGAATTGTGAACTCTGTTTCGGCCATTTCACTCCCGGATTCCTCCACATTGACTATATCATTTTGAATTGGATTTTCTGTGTCCGTGCGTTGCGTGGCTGGCGATTGAGTTGCTTGACCACCCGTCTTTTTATCTGATAGGGAAAACAATAAATACCTCCTATTTAAAAAGGAATGATGACATATAGTATACTCAAGAGAGAAAGGCACAATCCGTGAACTCTAAAAAGAAACTGAAACGGTAACTTGCATGACTGCTGCTATCTTTAACGCTGTCAGTGCTAGTTCCGTTCTGGTGCTTTTGGTTGCATGCATGGGTGATTTGCAAAGAGTGTACTAAAAATTCTGTTTTGAAGTAATGAAATATAGATAAGAGACTGTATTTGTACATAAATTGTCGCCAATTTGACTGTAGTGGGTACTGTTAGGGAATTATTTTTTTTTAATTGTGACCGTGAAATTATAATGAGGAACTAAATGTCCTGCCCCAGGGATCTTTGAAAGAGGGTTGAAAGGCGCATGCGCTAACTACCATGCTTCCAACACCCCCCCCCCCTGAGTAACTGTAATATACACATTGTGGAAAAGTGATAAAATGCTTACTGATTACTCTATATTTCTTGGTCCTAAATTAAACAATAAATCAAATTGAGCATATTTCAAAGTTAAGCAAAATATAATACAATAATTGTGTTGGTATTACTGTTTAGGTATTAGTTTACATTTTCACTGATAAAACAAGGCAGCCATACTTATTTCCCAGTTGCGTTTTGATTTATTCAATTGTATGCAAATATTTGTGGTAAAATTTCGTCAGTAAAAATTTTACTTTTATTTAGTCACAGAATAATTATTTAGTTTACAACCACAGAGCACTTACTTAAAAATACCAGTCTATAACATTGATATTCTATTATTCTAACATCCTACATAACCATGCATTAATCATGGGAAAGATATAGCTTCTTAGTATAGTTGTTGCAGAAGTTTGTAAATTGTAAAGAAACAAGCCAATGATTATATATAATTTTCCTTTTCTTCCATTTTAAGTCAGTTTACAAATCAATCCTCAATGTTTGGGTTTAATATTTGGTTCAGCAATAGCATATCATCTTCTTTAGTAATATCATTTACCTGTTCTTCCATTTACGACGACCAAGGAATAGACAACATACGAAAAATATTACCACAAATGCCACCGCAGCCATGACAATAACTATGATGATGGCAACGTTATTACCATCGGAGGCAGTTGCTTTCGTTTCTGGCAAAACAGCAGAGCTGATTGAGGACGTCATCTGTAGAAAAAAATTCAGTGACACATTCCCTATTTGCATTTTCTCTTTTGACGCGGGGAAATATTTAAACTATATAATGTACAAAGCCTACTGTTGATTACGAGTGATTGCCTAGCCTATAGGTCCAGCATAAGTAAAAATAAATTGCAGCAGCTCAATCTTAAATTAAAACGGTATTTATTAAAGAACGATGCTATATATTTGTTATATGAATTTTCAAATGACACTTTAAGCTCTAATAATTAATGTGAATTCAGTTTTCAATATACACAAATGTGAATTTCTTCAATGAAAAGTTAAACCCGCAGCCGGCTGTTGTAGGTCTCGTGTTATAGTAGTGTACTTGTGCACGATTGTCAAAAAATAATTTTAAAGGTATATTCGTGAACATTAAAACTCACCTAAATGACCAAATGCTGTACAAATCATACTTAGTCGACTATGTTGAAGATATAGTTCACTCTAGCTTACCTGCACGTTTGTTGAAGTTGCGATTATCTGCGATGAATTATTTGAGCCAGTTATAAACGTCTGTTTATATTGAGTGGTGTTGACAGTGTATATTGACAGTGTTTGTTTATAACCACTAAACAGCCTTTCATGGTCAGATACTGATGATGAATGGTCACTCATTTTTGAGATAGAGTTACTTGCTGATATTATCTGACCAACAATTATTGATGAAACTGATGATGAAATTGTTGATGAATGATCAATTGTAGATTGTTCGGTAATGGGGATTGAGGGTGATACCTGAGCGATAATTACTGATGTATAATCACTTGGAGTTAGTGTATTGACAGTAGCGTCAATAATAGACTGTCCGGAAACATGATCAACTATCGATGATTTATACTCACTCACCGATGATGTAAAATCCATAGACTTCTTAATTTCAGGAGACGGGGTAATTTCATGAATAGTTTCTGACGTGATATTTGCCACCGCTGTTCGGGTGATTGCGGACGTTTTATTGTGGAGTGCCTTATCAACGATCGATGACTTATAATTAACCATTGTTTTCATGACAATGATTGAAGATGTGTTATCATCCGTCAATGATGCACGATCAATATTTGTGGTCGATAATTGGGTCAGTATTTGCGTGCTACTTTTATCGAAGCTAATAGTCTCGTTTTCCTTCGAAATCGGCATAGTAGCTTTTGGTACAGGGTTGGGACCCAGTGGGCGTATATCCATCGTGTGTGCAGATATTAAAACTTGAGTGGATACCAATGGCAAAATAGAGGTTGAAGATTGTATGAGCACCGTTTTGGTTGCAGAGATAGGTTCTGTTTTATGCTGTGAAACACCCAACGTTGCCAAAGAACTTTGGAAAACCTTGGTAGTTTCTGAATAAATGAAAATAGAAACTGTAGACAAATGCTTATTGTATTCTATAAAGAAAATATTCTCCATTGAAGTTTGGAAATTTAAATATTTTTAAAATTTACTTATTCAGGGCAAAATTTATTAAGGAAAAAATCCAGAAAGTGTTACAATTGCAATGAATGATCTAGTGAAGTGAGGTTTTTGCTTTTTTATTAGTGAGAGACTGAGAGCTAGAGTTTCCTTATAAAATGTGGTAAAAATGCTATGCACAGGGTCTCCCCCAGTCATATATCTTAAACCGGGGCTAGTTTGATATGAAAGCAGTCTTTCTGTTTGCTAGTTATTTGTAGTAGTACCAAAAAAAAGAGCTTCAGCCAGGAGCCTGACTATAATTATTATTATTCTCTATCCGCGATGTTCTTCAGGCATATAAATAAAACCTTTGTGCAATGTGTCTTGCAGTAACTGATCGCTGTCGCCGCTGGAGTGGAATTTTGGCACTATGCCATATAAAATTACACTGATTATTTGACTGCCACCTGAGCGTCGATCATCAACATGAAATATGCGTTTACTTACGGAGACAGTTTTGCTTCCAATTCGTTTCATTACCAAAGAATGGCAATTTCACAGCACACCAAGCCTCCTCACTGCCTATCTTGATACAGTTGTTGTACTCTTTGCCATCGTAAGTAAAAGGAAATATACAGCAATCGCCATTCGCTGCCCGCACGTCGCAACTACCACCTGCCAAAACAAAGGATTTTGACAATCAAAGGATTTCTCCCAGATGAACAAGCTAAATTAATTTATGATAATTCCCCCTATCTCCTTAAACTATCCAGTCTTAGTCAGTCAGACAACCTCTGAAACGGGACTAACTCCTTGTAACTATAGTACACATTCTCCTTAAACTATTTAGTCTTATAGTCAGTCAGGGAACCTTGGTAACGAGACTGACTAATTCCTTGTAACTAGAACACAGTCATTCCATAAAAAACTAACGTTATAACGCATGGGAGTATACATTATTCTCAAAATATTCATTACAATGTTTCTGGTAATGTTTCTGATTTTGGCAAACCATATACAAAAGCGCACGTACCGTTATAGGTGCCTATAACTTTTCCAACAAAACATCTTTCATTCTCGGAGATTTTTTCTGAACAATCTTTTAACACACCTCGTAAAATGCCTCCATCAAACCGTTTTTCGCTGGCAGTCCACTATAAAAAGTTTAAAAAGCAATCCATTAACTGCATGTTTGTGTTCCTGTGGACTGTCGTTAAAGATGGAAGCAGTTATGGCATAAGACTGGGATAATGATAAAACATAACATTATGTTTTTCCACACCATCCTCACTGTATGCCTGTAAATTAGCCGCCGTAGTAGGTCGTAATGTCTTTTTAACAATTAGACAACGAGTCCGAGTTGTTTATGAGCCAATAGTCAACGAAGGCGAAGCCTGAGTTGACTATTCGCTCATAGACAACGAAGGCGAGTTTTTTGCCATGCAGTTGGAATAACTCAAAAATGTTCCAGTATTTTCAACAATTAAAAATACAAACTGTCAAGGACAATGTATTCTGCACTCCCTCTCTCACAGCAGAAATTAAATCCTCAACACATAATGCTCATGCTAGAACTAAAATACGTTTTTCTCCCTATATTTATCCTTTCACCTCAAAGCGAATAACATTCGCGGGACGATAAGTAACATTCAGTAAACCAGGCATTGGCGTGAAGTCAATATCCTCTGGCATTTTAATAGCACTATCGACACCGGCGCATGAGCTCAGGTCATGGTCAGCATATGCCAATAGGCTCCCTTGATCACTTAAATCGAACTCCAAAGGATCTTCACCGTCCCTGGTGTGAGCTCCTCGACCAAGTTTACGAATGTGGTAACACTCTAAATTAATATAGAATTGTTGTTAAACTTTCGAGTATTTTAAAAGTATTGAATTGTTTAGCCTCTAATCAGCCCACAATCCTATATATATTGTATGTTGCAAACAGTATATTGCTGACCTCTAAAAAGATTATCTTTTGATAAATTTGATTGATTGTCAATAAAATGCATGACCAATCACAGAAAATCAAAGTGTCAATCTACTTTGAGCAATATGGCATGCAATAGAATTACTTTGCCCGGCCCCGAAAAGAGAAGAAAGACATTTCTTAGGACGGCAAGTCCTTTTACATGCTTTTCTACCATTTTTACTGCTCAATATATTTGCGAGTAATATACAATTACGTAATGGTTTTCGTGTTTCGATGGCCTGCTCCGAACACGCGGGAATGTTGTGAGAGAGGAGAAAAGCGCGCGAAACACCCGAATAATTGTTTTATAAAATAACAACGACAAGGCTTGAATTTAGATTTAAATTTCAGTTTAAAACCATAAATCTCCGTGTTTGGATGGCCAGATCCAAACACGGGCTTCGACCAATCACAACACGGGTTATATACATGCATGTTATTTTATAAAAACATTTGCCATCTTCTCGTTATATCTATTTTATAAAAACATTTGCCATCTTCTATATCTTCTTCTTTCTATTGCGTATAAGGTTAAAATGCCTCGCAAGTTGCAACGTGCGTTAGCATTATGTTCGGGTATTTACATGTTTAGGTCGGTATATGACGTCTTGCATATCAGACCAAAAATATGCATCATCATTAAGGCAGTGAATGCATGGTGTTTTCTTATTACTCCGGCGTCAGCGACGGAGTTGAAAATTCGCCCCGGTTTTGTTTTGTTTTTGTTTTTTTTTTTTTATTTTTTTTTTTATTATTTTTCGTCGTCGCAAGTCTGTAATGGCGCGAAATATACTAGTATTTGAATAGTGTATGTGATCGTATTTATCTACGTCCCAGTCTTATCTCCCAAGAGTTGTGGTGCACAGCTTTGGCTAATTTTCCAATGCGCGATTCGATTTCGCTCGCATGATATGGCAATTCCTCCAAGAGGAACAAATAAACCGTTCTTTTTATGCTGTTCGATTAAGTTTAGATTGAATTGGGGTAAGAATATATTTAATACATGTAGACTCGGTCCTATTTTAATAATATCGCTGCTATTTCGCCGTTTAACAAGATGATGTGGTCGTGTATGGGCGCGTTGACACGTCGCGTAGTTTGCACAGGATCGAAGATTTAATACAACTATATATAAGCGCGAATTCCAAAGGCAAAGTGTAAGACGAAGCGAATGTATCATGCGGTTTATTTACATTTTTGAACAATTGAACTTCTATACTGCGATGTGCTTCTGAATTTTGCGATCGAACATTTAGGTTCGCAAGGCATCTAAATGCGAATATGTATGCGAAACAATACGCGAACTGTATTGTTTATGTTCAGAAGCTCTATATTGAAGACTGGCACGTGCGCCGGAGTTAACGCCAGAACGGCGTCTTGTTTTTATAATAATAGCCATAAAGATTAAAAAACTTTAAATGGATTTGTAAATACTGTCATCGTTCTTCCAAACGAGACAGAAATAATATTCAATTCCTATTGTTATAACATTCCTTCAGCACTAATGCTATTGGTTATTAAACTTGAACTGAATAGTTAATTTCAATTCATACCGTATCTATGGTTTGAATGCCAGACACATGCTCCGTATCCCTTGCTCGTGAACTCCATTCCACCACTAACAGCTACGTCTGGATTCCTGTACATTGGATATTTTGGAAGGCAACGACACACGCACGGGTCTAATTTACTCTCTTCCGCGTGTAAATAGTAGCAAAAATCCTTCGTGCATCCCGTTAGATTTCTGAAAACATCCCTTTCACCTCTGTCAATAACGAACTGAGCTTCGATTACAAATAAGCACGAGATTAAAACACAAAATGTGCTTACGAGCATGATATTGTATGAATTGTGGATGTCTAGAAAAGTTTCGGTGATTTCTGTCGACGCGGTTACCACCTCAACTTGGTAAAATTGTCCCAAGTAAATTACCGAGCTTGATAAACAGTTCCGAATGGTATATGATCGATGTTTGGCAGACAAATCCTTTTAAAATCGTCAAAACAAGGAAACATTTCACATATCTCAATAGCCCAACTTCAGTAAGGTCGAATACTCGATAGGGAACTTTATTTGCAACTATTAAAGGTATATTACGTGTGAGAAACTTAGAGCTGTATATTTCAATATAGGACTATAATTCCATCTTTGGATACGAAACAAATTTCCCATTAGTCTATAAGTGCCCTCATGCCGCTTTTTTAAATTCTTAACCTGGCAGTTAGATTACCATAATATTTCGATAGGATTATATGTATTATTAACAGCAGATGATATTTGGTATGATAAAACTGAAATTTGGCAGCAAAGCCTTCGCGTGCGACCATGAAAGATCTCGAACATACCACACAGATTAGAACTCGCTGCTACTTAAAACGTGAAAGCGTTGAAAAGATACTTGTACATCAAATTGCATAGATATATACCAGAAATCTAGAATCTGGGTCTAGAATTACACCGAATTTGCAACCGCGACTTGTAGAGCTAACAGTGCAGCTATATGTTTGCGCATGCGCGACTTGTTGCTTGGAAGAACACGCTTGAGTTGTTAATGCTACCTTACCTTTAACCTTTGTATTTGTAAACCGACGAAAAATCACCCAATTTTCGCAGGTCTATGCCAGATTTCTCTTATGGTAGTCCATATGCCGTCGAAGGTTAGATTCTTACAGATATCCGAAAGATGTTTCATCGCATTGACGATTCGCAAAACCATATCCATGATTTAATATCAAGTCGGGAAATAGCCAGGGGGCTGCGGCTCCCTCCCTTTGGCAGTATTTAGTGTAATATATGTTTATTTTGAAGTAAATTATTTCAACTCTGAGCTACTCTCTAGGCAACATCAGCAGTTGTTCTTTTAGAGAAACATTTGATATTTCTTGGATATAACTTCGTCTTAAACTGCATGTGTTAAAGCTCTACATGCAGGCGTTCTTTACAGAACTGCGAGGCGGAACAAATTCAGTCGAAAACCACAATCATATCATTAGCCACGCCTTAGGGACCCGCCCTTACTGCAAGTCCAACTTCACATCTAATATCAACTACAATTCCAAACGACGACTGCAAGTATTGGCCTTCGACTATGGACACTACCATTGAATTCACTTCATCTCAAATTTTTCATTGTTCGTCCCACGACTGAGACAACAAATCTACCAAAAATCTCGATACACTTTAGTCTCAAAGTCTCAAAGCATACATTGAATAAACTACAGAGCATTGATCCATCGGGAAGAACCGTGTGAAAGTTTTCACTTTGCTGCTTATTTCATAATCGTCGGCAGTACGGTCGCTAAATGAAAATTGCCGTAGTTATAGATACGCAGCATCCATTCGAATATATTTAATTTGAAATGTTGGGTTCCTTGGGCCAGCGGCTTTAAAGATGATCACTGCGGCTCTTAACAACTTGAGTAACTTAACCTACTCTTCAAGGTTTATACAAGTCTATATTATGGTACTTATTGTTGGTAAGGAGAGTCAAAATTCTCCTAGAAAACTTCAACCAGCAAACGTCTTAAAGTGCGAACCTGCATGGTATACTGGTAGATTATTAGATAAAAGCTGACATATCGCGTGCATGCATGAAATTTTTCGTCGGAAGTTATGTGTGAGATATTATTGCATTTAGGATCTCGTTATAATGATCCATCATCTTCATTTTGATGATGATTTTCACGCAAACAATTAAGCCTGATTACTATAAGGACCTTCATATGATAAAGATCTAAAGAAGTGGCTTTGTGGTCAGGAAGAGCTAGTGCTACTAAACCAAATTTGAAATTGTAAATTTCAGGTTGTTGGGATTAATTTGTGCAGAATCATATCTTCAGTTGAGATTCATTATTTTTGCAAATGAATTTTAGGGCATGGTGCTGGAGCATCATTTTTGAGTATTGATCGCGTGTGAGTACTTTCGCCTTGATGCTTCATAACATTCGTCGGTGAAGACGCTCAATGAAAATATAGAGTCATACTGCTGTTAAATTACTGATATGAAATGAGCGTCGACGTCGAAGGCAAAGCTCTGATGCCCCAGGACCACAATGTCCCGAAATTCGCGCAGTATATAACATCAATTTTCCTAATGTTGTTCAAACCTGAAAAGTGGAGAAAACGTGATACGATTATATTGATAAATAATTGATTCAAGCACGTAAACTTTTTTTTTAGTTTTGACAATGGGAGTTTTGACAATTTAGAGCTTAAGTTGAAAGATTAACAACCACAAATTTAATTTTTAAATCGGTTATGAATAAGATATATTTCGGTAAAGAATTTATTTAGTCTGGTGCTTTCATTCGAAACAATCATATGATAAATTCTCAGACAGCGCCTAATAAATAGATAATACACATAGATATATTTGGCATTCAATTTCCTACATATATTGTCCGCATACTTCTTCTAAGGACAAAAAATAGACCTCTCAAGGAGAACAGTGTGTGAAATACTTTAGTGGTGAATATTTAGGCGTATCTCATCAACGAAGCACTATATCATTGAATTTAATTCAGATTAACTTAATTGAACGAATTTAACGAAAGGAAATGAAGGAGACATGGTCGTGGTACATATTCTCGCACGAGGGCCTGCATGTGTCTCGTACGCTCGTATTTAGTAATAGACGTGATTATTAAACTTAGGGTCCGAAATACGTTTTCATAGAAACAAATGTCTCAAAATGCCTACATAATTAGAATAATTAAGGATCAATTTTCATCAGAGTTTTGTTATCCGCTAAAAAAAATTCAAAAAACAGGGTCACGGAACTGGTTTTATCCCGAAACCTATGAAGGATATCCGCTATACAAATCAGCTTAAAGGTTAGACGTGACCCTTAATGGCCTTTTTAAATAAATTCAGATATTGGCCATTGGGATTTTTTAACCTATTGACTGTAGCGTTATCGTAAAAAAATTATCCGTTTGAATTTTTGGCAGGCGTATTGGTGTTACATATTTGAAACATCGAGTCACATTCCATGATTTGGGTGAACTATAGACCGCTTCGACGACGATGCATGGGACGCTTTTTGATCGTATGTATTGACAGAGAATACTGACCATCATGGGATGAGCTTATAGAGGTTTAAACGGTTTTTAAACTTTAGTAACCCATAATTCGTATAAAACAAAATTATGAAATTATAGTTCTTCAGCTTTCCGCATGCAGGTCTCACAACGGTATAATTTATCTTGCTTCTCGCCACCACTGTTCATTTTAATTTGCACAGATATTCTAGCTGCATATATATGCCACGACATAATATTTTTTTGCAACTTTTGATCAATATAGAATTAAAAAAAAATAATTCACACAAACATGGATGGCGATAATGTCGTCATTTTTACAATCAAATGTGGTGCAAGCATTCTTAACAATTAATATATACACAATATTATCTATATATTGAATTAACCGTAAATCTTTATCGATAGTATCAATATAATAAACTTATGAATATCTATATATACTTTTTCGGCCCTGTGTACCACACACACAATACTTTAATTTATTCTCTGCCTTGCTTTGTCATGTTTTCCTTGTTCAATTGTTTCGCTACCATGCAACCTGCACTGAACTAATTATTATAAACGACTTTATTCAAAAACACGCAACAGCAGCAGTCTGCGGTTGTGAGAACGAAAAGAGAAGTAAATCTCTGGAGGTACTATATAGGCAGCACAGGCTCTGAAAAAACAGATATTAATATGCTAAGATATTTCGATATTTTCAATTTTATAAATATGCAAATGACCGTTTTTTGTGGTCGAAGAATAATGTCGAGCCTGGCTATACTTGCCTATAATGCCTATGTACTCTAAATAAAATTTCCGCAAATAGTGTGGTTGCAAGGATGTTATATATGCTGATTAATAGTTTTTATTATTACTTTTCAACAAGTCAAATATGCATATGACTGACTTCAGTGAAATTCCAGGCTAATTTAACCGTCGAGTGCGAAGAGAAGCTTTTTAACACTCAGGTATTGTTGTAAGACATCAGATACCCGATGAAAATCAGAATTGAAAATGCAACATTATTCCTTGATATTCTCGTTCCTAACGAAAACGTTGTACCTGTAAAGAGAAGAAAATATCAATCTTCACTTTTTTGCCAATACAGAAGATACTTGAAGATACTTGAACTTTTCTATGATAGAAGATAATGCATGCATGAGATGTGTATACAGACGGTTTGAAAGTGAGACTCAGTGAGCATAAAGTTACTAATAAAGCAGTTGTTCAGTTTTACCAAGTATTGTCGTGACCAAAGGTAAATAATTTTATTGATTTTTTAAATTAATTGTATTTTGTCCTTTTTTATTACAGAATGTCAGAAGATGACAATTAAAACGTTATCGCACTTATCAGAGAATACTTGCATGCATGTGCTTGGTTCAGTTTGTTGACTACTCAACCCCTGCCACGGGATCAGCTGATTTTTAACCGTAGCACTCGTATATGATTTTCGCATTGATTGCACGGCTTAAGTAGGAATATATATATATATGCTTTACCTCGTGTGGATTTAAAAGAATTTAGCAACTGAATTTATCAATTTTGAGTGCTGGTATATACAGATTGTATAATTAAATAAATATACCATTGGCTCACCTTTAACCTTTACTCTTAAACATTGTTTAGCTATGGTATTATTCACGTATCTGTGATTTAGTTCAATCCTCGAACAATGCAAATTCATAACAACCATAAGACCCCCCAACTCCGGTACTGGAACTCTCCACTGTCAAGAGATATAAAGAAGTATGACATATTCAATTTTGATGAACCGTTAGTAAGTTCAGTCTATTGCATGGTCAATAGTTACAATAGTCACACATTTCATTAGGGTTTCATTCTTATTTTAGCCAATTCTTAGCTATATTAAGCCTTGACTAAGCATTTCTATGACATCAACATCTCTATCACACAGAACTTTATCATGTTCCAATTATTTAAGACTTCGACCTTTATTAATTCAAACATCATGATAATCATTATTATACAACCTACCCCAAACAAAAGAACACCAACGTAGGTCATATTAATATCCATGTAACCGTGATTTAGCCAGGCCAAAGGAACCCACGACTTTTTACCAGGATATTTACCAAAAGCATTTGTGAAGTTGCATGTATCGTAGTGAGTTCCTGCCGAATGGATGAACATTATTGGTTCATCATGTTGAGTGCTTGGAACCAGTTGATAGGGACGGAAGGAATAGGAACATGCCAAATTATCTGAAGATGTTAAGGTTAAAGTATCCAGTTAAAATGTCCTTAACTACTTATCAGTATTGTGGACAGTATAAATGAAAATAAAATTTATCATTTAGGGCTAATATATTCTTACATGGATCAATTGAGTCAACCACGGGCGCCACTGACATACATCCATCAAATATACCATGACTTAAATACCCATACTTCACATGAATCATTGGATTTACATAGTCTGGAGTGTTATTCCGGCACAAACAAGATCCATCAGAATGGCATATTGCATTTCTTCTTGTACATACTCGTTCGTCAACTTTGCAACTAAATTCATCGACTCGAAATTTATCCAGAACTCCCCTTGTCACAGACAAAGGCTCCTTTAAGCATTTTGCGGCGTAAAATATTAGACAGAAAAGGCCACATTTTACCAGAAATGTCTCCATGATAGTTAATCTTTTATTATTCACCCAAAATTAGGTTAAAAACCAGAGTTTAGCACTAAAAGGGATCTGCTGTTTTCTTCGCACAGAATATATGAACAACTTCATTTAAAAACATTTTATTTGCATAAAAAATGTTGCTCTTTTGAATGAAACAGCGTGAGAGATGCATGCATGTTAAATGATTTAAACTGATGAATTTAGAAACGCGAAATACTCTTGCTTTTCAAACTCGAGTACATATAAAAATGAACTTTATTTTCTTGATATTCAAATTAACCAGCATTTAATAAGACAAGCAAAAAGTTATATATAAGGCCAATAATTGCACCTAAATTTGACCCTCAATTATGGTCTGATTGCTTGGTGTGTGATTGTTACGTGTTAAAACACTTATTCTCTTCTATAAAGTTTTTAACATTTCTTTCCAATTCTTGAAAATAGTTGTTCAAAAGCGAAATCTGACAGCAGGTATATTATAGACAAGCTTCTTGCTACTATTAAACGACAAACTAGAAGTATATATGCATGTATATTTTAATACAAAAAGTTAAATCATTTTATCACATGTGGGGACCATAGCTCTCACATGCTGTGTCAAAGACAATGTGTAATATTTAGCCATGCACGATCGTGGGAAAGGTGAATTCAATTGGCGGAAAATTGGTGTGCATGCACGCACCATTTGAAAGTCGGAAAATGATTTTTCCACAATTCATATATAGTGGTCCGTGATTTGATACACAATATGCAGGGAAGCTTTGCAGTGGTGGACATACAAAATATTTTTGCACGGCATGTAGGAATCGGGTTGTTCAGGTTACAGGTTATTTACAGGTCTGCGCGTCGCGTTAACAGCGCGCGGGAGAACGCGCGAGGGAAAACACCCACGCGCAACATCCACGCTTTCGACGCCGGTCAATTCATAATTGCAACGTCACCAAAGGAAAACAATCACAATTTCGGTTATCGAATGTAGAATATTATCACCGACGCTCTCAACAGTCTTCAACGGGCCAAAGAAGATATTTTCACAGCAATGGTCGACACAGAACCACTTTTTCAACGAAAGCTTAAACGAATCGGTGCTCCCTCGTCGGAAAATAACGAATTTTCGCTTGTGGCATATAATATCCTATGTGATCATGTGTTTCACAATGGCTCGGCGAAATACCCTTACCTCACAGATGAATCTCTAAAATATCGATGTCCTGACCCGTCTAATGCGCCAAGACATATACAGCTTATAAAAGAGGTAAAGTTGCATGAAGCGAAATTCATTAGAATACAAAGTTTATTCACAGCTATTACGAATGCCGGTCTTGTATATTATTATTAATGCGCACTTTGTTTACGGTATAAGTTCGAAAAATTTCCGAAAAGTTCACACTCGTGTTGCCTCTTGATGAAGAATCGAATTATGAATCTTTTGATGAATTCACCTTGGCTTCTTAGAATAGTAGAAATACGCCATGCACAAAATTTTGAGTTTGTTTACATTAACGGATTTTACATATTTTGTAATTTTCTTTACGTAATCTTGTTTGTCTTGTGGCGACAACCTGTCAAATGTATGACTCATTCCTGGTAAACTAAGTGAGTCTTCGGTGTATCCGTTTTCTCATTATAATCTTTATTAAGATATACTCTGAATTGGTTTCTTCTCCTAGTTCTAATATAATTGAATCGTTTACTATTTTCATCGAGTGTCTTAGAAATCTTTGTCGATTCTATAGCTGCGCGCAGACCCTTACAACGGTCTTCGCGCAGGCTATGTTTATTCATATTTTCGAATTTCAATTTCTCCTTTTGGAGTATGCTATTGAATATTTATTTATCAGAGGAAAATACTTTGCTTCGCCAAGCTTATGCTGTTAAATAATTCGCTTGAAAAAATGACATACGATAGGAGAACGGTAAAAAAATCGCCGGTCATTGAAAATATATAAGCCATCTTTCATGAAACCAAGCACGGAAAACTACCTTTGGTAATACATAAATTTAAACTTTTCTTGAGATAACGCTATAAAAAATGTCACCATTTTCTTTACGGTGTAAGACACCTTACAAATCATATTACTAGGAAACAAAGTTGCTCTGCCAATGGGCAGGGAAAAGTCGGGCTACTTCGGCCGGGCTTACGGTATGAACTAAATCCAAAGGTGTTCCAATATAGAGATGGAACGCCCCCTGTGGCCCGTTTTATATTTTGTGCTGCATTTCAGTTGCTCTGGCTGGATGGCGACATAGTTTGCCTTCAAGAAGTCGACGCACCCTACTTTCCATTCTTGTTGGAAGAACTGGGAAGCGATGGCTATGAAGGAATTTATAAACAGCACGATACTACACATGGCCTGGCAACGTTCTATAAACGAACGAGGTTCGAGATGAAGAGCTCTAATGTGTATGGTTTTACAGAGCTCCTTGGTGATTTAGGCGATGTCGAAAACCAGTTAAAAGAGAGCAATAAGCATAATCAAAGATATGCGCAGTACACGACACTGCAAGATTTGCAGTCTGGCAAAGAAGTGGTTATAGGTTGGTCGTGCATACTGTACAGAATGCTTCGCTTTCTAGGAAAATGCGGTTATAGCCTCGTGTCCCTCTTTCTGTCGTGGGAAATGCGAGTTTTCGCCACGCCAGAAAGACCAACGGCACGGGAGGCTATATTTTGTACATATAAGTGTATATTGCGTGTAGAAAATGACTAAGAGAATTTAACACAGTTAAAGAAAACTAAGCGCTATACTTATATACCAAAATCGTCGGAACTATACGTTTGCGTGAATACTGATAGTGTAAAATATATAAAAATAATGTTCCTCGCTTTGAAAGAGTGCATGCCTTTTTGTTCTTTTCTTGCGTTCGGCCGACATCATGCAGAAAAACAACGTTTAAAACATGTATTTTCCTTGCAAAACTTAGACATTTATGGCCTTTCCCCCGAAACAGCCGAGCAACTGTATGATAAAAATTCAAGTTCTTTTTAATTGTATGAAAGATATTTCTATAAAACCTCATTGTGTTTTTTTCTTACATTTTACAGTGAATGCATGTCCATCTAATCTTCAACTTTTTTCAAGAGCCCGATGTTCACGCTCTACAAATCGCGTTGTTTTTTCAACAACTGTACAAAATTCTTCCAGAATCTTCGAAGCATACGACCCCTTGGGTCGTCTGCGGGGATTTCAACATGCATCCCGACTTTCCTGTGTATGAAATGTTGAGAAATGGAAAATTGTACGCCGAGAGTATCGAAAAGTTGAATCCAGTAAAGTGGAAACATCCCGACCTAACCAGGCAAAATGAGGTACGGTTCTCTCAAACTTCGTCGACCGGACGCACACACAAATGCCAAGTAACAACAAAGCAGCAGGTCCTCAGACCTGCATCTTCTTGGTCCTCGATTAATATCTCAAAATATTACTTTATAGATTGTAAATTACGACAGCATTGTTCTTCGAAAACACAAGAAAAGTTTGACGCATCCATTTAGGGATGCAAAAAGTGCGTACAAAAGTGTTTTGGTAAGGACTAGTCTCCATCGCGTTTTTTGATTTTCTACATTTTCAATAGCAACAAAGTTTCGTAAAGAGTTGTAATAAAGTGAACACACTACGCAATTATATTGGAACTCACTTGCGCCAAGTTATCGAATCCTTATTACTTTTTAGGGAAACGAACCCACATTTACTCACTACGAATGCAGCGAAGATTTCGCTAAAGAATTAGGATCCAAGTTCTTGATAGATACCCTGGATTACATTTGGTATTCATCTAAATCGCTGCAAGTTAATGCCGTCCTGGAGATGGTCAAAGAAGGTCTCATTAAACCCTATTGTGCATGTCCTAACGAAGTATTTCCGTCGGATCACTTGTCGTTGAAAGCATTTTTGCAATTCCCTGAAAGAACCATCTAAATCAGCGATCGTATATTTTAACATTTTCCACCCAATTTTATACTGTAATTAATGTGATATATGATTTCTTTAAAGATATAGTTCAACTCGGAAATCTTGAAGTGTTTGTAAAAGTTGATCGTTCAGGTTGATCTAGCTTGAAAAAGATGACGGCTCTAGTTTTCGAAATATCACCAGTCATCACAGCCTACAACGCTATAGGCCCAAATCCTTTTGTATAGATGAATTTTTTTTCTTCACTTTACCCTGTACGATCAACTTTCAAACTTTTTTTGCAATTTTCATCGAAGGGTAATATAAGTAATGTGCATATTAAATTTTCTTTTGTTCTTGTACATGACAGTACGTAGTTCTGCAAATCATTCGTGCCAATTACTCGTCACTCGAATGTGAGGAAGGGCAGTCAAGTGCAGGAGCGTGGTGACCTAGGGGTGTGTGGTGGGTGTTATTTACTGCATTTGGGGGGAAAATTACGTCTTACGAGTCAATCTGGGCGGAGCGAGGTTTGGTTTCTTCAGTTTCATAAACATCATGGTAAAAAATTTCCCAGCCTTGATCTTTAGAGGCTCAATTAAGATATTGTAATATACTCCACAACTTGGTATATTGTATTTAAATATAGTTTTTAATATCAACAATCTATCTTAGCCTCTTGCTCGCATCCACACTACTTCTACACGTGTTCGACTGTCATGTGATGTATCCATCACGTGGTTAACTACGTTACAGATATTACCTAATCTGCTGTAATTATCATCTGAATCAAAATCCGTCAACAAATGTTTATCCAATTATTAGATGCTGATTTGTGTATAAGGCCCAAATCGTTAGCTCAGCTAATAGCTCTCGTGTGTGGCGGGCTTAGGCTTTGAAGGCCTACAGGGTGTCCCCAAAAAACCTCAAAACTATTGAAATCACATATTGATAAAATTTGAATTCCTTGTTTGCGAATTTTCCCTATGGAGATTGACACAACTTATAAAATACTAAATAGCTACAAAAATCCAAAATTTGCTAAAGAAGAGACACATGAGTAGTGGACCAGGAACCGCTCCCACACGCTGCTCACCTTGTTGTTGTTGTTACTCTGGAAAAAGTTAATCATTATAAACCAGTTTGAAATGAGATTTGAAAAAAATAGACTAAATTGTGCTTGAATCCCTTTAGTATCCCAAATTCCTAGAATTTGTATAACGACCAATATGAAGATTTTCAGTTAACATATAACTGGCTGGTCCAAATCCAATGCTCTTCCAACTGAGCTACTAAGATCAAGACGGTTCGAAACTCAGTCTAGTCCCTTCCATATCTGTGCGTCTTAATATAAGACTCAGGTGTTTCAAAGGTCGCGGGTTAGATTCCCATTCCCACCGAGGTCAAGCTAATTTTTCAGCTTACCCACGGTTGGTGACTCAGAGTAGCATTATCACAATATTCATTTCATATAATTTCATATTATATACACCTTTGTCATGTGCACTATATTAATACTATAATATTAACAATATGCACTATACTACGAAACAAAAATTGGGAAGTTATTAAAATCATCGCGGCAATTGTAGACGTATATTCATAAGATATTTAGCATTTCTTAGGAATGCAGGGATCAAAACAAGTGCAAGGAACTATCATACGTGACATGTGCAGTTTGCGAGAATCCTCTGTTAGAAGACAAAGATTATTTCCACAAATCTGCACTCTAAATGTTATGAAAGAAATTTTAAATTTAGCAGATCTTCGGGCAGAATATGCCAAAAGTCAAAGATCAGTATATTAAAATATTTAAGAAGCTTCGAAGGCATGTGAAAATCTATCCCATGTATATGCAAAAACATATGTTGACATATTTTAAACATAATATAATACAATTCCGCACACAAAAAGGACCAATGCTCATCTTTTAATCGTAAAATTTAAAAAAATAGATTATTTACTTCCGGCAAACCAATCAAACATTTCACAATATGTCAGTATTCACCGACTTAGCCTAGAGGGAAGTGGTGCATGAATTTTATATTTTATATATTATATTTATATTGTATTTGTGAATTTCATTTAATCATTTTAGTCGTAATTATGTTCAAAATACTTCGTTTCATTTTTACACTCAGAAGGTTTAGACCAACTTCTACAAAAAATAAGTTAAAAACGTCAAAACCTATATATAAGCAGGCTTATAAAAAAAGAATATTCGCTTTTTATTTGCTTTTAATTCGCTTTCTATTTCTTTAATATTCGCCCACTATTCAATCACAAAAGATCGAAAATAATAATATATATATAGTGCTGCGTGTCTTTGAGACACCCTGTAATGCTGTATACTGAGAATAGGAGGACAAAGAGGAAAACTGTAATATACAGATAATACAATATATATATATTTCAATAACTAATTATAATACTAAAATAGACATGATTGACATTATGTTGACAGGACTAATTAAGGATGTAGATAGAATAAGAGAGTATTGTAGAAGGGTTAAGAAATACAAGATTGAGAATAGAAGATCAATATAGAAAGAATATTACAAAAACGTTTGTGAACCAGTAAGTATAGTGATTAATCATTTTTAATTCAGTAAGTAATTAATAATTTAATCCAGTAATTAGTTACTTATCTGCCATTCAACAAATCATTCAATTGATAAATACCACACAAACACAATGATTATTGTTTTGTTTTGGTTGAGAACGCTAGTACGACCACGCAAAAATATATTGTCAAATCTTTCAATTGAAAAATACACTGATCTTCATCAATGCAATGAAGACAAATGAAGATTGATTCAACGCTTTCTTCACAAAATGAAAAACGCTCTTTTTACTTCAGGATAGGGACAAGAAAGCTTACCATTCGAGAACATACCTATAGCGCGGTCTCATACTGTCAATTATAAAACAAAACCTACACTCCACCGCGAAACAAACCCAGCCCAATCACTTAAAACCGTTCTGCTATTAGCACCCTGCTGTGCTTTTCACAGCCGTGACTGCATTATAATAATTTGTTTACTGCTTGAACATCATGAAACCTCTATTGCCAAGGCTAGTTAATAATAATAATGATAATAATGATTTCTCGAAGAATTTTTATACAGGGTATCTCTACATCTTCACTAACCGTAAATTATGCAATAAAATAACTTATTTTGTATATAAATGCATGATAAACTTAAAGATTTGAAAAATGTATATGATCTATATATGTCAACAAAATTTCAACCGCAAAGAACTGACCACGAGACCTGGATGTAGCATTGTTCGCTAATGCGTGATTTTTAAGAGCGATTGCCGGAATAGACAATGTTAGGGTTCGGTCCTGCGGTTCACTGTCTGATGAAGTGTTCTTCCTAACTTAACGGTACACGAAACACCACAAGTAGGAATGGAAATTCATGCCATAAACGTCTTTCACACGAGTGTATATATATATATATACGTATACGTATATGGAAACGTTTTGCACGCATGTAACACAAAATTTTATGCAGCCATGCATTCAAAGATAGTTTAACCAAGGCAATTCTAGGGGTTCGGTGCAACGCGCTTTAGACAACTCAGGAAGCAGTCTATCGATATTTACCATCCAATGTGGCTCACAGGACGGATAAAACAGAAGCACTATAGTCACGACTCGCGAGATTTTTTTAAGTCCTCAGCGAAAAAACTCCACCTCTCCCATGATTCAAAATTTCCATCCGCAACTTCAGAATTCTCACACATCAGTGAATTGACTAATTCACAATTAAGCGTCACAACTCGGCACTGAAGTCGGCTGTCCTCAGTGTTCTGTGTTGAAAACAATAATATACGTTAAAATCACTACTGCATGATGATATTACACAATATACTTTTTACTTCCTGACTCTATACTACTTTAGTATATAGTTTCAAATTTCAAACGCAGTTGTTAAAGACGTCAATCAATACATGCTAACATGCTTCACTATATTGATCGTCAGACACATTTCCACACCTGCATGTATGTCGTCATATACTAAAATAGGAGTTATTCGTGATCTCTATAACTGACTGGAAGTTCTTTAACTTGCTGGAGATATTTTCCTCACAAGTTCGACCCTTACACTGAATGTAACGGCGATTTGAAAAGACGAATCAACGGTGCAATATATCTGTTTGGTTCCAGACCATTCTTAAAAGGGAATATCTGACATCAGGTATGGTAACTTTAGCTACCCATCAGTATTATATTATGTTCAGTTTAGTTTTTGTATTAAGATTTTACAAGCGCGGGGCGCGGGCTATGTGATAAGTTGTTTACAGTGTATAAATAATGTTCATATTGAGCTAAGCGTATAGAACGCGTGAAGTTTGATTCAAATGTCACACTTTTCATTAAACGTATATAGCTTCCGCCGCGAGGAACAGGTAAGGTGCTCCTTTAGTTCTTCTCAGCAATAACAAATCGTATATACCTTCCTACTATCTTAGCAAACCTCGAATATACTTATTTTAGCATTTATAATGGACTATAATGTCCATAGAAATTACAAATTTCTCTGACTAAATGTGTGAATATAATGAACACTGACACATGCTAACTGTTTTAGTCGCTGCATGAATTTTCCGAAACGCTGCTGAGTGGAATAAAGTTGCTGTCAAAATATACATCGGTTCCGCTAGAAGAGCAGGTGGTTTTCCACGATATATGTCGTTAAATTTAGACCTTGACAGATCAATTGATTCGACGAATGCATATTTCGACGTTATTATATATTTATTTGTAGACATGGCATATACAAATATATAAGTTTTGGGCAGTCAAGTTTCTGCACTATATCGCAATATACCGCTAATTATGGCCAGTATTACACTCGAGAAACTGAATAATGAATGTTGTCGATTCCCAATACACTTGTAGTGGTTCTCCAGCATTATATATATCTTCCCTGGCCCTGCAGTTTGCTAGCCTTCATTTAGAAGAGTGTATAGTCGTTGTATCCGTAAACTCGATCCCGCGTGCGAGTCTCATTGCAACAATTCTCATCTTGTTTGACCAGTAAAAGGGCTTTACGAGTTTACTTTAATTGAAGTGGATTTTTTTATGCATACAACTCAATGCAAGCCATGCAAGGCGATTTAATTAGTTAACTGAAAATGTAAAGTAAACTTAGAATAACTCGAAATAAAGATATGCGGAAAAATATCGCACTAAACATTTCGTTTTCACGACTTTCCTCCCAATGTTAGGCCGGTTCATTTAAATTAAAACGGGTTGTGGAAGAATTAGATGCATATCATATATATATATGCATGTAATATGGCTCTATAAAAATTAATGAATATTTATACGCTGAAAAAACATGCATCTTTCAGCTCACGCAGTCTGGCTCAAGGGAACGGAATAACTAATTCATTAGTGTTATTTTTTGATCATTATTATTTCGCATTTCTTGATCGTGTGTAACACGAGTTGAACGTGCAATATATTCAAACATCTTCACGGATATAACTACTTGAATAATAAAAACACGAAACCATTTTAGGCCTGGCTTTGGCGTGCTTCACTGTTTCTGTGAAATAAGTTTCATTATATATATGCGCACTCGCTTACTTCACTAAATAACTTCATATTAAACTGTACTTTTGAAGTGATATTATCGTCAATTTTCCTTCGTGTATAGTACTAGTTATACTATGTTTGTTTATGATCAAAATACGCTGTTATGATGGGTTGAAGTGTGGCCAAACAAAGAGAATCCTGCATAGTCATAGAGCCTTATACATCGCTTATTAAATTTTAGTCGAATTTAACTCGTTGCATTTAATCCACTGAAGTGCAACGCCTTTTTTTCGATGGGAATGCGACGTCTAAAACTGTTTTTATTCGACGCGGCACATTAAATTCGACGCTGTCGAATTTTGCGGCAAGCTCTGTCGCATAATTCGACCTAAGCGCGACACCAGTTTAGACGGCAAATAAAACTGACTCGTATAAAATGCATACATTTGTGTTTTGTACCATATTATCCATTATGATCCAACTATTGTCGCTTCGTTGACTCCACGAAGCTTAAGTTATTCGTTCAGAGTGACGTTTTTAGAGCTTTTGCATATTGTTTTTTGTGATCTCAGGCCCAAGGGGTTAGAACTTGCTTTAATCAGTATGGAAATGCTTAAACACGTATTTTGCTCATAACGATATAAACTTAAAATAGCTAGCAAAGGGGAATTTTGTAAATTTTGTGGTCTAGCTACAAAATGCAGATGTATTGATTGTAAGGACGTAGTCTGTAATCGTTCAGAGTGTTCAATGCCAGAACTAGACGAGGAAACTGACGGTTGGATTGAACAAGCTTGCGTATCGTACTGCAACGATTGCTTTCTCACACCAAAACAACAACCGATCAAACAAATTAACGGAGACAAAGATGAAGACGAAGTTGAAGTTGAAAGCCAAGACGATTCGTTGCAACATTCGCGAACACTCAAACTTAAAAGCGAAAGCGGTAAGATCAATAACGGGAGAAAACCAATGTGGACATCTGAACATTTGGAGGACATGGTTGACATCATTACCAACAGCGATCGCGATATCAAGACATATCAAGACGGCCAAGAACACGGATGTTTATCGGGTCGTTTTTGTGTTGGTATACATGCAAGAATTTAAAGTGGTGCTGACTATCCAAACAAAATCTGGTATACAGCGATTCATATATATATAGAAGATAAAGGTTTTGGAAAATGGTTCGATGCTCTATTCCCATTGATTAAAAGTAGGGATTCGTGCCAGCCAGATCAAGTTGTTGAGCTGAAGGCACATGCATGCTGCAATTTCCTCGTTGCAACAGGTATTAGTTACCCCAGTGCACGTGGCGTAGCCAGTGCACAATTTTATCCTGCTATGCTAATATTTTCGTGTTCGTTGACTTTGAAAGCAATGAATTTTTAAGGAATTAAAGAATGCATGATAACATAAAATTTGCATATATAGCAGGACTAAATCGTCTGGCCGACAACGCCACCGTTAATAAATAATTACTCCCATTGTGATTTAAGCTTTAAGTGCTTAGGTTTGACCATAGTTTGACATTTCTGTAAAATCTCAAACTCTTGGCAAATGTTCCTTCTATTAAAAGTGTGGGTCAGTAGGTCGACCATAAGGATACGGTTATAAACTTATAAACACATTTAGCTTCAAAATCATACAAAAAACGAATGACCTTGATGAACATGCATGCCCTCTTTAGAGATTTGCCTGGTCGTCACGACTCCCCAATTATTGTAAAGTCATACATTAGTTTATATAAGTTTCATTCCGATATTTCAATATACCAGCAAGATGCATGCACTTAAATCCTAATCATCTTAATTAAGCGTCCTGTCAGTCTACCAGTGAACGAGACTGAAAACTTCCGTCTTACGTCGTTAACTAGTTTCTTTGCCATCTACTCAGTGTTGCAACCCTTGATAGTTAAATTTAGAGGAAATTTGGCTGTTGAGTAGTTTTGTTGAAAGAGCGAGGGAGACTTGAGACCAGGTATTAACGTACCGAATGCTTGTAGAAATATGACAATGGATGTCAAATGCTTGGTAACAAGACACCATGCATAAAATATATCATATTCCGAGTACATTCTTTTTTTTTTGATTTTTTTTTTTGCGAAAATATATATGTGAATTTAGACTCGTGCAACAATCGCTACCGAGATACCATATGTTTTGGTATGTGCTTTTTAAAGATAAATAAACATTGGATTATACAAATTTTCAATGGATTATTTAGGATTTATGTGAGGTCGGTATCAGCTCGTTTATGTGCGAATATATAGCATAATCCCGTGCAATCTTATCCTGCATGGTCAGTATTTAACCTAAATCTAAATTAGACCTGATTTATGGTCCATTCAACGAATTACTATAGTCAACAACTTCCACTGTTCGGCTGTTCCACATGCATGAACGTGACTCTCTTATCGCGAAACTATCATATCAAGTGAAAGAAGAATTAAAAAATGAACGAATTAATAACTCATCATACAACTTTATGCTATCAGCTTAAGAATATAAACTCTAAAGTGTCAGATCGTGCATTATTTACTAACGTTTAATCTTTTTTGCTTTTAAATATAGAAGACAGACGTGAGACTTAGTGTTCGAAATGACGGAATCCATATTTTTGACGCTTCTTGTAGTGTTTCTTCTCAATATACACAATGGTAGGTCACTGTAATATAATGCATTAGAAAATTTTATTTATAAATAAAAGCAAACAAAAATTTCGCGTTCTGTTAGTCAATCAGCTGTTATAACTTTTTTCCCCTACTGATAGATGGTCATCCTTCGTTATGCATGGAAGTACACTTGTCAGTATAACTACTATATACTGTAGAGGGAAAACTCTACGTGCAAAAATGGTCAATTTTATAGAATCCTCGGATTTTGTAGTTTACTTCTATCAGTTACCTACCTAAATGAAGTTAACTACATTTACTAGTATTTTACTGGAATAGAAGTTGACTGTTTGTTACGTATTTTACTAGTAGAAGATTACTATTATTTACCTACCTAAATGAAGTTAACTGTTATATTTACGGTATCTGCCAAATATAGTTAAGACTTAAGAGCTTGTTCAACCGGCCTCTGATTTACTAATGGCTTTCTTCTAATAATATTGAATATTCTGTAATTCTCACAGGAAACAGTGAACCTCGCTTTATCCAAGAACCAGAAGATTACTTTGGGTTTCAAGATAAATTCCAAAATCTTTATGCCCAGGTTGACGGGGCGGAAGATCCGCGTTATCAATGGTATCAGAATGGTTCGAAAATTTTAATGGTTCCGGGTACTAATTTTGGTGTCACTAGTCCAAATTTAATGTTTTTCAAACGAAGCCTAGCAACTCAGGGAATCTATCAGTTATTCGTATCGTCAAATATGGGAAGGATTTTCGGACGCGAAATCAAAGTAGAGTTCACCAGTATGTTCCATGTTAATTTATATTGTTGACTGTTGTCTTTTTATATTGTTATAATGCCAGCTGTTCACATGAGCCCTGTTACCCGATTATTATTTATTGTTATTATTTAATGGTTTATAAACATTTGGGATGCCTAACAAAGCTCTGGTCCCGTAGATTCAAAAGTGCTCAGCGAAATTGAATAAGAAATTCTCGCGTAGCTTAATTGCTCCACCTTCTTCTATACTGCCTTCTAATTCCCGGCCCCTTGAGAATTTAATGAACGTTTGCACATAATAATTCATTGTAATATTGTTCAGCTAAAATAATAAGTTGTATCACTTGTTTCGTCAGGCTTAGGGTATAGTAAGTTATTCATTCCAGACCGTTGAGGTAGTTAGTGATACTATGGTTTTTTGCTATAGTTGTTGGCAAATTTTCTGATAAAACCGTGAGAACAGTAAATGTCGTGATTGGAAAGACGTTCCAGTTGGAGTGTCCTGGGCATACGCTAACACAACGTGCCGTGTACAAGTGGGGAGGAACTGGAAACGTTGGCGGAACATGGTTTTTTAATGACAGACCAGATGTGTTGGTTCTCGAAGACGGAAGACTGTTCTTTTCTCACGTGACAAGAAATGATGTGAATGAAATTGAAGGAAAAAACGGGATCAGCTGCTTACTAGAAGCAACCCACGGGCGAGACATCAGATTCGACAAGTCTGCAGTTTTTAGGTTTAATATTACTGGAGGTACGTTGGACGAGATGACGAATTTCTATTCAAAAATGAATGCATGTTGAATCTTTTCAAACTTGTATATGATTTTCGGGGGTCAATTCTTCTGGCCCTCGTATGTTATCAGTGTCCATGGACTCCATGTGATGGTACCCTGTTTACTGCGATGGTTTTCATGGCCTTAAATAAAGCATTTCCGTCTTTCATGTTGTTTTACATTATCGTGTTAATCTTGTGTCTTATATAATTACAGAAGAAACAACAGCATTTGGCCCAACGTTGGAGAAAATTCCAAACAAGGAAGTAGTGGAAGGAGAAACTTTGCAATTGCGATGTATTGCCGCTGGATAGTAAGTATTAAAGTCGGCGTCTGATTTAGCATCGCGGGAGAACAACTAGAATTCTATGCCTCTATATACATAGAGATTATAAATAACACTAGAGTAGGCGTTGGTATCGGAAACAGTCGAAAAAGAGAGCGTGATAATGGGGCAAATTCAAGTCCCAGATGCTAAGCTAAGCGCTGATTGGCTAGATCAATGCCTCCTTTAATAGCAACCACGTTAGCAACAATATTAAAAAAATTATATTCGTTTTTAGGTCGCTTTTCCGTTTTTTTAAGGAAAAACAGTGCTTTTTGGAACTGGTTTTACTTACTGAAAAGATACTTTAGGGAAAATACCGTTTAGGGAAAAAAGAAAAACTCGTTAAAAAACGACATATTTTGGCCTCGAACATCGTGAATGAGTGAACATCCGGGATTTGGATTTGCCCCTCCATCACGCGCTCCCCAATTTCCCTCGATGCCCCCTCTAGTGATACTTTAAAGGGAAAGGGTTGTTATTGCTAAAAGTTGGCTACGTGTAAAAAATTATGTACCAAAACCTGCTTAAACGCATTAACCATAATATAAATACTATAGATAACGTGCCAACTCAACTGATAATCAAATGTCCCGGGACACGAAAGAAATCCGTTGTATCAGGGTGGCCATTCAATGGTGGCTTTAGGAAGGAATTGGATAGATCACTTCTAAACAAAATATAGTCATTTCCAAACTTAATACTATAACATTGCATTTGTAATTTTTTTTTCTCTTTACGCTAGCCCAACACCGACCTACAAATGGAAAAAGAGAAATAGCATTGGCTTAACGACAGATGTGATCGACAAAGTCGACGGTGTTTCATTATCTGAATTTAATAAATTTTTAGTCATTAAAAACACCATGAAAAGTCGCCATGCTGGGACCTACACTTGTGAGGCAACCATTGATGGAAATGGATATAAAAATATCTCCACAACAAGTAACAAAGTGTTAATACGAGGTGGGTTGAACCATACGAGGTGGGGTGGATAAAACTATAAGCTCTCCTGCATGTTAGTAAAATAATACGAGGTGGGTGAAACTATTAGCTCTCCGTAGTAATAAATTTAGGTCAAACTATTTGTAAACCAAACCTTATAAACAAAATATCACTTAGGCACAATCAGATTTTATTTTTGTGATTTTCAATTTTAAACGAATTTTTAAAATTATTTTTTCATACCATAGAGAAGCTTTCTTGGGTGAAAGGTACACTCATCAAAAGTGCCAAACCGAATATCTCAACTGTACACAGGTGGAAGTGTATGGCGAAAGGAGAGCCGGAGCCTGAGTACCACTGGTATTCAAATGCTACTATTATGCAAAATGAGAGGTAAGACAATCACCGCTAATGATAACGATAGAAGTCGACTTACTACTTTAAGTCTGGCGTAACCACAAATGTAACGTAGTGGGGTATGCCTGTATTCAGGTTGTAATGAAAGAAAGAACTGCAAGATCACATATTATCATTTTTACACATTAGCAGTGCAAGATATCATATCCATCAACAACACGAACTGTCTGATTATAGAAACTGGCAGTTCCATTAATTAGTTCACCACTACTTGCAGGAATTAAATATTAATCCCCGAGCGGGCTCGTAGATTAAGAATTACACCCGGAACCCGGGAGAACATAGGCGAATCCAAAGTTGTCCAAATTCTATGTAATGTCACCTTGGATAGTTAAAAGGCTTTTTTTAAACGACAGCCAATCAGCTTTCTATTTTCAATTTAAAAATATGACGAAGGTACAGGCAAGGTGTCCCCAGCATAGGTTTTGAAATATATTTGCCAGAAACCCAAAAAACATTCACGTTTTATACATGCATAGGAACACATTGAATGCTAAAAATATAGTATAAATGTAGTAAAATTATTCAAGTTTAATGTGTTGTACTTTTTTTTTCTTATTCCCATATTTTTACGAAATATTTGCGGTTTTGTGAAGGTGTTTGAGTCAACCGTCGTGCCGCCGCCTATGGTATTTCTAGTTTTACACATTAAATTAAAAATCATAAAAAATTAACATTTCTAGCGCTCGTTACACAATCGAAGGAGGAATCCTGACATTTCATCGCGTATCACTCGAGGACAACGGGATGTATCAATGCGTGGCAAAGAATAAATTTGGTTTTCAGTATCAAACTGTTTCTATGGATGTTCAAGGTACAATTACTGCAAAAGTAACCCTTTTATCAGTTTCATTCTTTGCTAATTCTATGCTGATTGTATGTGTATTATATAGCCAGGTCGACCATTACCTCTGCATATTTCTCTTTAATTAGTCAAACCTCCCAAAATTACGGCAGCACTTTCCCATCAGAATTTTGTGGTTGAAAATACTGGAATGATCTCGTGTGTATCCGATGCCTTGCCGCATGCAAGTCATCATTGGCTGTTCAACGGAGTAAAAATAGAACCAAAAAAGACTGCAAAGTACAAGTTGACTAAAGCACAAAATTTGCTCGTTCATAATTTGACCCAGAATGATACAGGAGCATACACCTGTGTCGCAATGAATATGTTTGGAAAAGACACGAAGGAAACATATATCAAAGTTGGTAGGTATTGATCTGATCAGCGCTGGAGACTGGGAAAGGTTTATAATGCAATGCGATAGAATATATAAAGCAACATGGAATGTAAGGGGGTAAAGTAAAAATGGGATAGGATAAGATGGGATAAAAAGGAAAGAGTATAGGGAGAAATGAGTACGAAATAAAAAATTATTCAACTAAACTCCGGTGGCTACGAAGATAGAAAGCTAATTAAACCTCGTTAATTGTGGTATTACATTTCTTTTTCAGCGGAAATAATGTTCAAAAGGGGTCCAGAAAACAACACGAATGTCCTTGAAGGAACAAGTTTCTCACTGGTCTGCGATGCTGATTCGGACCCACCATTAAACATTCGTTATAAATGGCTCTTCGAAGGCAAAGACCTTGTACTGAGCGACAAAAATCATATTACATGGGATCTTAATAGTCGCGCTCTGACAGTTTCAAACGCACAGGTACCGCGGAGGAAAAATATTTTAGAGGTGAAAAACCCTTAATGTATTTATTTACGACTTACAATTATGCCTTGTTCTTGTAGGCTCAGGAAAGTGGTGTTTACGAATGTATTGCGTATAGTGACACGTCCCAGAAAAGCTCAAGTGCTACAGTTATCGTTAGAGGTAAGAAGTGTTCATTTCCTCTCATATGCATCTCATGCCTGGTTATTAAAAAATAAAATTAAAACACTTCATAATTCCATTTTTTCTAGCTCTGCCGAGCCCGCCCGAAAACCTGAGATTGCATGGACAGTGCACAGATCTAACTGCAAACCTTACCTGGTCCATCAGCTACAGGAGTTCCTACGAGCCACTCACACGTATACTTATACAATGGCGAACTTCACGTGACACCAGCACGTGGTATAATTTTTCTGATCACGTGAAGGGAAGTGCAAATAGTTACGTGTTGAAAAATCTCAACCCTTATAGTGATATAGTGTTTCGTGTGATTGCTTTGAATGAACATGGAATGGGAAAGCCAAGTAATTCAACTAAAGGACAGGAGTGTAAAACACGAGCAGCAAGTGAGTGTGATTATGGTATGATACTGTAGGACAATGATGGTTTTATTACCATTCTCTTCCATAGAACCGTCAGTATGTCCACAAAATGTGACAGGAAATTCGAAAAATCCCCACGAGATTGATGTAACCTGGCAGGTAAAGTCTGGAAATATATTGTAAAAACTGACATTCGGAATAATAGTAACGCAAAGGGTCATTGCGTTTGGTTTTACTGGTAAATTTAAAATGTCTTAAGAAATGCCACTGATCTTGAGTAGGAAACTCTGGGTAGCCTTGCACGAATTATAGCGTCGACTGCCATTAAATTATGGATTGGAATATTGGAATAAGGGATTTGAATTTGGCTGGGGGACATGATTCCGCGAATAAGAGTGTGGACTTACAGTTTTTGTTCCACCATCATTGTCACAAGAGCCCTTTTTAAAAGTAGCGCGCAGTTACGGATTCTTCAGTCCATTTCATGTTGTGAATAACATACAATAATTCACAAACACATTCTAAAGATAATCATTCGCTTTTTAGACTGTTAAATCTCTTGACTACAACGGTCCAGGATTTGGCTACATTGTGCAGTACAGACAACTTGGATCGACAATATGGCTTAAGGAAAACATTTCTCAACACAGCGAACAGCGTTTTACCATTAGAACTACATCAGCCAATCAGCTGTGGGAATTTGAAGTTAAGAGCAAGAATGACGAGGGCGTTGGACCCGATTGTTCCTCCGAGCAAGCGCGATCTGCCAAAGATGGTAATATAGCTAATGGGCTTTTTTTCCAAGTGGACTATTAGAGACAGTTTGTTGTCAGGTGTTGTGTAACTCGATCAAACTAGAGCGAGTCCTGTAATACTTCTCACTTAGAGAAATCGCCTCATTTTGGGAAAACCGGACAAGGATGTTTTCCTATTTTAAGCAACTTATGCTGTCACTTAACTTAACCACAGTTGCACGTTTTATTGAAATTAGCTTTAATTTATTTTCATGCAGCCAAGATTACATTCACAGTACGACCATCAAACAAGACAGATGTTCGAAAAGGAAACCCATTTTCGTTGTCTTGCAAAGCTTACTCTAATCCACAATTACCTATGAACTACAAATGGTTTCACGATGGCAAGGATCTCGGTCAAAGTGGAAGTAATTTTACTGTTTCAAAATCTCGGGTAGGTTTCACATAATGCAGTATTCTTAGTTGTTTCTTTATGTTCAAGTTTGTACAATTTCGCTTTTCACGTTTGTGTGACGACAGTGACGTGAAATTACAGCGTTCCGATTTAGGCACGAATATGTGATTGAAGAGTCAGCGAGTAGTTGTATTTTACCCTTTTCCGCGAACTTTATTGTATAATTTAAATGCACTACAATATATTCATTCCTAGCTTCTGGATAGTGGATTGTACGAATGTGTTGCCTATGTCAAGACATCCATGTATAATGCGGAGACCCGTGCAAGTTCTACTGTTATTGTTCGAGGTGAGTGTTAACTATTCAATAATCTATAGTCAACTTCGCACAATTACCTTGAGCCACATTTTAAGCTCAGCCAAACGGACTTCCAGCTTTTATAAAAACGGGGCTCGAAGTTCAAGATTTCAGCCAAAGAACTTCTCTAACGTGAACTTTGAAAAGTGATGTTCTACTTCTACTTTTCTGTTTGTTATTTCAGGTCCACCTGAGGCACCTGGCGATGTAATTCTGAAAGGTAACTGCTTGAACTTCACTGCAAACCTAACATGGACAATACACAGAAGATCCTACCAACAATTAACAAACATATCGATACAATGGAGCTTGTCCCATGACACAAGTACTTGGTATGACGTCAGTGATCACGTGAAAGGCAGTGCAAATGGTCACGTAGTACGTGGACTGAACCCCTACAGTAGTCTTGTGTTTCGAGTTATTGCTGTGAACGAATACGGACAGAGTAAACCAAGCCTCATAACATTAGGACAAGAGTGCAAGACCCCAGAAGCAAGTGAGTATATATCGAAATGTTGTCATGCATGAGATCTGGTAGTACTTTACGTAATATGATATTGCATGACACATAAAAATTAAAAAGGTATTAAGAAAATTTTTTTAATTTTTTTAAGTAAAAACTATGCATAAAATTTCATATCATGATGAAAAAAGTGATTATAAAATTTGCATTGTACAGAAAAAATTGCCATTATTTCCCGGAATATTATTTACCACCATTCAATGAATACGTAATTTTTCCTTTTTATAGAGCCCACAGTGTGCCCGACTAATGTTGAAGGATCAGCTGATAAACCCGAAAGCATTGTAATTACGTGGAAGGTACGGTAGTAACCGACACTTCTGCTTATAGTAGAGTAGCCAGAATCGATCGGATACAACATTGACCTTCGCAATTTAAATCCGTTCTAGGACAGTGTTTCAAAATTGATTGTGTAATTTCATCTATGTTCCAGGCAGTTTCAAAGCTGCATCAAAATGGCCCCAAGTTTGGATACACTGTCAGCTACAGGAAACCCGGGTCCCAATGGCAACACAGGGAAGTCAATGGAGTGGAAAGAGTTACGATATCGAAAGCCGGCGTGTATCAATTGTGGCAATTCAAAGTTGAAAGTAAAAATGCACAAGGGAAAGGAACAGAGTGTGCAATAAAAGAAACTCGGACAGTCAGAGAGAGTATGTAATATTTCATCATAATAAGGATTAGACTATGAAGTAATAACTGTCACTCGCCTAAAACTGTTTTCCGGTTCACATGTATAGAAATTTATACTTTTCTTTGTAGAACCAAAATTGGCCCCACAATCATTCGGGTATAAGGATGTTGGACCCGACTATGTCGTACTTGAATGGACCCCTGTGGATGCTTTAGGAATTGAAGGGTATCAGGTAAGATAAGTCGATAAGATGTGATAGCAAAAAACGCTCATTAATAGGCAAAACAATTAGTGCTAAATCTCAGGGAGTCATATTTGAGTAAATTCCAACACATGTGCCACACGTTTTTTTTAAGTGCGATTGACACTTTCATCTTTCGACCCTGAAATTGTTTGAATGCACACCAAACAAGGGCGCTTGATATTCTTGGCCTCTTCAAAACGTGGTAAAATGAATTACCATTATACACTGTTGTATATTTTTTAAAAAAAGTGTCTCGACCTGTAACATGCACATAAGTAAATGTAGATTTAAAGTGGAAAGGAATAATATAATGGGAATTTTTATGCCATGTGAACACCTGTACAATCTGTTTCAGTGTCTGGGTCTGATATGATGATATATTTTCCTTACAGATCAGTTACTGGCATAAGAGCACCATAAAAACCAGAGTTCGACGTGATAATCATAATTGTACTGATGAAAAAAAGCCTTGCACGACCCGAATTTCAAACATTACGACACGTCAATATACGCTAGGAAATCTTAAGCCCCATACAAGCTACACGATGTACTTACAAGCTTACAATGGAAAGGGAGAGGGGCCGAAAAGTAACATCCTCAACCTTAACACAAAGGAAGGCCAGCCCGGAGCTCCTGATGAAGTCAGAGTTACGTCCTATGGACGTTACCTCAATATGACCTGGAAACCACCAATCGAACCAAACGGTGTTATAACTGGTTATATACTCAAAGTTACAAATGGTACAAATATCACGGTTAGTTACTACACAACGTGGTATTTATTCGAAGATCTGGAGCCTTTGAAGGATTATGATGTAAGAATTAACGCCAAGAATTCAGCTGGAGTGGGAAGCACAGTATCAATGGTAGTGACAACAACAGAAGTGAGAGGTAAACAACATTTCAGTGAAAATAATATACTTGTATTACAGAAAACCCTCACTGAAAAGGCTGAAGTTATTAAGTAAGCTGTAAGCCCCTTTTTATATGTGTTCTTCAAACAGTAAGCTGCTCATGTATGAGAGTACGGTCCGGCATTGCTTGAACATCGCCCTGCTCTTGTACAATTATTTAACTCAGAGCCTGGTAACGGGAGATCGCTAAGTATTTTGGGAATGACCGAATATCACACTATAGCGCATGCCTCGTTGTACTGTATTATTTTCCCGGCTAATGCTGATCTGTGATACCATGCACACATATTGTTTGGGTTGACGTCGACCAGTCTTTGGTGTTATACCAAAATTTATCGACAATATATTGACAATAATCTGTTTCGTTCCCCGTGCATTTGAGTTAATATATATGCCTAATTTAGTTCCAGCGGTCGCAAGGAGACCAGATGTTCATGGTTTGGACGCAGAAAGTGTTAATGTAACGTATAGACCTGGCAGTACGTCTAAGACTAGTGGTTTTCCTGAGAAATTTTACGTTGTGTATAAAGAAAAAGGTAAAATTTGCTTTCTTAAATCGCTGTAGAATAGTTCACTGATTTTTATATAACAAACTGCATGATCTCCAGGGCCGTGCCAATTTAAAGTTTATTTGTGTTTGATAAAACTTTTTGGCCCCTTTGACGATATATTGACTTTCTGGGTCCTCAATTTATGGGTAAGACACACAATGGTCCCATGCACCCCCCCCCCCCCCCCGAGCCGGGAGCCGTAAAGTTGTGCCGGGAGCTGGCCAAAAATGAAAGAAAAAAAAATTATTTTCTTTATAAAACTAAAGTTATTGACAAATTCCGGGACCAGGCATTTAGCATTTATTCTTTTAGTTAAGCTTTTTGTTAAGCATTTAATTATAGTTCAAATAGCCTCCAATTCGAGATAACTAGATAGATTAACTATAACTAGATAACTAGATTTAGAAAGATAAATTTCCTGATTAGCACCATTCAGTTCCTATAAGTTATATGCCGTACTCTCTTTGCAGGTGAAGATAATGAGATGTTAAACGCAACAAATTTGACATTGATAAAAAGAAATGGGGAGAAGTCCTTTATCATTGTTAGCGGATTAGACAACCACAAAACTTACATGTTCGCCACGATTGTTATGAACGGTGATAAGAAAAGCGATAAAAGTGACTTCACTGAAGGACGCGCCATCTTAAATGAAGGTTTGTTGTTTCGTTTATTTATTCTCAACTAGGAAATCATTTAATATTTTAATTGCGTGCAATCAGTGGCGGATTACCAACTTGAGGTTTTTGCGGTTAACGAGTTCATGCGAGTTTCGTGCTAATTAGTTGCTGCTTCCTGAAACTCGAAAAACAGTGAACAGTGTCAGTTGGTTTTAAAAACTAGCTGATTTTACGTATAACTAAACGTGGTACTTGAAAAAGCTCGACATCGACGACCACAATTTTTTAGTCTTACGCCTAAATCACATAAGCTATATAAATCAAAGCTAGTTCAATCCGAGATTCATGCGAATTCAGATTAATTTGGTTCTATAATTTAGATCTTTCTGAGACCTGCATGCATGAGTATATAGTTATTATTAGCTAATTCTAGTTATAGCTTTTCTAGTTATGCAACACAAATGCACATCTATATCAATATTATAATCTTTCTCTCCCCTCGGAGTATCAGAAAGCATCGTCGAGTCCGGCGGAAAATGGCGTATTCGACCATGGTCGAGTTCGCCGGAAAATGGCAAATTCGACCATGGTCGAGTCCGCCGGAAAATGGTGAATTCGATTATGGTCGAGTCCGCTGTAAAACGGCTAATTCGACCATGGTCGAGTTCGCCGGAAAATGGTGAATTCGATTGTGGTCGAGTCCGCTGTAAAACGGCTAATTCGACCGTGGTCGAGTTCGCCGGAAAATGGTGAATTCGATTATGGTCGAGTCCGCTGTAAAACGGCTAATTCGACCATGGTCGAGTTCGCCGGAAAATGGTGAATTCGATTATGGTCGAGTCCGCTGTAAAACGGCTAATTCGACCATGGTCGAGTTCGCCGGAAAATGGTGAATTCGACCATAGTCGAGTGTACTGGAGTCTAAAAAACGTTGTTTTCGACCATGGTCGAGTCCGCCGGAAAATGGCGTGTCACTCGTACTTTCGACTAGTGTGCGAATAATACACCGAGCCCAACATTTTTAAGGTGCTTTAATTTTAGGTTCTTTCTTATGTCGGGGGCCGCTTAAGGTTGGGGGCCCGGGGCAAAATGCCCCCTTGCCCCCCGCTCTCGGCGGCCCTGTTTGTTTATTGGAGTAATTTGCAGGGAATGTAAGCCATTAAAAGAGGTACTATAGTGAAATATACTCTTTGCTACGTGTACAACTAATGTCGAGCAGGAAAAACTTTTGACATAAAAAATGGTTATTGCGTTTTTCTTGATCTGCACGAAAGAGAGCAGTCAAAGCGGATAGAAGACAGCTGCGATTAACTGTGACGATCATGAAGTGATTAAAGAAGCCAGTAACTAGTTGTTTCCATTTGATATTGACGAGTGTAAGGAGGGCTTCGGGAAATATTATCAAGATGCATATTGTAGAAATACTCTTGGATCATATTCAATGTAATTGCAAGCCTGGATACACTGGTGATGGAAAGCCTTGTGGTAGGTGTACCTAGTACAATAACATTTTTTTGCTTGAATTTACACCGCTTTCCGGACTTCTATCGGAGCAGAACAAATCTAAATTTCCTGATATGAAGGGTTTTAGTGCCAGAGACCCAAATAAATTTTCCAAATCTGTCAAACTAGTGATCATTTGATGTCGTGGTAGCGAATCCGCGATATTTTGAAATCGGGGCTCCGGAGTTGAATTGGGGTACCGCGATATTGAAAAAAATTCGTTCATTCCTTAGACATTGACAAGTGTAAGGAGGTCGCGCTGGTCTGTCATCAAGATGCATATTGTAAAATTACTGTAGGATCGAATTAATGTAATTGTGAGCTTGGATACACTGGTGATGGAATGTCTTGTAGTGGTAGGTGAACATTGAAAAAATTATACATAAGATATTAACTCTACATTTCTACATATTCTCACATAGATATTTTGTATCAATGTATCTATCCGCATCACTTCACTGCATGGTTTATTTCCAGTGTCTGAAGTGTGGTAATGGTGTAGGTTATGGTAAAGGAGAGGATGTTGGGCTTTCATCCTCTTGCTATATAGTTAAAAAAGCCTTTAAATTAATAAGGGAATTCAAGCCAGTAAAAGAGGTATATAGTGAAATATAATTCTTGCTATACGCTGTGCAACTATAGTCGAGTTTTCTTGATCTGCACAAAAGAGAGAAGTTAGGCGGATAGAAGACAGCTGCGATATTAACTGTAACGATGATGAAGTGATTATATACATGCAGTAAACCGGTAACTCATTTATTCCTTAGATATTGACGAGTGTAAGATAGGCTCCGATGTATGTCATCAAGAGGCTGAGTGTAAAAATACTTTGGGGTCATTTTCATGTGATTGTAAGCCTGGATACACTGGCGATGGAAAGATTTGTTATGGTGGGTGCATGTACAGTAAAGTAATTCGTGCATGATACTGTTTTGTGCAAATTTGCATCGCAGATTTTTATCAGAAAACTAAAGGCCTTATTTTTCCCCATGCAGTTATCGTTTAAATTTAAGCCAAGACCTTTAAACAAGAGACCTAATAACCTGTCTATACAAGTCAACAAAAGCCATGATTGGTACTATAACTATAGAGTGGAATACATCTTTGGTATATGCTGTGCAACTACAGTCGAGCAGGAAACATTTTTTGACATTTTGAGCTTACGTTTCTCTTGATCGCAGATCGCATACTAGCTGAAGACTCATAGAAGGGAGCATGCAGAAACTGCTGCGACTAACTGTGACGATCATGAAGTGATAAGCCAGTTGCCAGTAACTAGTTTTTTACCATTCCTCAGATATTGACGAGTGTAAGGAAGGCTCCCATGTATGTCACCAAGGGGCTGAGTGTAAAAATACTCTGGGGTCATATTCGTGTAATTGTAAGCCTGGATACACTGGTGATGGGAAGTCTTCCAGTGGTAAGTGTTACGTGTACTTTGTGCACAGAAATAGTTCGTAATTACAAAATACACATAGTATATTAAAATTACAAAGTACACATCGCTTATCGGATTTCTGTATAGTACCTGAACAAATTTTCCAAAAGTAAAAGGTTTCCTCACCAACGATAAATACATATACAAATCTGTCAAACCAGCTAGTAAACATTTGATGTCGTGGCAGCGTATCCGCCACGCGATATATTGAAGCCGGGTCTTCAGAGTTTCCAAAACTTAAAATGTATAATCTCCGAAAAAAAGTGAAAGAAATATATTTAAGGCTACTCGTATACGGGTATTTTTAGGTATTTTTTCCCATAAACTGGCCCACAAAAGACGCTAATCCTAACATCTGTACTATAATATCCCTCATAACACGTATTTAATCAAGAATGTCATAATCTGTTCTGATCTTTTCTCATTTTACCATGACTCTTATTAGAAAAATCAGCAAATTCAGAAAAGTCAGCAACTGTACTTGGATTTGTCTTGGCTAACGTTAGCGTCATTCTTATCGTCGTACTTGTTGTTGTATTTTTACTTCGCAAGAGACGATGTCATCGACGTCAGGCTGCAGATGACGTAGTTGAAATGCAATCAGGACCAGAAACATTGCAAAGTAATCAGGTTTGTATTTCTTTAGTACGTATTAAAAATGGAGACGATAAAATAGGAGATATCACATGAGGAATCTGTGACATTCCTACCTAGGCACACATGCATGGAAAACCTTGAATACCAGTATGCACAGCTATCACGAACTTCTCAATCGTTACCCCGACAGCAGCATAGACAAGGCTAGGGTTGGTGCCTAGGGCTTCAGCTTATGTGACATAACTAATAATTGACTAATAACTGACTAGTAATTGACATAACTATGTGTCAACAATCTTCATTTAGTCCCTTGCGCGCTCCTGAAAACACACGTGTTGCTGTACGATTTGAGTTTGTTTTTTTTCATACTTGTGACTGAAACTGAATTACATCCTATAGAATAGGACGTAATGAGCATTACTGTTGATGGTGCACTGAATACAGTGTGTTATCCAAACACTTAAACCTATTTTTGTCGCTACATAAACCAAAATTGTCATACAGGGACAAAATCATGGGCCAACACCAGGACCAACACCTAATGAACAGAATTGCACACAAACTAATGCCGATACTCAGGGGTCTTAGCCATACGAAGAGGTCGAAATCTTGCAGCCTTTATACGCCAAGCTGGACAGAGACAGAACAGAATCAGCTGATTGTCAAACTTACCAGGCACTGTTAAAATATAAAACCGATCAGGGATCAAACTGAAACATAAGAAATAACCGGCTGTTTGTCCACTCGGCCACGCCCAGATTGATCCACATGTATTATCAACGCTCCACGCTAACCCGCCAACATTTTTCACGAATTCACAATATTCATGTTGAATATATAATTTTAAATTCTGACAATTTTATATAATAACAAATATATTACATTTTCAACCTCTATATGTACAATATATACAAAAAATAATAAAATTACAAAATTGTTGCACGAAATCTTCATAAATTATCACAAGAATGTTTTACTAAACAGTGGATCGAATGGCATATAACTATTCGCTGCTATATGCAGAATCCACATTATCAATAAACTGGAAGTAGGCTTTTAGGGGCAAATGATCCGAAGGGAAATATCTGTTAGGACAAGCCCGAAATGGCTGAATTACTTCTTCATCAACCATTTCCAGAACGGCGTTAGCTTGCAATGAGTCTGATGAAAACCATACGTAATCCAGTGTATCTTTCATCATATCAAATCCAAAAACGTCCGGAAATATATCATCACATTCGTAATGGGTGAACTTTGGCTCGGTACCCTGGAAAAAAACCCAGTTTGTTTATTGATATTTACACTGAATGTAACACTGTGCATAACAACGCAAAACAGAATGAACTATTCACGCATGATCAAGACAAGATAAATTACTTACCAAAACGGCTCTATAAGCACTGTTTGAATACTTGAATGGATGCGATAAATTCTCCTTGAAATATTTATGGACGAAATTGTTCCGCTTCGAGTCATTAAACTACAAAACAAAATGGGGAAGTTATTAAAATTATCGCAACTGTAGTATTCATAAAATATTTAGCATTTCTTGAGAATTGACAATTCGTTTTTTGAAAAAAGACACTCATTTTTTCCCCTTACCTCTTTCCTTTCTGTCAAACTTGGATACTCGTATTTTCCTGGCCTTAGTTTCTCGATAGCGCCATCAGATAAGTCCCCATTCTTCACCAGTTCATAAGCGGGAAAATGTGGACGCATGTTAAAATCACCGCAAACTATCCACGATGTGGTGTGTTTGGCTGACTGGGGTAGTACTTCATATAACTGTTGAAAGAATATTGCTGCTTGAATTGCGTGCACATCAGGTTCTCGCCAGCAGTTGAAGATTAAGTGGACATTCACTAAAGAAATTTGGACGTAAATGGAATCACGTGATGTGATAAAATAGCGGTAGCTGAAGCAAGACTACCACAAAACGTCTTTCCCAAGGTATTCCCGTTAGTCCTTTACTGTAGTATCAATTACATTGTGAAGTATTTTGTGGTTGTGGCTGAAATGAAGAGGTAAATGACCACGAAATTGACTGTAGTGAACATATAAAACGTCGCCAGCAGGGAGCTATTTTACAACTAAAAATTAACCCAGTTTTAATCGACATTATCGTACCTATGACAACCTCCTTTCCCGAGTTAAGATCTTGCAAGACAGTGTATTGTGCTAGTCTCTGGTTGTGTTCATTTCTATGATCAAAGTTATCAAGCGCAACGACTTCCCCAAGTATCTCATTGAATCCAAACACCTCGTAATTTTTCAACTGAAATTTATTTGTCTTAAAAAATGTTGCGACACCATCTCCACCAGTTGTGTGAGGCTGAAACATCCCTTCATAACCGTGTACCGTTAGATCTTCAAGCAAATGCGGAAAATAGAATGGATCCACTTCTTGAAGGCAAACAACATCTGCATCCAACCAGTGCAACTGAAATTTATGATATTTATAATTAGCAACTTAGATTTACAGGTGCATGTATACATTCAATTCATACATTCGCCTGGTTGCATGCATGAGATCACTCAAATGGATCAATATATTGGGTTGTCGGTAAACAGATAATGGGGAAAGGTGTACATTAGAATATATATTCATGTTGACATGTTGAAATATTGGCTTCAAAAATAGAGGAGGATATATTAATTACAATGCACGAAAAAATTTACAACACGACGTCTTCGAAGTACGTATCAAAATCTAGCTAGCTGCTTCAAGACTACTGCTTGGTACCGAAAAAAGAGTAGCTGGAACCGAGCCATACAGCTCTGCTTGCAGTGAGTTTTGGTTTTTGAATTATATTTCTATATTGAGGGGCTCTAACACCTTTTAAATAAAGCCAAGAGCACTAAAGAGATCACCTGCGTGTTAATTATTGCTAATATGTGGAAAGTAAAGTCTCTGGATAAATTTTGTACAGCTGATACTGAAATAAAAAAAGCCGAAATTTTTATAAGAAGCCAGTTATGTGGTTTCTAGAAGAATATATGACGCACCTTCCGTTACTATGGTTTTATGCTACCAATCAAAAACGGCAGACGCACCCCTAATATACGCAAAATCGTCAATGTTTTGAAGAACATAAATTGTTTGACAGGATATTATAAACCATAAGTCAGGAAAGAACAACACTGAAAAAGTCTTTCACAAAATGCATGACGCTCTAACTTCTAAGAGTTGGAGGAAACACTGTCACATCCTATATATAGTGAGTACAGTGAGTGACATTTATCACGTGATGTAGCGTCAAGGACGGCTAATGGTACTTTTTAACGCTGACAAGCATAAAGTTGATCAGCGGTATCTAGAATTTTTTATTTATTACAAATGAACCCATTTCAAATCACATGGACTGAAATGGTAAAGTTTTATTGGCTTTTCCACTGTAACAGCATCTGAAATTGTTTAATTTACATGCACGCTGAATTGGTCTATTGGGTGTTTGGCCTAGAAGTCAATAATTAACCAATAAACATTTATAAAAAATATACTCGCATTCTACAACGACACAGGCCTTCATCAGAGAAAAGATTAGTCCATGGTAAGAGGACAGGGAATATCGGGGTTTTTTGGGAAATCTCGTGATATATTGAAGTTGTTTGAGTTGCTATTCCCTAGCATGTACTAAAAGGCCTTCCAAAAACGCAAATCTATTGCAGCTCTATAATAAATACTTTCAAAATGGTTCTCGCCACATTTTCACCCTAGGCCCAGTCAGTCACTGCAAGATAGATGACATGTTTTATTTCGCGCAACATAATTCTCCTAGTGTCAAACGGGCGTAATATTGTCTTTAATACGAGTAAATCTGTTAAAAAGGTAGGATCCAGCGTCACGTAACTTAATTCGACGCAAAAATAAAAGCGTCACATATTTTGTAGATGGCTCATTTAAAATCCCCTCGCATTTAAAATTACCGCGTATGACACGTATTTGAACACAATGTAATTTATTCATGTGCGGACTCCGTGGCGACAAGACATAAATAATCTCAATATAAAGTTACGTTCATATTAAATTTTAGGGCAGAAAACCCTTTATTATTTATACCTCTTTGACTAATTGTGTATGCCTGACACAATTCTTTGGCACAGGTCCACGACACTTCATTTCGTCCGGTAAATAAGAATAAAGTCTCGGATTCTTGTCGAAAACCGCATCGCATAATATATTATAAGAAACTACTGAGAATTCACTATCCTTAGCAGCGTTTGCAATACGCTTAAGGTCACGTTGAAATATTGGGTCTTTGTCAGCCATGTGATGATTTTTTTTCTGTTTGTCACAAAGTCTCTGCTTCTCTCGATCTCTAGTTCAAAATAAGCTTCCAAACCAAAGTGGACGACTTTTGAGGTTGATGTATAACACGTTTTGTTCACATGTGTAAGGCGTGCTATCCAATCTTAATCACATGTTTAATGCATGCTTAACTCGTGATGAGGAAAGTAAAGGACGATTTTTCACTTTAAAAAGAGGAAAAAGTGATTGAAAGGTTTCTCGGACAATGCACAGAGAATAAGTGTTTTGTATCTTGAGATGAAAACCAAAATATTACGAAGCAACAAAAAAAGAGGTAAACCACACATGGTTTATATCTTCATGATGTTCACGTGCTGTTGCCGTGTTGTTGAGGCGCTGTAAGCGTGGTCAAGTTACAGAGCCCGAAAAACAAGAACAATTAGAACATATAGAGGTTTCATAGATATCACACCTAAACTTTCATCTCACCTAAAGGTGCTTACTGAATACTGCCGGTCGGACGAGGAGATAAGGCCATATTACCTTTAATAATTTTCAAATGATAGCCACAAGTCAACTCAAACACAGTCACAGCTATAGATCAGGCACCCATGCAGGGATCAAAACAAGTGGATAAAAACGTTATGAAAGAAATTTTAAATTTAGCAGATCTTCGGGCAGAATATGCCAAAAGTCAAAGTTATCGTAAAATATTTAAGAAGCTTTGGAGGCATGTGAAAATCTAGCCCGTGGTAGAACCTCGCGTACCCAGGCAGTTAGGCGCTATTATACTAGTATCTAAGTACTAGTTAGCCTAGTATCAACGATCGTGATGTGCCGTGGGCTATCAACATCGGTCCCCCAACATTATTGTCAGCAAAGTAGGCTTCACTAAGTGTTTTTCTTTCCCGGTCCGTGTGTGAATGGAAAGAAATCCTAATAATTGTAGTGACAATAGCGAGACTTAATCCATATCCACTAAAGCGGGTCAGTTTCCACTCAGGAAAAATCTCCTTTGGATCGGAACGGACAGGGAGATTTCCTTTGTCGTTGAGTTCTCAGGCGGCGTATATACAAAGGAAACTTTCCTGTCCTGTCCGATCCAAAGGAGAATTTTCCTGAGTGGAAACTAGCCTTAACATGGCTGCATGCCCGGAGCGACATAACAAATATAAAAATTATTTTCCTCGATGAAAAATTATTCCATGTATTTGCAAAAACGTATGTTCACGTATTTTAGACATAATAATACAATTCAGCACACAAAGAAGGGGGGGGGGGGGGGGGCAAGGGTATTTTTGTGATCTGTGATTAGCATCATTTCTGTATTGTGATGCGTGATTTAAGAAAATGCCATTCCGTGAATCGTGATTAAAATGCGTTCCGTGACTCGTGAAAACCTAAAACGCTGGCAAAGGTATCTTATTTTCCCTAATATTTTACCACTATTTATATTTTTTTAGATTAAATACTGGGCCCCAACTAAACGAAAGGTAGAATAGTCAAAACAGTAGCTTTCCGCCTAATTTCCCAGTCTTCTTGCTGCAAAGTCAACTAGTCGTAAAAATCGTGAAAATGAAATGATTTTCTTCGTGATTCGTGAAATCTTAAAAACACCTTTGTGATTTCGTGACAAGACCCCCCCTTGCCCCCCCTCAAAGAAGGACCAGTGCTTATTTTTCAATCATCAAATTTTAGAAAGATAGTTTATTTACTTCCAGCAAACCAATCAAACATTTCACAATATACAATTTTATTTATTCAGTATTCACCTGACTTAGCCTATAGGGAAGTGGTGGATGAATTTGATATTCATAATCATTCTAGCCGTAATTATGGCTGGGAAAACCGTTGTTCAAAATACTTCGTTTCATTTTTATACTCCGAAGGTTCAGTCCAACTTTTATATAAAAACCAAGTTAAAAACGTCGATACCCATATATATAAGCGGGGTTATAAAAAAATGAAAATTCGCTTTTTATTTGCTTTTATTATATAATATGCAGCGTTTTATTGAGATATTTGACGAATCCGCCATTTTGAAAAGCGATAATAACACATGTGCGATTATTCATGATAATAACACATGTGCGATTATCGTGTTTCGTTTGATCCATCCAACTGGAATCAGGAAGAGGGATAAAAAGCTTCTCAAAAAAAAGCTTTTTATTATATAATAAACAGAATAATACATGGATGCTTGGAAATATGGAATTTATTTCTCGTGTTGAGAAAGATATCTCACTCGTTCGCTGCGCTCACTCGTCAGTCGATATTATTCTCAACACTCGAAATAAATTCCATATTTCCACGCATCCATGCATTATTCTCTATTTAATTCGCTTTCTATTTCTTTAATATTCGCCCACTATTCAATCACAAAAGATCGAAAATAATAAAATACTGTATAGTGCTGCGTGTTTTTGAGACACCCTGTATACTGAGAATAGGAGGACAAAGAGGAAAACGTTTGTGAACCAGTAAGTATAGTCATTAATCATTTTCAATCCAGTAAGTAATTAATCATTTAATCCAGTAATTAATTACTCATCTGCCATTCAATCAATCATTCAATTGATAAATACCACACAAACACCATGATTATTGTTTTGTTTTGGTTGAGAACGCTACGACCACGCAAAAATATATTGTCAAATCTTTCAATTGAAAAACACACTGATCTTCATCAATGCAAAGAAGACAAATGAAGATTGATCCAACGCTTTCTTCACAAAATAAAAAACGCTCAGTGTTACTTCAGGATAGGGACAAGAAAGCTTACCATTCGAGAACATACCTATAGCGCGGTCTCATACTGTCAATTATAAAACAAAACCTACACTCCAACGCGAAACAAACCCAACCCAATCACTTAAAACCATTCTGCTATTAGCACCCTGCTGTGCTTTTCACAGCCGTGACTGCATTATAATAATTTGTTTACTGCTTGAACACCATGAAACCTCTATTGCCAAGGCTAGTTAACAATAATAATGATAATAATGATTTCTTGAAGAATTTTTATACAGGGCGTCTCTACATCTTCACTAACAGGGCATCTCTATATACATGTAATGAAAATAACCTATTTTGTATAATTATAAAGTGCATAATAAACTTAAAGGTTTGAAAAATCTATGTGATCTATATATATCAGCAAAATTTCAACCATAAAGAACTGACCACGAAACCTGGATGTACAAGCGTTCCCTTTATAGCATTGTTTGCTAATGCGTAATTTTAGAGCGAATGCCGGAATAGAAAATGTTAGGGTTCGGTCCTGTGGTTGATGTCTGATGAAGTGTTCTTCCTAACTTAATTAACGTAAAATTAGTTATAAAAAAAATTACGTTTACGCTCGTACGACGCCGGTACACGGAACACCACAAATATAGGAATGGATGCCATAAACGTTTTTGATACGTGTGTATATACGTATATGGAAAAGTTTTGCGCGCATGTAACACAAAATTTAATGCAGTCATTCAAAGATAGTTTATCTAACGCAATTCTAAGGGTTCAGTGCAACATACTTTATTCAACCCAGGAAGCAGTCTATCGATATTTAGCATCCAATGTGGCACACAGGACGGATAAAACAGAAACACCATAGTCACAAGATTTTTTAAATCTCTCAGCGAAAAACTCCACTTGTTTTTGAATCCAAAATTTTCATCCGCAACTTCAGAATTTCCACCCATCAATTGACCAATTGACAAGTAAGCCCAATTGACCAATTAAGTCGGCTGTCCTCAGTGTCTTGTGTTGAAAACAATCGTTAAAATCACTACTACATGATGATATACACAATATACTTTTTACTTCCTGACTCTACTATTTTAGCATAGTTTCAAATTTCAAACGCAGTTGTTAAAGACGTCAATGAATACAAGCTAACATGCGCCATCGTATTGATCGTCAGACACATTTCCACCACACCTGCATGTATGTCGTCATAAACTAAAATAGGAATGATTCGTGATCTCTATAACTGACTGGAAACGTTTTAACTTCCTGGAGATGTTTTCCTCACAGGTACGAGACTTACACTGAATTTAATCAATGTTTAATATTGTAGTCTCATTTTCAACTCTTTCAAGCTCACATGCAGTATTCTCCAAAACAGAATCTGCCTGTTAATTTTGTCATCATGGTCTTGACCGGTTTTTACTACTGGAAATACCCTCAGAAACGTCTAGTACGTGAGAAGTGTTTAATTAAAAAATATTGAATACAAAGTCCTTTATATATAAAAAAGTTAAGAGTCAAACAAAGTTTTACAATAAGTCAATAACTTCATTATAATGGACTTAAAAATTAGTATTCCGGCCCAAAGGCAAAGAAGACGAAAGGCTTAATTACCCTGTAAAATTACCACCGAAAAATGCATTTGTGAAATTCAAAAATCAAAACATCGATGCATAATGACCCATGCTCTCTCGCCTTAGTTATGTAAATATCTTCCTTTCCTCTGAATATATTAAAATTAATATATGATATGAAACAATTGTCTAGCACGTTGATAATTCTTGGGCAATCTCAACGATCCTACTAAGGTCCTAATCTCTTTACAACGACGCACGCGAGAGTTTCCTGTGTGCAATTTTAATGAAGAGCAAGGCTGTGGCGAAGACAAGCCTTATTGGAATATATACATAACTTAAGAATAGAGTTACAGACAAGAAGCCGAGTGCGGCTTTTGTGTTCCTAATTGTGATAACGACAGAACGGCGATTTCAAAAGACGAGTCAACGGTGCAATATATCTGTTTGGTTCCAGACCATTCTTGAAAGCGAATATCTGAAATCAGGTATAGTAAATTTAGCTACCCATCTGTATTATATAATGTCCAGTTTAGTTTTTGTATTAAAATTTTACATGCGCGGGCTATGACCACATGGACATCAGTATTCACACCTATGGCGAACATAATACAAACAAACTTGTAAAAGTTTCACACTCACGCCTTACGGTAACTTTCATCGTGGCTGGTAATACTTTGTTTGTTGGGATCCAGATATAGTGTATTCTAGGTCAGTACGTTTACTCAAATTGTTTACACGAAATCTTTTTGATAAGTTGTTTACAGTGTATAATGTTCATATTGAGCTAAGCGTAGAACGCGTGAAGTTTGATTCAAATGTCACACTTTTCATTAAACGTATATAGCTTCCGCCGCGAGGAACAGGTAAGGTGCTCCTTTAGTTCTTCTCAGCAATAACCAATCGTACCTTCCTACCATCTTAGCAAACCTCGAATATACTTACTTTAGCATTTATAATGGACTATAGAAATTACAAATTTCTCTGACTAAATGTGTGAATATAATGAGCACTGACACATGCTAACTAAGCGATGGGATATTTTCATTCGATGTTTCAAAACACGGGTGTTTTCTTTTAAGTTTGGGCTAGCGCGTTTCAACAGTGCCTTGTTTTGAGCAGCAGCTATTTTAGTCGCTGCAGGAATTTTCCGAAACGCTGCTGAGTGGAATAAAGTTGCTGTCAAAATATACATCGGTTCCGCTAGAAGAGCAGGTGGTTTTTAATAATAGTTATCAAACTTTTTGAGCTTGATCATCATGCAGTCTTTCACAGAGTTAGTCTGTAAAAAGATTTCCTGTGTAGAATGTTGCGTGTCTATGGGATAGGAAAACTTTCGGTATCGACTTCAGTTTCATAAACAGAGAGAGATAAGGTCTTTAAAACTGGCCGCAGATTGAACACTATGGTTTTTTATTTATATACTCATTTGAATAATGTTCAAAGCCGTATCCACGATGTATGTCGTTAAATTTAGACCTTGACAGATCAGCGATTCGACAAATGCATATTTCGACGTTATTATATATTTATTTCTAGACATGGTATATACAAATATATAAATTTTGGGCAGTCAAGTTTCACTATATCACAAAATACCGCTAATTATGGCCAGTATATACACTCAAGAAACTGAATAATGAATGTTATCGATTCCCAATACACTGGTAGTGGTTCTGCAGCATTATATCTTCCCTGGCCCTGCAGTTTGCTAGCCTTCATTTAAAAGAGTGTAGTCGTTGTATCCGTAACCTCGATCCCGCGTGCGAGTCTCATTGCAACAATTCTCATCTTGTTTGACCAGTAAAAGGGCTTTACGAGTTAAGTTTGAAGTGGATTTTTTTTATGAATACAACTCAAGCTATGCGGGGCGATTTAATTAGTTAACTGAAAATGTAAAGTAAACGTAGAATAACTCGAAATGGAAATATGTGGAAAAATATCGAACTAAACATTTCGTTTTCACGACTTTCCTCCCAATGTTAGGCCGGTTGATTTAAATTAAAACGGGTTGTGGAAGAATTAGATGCATATTATATATGTATGTATTATGGCTATATATTTATACACTGAAAAAAACATGCATTTTTCTGCTCACGCAGTCTGGCTCATGGGAACGGAATAACTAATAGTCATTAGTGTTATTTTTTCATCATAATTATTTCGCATTTCTTGATCGTGTGTGACACGAGTTGAACGTGCAATATTCAAACATTTTTACGGATATAACTACTTGAATAATAAAAACACGAAACATCATTTTAGGCCTGGCTTTGGCGTGCTTCAGTGTTTCTGTGAAAAAAGTTTCATCATATGCGCACTCGCTTACTTCACTAAATAACTTCATATTAAACTGTACTTTTGAAGTGATATTATCGTCAATTTTTCTTCGTGTATAGTACTAGTTATACTATGTTTGTTTATGATCAAAATACGCTGTTAAGATGGGTTGAAGTGTGGCCAAACAAAGAGAATCCTGCATAGTCATAGAGCCTTATACATGCATCGCTTATTAATATTTAAAGCCAAACGCATATGCATGCATGCAGCATGATGGATCACAGCCAACAATTTAGAGTGCCCTCTCTGCATGCATGTCTACCGGCGATATCAGTCGAGTCCAAATTAAGACTTTGACAAATATTAGCACTCCAAGAAATTTGAAAAATATTAGCACTTCAGGAAATCCAAGAAATTTCAGTTCTTGCTAGGTTTTATTCGACTTCGAATTCTTAGATTGGACTTCAATATAGATCTAAATATTAGACCGAAAAGCTCCAAAGGCATGCAAAGCATGCCAAACATGATCTAGAATATGGAGCATTATATATAGACGTACACTGCTCACTAGCTTGGACAAAAAATAACCGAACACTTTTTAAGCGTGCATGCATGCTAGACTGTAGCCATAATACGTTAACTATCTCTTAGTATATTTTTCTCCTACGACCACATGCATAAATGTATACGAATAAAAAAAAACTCCGTAGAAAAATAATCTTTTCCGAAAACTTAATTACGCGCGACTAATGAGTGGGAAAAATTTTGAGAATGCTATAAGGAAAAAATCGGTTCTATAAAAAGCGGGTGCAGTTGGTGAACTGGTACGAGACCGAACACTCACTGTGCATTGTCTAGTTTATATAAATATTTCCACTGAGTCTCGGCTTGGCCGAGATCTCACACTTGGCCAAGATCTCACACTTGGCCGACATGCATGTACAGTAGGAAACCATTCTGCTGGGCAATTTCGGATTTATTAAATTCCCAATATATAGTGCATGTAACCCACCCTCTACTCTATGGTAGACAGCTTCAATATTCCGGCATGAAAAAGATCAAAAAGCGATAACAATTTTGGGTTCAAGCGGCTTGTTAATGCATGGTAGAGTCTTATAGAGTTCATTAGAATAGTCAGTTTCGTTTTCGTTATTAAAATCTACCCGAATATTAACCAGGGTTAGCCTGGTGTTCGATTTCATATCAACCGTTTTATTGAAAAATGAATTCTTCGTGACTGCGTCGGCAGCGTCGTCATCATATAGGAAGTGATTTAGGATAAAAGAATTAACTTGTGAAAAAACAAACAAACAAGACTCAAATATATGCAAAATCCATCGCGACGTCGCCACAAAGGTGTGTCTTCCTATAAAGCCGCTATTACTTTAATTATTAAAAAATTGCTTTTTATTTCAAATTATTATATTGAAAGTTGAAACTATCTTCTCTATTTAATTGTCGGTTATGCAGTGCCTCGCGGAAACATTTTCAGCGATTTATATTTCTCGTTCTCGAAGCCGACATAAATTTATAAATTTTTAAACTGCATGAAGGTCAATGACATTGATCGTTTGTTGACAATAATGCCAGCGGGTTTCAGGATTTTCACGTAATATCATTAGAAAGATTGTGTTTTATGAGTGATAGGATGACACCCGAACAATACGACTATCATTTCAATGTCATGAGCAGCAATTTAATTTTGAAAAGGTAGAAAAGATCTTTTTCTCCATACAAAGAAGACTCCATGGCATACTTCGAAATCCGGCTGGACTCGGACTGAAAGATCTAGAAAACCCGGACTCCAAGGAAAATCCGGACTCGGGATCAGAAAACCCGGACTCAAAATTAAAAATGTGACACTGTCACTACAATATATAATCACCACAGTTATGAAATTATTCTCTCAAGCTCATGCGCGCAGAACCAATACTAGTTGTCTTAGACGTTGATAGAGCTAGTTTCTCACAATTACAGTTATTACACAAACCATTAAAACCATTATATTACCAGCAGAAGATGAAATAAAAGAGAAAAGATCTTGTAAACCCAAGATCTGGGCTTTAAAACCAGACACAAGACACAAGTTTACGGTCGTATTTCGACTCTGTTTCAAAGTCATAGTCAAACCATTTCGGTTTGCCCATGGGGATTTGATACAAAAATAACAGTAGAAAATTATTCTTCTATCCCGCCAAACACTGACATTTTCTACTGACAATAATTTAAGGTGTAAAATTCATTTTCTACTGACAATAATTTAAGGTGTAAAATTCATTTTCTACTGACGATAATTTAAGGTGTGGCATGTGTTGCCCTCGATACGGCCTCAGTTTTCAGATTTTTATGGATTTTTATTGATTATATATTGTAATGTTATTAAGTATGTGATAAGAAAATGAACAGTTGACAAGTTCAATGATAATTCAGAATCAGATGATTGGATGATTTTGAGTCCAGTTTAGAATCAGTGTATTTTCAATTTTGAGTCCGAGTTTTCTGATCTCGAGTCCGGGTACGAGTGCGGGTTTTCTTTCAGTCCGAGTTTCGAAGTATGCCAGACTCCACTGCTGATTGCCGAAAAACGTCGTTTGATGTCAATCTTGATTACGAACATTACCAACTCTTATCAACCTCAGCATTATCATGTAACAATAACACATAAGAAATGAAGCATAATATTGGATTCGCGGCTAGGAATTCGCGTCCCACTGGGAATTCCAGTGATGTTGATGTTTCAGTTCCATCAACGTACCCTAAGGCCATAAGAAGTTTGTACTTGTACATGTATATGATACAATAATATCTCGATTGTATAAGGAGAAACAGGAGTGAATATTAATACATTTGCAACATGTCTGAGAAACGTCTTTCATTATATCAGGTTATAATTCAGATCATCAAATATTAAATTTCATGGGTTATTGAAATGATAAACCGGAGCCTATATCGATGTATAAGGTGTGATATGCTGTCTAACAGCTGTCAACATGTGCCCCGTTGCCGAGCAGGATCGCTTCAAGTAACGAGAATTGGACGAAAACTAAGGAACTAAAGCTAGGCACAAACGTTTTATTTGTAAATAGAAGACGAAAACAATCAGTGACTGGATATAGAGTACCCCATGGTGTAAACGATTTCCTAAACAGGAACTATTTCATGTGAGCTATGCGATACCTAAAGGTGTAATGGTCAAATCTGGACAAGGGTCTAATCCACGTGGGTAGTTTGTTCTCGCTCCTTTACTGACATAATCTTTGTCAAAAAATGTACGTATTATCAATTTGAATGATAAATTCTATATTTATTTCATTCATTCAGCTATACTTCATGATTTCATCGGTTAATTTATTCTTAGAGGGAGATATAGCAAGTTGTGACGCTTTTTGCATTTGCATGCATGTATGAATCGACGAGTAAAACTTTTTTGCTCTGAGCCTCTGGAAACCTTAGTTAAGGCAGATTTCCATTCAGTGCAAAATGTCGAGGGATCGACTTTTTGCGATCGCTTTCTCCTGAAATACAAACAGTCTAGACTAGCGGAACCAATCCATTAGGTGAGCTTGAATGAACACATTTCAAAAGAAAGCGATCGCAAACAATCGATCGCGCTACATTTTTGCACTGAATAGAAATCCGCCTTTATGAAGGTACTTGCATGCTGCAAATTCTTCGTTGCAACAGGTATATTACCCCAGTGCACGTGGCGTAGCCAGTGCACAATTTTATCCTGCTATGCTAATATTTTCGTGTTCGTTGACTTTGAAAGCAATGAATTTTTAAGGAAATAAAGAATGCATGATAACATAAAATTTGCATATAGCAGGACTAAATCGTCTGGCCGACAACACCACTGTTAATAAATAATTACTCCCATTGTGATTTAAGCTAAGTGCTTAGATTTGACCATAGTTTGACATTTCTGTAAAATCTCAAACTCTTGGCAAATGTTCCTTCTATTTGAAAGTCTGGGTCAGTAGGTCGACCATAAGGATACGGTTATAAACGTATAAACACATTTAGCTTCAAAATCATACAAAAAACGAATGACCTTGATGAACATGCATGCCCTCTTTAGAAATTTACCTGGTCGCCACGACTCCTCAATTATTGTAAAGTCATACATTAGTGATTAGTTTATGCAAGTTTCATTCAATATTTCAATATACCAGCCAGATGCATGCACTTAAATCCTAATCATCTTAATTAAGCGCCCTGTCAGTCTGCCAGTGGACGAGACTGAAAACTTCCGTCTTACGTCGTTAACTAGTTTCTTTGCCATCTGCTCAGTGTTGCAACCCCTGATAGTTAAATTTAGAAGAATTTTGGCTGTTGAGTAGTTTTGTTTAAAGAGCGAGGGAGACTTGAGACCAGATATTAACGTACCGAATGCTTGTAGAAATATGACAAATGGATGTCAAATGCTTGGTAACAAGACACCATGCATAAAATATATCATATTCCGAGTACATTCTTTACATGGTTTTAATGATTCCAGTAACAGACAGAGACAGGATCTTGTTGCACTTCTTCTGCGAAAATATATATGTGAATTTAGACTCGTGCAATCGCTACCGAGATACCATATGTTTTGGTATGTGCTCAGTTTTAAAGACAAGTAAACATTGATACAAATTTTCAATGGATTATTTAGGATTTATGTGAGGTCGGTATCAGCTCGTCTATGTGCGAATATATAGCATAATCCCGTGCAATCTTATCCTGTATGGTCAGTATTTAATCTAAATCTAAATTAGACCTGATTTATGGTCCATTCAACGAATTACTATAGTCAACAACTTCCACTGTTCGGCTGTTCCACATGTATGAACGTGACTCTCTTATCGCGAAACTATCATATCAAGTGAAAGAAGAATTCAAAAATGAACGAATTAATAACTCATCATACAACTTATGCTATCAGCTTAAGAATATAAACTCTAAAGTGTCAGATCGTGCATTATTTACTAATGTTTAATCTTTTTTGCTTTTAAATATAGAAGACAGACGTGGTGTTCGAAATGACGGAATCCATATTTTTGACGCTTCTTCTAGTGTTTCTTCTCAATATACACAATGGTAGGTCACTGTAATATAATGCATTGGAAAATTTTATTTATAAATAAAAGCAAACAAAAATTTCGCGTTCTGTTAGTCAATCAGCTGTTATAACTTTTTTCCCCTACTGATAGATGGTCATGTATCCTTCGCCATCCATGGAAGTACACTTGTCAGTATAACTATACTGTAGAGAGAAAACTCTACGTGCAAAAATGGACAATTTTATAGAATCCTCGGATTTTTTAGTTAACTTCTATCGGTTACCTACCTAAATGAAGTTAACTACATTTACTAGTATTTTACTGGAATAGAAGTTGACTGTTTGTTACGTATTTTACTAGTAGAAGATTACTATTATTTATCCACTTAAATGAAGTTAACTGTTATTTACGGTATCTGCCAAAGTGTAGTTAAGAGCTTGTTCAACCGGCCTCTGATTTACTAATGGTTTTCTTCTAATAATATTGAATACTCTGTAATTCTCACAGGAAACAGTGAACCTCGCTTTATCCAAGAACCAGAAGATTACTTTGGGTTTCAAGATAAATTCCAAAATCTTTATGCCGAGGTTGACGGGGCGGAATATCCGCGTTATCAATGGTATCAGAATGGTTCGAAAGTTTTAATGGTTCCGGGTACTAATTTTGGTGTCACTGATCCAAATTTAATGTTTTTCAAACGAAGCCTAGCAACTCAAGGAATCTATCAGTTATTCGTATCGTCAAATATGGGCAGGATTTTCGGACGCGAAATCAAAGTAGAGTTCACCAGTATGTTCCATGTTAATTTATATTGTTGACTGTTGTCTTTTTATATTGTTATAATACCAGCTGTTCACATGAGCTGTTACCCGATTATTATTTATTGTTATTATTTAATGGTTTATAAACATTTGGGATGCCTAACAAAGCTCTGGTCCCGTAGATTCAAAAATGCTCAGCGACAATGAATACGAAATTTTCGAGTAGCTTAATTGCTCCACCTTCTTCTATGCTGCCTTCTAATTCCCGGCCCCTTGAGAATTTAATAAACGTTTGCACATAATAATTCATTGTAATATTGTTCAGCTAAAATAATAAGTTGTATTACTTGTTTCGTCAGGGTTAGGGTATAGTATGTTATAAATGCATATGGAATTCCAGACCGTTGAGGTAGTTAGTGATACTATGGTTTTTTGCTATAGTTGTTGGTAAATTTTCTGATGAAACCGTGAGAACAGTAAATGTCGTGATTGGAAAGACGTTCCAGTTGGAGTGTCCTGCGCATACACTAACACAACGTGCCGTGTACAAGTGGGGAGGAAGTGGAAAAGTTGGCGGAACATGGTTTTTTAATGAAAGAAAAGATGTGTTGGTCCTCGAAGACGGAAGACTATTCTTTTCTCACGTGACAAGAGAAGATGTGGATAAAATTGAAGGACAAGACGGGATCAGCTGCTTACTAGAAGCAACCCAAGGGCGAGACATCAGATTCGACAAGTCTGCAGTTTTTAGGTTTAATATTACTGGAGGTACGTTGGACAAGATGACGAATTTCTATATTCAAAAATGAATGCATGTTGAATCTTTTCAAACTTGCATATCATTTTCGGGGGTCAATTCTTCTAGCCCTCGTATGTTATCAGTGTCCATGATGGACTCCATGTGATGGTACCCTGTTTACTGCGATGGTTTTCATGGCCTTAAATAAAGCATTTCCGTCTTTCATGTTCTTTTACATTATCATGTGAATCTTGTGTCTTACAGAAGAGACAACAGCATTTGGCCCAGTGTTGGAGAAAATTCCAAACAAGGAAGTAGTGGAAGGAGAAACTTTGCAATTGCGATGTATTGCCGCTGGATAGTAAGTATTAAAGTCGGCGTCTGATTTAGCATGGTCGGAGAACAACTAGAATTTTATGCCTCTATACACTGGATTTTTTGCTGATACTTTAAAGGGAAAGGGTTGTTATTACTAAAAGTTGGCTACGAGTAAAAAATTATGTACCAAAATGGCGACTTTAGGAAGGAATCGGATAGATCACTTCTAAACAAAATATGGTCATTTTCAAACTTAATACTATAACATTGCATTTGTAATTTTTTTTTTCTTCACTCTAGCCCAACACCGATCTACAAATGGAAAAAGAAAAATAACCTTGGCTTAACGACAGATGTGATCAACAATATCGACGGTGTTACATTATCTGAATTTAATAAATTTTTAGTCATTAAAAACACCATGAAAAGTCGCCATGCTGGGACCTACACTTGTGAGGCAACCATTGATGAAAATGGATATAAAAATATCTCCTCAACAAGTAGCAAAGTGACAATACGAGGTGGGTTAAACTATGAGCTCTCCTGGTAGTAAAACCATACGAGGTGGGGCGGGTGAAACTATAAGCTCACCTGCATGGTAGTAAAATAATGCGAGGTGGGTTGAACTAAGAGCTCTCCTGGTAGTAAAACCATACGAGGTGGGGTGGGTGAAACTATAAGCTCTCCTGCAGGTTAGTAAAATAATTCGAGGTGGGTGAAACAATAAGCTCTCCGTAGTAATAAATTTAGGTCAAACTATAATGTGTAAACCAAACGTTATAAACAAAATATCACATGGTCACAATCAGATTTTATTTTTGTCATTTTCAATTTTAAACGAATTTTTGAAATTATTTTTTTATGCCACAGAGAAACTTGAATGGGTGAAAGGTACACTCATTGAAAGTGCCAAACCAAATATCTCAACTGTACATAGATGGAAGTGCATGGCGAAAGGAGAGCCGGAGCCTGAGTACCACTGGTATTCAAATGCTACTATTATGCAAAATGAGAGGTAAGACAATCACCGCTAATGATAACGATAGAAGTCGACTTACTACTTTAAGTCTGACGTAACCACGGATGTAACGTAGTGGGGTATGCCTGTATTCACGTTGTAATAAAAGAAAGAACTACAAGTTAGATCACATATTATTATCATTTTTACACATTAGCAGTGCAGGATACCATATCCATCAACAACACGAACTGTCTGACTATAGAAACTGGCAGTTCCATTAATTAGTTCAATAGTTCATCACTACTTCCAGGAATTAAATACCAATTTTATACATTAAATTAGAAATTATAAGAAATTAACATTTCTAGCGGTCGTTACACCATCGAAGGAGGAATCCTGACATTTCACCGCGTATCACTCGAGGACAACGGAATGTATCAATGCGTGGCGAAGAATAAATTTGGTTTTCAGTATCAAACTGTTTCTATGGATGTTCAAGGTACAATTGCTGCAAAAGTAATCCTTTTATCAGTTTAATTCTTTGCTAATTCTATGCTGATTGTATGTGTATTATATAGCCAGGTCGACCATTACATCTGTATATTTCTCTTTAATTAGTCAAACCTCCCAAAATCACGGCACCACTTTCCCATCAGAATTTTGTGGTTGAAAATACTGGAATGATCTCGTGTGTATCCGATGCCTTGCCGCAAGCAAGTCATCATTGGCTGTTCAACGGAGTAAAAATAGAACCAAACAAGACCGCAAAGTACAAGTTGACTAAAGCACAAAATTTGCTCGTTCATAATTTGACCCAGAATGATACAGGAGCATACACCTGTGTCGCCATGAATATGTTTGGAAAAGACACGAAGGAAACATATATCAAAGTTGGTAGGTATTGATCTGATCCGCGCTGGAGACTGGGAAAGATTTGTAATGCAATGCAATAGAATATAAAGCAACATGGAATGTAAGGGAGTAAGGTAAAAATGGGACAGGATAAGATGGAATTAAAAAGGAAAAAGTAGGGAGAAATAAGTACGCAATGAAAAATAAAGGCTTCCACCAGAGTAAAATTATTCAAATAAAATACAGTGTCTACGAAGATAGAAAGCCAATTAAACCTCGTTAATTGTTTTATTTAATTTCTGTTTTAGCGGAAATAATGTTCAAAAGGCGTCCAGAAAACAACACGAATGTCGTTGAAGGAACAAGTTTCTCACTGGTCTGCGATGCTGATTCGGACCCACCATTAAACATTCGTTATAAATGGCTCTTCGAAGGAAAAGACCTTGTACTGAGCGACAAAAATCATATTACATGGGATCTTAATAGTCGCACTCTGACAGTTTCAAACGCACAGGTACCGCGGAAGAAAAATATTTTAGAGGTAAAAAACCTGTATGTATGTATTTCTTTACGACTTACAATTATGCCTTGTTCTTGTAGGCTCAGGAAAGTGGTGTTTACGAATGTATTGCGTATAGTGACACGTCCCAGAAAAGCTCAAGTGCTACAGTTATCGTTAGAGGTAAGAAGTGTTCATTTCTTCTCATCTCATGCCTGGTTATTAAAAATTAAAATTAAAACACTTTATAATTATATTCTTTCTAGCTCTGCCAAGGCCACCCGAAAACCTGAGATTGCATGGAAAGTGCACAGATCTAACCGCAAACCTTACCTGGTCCATCAGCTACAGGAGTTCCTACGAGCCACTCACGCGTATACTTATACAATGGCGAATTTCACGTGACACCAGCACGTGGTATAATTTTTCTGATCACGTGAAGGGAAGTGCAAATAGTTACGTGTTGAAAAATCTCAATCCTTATAGTGATATAGTGTTTCGTGTGATTGCTTTGAATGAACATGGAATGGGAAAGCCAAGTAATTCAACTAAAGGACAGGAGTGTAAAACACGAGCAGCAAGTGAGTGTGATTATGGTATGATACTGTATGGCAATTATGGTTTTATATGATGATTAACACAACCTTCCTCTTCCATAGAACCGTCAGTATGTCCACAAAATGTGACAGGAAATTCGAAAAATCCCCACGAGATTGATGTAACCTGGCAGGTAAAGTCTGCAAATATATTGTAAAATTCGGAATAATAGTAACGCAAAGGGTCATTGGGTTTGGTTTTAATGGAAAATTTAAAATGTCTTAAGAAATGCCACTGATCTTGAGTAAGAAACTCTGAGTAGCCTTACACGAATTATAGCGTCGTCTGCTATTAAATTATGGATTGGAATATTGGAATAAGGGATTTGAATTTGGCTGGGGTACACGATTCCGCGAATAAGAGTGTGGATTTACAGTTTTTGTTCCACCATCATTGTCACAAGAGTTCTTTATCAGTAACGCGCAGTTACGGATTCTTCGGTCCATTTCATGTTTTGAATAACATACAATAATTCACAAACACATTCTCAAGATAATCATTCGCTTTTTAGAGTGTTAAATCTCTTGACTACAACGGTCCAGGATTTGGCTACATCGTGCAGTACAGACAACTTGGATCGACAATATGGCTTAAGAAAAACATTTCTCAACATAGCGAACAGCGTTTTACCATTAGAAATACATCAGCCAATCAACTGTGGGAATTTGAAGTTAAGAGCAAGAATGATGAGGGTGTTGGACCCGACTGTTCCTCCGAGCAAGCGCGATCTGCCAAAGATGGTAATATCTCACTTAGAGAAATCGCCTCAGTTTAGGACAACCGGACAAGGATGTTTTCCTACATATTTTAAGCAACTTATGCTGTCACTTAACCGGACATGTTTGAGTTTATGGAAACCCCCCCCTTTTTGTTTCTGACCACAGTTGCACGTTTTATTGAAATTAGCTTTAATTTATTTTCATGCAGCCAAGATCACATTCACAGTACGACCATCAAACAAGACAGATGTTCGAAAAGGAAACCCATTTTCGTTGTCTTGCAAAGCTTACTCTAATCCACAATTACCTATGAACTACAAATGGTTTCACGATGGCAAGGATCTCGGTCAAAGTGGAAGTAATTTTACTGTTTCAAAATCTCGGGTAGGTTTCAAATAATTCAGTATTCTTAGTTGTTTCTTTATGTTCAAGTTTGTACAATTTCGCTTTTGACGTTCGTGTGACGACAGTGACGTGAAATTACAACGTTCCGATTTAGGCACGAATGTGTGATTGAAGAGTCAGCGAGTAGTTGTATTTTACCCTTTTCCGCGAACTTTATTGTATACTTTAAACGCACTGCAATATATTTATATTATCATTCTTAGCTTCTGGATAGTGGATTGTACGAATGCGTTGCCTATGTCAAGACATCCATGTATAGTGCGGAGAACCGTGCAAGTTCAACTGTTATTGTTCGAGGTGAGTGTTAACTATTCAATAATCGTCAACATCGCAGAATTACCTCCAGCCGCATTTTACAAGCGAACCTCAGCCAAACGAACTTCCAGCTTTTTATAAAACAGGGCTCGAAGTTCAAGGTTTCAGCTAAAGAACTTTTCTTTCGTGTTAAAAACTTTAACGTGAACTTTGAAAAGTGATGTTCTACTTTTCTGTCTGTTATTTCAGGTCTACCTGATGAACCAGGCGATGTAATTCTTAATGGTAACTGCTTAAACTTCACTGCAAACCTAACATGGACAATATACAGAAGATCCTACCAACAATTAACAAACATATCGATACAATGGAGCTTGTCCCATGACACAAGTACTTGGTATGACGTCAGTGATCACGTGAAAGGCAGTGCAAATGGTCACGTGGTACGTGGACTGAACCCCTACAGTAGTCTTGTGTTTCGAGTTATTGCTGTGAACGAATACGGACAGAGTAAACCAAGGCTCATAACATTAGGACAAGAGTGCAAGACCCCAGAAGCAAGTGAGTATATATCGAAATGTTGTCATGCATGAGATCTGGTAATACTTTACGTAATATGATATTGCATGACACATAAAAATTAAAAAGGTATTAATTAAGAAAATTTTTTTAATCTTCTAAGATAAAAACTAAGCATAAAATTTCATATCACGTTGAGAAAAATGATTATAAAATTTGCATCGTAGAGAAAAAAGTGCCATTATTTCCCTGAATATTATTTACCTCCATTCAATGAATACGTAATTTTTCATTTTATAGAGCCCACAGTGTGCCCGACTAATGTTGAAGGATCAGCTGATAAACCCGAAAGCATTGTAATTACGTGGAAGGTACGGTAGTAACCGACACTCCTGGTCATAGTAGAGTAGCCAGAATCCATCGGATGCAACATTGACCTTCGCAATTTAAATCCGTTCTAGGACAGTGTTTTAAAATTGATTGTGTAATTTCATCTATGTTCCAGGCAGTTTCAAAGCTGCACCAAAATGGACCTGAGTTTGGATACATTGTCAGCTACAGGAAACCCGGATCCCAATGGCAACATAGGGAGGTCAATGGAACAGAAAGATTTACGATATCGAATGCCGGCGTGTATCAATTGTGGCAATTCAAAGTTGAAAGTAAAAATGCACAAGGGAAAGGACCAGAGTGTGCAATAAAAGAAACTCGGACAATCATAGAGAGTATGTAATATATCATCATAATAAAGGATTAGACTATGAAGTAATAACTGTCACTCGCCTAAAACTGTTTTCCTGTTCACATGCCAGTATAGAAATTTATACTTTTCTTTGTAGAACCAAAATCGGCCCCACAATCATTCGGATATAAGGATGTTGGACCCGACTATGTCGTACTTGAATGGACACCTGTGGATGCTTTAGGAATTAAAGGGTATCAGGTAGGATAAGTCGATAAGATCTGATAGAAAAAACGTTTATTAACGCTTATTAATAGGCATGAATTACCATCATACACTGTTGTATATTTTTTTAAAAAAAGCGTCGATCTCGACTCTCGAGACCTGTAACATGCACATAAGTAAATGTAGATTGAAAGTGGAAAGGAATAATATAATTTTTATGCCATGTCAACAGTGTACAATCTGTTTCAGTGTCTAGGACTGAATGCTCATATGATGACATATTTTCCTTACAGATCAGTTACTGGCATAAGAGCACCATAAAAACCAGAGTTCGACGTAATAATCCCACCTGTACTGATGAAAATAAGCCTTGCACGACCCGAATTTCAAACATTACGACACGTGAATATACACTGGGAAACCTTACGTCATATACAAGCTACACGATGTACTTGCAAGCTTACAATAGAGCGGGATTGGGGCCGAAAAGTAATATCCTCAACCTTAACACAAAGGAAGGCAAGCCCGGAGCTCCTGATAAAGTCAGAGTTACGTCCTATGGACGTTACCTCAATATGACCTGGAAACCACCAATCGAACCAAACGGTGTTATAACTGGTTATATACTCAAAGTTACCAATGGTACGAATGTCACGGTTAGTTACTACACAACGTGGTATTTATTCGAAGATCTGGAGCCTTTAAAGGATTATGTTGTAAGAATTAACGCCAAGAACTCAGCTGGAGTGGGAAGCACAGTGTCAAAGGAAGTGACAACAACAGAAGTGAGAGGTAAACAACATTTCAGTGCCTAATAAGAAAATAATATACTTGTATTACAGAAAACCCTCAAAGCGCTGAAGTTATTAAGTAAGCTGTAAGCCCCTTTTTATATGTGTTCTTCAAACAGTAAGCTGCTCATGTATGGGAGTACGCTATCTGCCCTACTATTGTACAATTATTTAACTCAGAGGTAACGGGAGATCGCTAAATATTTTGGGAATGACCGAATATCACACTATAGCGCATGCCTCGTTGTACTGTATTATTTTCCCGGCCAATGCTGGTCTGTGATTGATATATATATATATAGCGCATGCCTCGTTGTACTGTATTATTTTCCCGGCCAATGCTGGTCTGTGATTGATATATATATATATATAATTATATATATATATATATATATATATATATATATATATATATATATGCCTAATTTAGTTCCAGCGGTTGCAAGGAGACCAGATGTTCATGGTTTGGACGCAGAAAGTGTTAATGTAACGTATAGACCTGGCAGTACGTCTAAGACTAGTGGTTTTCCTGAGAAATTTTACGTTGTGTATAAAGAAAAAGGTAAAATTTGCTTTCTTGAATCGCTGTAGAATAGTTCACTGATTTTTATATAACAAACTGCATGATCTCCAGGGCCGTGCCGATTTAAATTGTTGATTTGGGTTTGATAAAACTTTTTATCCCTTTTGACGATTTATTGACTTCTTGGGCCCTCAATTTATGGGTAAGACACACAATGGCCCCCCAGCTCCCCCCCCCCCCCTTGGGGAACTGAACTCTGAGAGCCGTAAAGTTGTGCCGGGAGCTGGCAAAAACGGAGGGGAAAAAAATTATTTTCTTTATAAAACTAAAGTTATTGACAAATTTCGGGACCCCAGGCATTTAGCTTTCATTTTTTTAGATAAGCTCTTTGTTAAGCTTTAATTATAGTTTAAATAGCCTCCAATTCGAGATAACTGGATAGATTAACTAACTAGATAACTAGAAAGATACATTTCCTGATTAGCACCATTCAGTTCCTATAAGTTATATGCCGTACTCCCTTTGCAAGGTGAAGATGATGAGATGTTAGAAGCAACAAATTCGACATTGATAAAAAGAAATGGGGAGAAGTCCTTTATCATTGTTAGCGGATTAGACAACCACAAAACTTACATGTTCGCCACGATTGTTATGAACGGTGATAAGAAAAGCGATAAAAGTGACTTCACTGAAGGACGCGCCATCTTAAATGAAGGTTTGTTGTTTCATTTATTTATTCTTAGCGAGGAAATCGTTTAATTGCGTTAAGCAGTGGCAGATTACCAGCTTGAGGTTTTTGCGGTTAACCAGCCCATGCGAGTTTCATGCTAATTAGTTGCTGCTTCTTGGAAACCCGCTTTTTTATCTTACAACAGTGACAGTTTTTGTTTTAAAAACTAGCTGATTCTACGTACAACTAAACGTGGCACTAGAAAAAGCTCAACATCGACGACCACAATTTTTGAGTCTTACGCCTAAATCACATAAGCTATATAAATCTAAGCTAGTTCAATCCAGGGCGCTTATATAGTATATAAGTGCCCTGGATCAATCTTACTCGGGATTCATGCAAATTCAGATTAATTTGATTCTATAATTTAGATCTTTCTGAGACCTGCATGCATGAGTATATTGTATTAGCTAATTCTAGTTATAGCTATTCTAGTTATGCAACACAAATGCACATCTATATCAATATTATAATCTTTCTCTCCCCTAGGAGTATCAGAAAGCACACCCATATATCGCGAACTTTGGTTCTTTATAATTCTCGGAATTATTTTGCTTCTTCTTCTTATTCTTCTACTCGTGTTGTTCATTCGAAGAAAACCTAAACGGACGTACAAAGGTTGGTATATGTTTTTTCAGTTCTGGTTGGATTAAAAGAGTTTGTAACATTACGCATGGCCTGCAATCTTAGCGAAAAGGTTATGTGAAGACGTGCGCTTTAACAGTTTTTCACAGTTTGCGGCAACCTCTGCCCTGTGCTAACGTCCAGCCCCTCTTCCAATTGAAATGTTTTAATATCTAAAATTTTAACTATTAATTGTCGCGATGCCGTGAAGCCCTGCAACCATTGTACATCGATTAAAGCCCAACAATGAATTGGGGGAAAGAGGAGTTTTCTAATAATAGTCTTAGGTACAGGTTTACAGGTTTTGGTATTGGCCATGGTTTGGTTTTGGCCATGAAAAATTCTTTAAATTACATCGTTGCCGGTTATGGCATGTAGTCGCTTTGACCCCCATCAAGTGCGTAAGCCGTATTTAGTAACAGATGAGCTATAGATATATCCATCTCATCTGTGACTTCATTAACATAAAAATATCCTCTCTCTTGAATTTAGCTTTATATAGTCGAACAATGAATTTGTCATGTTCATTTTTGTGTACTCTTTTGTTTCTCACAGTGGGTGAAAGGGAGAAAAGAAAGGCAGTAGATGGTTCAGCAATTGAGATGGGTGAAGAACATCCTTTGAAAGACGCTGAAGTGTAAGGCCTGTTTCAAACGTCGTGCTTCTCGTGTGCCGAATACGTGAATAATGATGGGTGTATCTCAATTGATAAACTATTGTTTTCAATGCGTTCGGTGCATCAGAAAGACGACGTTTAAAACAGGCCTAAGGCTAAGTCAGCCTGTTTAACACAAATAACTCGTCTTCATCAAATACTCACACTACGAATTACAAATTGACTTGCAAAAACTGTGAAGCTGTAAACAAGCTGTAAATTGTAAAGCTGTTGATCTTCATCGCTTGAAATTTCACACAAAATATTATGGCATTAATAACATAAGTGTTCCTTTCCTAAGTGCACGTCCGTAATATAGACAGAGACCAGAAAAAATTCTTAGAGAAGTTCTTAGAAACTTCTTAAATTCTTAGAAAATTCTTAGAAACTAACAGGTAGTATATCCCTTTAAATATAGAACCCAAGACGAACCACAAGGTAAAACATATGATCCTATTCAAATGACAAATGATGTCCCAGATGTAGCAACTTCCCCTCCTACAAGCAATGGTGTCAGCAGGGAAAGAGACAGTTTAGACGAATACGAAGGCTCAGATGATGATTTTTCTGAACATGGTTCATTTATTGGTCAGTATGGAGACGGAGAAAAACGATCTGACGCTTTGCAGTCATCATTTCCTGCTCATGTGTAAGAAAATACGAACTCGGTGCAAAATGTGGTGAAGCATGATTTGTCTGCAATGAAAACAATAGATTGCATGATTTATAATCTGGTTTAGGAAAATTAAGTGTTATAAAATGGCTAGAAAATTACGATTATTCATTGATTTGCGGAGAAAATATTGCTTTGCCCTCCCTTTTATCCATACATGAAAAGCCGATTTGTAATAATAGATAAAAGATATTGTTACTCATAATCAGTGAGCCTTTGTCTTTGATGCATGAGGCTGCCTTCTTGCTTCTACCACTTTTTTTTCATATGTAAATAGCTTGGAGACCATAAGGTTTAACACCATTTAGATTTTTGTGGTCAGTTGTAAATTGTGAAAAACTTTTTAGTCTTGTCTACGGTAGATTTCATGATAAGATGTCAACAAGTTTTAACATAAAGTATTATTCATAAATTTGTTATCACTAACATTATAATTAGGAACATTGCGGATATTACGCTAGTTTTTAGTATCTTTTTGCCTCATGCCTAGTAGTTACAATTTTTGGGTATTTGTTTTAAATATATTGTAGGACGTAGGTAAAAGGTAGATATTATTGAGTGATCTCTTTATAAATATTATTATAACTGTAGAAAATTATAAATTGTAAAACTTGTTAATATACAAACTAAATCCACAGTTAATACTAAATTTAGAGTAAAGTGGTATATTCTGAGCTAGCTTTTTCTATGGTTATGCAGTGTGTGTCAGATGAGACCAGACAAAGCTCCATTTCCGCCAATTTATTGAATTGAATCGAATAGAATCGAATAGAACTGATAGGATTTCAAATGATTCAAATTGAAGTGACTTCGATTGGAATAATATCAAATTGAATTGATTCAAAACAGCTGGAGGCTGCCGTTTGACAAGGCAGTCAAAACCTATTCACCTATACCCCAAACGCGAACGATTTTGAAACTCCCCGCCATACTGGACAGAAGAGTCTAGCAGTTAAAATCATCCTCCAACAGCGGAAAAATCGACGGAAAATAATTATCAAACCTTGGATCATGTCACAAATATAATTTCTAGGCGGCGTGAGGTGATATATTTTACTAATAAAAAAGAAGCTCAACATATGTACAGACGTGAATTTTAGCCGTGAAAACACATTTAGTTGGAAGTTGCAATTTCGCTACTACTTTTAAAGTATGTTATTTACGTGTGTTATCATCGTATGTTGCTAGTAGCAATTAATGCTTCAAAACAACGTTCTAATTTGCATGGAAATTTTTAAAATTTGACGTCCAATTTGGATTTTAAGCACGTAAAAATGTCCGTATAAATCTCGTAAAAGTTTCAATGATGCAACAAGGCTTGAGTTGTTCGCGTTACGAGGCAGCTGGGAGAGACGCCATTACGCCTTTTGTGTGTTCAACGTTCAAAGATTTTGCTAAAGAGAGAGATTATTTGGCTGATGTTGTATTTCGACGATTGCAAGGTTGACACATGTCGTGTTTATTTAACTTAAAATCCATACATGTTTGAGCTGTAGTGATTATGTCATAACTTAAATATATATTCCATTGCCAATGGAACGTTGATAAAGACTATGAATAAACGTTCAAGACCATCTGCATAGGTTTTCCTGATGAAAGTCGGGAAGCAGTATAGCTCTTGAATGCTAAAGGTCTTTGGTCGAATTAAACCGCTCGCCTGTTATTATCAAATAAACTAAAGAATTCAATCAATCTGATTTAATGAACATGAAATAAGTAAAAAATACTGCTAGCTTGAAGGAAAGCAGAAATAGTCATTCACAAAATATTTTTGCAGTTTTTTAAGCCGAACGGTATCCCTGTCCTAAACTTAAATAAATATAGTTCAGCTGGATATATTGCCTGTTTGAAATTGATTTACCACCATGAACCCAATTTATCACTATTTTAAAAACCAGGATGCTACCATCCTTTAACCCCCCCCCTGCTTAGCTTGCTGATTCCCCTTTGTCATGTTCATGTGATTGTGTTAAATTCATCTTCCCAGGAAACTCAAATAATCATATCACCATAACCATATATATATATTTATATATATATATATATATATATATATATATATATATATATATATATATATATATATACACATATATATATATATATATATATATATACACCCGTTTGCAAAAACGTTGGCCGCAGATAGATAGATAGATAGATACTCTAAGTCTAATTAGAATTGCATATGATTACATTTGCATGGGATTTCAATCATATTACACAACATATGCAATTCTAATTGGATATCGGGTATCTATCTATATATCTATCTGCGGCCAACGTTTTTGCAAACGGGTGTATATATATATATATATATATATATATATTATATATATATAATATAGATATTATATATATATTATATATATATATATATATATATATATATATATTTCTACCAGAGAATTGTGAAGGACGAGGAACTCAATTCCTGCCAGTAGACTTAAGATGGAATGAAGAATCCATTAACAGCAGTCACTCAAATGTTTTACAACAATGCCTTGATGCTATCAAGGAGTGTTCCCCATTTTTCATTTGTCTTTTGGGGGAGCGATATGGTATACATCGTCCACCAGATGCAGTGTCAAATTCTGATGAGAATTTCCAGGGAACAATGGAATGGTTGGATAAGAATTTTGAGACAGCTGCATCTGCTGGGAATGAATGGGTTCTGGACAAGGAAAATAGGCAAGTGAATAGAAGTGATGTATTTTGCATCATTCCTTAAGTTGGCTCACTGTTTGCCTGTTTAGTTGGTTTGTCAGTCAGTGAGTCAGCAAGATGTTAAGCAGGATAGCTGGTCTGTCTGTCAGCCATTTGATTGATCAAGTCAAAGAATGATTTTCACCTGCCCATAAACTATAGTGTGCTTTGTTTCATCTTTTCAGACATTGCAGCCTAACAGAACTTGAGATAATCAAAGCATCATTTCGTGAGCGAACAGATCATGGTTATTTTTACTTTCGTGACCCCACCCATCTTCAGGAACAGAGTGCTGACTTGAATGTCTCACAAAAAGCTATGTTGATGGAAACTTATGAAAGTGAAAGCGAGTTTGCCGCAAGAAAAATTAAGGACCTTAAACAGCAGATCATTGATACAGGTTAGATATGATTATGGCCTTAATGTGCACAACTTCTGATCAGGGCATGCAGATTAGTACTATGTTGCATGTTGTTCAATTCCATGAAAATTGTATTCTCCTAAACGTTTTTTCTAACACCGTACATAATATTCGGTTATTTAATTGACATGTTCATTTCTCTTTATTATTGTTACTTTAGAACTTCCAGTCAAACATTTTAAGACGGTAGAAGAACTTGGTCAGTTGGTATTAAAAGACTGGTTACTGGTTGTGGACTCGCTTTACCCGCCAATAGAGAAGAAAATTTTCACCTCAGTATGGCACGCAGCTTTTCGCGAATGGTCTGAGCACGAATCGTTTGCAAAGACACGTCGGACAGTTTTCGTTAAAACTGACTTTATTCGTATGACATTAGATACACTTACGAGACATGCGCAGTACCCTTCTCGCGGGCTTAGCGGCAGGGAGTCTAGTAGTTCGCTGACAAAGATTAACGAGGGCACATTCCTCACCAGCGTTTTAGGGATGGAGACCTTCCCATCAATCGTAGCGATTGTTGGTAAGTCAAAAAAATTTCGTTTTACTGTAGCCCCGTTTACACTACCTACTAGTGGGTACCCGTGCCCATTTCATCTGTACCCGGCCTTTGTTTTGCTAACCTGTACACTAATATAATTGGGCACGGGTACCCATTTTAGCCGTACCCTGCGAATAAGTTGAGTGTAGGGTAAACGGAGCTTTTCCCAACTTAAAAGACTGGCTGGATGCAAAGAAATTAGTTTACTTTATCCAACTAGTTCAATCCATACGGTTGTCCTTTCAAAACTAAGATCATGCAGATAAGGTTCAATGTTGTGGCAGCTAGCTTTGTTGAATTAGCTGTATAGACATAATTATCGATATCAATTTTCAAAGAAGGAAACCATCACTTTTTTGGAGGTTTTCAGTGCAAGAGAATCGGGACCGACGAGTGTCAATTTTATAGCTTGCGACTAGCCGGCGGTTTTGGGTTTGTAGACGATGACGTTAAAACCATGAAATTTAACAAGAGCAGTTCCAAACGTGAACAACCTAATTTTCATTCGTCTGCGCCTAAACGTAACGTCTGTGGGCCGTTTCAAACTGACGCCGTTTCAAGCTTTCAGCATCTTCAAACAAACCCCAACCAGAGCAAAGACCACCCCTTGCCTATAGCCTGCGACTACGTTCCGTAGCTATACTAATTTCTCCGCTCGTGTAATGATCAAAAGTTTCAAAGTTAACCATGCGCCAATAGCACCATTTCTTGATTTTCTTCTGATTCTGTAACACGTGGAATCCACGAATATGTACTGTAGTTCCCCCTCCCCACTTAATAGGTAATATTTCTCTATTAGATATTTGTATATCGAAACCTTTTATTGTTCCAGGCGAAAGGGGTTGTGGTGCGTCAGCTATTTTGTCCAATTGGGTAAAATCGTTTACTCGTGACCATCCCCAAATAACGGTCATTTCACACTACGCTGAGAGTGGACAGCGGTCAGCAGAAATAACATCGTTCATGAAACGATGCACATCAGAACTGCGCTCAGTGTATCGTGGACGAAATCCTATTATTCAGCTTGATTTTTTGGACCTGATCGATTTTAATACGATCACGGAGGCATTTCAGGCGTCGTTGTCTTTGGGACCTTGTGTCGTAGTCTTGGATGGTTTGTGTCACATGACGGCCAGTCAAGACATCCCTGCACATGTCGTTAAGCAATTGTCCTGGCTACCTGCTAATATTCCACCTTCATGTCGGGTTGTGCTCTCGACAACCCTTTCAGATATAAGCTATAAATACTTATCCACTCGTGATGACGTACACCTTATTAATATCCCATCGTTAAATGCCAAGGACAAGTTACGTGTTCTCCACGAGTATTTAAATGACCACGTGCGGTATCTCGACCCTCGAGACCAAGAGACAATCATCGCGGGAAAGTTGAGTGGGTTTCCCGTATACCACGCAGTATTGGCTAACCAGATCCGGCTGCATGGCAAATCGGGAATTGCAGAGAAACACCTTGAGATGTACACACGCGCACGCTCCTTGTCAGATTTCTGGACAGCGGTTATACACACTTGGTCGCAGGACTACAGCTGGCTTAAACCGAGCTCAGTAAAAAACGGAGTTCCAGTTAAGACACATGTTTCAAAAGATCGGTTCAACAATGGTTGGATACCGGATACACTCCGCCTTATCGCTGTATCCCGAGAAGGTAAGATGGATTTCATTTTAGTCGTAATGATCAGATAGAACTGTGATGTTAATAGAGTTGTGGTTGCATGTGTGAGGTCCATAACTCTTAAAATGTCCTTCTAGAATTGAATTTATTTGCTTCAAAAAACTGAAAATTTGCGTTGCGTTGGAGAATCTCGTACAGTCACTGTGCGTGTGGGCCTTTAGACTCCAAAAATCTACCTCTTCCTATCAAATAATGACCAGCTTGAATCTGAGTTGCAATTTTAATATGATCTACCTATAAGAACTGTCGTTTAGGTCTGACTTCCACTGAACTCAAGACGATCCTCCGTGCGTTCGGATACGCTAAGAATCACGCCATCTCACCAGCAGCCTGGGCTCAATTCATCTCCGCGACAAAGTGTGCTATCTACGTCAGAAATGATGGGCTGTTGAACTTCCATCAGGCAAGCCTTCGAGAGGCTATCGATGTTCTGCTTCTCAATGGTTTAACCGCACCTTCCCGCGTCAGGCATGTGACAAAGTTTGAGAATCCATGGGAAGTTCAGAAATCTCAATTTCATTGCGTGCTCACCAAAGGTCTCTCCAAGTTCCCATGCGACTCGCGACTTGTCAACGAGTTACCATGGCAACTTAAAGCAGCTGGCGACGTCAGCAGTTTGAAGGCAATCCTTGCTAGGAGTGACGTGTTTGTCAAAATGTGGTCAAATTTGAATGATTTAAGAAATGTTGTCGATTTCTTAAACTACTGGAAAATTTTATCCCAAGACGGCTGTGATATGGTTGACACGTATTGTAACATGGTGGATGAGCTCGAGGAAGCTTCAAAGAAGCCTGGAAGCATAGCTAGTGAGCAAGTCATCACGCATTATACTCTTGACGTCGACAACACCACGCTCTCGGAAAGTCATGGGATTGCAGAAACTATTTTGCGCAAGAAACGCGGATCAAAATATACTGCAATCGAAGTGGCTTATGTTGCCTATTTGGTCGGAATCTATTTTCTTGGCCTGCAAAAGTATGAGCCCGCCAAACTTATGTTGCAACGTGCGCTAAAGTTATCACGTGATGCGACGTCAATTGACGACGTGGATTTCCTGTGTCAAGTATATAAGAGTCTTGGAGATTTATATTATAACTGGGGATTACTAGGAAAGGCTGTTGATTATTATGAAGATCTACTAAAGACAGCCTCAGGTGTGTCAAGATACGTAAATATAAATGAGGTGGGCATATACGCTGTTTTCCATTAGGTCAGAGAAGGTTCACAAACCGTATGAGATTTGTTCTTAAAATAGTTTCTATCACAAACTCACTAAGCATATTAACTTATACAAACTGAACCTTGTGTATTTTACAATTTTTGGGCAGATGGAGTTTTTGGCAATCCAGGCACATGCCAGATACCGCTTAGCGGCCATATCAATCCGTAAGACGCTTGATTCTAATGGATTTTCAAACGGCGCCACAAGTAACGTTGAAAGCAGTGGAAAACAGAAAGAGAACTCGCTAGTTTTAGTTCCTCGGACGGATGAACAACTAAATGAGGCGTCCAGGTTGATGGATATTACTAAATTAGAAGGTGTGTCATTTTATGTGTATTTAAAGTATTCTGGTGATTTTTCCCTGATGCTCAGAACAGAAGAGCATGCTTAAAAATAGTAACTAAATACAAATCCATGAAAGGTGCTCGTTGACTGCCATCGTATTAAATGCAGTAATTTATAAAACAGTGTGCATAGCTCCACATTGCTCTTTGCGGTGCATCGTTGTCCTCAAGACCATTTTTGCGGTAGTTAACGTTAGAAATTAAGTGAGAATGCATTCTTCTCACTTACAATGGAATAAAAAATATCGCGGGAAACATCTGGTATACGTATGCAGTTTATTCTGGGTTACCAAGACTTCAAAGGTCGCTCATTTCATATAATATTCTTCTCTTTAGCAAAAGGTCCACTGTACCAGACAATGGCTCTATTGGCAGTCTGCGATAAACGCCTGGATGAAGCAGAGTTACTCCTTAACAAAGCAGTTGACATGGCGGAGAAATGGTATGGTCCATCACACCCTGCGGTTGCAACCGTTCTCCAAGATATGGCTAGGTTCCAGTCCTACCGTGGAAATGAGGAACGCGACGTTACGGATATTGAAAAGCTGTACAGACGAGTGTTAGATATTCGAGAAAAGAAGCTAGGGAAGTCACATTTAGATGTCGCCGAAACATTGCTGGAATTGGGTATGTCTAGCATACTGCACAAATGGGATGATCGTTGCTATAATGTATCCTCTAATTCCAGGCTAATCCATATCTCTGTAGGCTGTATTTTACGGAAGAAAGGAACACGAGATGGTACAAAGGAGTGTAGGGACTTGCTACAAAGGTCTGTTGATATTAGGACAGAGAAATTGGGAATGTACCATGAACGGACAATAGAGGTGAGAAAGACACTCGTGCAGTTAGAGTAGATAGTTTCCAGAGACTCTTGACAAGTGTCGGCATGGATATTTCTATTTTTTCTTCGGAAAGGTCAGTAATTTCAACGTCGATCCTTAGTAGCCATACCGAAAGCATTGCTTTTAAAAGTAATTACGATAAACTGTATTGAAGTCCAGACAGCACCATAACTTTCTTAGAATATTTGTTTCATTTATGAATTTTTTATTACAAATTTGTAACACCAAATTTAGTTATGAACAAACATTTGGGTGAATGGAAATTTATCTGCCTAGCAAAGAAAGGTTTCCTTAAAATACAACATTCTTCCACCTGATTCATACCAATATAGAGCAAAGTCGAATTTGTGGATTTGTACTTGTATGGACAGGCTTCAGAAATGATTCACAAAACTGCGCAATCTTGTCACTAAATACCGCAGCATAGAAGTAACGCTTCATGGAATTTTTCGTGTTCACGTCGCGCGGTCGCGATCACGTCGACAGGATAACGTCCTGAAAATAATTTAAATATTTTTATGTCTTTATATTCGGTGCTTAAATCCTAACGTCCACGCGTTGTTGGTGTGCTTTACAATTCAGTCCTTGGTTCGGCAGGAACAGCCTAAAATTTAAAAGAATCAATTCAATGAGAAGATTTTCGAAAAGGAGGAAAGACGTTATATTACAGACGTAGGGAATTACTGACGGCATGTCCATAACCTGAGTACATTCATTTCGAATTACCTCATCTACGGTTTCATCCTCAGTGGTGCTTCCGTCTTCTTTTTGTTCTGTTTCTGCCTGTGCATCCACTTTTTCTTCATCTTCTTTTACTTCTTCCTTTGCTTCTTCAGCTTCCTCTTCACTTTCACCATCTGCCTCCTCTGGTTCTGCTTCCTCTGCTTCCCCTTCTTTTTCCTTATCTTCCTCTTCCTCTTCTTCAACTTCTGGTTTTGCATCCGGGTCCATCTGCATGCTCAATTTGAGCATGCGCTCTATGCGCGAGGCAAAATCTGAAGAATCCTAAAATGGCATTGAAACAAACGGTAAGTTTTGCCGTTTAACATTTACATTTAGAGTTCCGTAGAAACCGAAATGCAAAAACAAGCATCTACAATGAAGGTTCTTACCTTAAGTTGATAGCCAGATCGCATATTAGCAGTTTCGAACAACAATCGTGACAAGTCTTTAGCTGACTGGTCTGCAGAGTCCTTCTCAACCAAGTCCAGCAGTTTCTTGATCAATGGATGACGAGGGTTAACTTCCAATGTCTTTCTTTTGATTAGCATAATAACTGAAAACAGAAAATCAATTTGTTTCAATCTCTGAGGAATCTGAGATCTACCAGCTGAAAGGTTATTTCCCTAAAGCAGTAGGTGTTCAAACATTGATAGGAAATACAGTACTCGTACTCTTCTACTCTTTCTAGGAGATTAAATGTATACTGTTTCTGTGTACATAGATTTCATAAGAAAACCAAGATGAAAGATACACCACAATACACCACCGTATTCCTAATTGGTAGAAAGGTACAGTCTAAACTTACTCTTGACTAGGATCCTTGGCCTTGGCATAAGCCTGAGATCTCATGATACGCTCCATGTTACCAGACCATCCATAACTGCTGGCTACTAAAGCCATAGGAGAATCAGTCAAGCGTTGTGACAGAGTGGCCTTCTCGATCTGGTCTTTCAATCCATCGTCCTTCAACCATTTCAGGAGTGGTTCGTACGTCTTCTCTAATTCCTCGAATTTCTTTTTGGCCTTCTCCGATTGTTCAATATTTAGACCTTCCTTTGCCACATTCTGGAACTTTTTGCCTTCGAACTCAGGAAGACTTTGTATGCAGTATTCATCGACCGGTTCCACAAGGTACAGCACTTCATAGCCCTTTCTCAAAAGACGTTCAACGAAAGGTGATTTCTCAACCTAATTAAAAAATTTTAAGAAAACAATTAGTAATAATCGACTCCTGCTTTCTTGGATGTAAAGAAAACTGTTAGCAAAGCTTTGCGGGTTAACGACATCACAAGGCGATTTCATCATTCAATGTTCTTCCGTGTGGCTAAGGCAAAGGCGCTATTGTGTGGACATCTTTGCAGTACCTCATCTCTTGAGCTTCCCGCCATGAAATAGATCACGTCTTGTTTCTCCTTCATTCGCTCAACATACTCAGGTAAACTTGTGTAGTCACTCTTGTTGTTAGAACTCTGGAAACGAAGCAACTTTGCCAAGCGTGTGCGGTTGGAATGATCTTCAATGACACCCAGCTTGATGCTGAAATTAAGAAAGGCACCCGATTAAATGAAAATCAGAAACGAGGATAATGCCGAATGCCATGACAAGCATAGTAGATGGCAGAGAAAGAGATGGGAGCAAGATCGGACAAGAAGCAATCACTGATATAAAACTTTGGATGGAGTGAAACAAGACGGAGATTGAAGTCCACAAAGTAAGTACAAGAAAGATAATGATGGACAACGAGTCTCAAAAATTGAACAACCGTAAGATGTAAATACCACATCAGGCTTTTTTTACATCACTTACTTAGTACTGTATTCCTTCCAGAACTTCTCAATGTAGTCTTCCTTTGCGATTTTCTTGAACATATCCAGAACCTTTCTCACCAACTTTTTGCGGATAACTTTCAACAGTTTGTGTTGTTGAAGAGTTTCGCGAGAAACGTTCAACGGGAGATCGTCGGAATCAACAACGCCTTTGACAAATCCTAGATATTTTGGCATCATTTCTTGGAAATCGTCAGTGATGAATACACGTCTTACATACAGCTTGATGTGGTCTGTATGCTTTCCATAGTCATTAAACATAGAGCCAGGAGATGTCTTTGGTACAAAGAGAATGGAACGGAATGTGACTTCACCCTCAGCAACAAAGTGGACCTTTGCCAGTGGATCATCACTATCCTGCAATGTTTAAGAAACATTAAAGTATGTACAAACAATTGTCGGAAATGACGAAGTAATAAGAATACATTAAAGCCCAGCTTACCTTGCTGAAAGATTTATAGAAGTTATTGTAATCCTCATCATTCACTTCTTTGGGTTTACGCAACCAGATTGGTTTGGTATCATTCATTAGTTCCCAGTCCCAAATGGTCTTCTCAACCTGCAGTGGAGAACTGGGAATTAGTTCAAATGGCAATTTCTGTATCAAAGCCGAGCAAAGCTTATTTAGCTATGTGCAACTTGTAGGGCCAATCTTGCAAACAAAATTACAATAGTGACAATAACATGTAGGTCATCTTTCCACATACTTTCTTTGTTTTTGGTTTCTTGTCTTTCTCTTCCTCAGCATCTTCAACTTCCACATCTTCATCCTCTTTTTTTTCTTCATCTTTTTTATCCTCATCCTTCTCATCTTCTTTCTTCTCCTCATCTTTCTTTTCTTCCTCACTTTCATCTTTCTTCTCTGGCTCAGCTTCTTCTTCAATGGGCTCCTCAACTGTCTCAGTCTTACTGGTCCAAAGGTAAATGTTGAAGTTGATAAATTGACTGTACTTCCTCACCAAGTCTTTGATTGTTTCTGGTTCAAGGAAATCTCGAGCTTCTTCCTTCAAGTGCAGGCTGAAATTAGAGTTATACATTTTATAAGTTTGATCATTACTCCTCTTATTCTGTACCAAACCATTTCGCTCTGTATAGCAAGGTGCTCAAAATTTTACCTCTCTTAAACATTTACCTTTCATTTCTTTGTACCAAAGAAAACAATGGAACATAGTTTACCTGATTGTAGTACCTCTCTTGAGGGTGTCACCACGAGGATCTTCAGTCACGCTGAATGACACAGCATCTGATTCCCAGACATATTGTTTATCATCATTATGTTTGCTTGTCACAATCACACGGTCAGCAACAAGGAAGGAGGAGTAAAATCCAACACCAAACTGGCCAATCAGATCACTTGATCTAACACTGTCATCTTGGGAGTCCTATAAAACAGGTTAAGATTTTTTTAAATGTGAACTTCAAGTACGGCCTCATTACATAAGCAGGAAACAAACCTGTAACTTAGACAAAAATTCGCTTGTCCCAGATTTTGCAATGGTACCAAGATTCTTCACCAGTTCCTCCTTGGTCATTCCAATACCAGTGTCTGTCACATGCAAGACATTGTTGTCTTTGTCTGCTTTGATTTTAATTGACATTTCCTCTGTTGCTGCCAAAGCCGATTTGTCCGTTAGTGAGAGGAAACGGATCTTGTCCAAGGCATCGGATGCATTTGAGATCAATTCTCTGAGGAAGATCTAGGTTCAGAAACAAATTATGTGAAAAATTTTATTTTTTCAAACAAAAATGGCCTTAAAAATTAATATATCATACTTTTCATACCAACCTCTTTGTTTCGATACAGTGAATTAATGATTAACTTCATCATACGACTGACTTCAGCTTGGAAGGCATGCTTCTCAGCTTTGTCTCGCAATTCCTTCATCTGGGCAACATTCAAACCATCTAACTTGATAGCTTCTTCCTCTCGTTGTACTGCTTCATCATCAGTCTTTGATCCATCACGACTCTTACCAATGTCATCTTCTACAATAGGTTCTGATTCTGGTTCTTTCATCTCATCTGTTTCCTTTGCCTCTTCATCACCATGGCACTGAGCTATATATAGGTTGGATATTCTATTTCAGAATCATGGTGAATACTGGGTGGCAAATGGTAGCAGTAGCCTTAGGCTTTTCCATAAGAGATCTTGGGATTTGACAATTTTGAAACCGAATGTATCATCAAGTTTCATTTTCATTTTCACACTATCATCATGTATTTGTATAGTTAAGAACTATTTATTTATAACCATCATTTTCAGTGAATAATCAGACAAGGATCGTGGTGCATTTTTACGACAGCTGCACAAAAATATGATTTAACAAGCTCAATACACAAAAGGCCTTCAGTCAATACCTGTTTAATACAAGCATAAAGCCATGTTTAGCAATCTCTAGCATTATATCAAAAATATCATGAATAGATATGCAAAAATTGACATTGTAATTCAACTATTTCGTAAATATCACGCTATGAATATTGCTCGATTCAATTATAAAATTTGTACATTGACGTACTACAAAATCGCCTGCAGATGCACCACAATCTTGGCAGCTAAAAACTTCTTATATGATATTTACCGCTATTGAAGTACTGACGCTCTAAGCTGCAAGTTAGATTAAAATTCTGAACTCAATGCATTTTTTTCACCGATATACCAAGGCAAATTTTCGCAAAATGCGCAAATTAGTAGTTCACTAGTTCAGTAGTTGTGATAAAACAACTTCCGCTTACTTTTATTAACAGTTCAAGTTTTGTAAAACCATTTATACTCACATGTCAATAGTAAGATGACAAAAATCCCAAGAAAATAAAATAATTTGTTCATATTGGAACCAATGTAGAAGGCCCTTGCCTTACAGACCCACTCTGCGCAAACAGTTAAATTGAATGGTTTATAATTTGTAAAAAGCACATGGAAAAAGTTTCCAACCGGTGTTCAACACGAGAGAAGGTCCCGCTCGTGGCCACTTGTGATTGGTTTATAATGACCACGTGATGGACGTGGAAAGATTCGATTGGTCGAATTAATCCGAAGCGGTGGAAACTTACCACGTCGATACAGCTGCCTTTAAACAATTGAGAGAATTTATACATAATCAAGTTTGTGTGATATATTTAAACCAAAACTGTAAGACAACTTTGCTTTACAGGCAATATTATGCTGTTAATTATTTAAAAGATGAATGAAATATATAATGATTAATTTAAACAAAAAAAAGTAGTTCAAATTTGAAGTTTATAAGAAGTTATAAAGTTTTGAAATTAGTGAAACATGTAGTTTCTCCTTTCGTGTTCCGGTTCTTATGTCAAGGTAGCTTCCTCTCTATGGTTGCGGGTGACTTGGCGGCGTTTTTTAGTTTTTACACTAAAATTCAAAATTTATACTTGAAAATGATCCGCTGTTTGTACCGCGATTTCGTTTGCATGAAAAGAATATACTTATGACCAAGTGAATTGTTCATATTTGAGAAAAAATCGTGGCGTAGAGTTTGTGAATTCTGGAAGCGAACATTCACTTCCTGTAGAATTTTTCAGCAGACGCGTGTCATCTAGTAAAGTAAAGATGTATGTAGTTTTTGTATTTCTTATTTGGTGTTATCTACCTCGTTTTGTGCAAAGGAGAAATGTGAAACATGTAGAGAAATAGTTAAAAAATTTAAGGAGGTACGTACGTAAATTTTTTCTAGACGAATTTTCGAAAATTAAATTTTTCAGGTGTGAGAATCCTAGATTGAATGGAAATATGTTTTCGTTTTTTCCAAGGGGATGGATAGGACATCAGGGCATAACTTTGGCGGTGGAAATACAGATTGGGAAGAGAGGCGACTGGGTAGTTGGGCTGACAGGTAAGATGAAGAATGATTAAAATAAAAAATAAACGTTTATTGAGTTGTTTTATATTATGGGTGAAGTGGTTGAATGAAATGAATGAAGTCAATGAACTTCAGTACAAATGAGTAGCTATGGTGGGCTGCTGTTATAATATATGAATCCACATGGCAGGACAGGACAGCTGCAAAGATCCGGCTTGTAAATATACAAACTCCATAGTGTTTATCTAAATCCCCCTCGATTTCATCCAGGTTGGCCGGATGTCACCTTACATTAGTAGAATGGGAAATCCTGATAATAATTAATAATGCTAAATGGCAAGGTCACATCTCATTGACCCTGCCTTAAAAGTGATTTTCTGTAAAAACATGATGTTAAGCATTGACTTATTTAAGTGTTTTTTGTTCATAGAAACATAGGTTAATTTATGTCAGGTAAAATTAATGTATGATAACAAGTTGACTGTTTTGTGTAAAAATGGTTATATACGCTCAAAATCAAATTTTTAGCATTTTACAATATTATACAGTGAAACAAGGCTAGTTGATATCATGGAAAATCTCTGTTCGTCTACCGAGGTAAGTTATAAATCAGCTGTTTACAAAATGCCTATATATTTATTTTTTCCTTAAGATTTCTAGAATATATATAAACACCGTAGGCACGTATACAAATACACCATTTCTCACACCAATTTTTTTATGTAGTGTCATTCAATGGTGGAAGAGCACGAGGAAGATTTAGAGACATGGTGGTTCAAACAGTAAGTTGAAGTTGCATTGGGACATTCGTTATAAGCCTGATTCACAGATATATATAAAGGATAAAAAATCCAACTTTCCATGAAAAATAACTGGAATATGTTTGTGTTTCTTTTATGATGATTTAACATTTTGTCTTTAGAAAGGAAAAAGAGTTAGAAACTTGGTTATGTATTGACACTATAAGAGGTAAGAAAAGAATGAAAATGAAAAATGAAAAACATTGAGGAAATATAAAAGAAAGATTTAGAATAACAACACATCAATAGGCTGGATCTTAAAGAGTTACATATTTACATACGATATTTACAAATGTTTCTATGGTTTATCATGAAAACAAATATTTTTTAGTTTGTTGTCCAAGTGGTAAATTTGGCACCAATTGTGAAGGTCAGATTGATGTATTTACATCACAATATTTTGATTATTTGCTTGATAATTACTTCTCTGTTTGCACCTTCACTTCTTAAACAAAACCTATTTAACAAGTAAATTTCTTTCTTTTACCAACAGAATGTCCAGGTGGATCAGAAACACCATGTTCAAAACATGGAAAATGCGAGGTAAAGTGGGGCATATTTCACTATATAGCCTTAAAATCTCCAAAATTTTTCGAACCGCTACTATCAGGTATTAGTATACACCCGACTATTGTCTATTACAAATCCTACATTCTGATTGGCTACTCAACCATCGTCTATTCGTGATAGTGCACGTTTGGGAAAAATTCGCTCGCGCGACCGTATAAAATTGCATTAATTAAATTATTTTTCGGTGTAATTTTGCGGTGTATCGATTATTTTCTCGAAATTAATATATCTAGGTACAGGGTGTATACTAAAACAATTAGACAACTCGCCTTCGTTGCCTATGAGCGGATAGTCAACTCAGGCTTCGCCTTCGTTGACTATTCGCTCATAGACAACTCGGACTCGTTGTCTAATTGTTAAATAGAACTTTGTGGGGTTGTGACATGCAAAATCTCAAAGTTTTGCAGTGTTGATTTTTGGCAGTGTTGATTTTTGGCTGAAGGCAATCAATAAGTTCCTTTTCATCTTATTTGGTCTGAAAAATTTATACTGTACACACCATTTCTAGAACACATTTTTATGGAGTTAGTAAGTCGTTCTGTTAGAGCATCAGTGCAAAGATAAGGTCAATTCTCCATACATACAGTAAACAATATTCTTTTAATTTTGTCCTATTTTTACAGGGCGATGGTACAAGAACGGGGACAGGTGAATGTGATTGTGATGATGGATACGCGGCCAAGTCGTGCAATGAATGTGATGAAGAATATTATCAAGATAAAAATAACACCACTGAGCTCAGTTGTCTCGGTAGGTTTTGCAACGAAAATGGGGCTGTTGAGAATGATGAAATTTGATGAAACTCTAAACCTCTAATTGTGGTTTAATTGTCATCTTGAGTTGAGCCGGTACGGCGGTAGCTTCACAGCCCTTCACCTTCACTTTTGAAATGACGAATATAATACTTTCAGAATGTCACGAGTCATGTGACGGAGGATGTCATGGTGGTTCACCGAAAGATTGCGAGGGTTGCAAAGATGGATGGGAAGAATCCGAAGAGCACGGTTGTACAGGTATCAACATTGACCTTATTGTAGAACTGGAGTTAGAATGCACTGTATATTGGTCAACTTGTGACTTTCAATTTTTCGGGCTGTTTTAGATAAAGATGAATGCTCTTCAGGCGATGTATGCGCGTCTAGCAACTATTGTGTCAATACACCTGGTAGTTATAAATGCGAGGGTGAGTTCTAAACGTTAAAGATAAAATGCGGCATAAAATTGAATTGGATCATTTTAAAAATAACAAAGTTACTATAAAAGTTACGATAAATGATTATCATTATATATATATTTCGCACAGAATGCGATAAGTCATGTGAGGAGAATTGTACTGGTCCTGGAAACAAAGCCTGTTTAGCATGTAAAACGGGTTATACCATGATTGAAAACGAAGGATGTAAAGGTAAAAAATCACCGATTTTTTATCAAGATGATATTTCTTAAGATTTTAATTTTTCCTAATCATCATTTTCATATTTGTGTTTCGTTTTCGTTAGACGACGATGAGTGCTCTGATGGTAAAGTCACTTGTGAAGATGGAAAATATTGCAGTAATAACCCTGGCTCTTATGCTTGTCTTGAGTGCGATAAAGCGTGTTCACAATGCGCGGGCCCTGGTACAGAAAAATGTTCAGCTTGTAACTCTGGTTTTGAATTAACCGACAAAGGATGCGAAGGTAAAGAAGACGATCTGATACCTCAGTTCGTTTCATGTTGTTTTGAACTAATAATGATTTAAAAATTAATCTGATGAAGTTTTCGTTAGAGTACCATTATTTTTTTATCAGAATAGTTTCATTGTAGGCTTAAAACAATGCACGTGTATTTATTAGGCCTTAGTTTCAAGTTGATTTCTGGTCGTATTGTAAACGAAGTAACGCTTTGTTAGCATTTTAAATTGTCAGTGATATTTTTTTAAATACGACGAACTGTCTGAACGAACTGGCTTTTAAACAAAGCAGTGTATGAGAAAAATGCTGTTTAATGCTTTTTATTATGCTGGATTGATTTACTACAGCTTTATGTCACACGGATTTTTTTCCAACAGATGTAGATGAATGTAAAAACACGAAATTGTGTCCGGGTGAAAATGAGCATTGCAAGAACATGGCAGGATTTTATTCCTGCAAGTGCGACTCCGGATTTACAAGGAATAAAGGAAAGTGCGTTAAAGGTAAAAAGAAGAAAAAGGGAAATTCTAAAACGACAAAAGATGAGAACGAAAAGCTTTTAGAAGAGGTTGAAGAAGGAAAATATATACAAGAATGGCATTTAAAAGTCGGTTCTTTACTCTACGCCGTCTTCTTTGCGTTGTTAGTTTTGGCTTTTTCCCAACGCAGCGCTATTGGCGTTATTAGTTTGGTTATCTTGTATTTAGGTGTTTTGTTTGGTATTAGAACTAGGTATAAAGATGCTAACGAGTAAATGAGTTTAGAGATTAATATTTAGATTATTTAAATAAGTCTGTCAACAGGCAAGCCCTCGTTACACTGAGATGTTTTTTAATTGTATGTAATGTAAATATGAACAGAAGTTCGAGCAACTTTTATTATTAAACTATTAAATTTACGCTGACTGCCATGTATGCTTCGTGACGTCATCATTCGCAACTTGTTAAATATGGATAATGTTGAGCATTTTTCCAAAAACCGATTGTGATTTGAACTTTCGATGTAAATTTTTTTTGTGAAACGACTGATTTTTCATCGCAATTTTTTCTCAAGTAGGGGCAAATATGTGCTCAAAATCTAAGACATTGTCAAATCTTTGATATTTCAGAAGAGCAGCCTGAAAAAGAGAGTGATGACCTCGCGAAGGATGACGAGGAAGATGACGTAGAGGAGGATGACGTAGAGGAGGATGACGGCGACGTAGATGATGACGTGAAAGATGATAATGACGTAAGGAACGATGGCGATAGCGATGATGATGCGGATGATGAGGCGGACTTAAATGAAGCAATGCATGCGGAACTATGAAAATTTTATAATTGACAATTATTTATAAACAGTGTAGAAAGTTTGAATAAATCTTTATTATATTACAGACTTACAGTTATTCTTGAATCGTTCCTAATTAGTTACAGTCACCTGAGCTATACCCCTTTGTTCTCTACGAGGTTTTCCCTTGAAACGACGAAATTCACACAAACTTAGTCGTAGGTTATTACATTTATCAATGAATAGGAAAATCATCGTTGCGCGCATCTGCAGAGACGGTTCGCAAGCGAAATATTTGCATATCTTCTTTTGAATTCTAAACAGTCAAGATGAACTTAAGACTCAAAAGATAATGCGCAAATATTTCGTTATTGAACCATTTCTCTGCGGAAATCGTCCTTAGCCGTAAAACTTTTGACATCACAAAATACTCAACTAAACGTTTCAAAGAAAAATGAATAATTAAGCCATTGTACGGTGAACGCTGCTTTGAAGTGCTTTTTAATGATGATTGTGAGACAGAAAAAGTCACTTCCAAATGAGTAGCCAAATGAGCCTTTTACAGTTTTACATTGCGCGCATATTTCCCCCTGTGAACTCAGGGCGCTTATATATATATATAAGCGCCCTGGCGCCGCCCTATATATAAGCGCCCTGTGTGAACTCATTGATTTCCGTTCCTTTCCGGGTTCTGATCTGTTGATTCGTGATCCGTTCGCTGTTTTTCCAAGATGGCCGCTGGAAAGTCGAGACTATTTTCTATTTTTTCAAATTTAAATAACAAGGGAAGACTTGTTTTATTATTCGTTTTCATTCTTGTTCTTCTACTTTTACTGCGCAAAGTGCGAAATTACGATGAAAATATGGAAACAATTCAACCAGTCTTTCGACGAATTTTAAAACGCATCCAAGGTTCTCAGGACGAATTTTGTTTGGTATCTTATAACATTTTAGCGGATGGTCCTATTAAGAGAAACGCAGGTGCGTATTTGCCACTTCCAATAGCGGAGAAATTAAAGGAGCCAAATCCTAAAACAGCACCAAGACACAAACAGCTTATGAAAGAGGTACATTCCTGAAGTCGTCCACGTCAGGTGACGCACTTAACTTTCCACGTCGATATTTAATATGTGATATTATATAATTTATATATTTATAACTAACCAGAAATGCTTGCAAAACCCCTCACCATTTCCAACCTGGCAAATAACTTCCTGAGCTATTAGACTATAAGTTTATATTATGCATCATCCCAATTTGTCCGCTTCTATTGAATGTAGTGTAATTATTGTTTCTCATATTCTGATATTCATTGATATTCATACAAATTGGCTTTTCACTTCACATTAATTATTTGTGTCCAATTTATTTCAGTCTGTACAATTCCTGTCCTTCTAGAAAACAATGGTTATCCTCATTCACAATACCAATACTGGATAGCCTACAGATGTGCATGCCATAGTATAAGTATTATATATATGAAACAGAATACATATTATATATACTACAGCATGAGCGCCTGTTAGCAGGCTTCCTGTGGATAGCCTGGACCACTGGAATAGCTCTTATTCATGCATTCTAATAATAAAGTTATTTACATAACAATGAAAATAACACTGTCATAAAATTTTTCACAGCTTCAATGGCTCAAACCAGACATCATTAATATGCAAGAAGTTGATGAGTCATATTTTGCCGTACTTGAAGAAGAACTTGATCAATCAGGGTTTGAAGGTGTTCACCAATCCCATTATAGTGGGCATGGCCTTGCAACATTTTATAATACAAAAAAGTTTCAGATGGAAAAGAGTGTTGGTTATCACTTTAATGATTTACTGTCAAAGTTATTTGATCTCAACTTGTTCAAAGATAAAAATTCACGTAATCAAAGGGTGGTCCTATTTTCTCATCTTACCCAAGTAAAGACTGGAAAGCCAATTGTAATAGGTACAGTTTAAGGGGATTGAAATCAGCTTCTTCTGTCTCATTCTAATTCACTGTATTTTATGCTAAACTAAGTAAATCCATTCAATTTCAAACTAATTTCTATTCTTTTTATCTTTTCTCTTCATAATTTTCTTGCACTGTTCTTCATTCCATCTTTTTTGTTGCTTTTTTTCCAAGTTGTATTCATTTTCTTATTTCCTCAGCTAACCTCCACTCTATGTTTGGCATGTGGAAAGAACCAGATATGCAAGCGTTGCAGATCTCGTTATTTTTGAGACAACTACATGAGTTCACCACCTCACTTCAAAAAAATGGACCTGTTGCATGGATTGTTAGTGGCGATTTCAACACCTATCCATATTTCCCGCTGTATGATATAATCTCAACTGGAAATGTCACCAAAGAAGGACTGCAAAAATTGAATGGAAATCGATACAAATATCCACAGGTTGTTGAAAGAACCAAGGACAAGGTGCATATGTAATCACACTGTGGTTTTTCTTACTGTATTTTGCCCTAACGAAACGCTCTTGGGGTCACTTTATATGTTCAATTTTAGATAAGAGAAGAAGAAACCTTCATTTTAAAAGAAGGAAAAAAGTATCTTTCCCATCCCCTGAAAGATATCAAGAGTTCTTACAAAACTGTGCTTGTGAGTATACAGCCCCATTTACACTACACTCATTTTATTGGCACGGCATGGCTAAAATTGGTGCCCGTACGGCCGACGTTCTGAGTTGCAAAAAAGCTGCGGGTACGCGGAGGAAGGTTTGCTTTGAATGAGGCTTGTGAGGAAGGTTCAAAGTTGAACAATCTAATTGACCACATGCATGTACCAAAAAACCAAATATTTCTTTATACTGGTTGCCACTCGATTCAGTGATGTAATGTCATTTTGGGGAAGGTTTTCAAAACTTGAAATCCTACCGGAGGAAGGTTGAACTCTTTTTGCAACTCTGCCGACGTTTTCGGACTTTTCCCGCCCAGAACACGTTCTAAGAAGAAGTGCCTTTCATTCATGTTTATTTCATATTTTAAAACCTTAGAGAATGAGGCCATATTTGTGTATAATTATACTTTATTTCATAAGGGTCACGAGCCGCCTCTAACCCACTATCAAATCAACACGGAATTTCCGGAGGTATATGGATTCAAGGTGATGAAAGGAACGTTGGATTACATCTGGTATTCTTCGAGTACGCTTAGTGTGAATGCTGTATTACCCCATGTCAAGGAAGAAGTTATAAAATCTCTTGTAGCTTGTCCTAACAAATATTTTCCAAGTGACCATTTGTCCATGAAAGCTTGCTTTGGCTTCAAGGACTCGTGAGCCAGTTGCGTCAAGAAGACAAACTGGACAAAACAAACAAGAAAAAACAGTTTGTTCGATCAGAATAAGATCACCTGTCAAAACCATTTATAGAAGTTAGGAGCTATTGTATCTCACCAGAATGCACCTCAAGTCCCAACGGCAAAAAGATTGTATGCATGTCATGTATTTGGGAATAAATGATCAGCCATATCAGGACTTCACGATATTTATATCAAATCAAGATGATTCGCAAAGTTGACTTCAACTGTGTTTTTTTAATTTAGGAATATTTATAGAAACGAATTTAAATAGAGTTTTGAATGAAATATGCTTAGCTTAGTTGTATTACTCTATATCTTACAGACGCCTTGTTTTCATGTCTCCATTATAGAAAAGAGACAGGAGAGTTTTTTTAGATGGCTGAAGTAGATTGCTTGAGTGTTGTATTTTAATTTCGTCCTTCCAATTGTTTTCCTGCTATTTGGTGACCTTTTAATACTATAAACTATTAACATAGATACTATGTCCAGTGTCCACAACCTCTTCCACAATCCAGTCATTAGTCCAGTGATATTACCTCGTACCCAGGTTCCAGTGCACCTCACTTAGAGAGTAGTAACTGTCGAAGTTTTCCGAAAGCGTCCATCTAGCGTATGAGAAATTGTCCCCTATTTGACGAAGCGGGCGCCATATTTATCCGTCGAGCCACTTCTTGTTGTTTATTGCCCAATATTTATGCAAAATGGCAGTTTGAAACGGATATAAGATGCAAAAATGACAAGAAAGCGATGGCTGTGGCGATATTCACCCCTCGTCCAAACTCGCAGGACTTTCAAGAAAGGCGAATTCAACTCACAGAGTCCGTAAAGATCGGCCGTTCCGTGGCGAAGGTTAAATCTGCCGCCAACAATCTTATTTTCGACTGCAAAGTTTTGTCAAGAAATCATGCTATCATTTGGTATGAGGGAGGAAAGGTTAGACAATTTGCATACCTTTAGATACCATTAGAATTTTGAATATTCTCTGTATAATGCACAACACAAAGTTCGCAACTAAGAAAGATTTCGATTAAAGTTCAAAATTTAATATTTACTAGAAAAGACGGGTATAAAATTACAATACTATAAACAAGTTTATATTGTCTATTATCCTTCTTAATTCTTGTCACTTAAATGAACAACGAACCTATAGATTTTTTTTGTTCTTATGTAGTTAAATTTTGGCGATTTATAATATAGATTCAGCTAAAAATAATTTTGGAATTCGTGGTTGAAAATGGACTAAATAATTGACAGTTTGGTTATTGAACTGTCAAAATTAGCGAATTATTTGGTCACGGTTAAGTACTGATAACTCGGAACTTTCGTATTAGGCGAAATGTTGCTTCAAAATTCGATGTAGTAGAGATATTGCGAGTAGACTGATATTAACGATTGTTTGGCATTATTTCATAATAATGGTGCTGTGTGTTTATAAAGCAGGTTTGGGCAAAACATCGGGTGTATATCTTTAATTGCTGTTTTTATAAAAGGAAATACACTCAAGGTGGATATCTGTACAGTACATATTAAATCCATAATTGGACGAAGACATCAAGCTATTAGAAAACGTGTTGTTTTTTATACTACTATAAGAGGAAACTAGAAAGCCAATTCACACTACACCCCCTCCCCCTAACTCCCCCACTGTTTAATACAGTACACTAGCAGTAAATGTTGAAAATATTAATGAAAAAATGATGAATGCAAGCACAAAATATACTTGCTTCACTCAATATGAAGTTTGGAAAAATTAGGCTTGGCAGATTTCTGTTTTAGTATATAATGTAAGATCTGACCATTTGTGATCAATTGCTTAAGTTATTTAACTGGACAGATAATTACATTCTGCCAAATATTCTGAAGTTGTTCCTGAGTTTGCAAACTTGTTTGGGAACTTGCAAATGTTCAAATGCTGGAATGTATGAAGTTTCCAAAAAGTAGCGATAAATTCAAGTGCTTGAACTTGGCAGTGGCATAGCCAGCTTGACGATTTAGTCATGCTATGCAAATTTTATGTTATCATTATTCATTTCTTTAGAAATTCATTGTTTTCACAGTCAATGAACACCAAAATATTAGCATAGCATGACTAAATTGTCAGGCTGGCTATGCCACTGAAACTTGGCTAATCTGTAACTTTGAAAAAGTGATTGGCTTTTTGAATTTTTCTGCTCTCATTTTATAGTTCTTTCTGCAAGATACAAAGAGTAGTAATGGCACATTCATAAACAATGTTCGTCTCAGCAAAGGCGCCGAAGAAAGTGATCCAAAGGAAATATTTTCTGGTGATATTGTGCAGTTTGGAGTAGAAGTTGTTGAAAATTCTAAACGAGGAGCAGGTACAGTGTAATTATATGCAGAGATTATACAAGTTATATGCGTTATTTTCAGTGTTTAATTACTATGATGTTTAACATAGAGTCTTTTTTTAGTAACCCATGGGTGTATAATAGCCACCTTGACACTATTTGGTCCTGATGGTAGTGAAGCTACTCCAGGTTCACCCTCAGGGGTATGTTCTATTATATACATGACTTATATTTATGAATACTTGCTGATGATTCCTTTCATGTGACAATGATTAGCAGGTAATCCTGTTGATTAATCCTATTAATCTCTGTTAAAATTATATTGGCTTAAATGCATCAGTTTAGAAAATAGATATTGATTATACTGTTTAATTTACTTTGTTGTGCTGGTATGACATGTAATAATTGGATGAATTGCTATTATTAATATAGACAGGTGGTGGAGTTGTTCAGTCATATGAACTCTGGCAGCTTTCACAGTACATCCAGGTAAGAACTGTTACTATTTACGACATCTGGACAATTAATGTTACATTATCACAGTATTAGTGCCTTAATTACGTTATGGAAAAGGCCAACATGACAATGGTAGATCATCTGTTTTTCTTCCTTGCAAAATGGCTTATTTTGAAACATAAATTGTAGTTGCCAAGCTTGGATTCGATTATTCATAGATACCAATGCAATATAGGTGTACACATGCATTCTCAAAGTTGAAACATCTCAGTGCAATTGTAGGCTTATTTCAAAGACAAACATTTCCTGTAAGATATTTTCAAATATTTCTTAGCAACAGTAATATAAGTACATTGGAACCTTCCACCTTCCTGCTATTTTGATCAAATCTTTCATAATTTTCCGTATCTATAACAATTTTCTAGAACTCTATAAAAGGTTTCCCCATTCACATTGTGATAAGATTGTTAGCATATGTCTTTTGCAATAATTTTTATAGGATGCTTTACATCGTGAACAAATCCTTGAAAATAAAATAGTGACACTACAGCGGATCATTGCTGATGCACAAACCACCACTGGGGAGACTTTTGAGGTTATTTTCACTAAATTGTACTTTACTGTCTGATAATCCTGTGCAGCAGTTATTCATTTCTTTGAATATCTTGTTTTGGTGTCAGATTTAAATATTTGAACCAATACAATCTCATATTTGTCATTATATCAGAGCATCATTCAAGAGGATAAACTCTTAACAAGATTGGAGACTCTTGAAAACCACTTAGATGTTGTCACAAAGGTAGGTAACTTAAGTGGTTGGTTTAGTCAAATTCATGCATACTTAAATAGTCTTAGTTACAACTTGTATATTGTCTGTCTGACAACAAATACTTATTGGGTAAATTTGGGGTGCTGTGTGAGTGGCAAGCATAGGAAATATAAATAAAGGAGCACCAGTAGCAAAATGTTGTCGACTGCAGTTATAAGCCACATGCAGTAATATTTTGTTACATTTGATTACAGTAATGAAGTGGCAATTAAAGCAGGATGTTTTTATTATTTTTAAATCTCTCACTGTTGACCAATGTTTGCAAAAGTGCAAGCTTTCATGCACTCCGGTATATATCCACCACTACTTACTAGGATTATCCCAGGCCTAAAACAGTGTTTCTTGACATGTCATTTTTGTGTGTTTAGAACTGTACAGAAGATGAGTTAAAACAAGAAATTTCAAGACTCCATGATGACAAGAACAAATATGAAATGGCTGCGAAAGTAAGAAACTTTCCCGATCATTTTTACCAAAGTTGTTCATAATTCATTTTACCAACATTCATGACTATATCTTGATGATATTACCTCTTTCAGGAAGGACTACGGAGAATAACTGAGGAAAAGTTGAAAGCAATTGAGAAAATTTCACAGCTTGAAGTAAGTAATCACTTGTCAAACATAACATGTGACATGTGCTGTTGCTGATTTTATTGTTGAACAGATAGAGTTGCTAGTAAGGAGAAGCATCATTAAAAACACAATTTCAGCAAGATTCTGTTCTGTTTTCTTATTTCATCAAGCTCTAATTGTTAATCCAAATGTTTGGTGCATGGCTATATTGTTTATGATTAGGAATGGTATTCTTAAAATAATTTGTCAACAACACTTGTTTGATTAATCTTCCAATGTTTGGTGCATTGCTATGATCATAAACATTATGATTATGAGTTTTATTATTTATATAGCTACTTTGAACATAATTTTCTTACTGCCTGGTTCCTATTAGGGTACCTATTGTAAGTTGTAACCTGAATAAGTGCATTTATTTAAGCATACAAAAGGAAATTTTTTATAAAACCAACTGAAGTCACCACCTGCATGTGTAATTTGCAGAAATCGTACAGCAATGCTGAAGACGAATGTAGTCATTATCAATCTCTTTATGAAAGAGCTCAGGAGGAACTGGAAGATTTGGCTGCAAAACATGCGCAGGTAATACATAAAGTGTAAAAGGAAACAAATGAAAATAGCTGGATGTAAACTGTAATATATACCATGACGACTGCAAGCTAGTCAAAACGCATATTGTATAAATCTACAATGTTGTTTCGAGTTACTTTTTACTTGTGTTTATAATTTATTATTATTATTGTGTTTATAACTTTGGCTTAAATTTCGATGCGCATCTCATTGCGAAAACAAGTTTCGTATTTTTTGGAAGAGAACAAAATGGCAGGGGTCCGCCGCATCTTTTGATTAATACGTTCTGTATGATTGTATTTCATTCTGCGACATGTACTTAGATGTCGGGACTAACTCTTTATTCTACATACTGTACAAAGTCGGTATTTCATGTTGCCGAGACCCATATCATAAACACTTCTGTCTCTTGTTTAGCATACGAGGAATATCGTGTTATAAAATCAATGTAATGATCGTTAGTTATTTCGCACCATCGTGAGTTTTTTTTTCAATTTCACTTTCACTAGAGGCTGGAAGAAATGAAAACTCTGAGAGAACAACTAGAAAAGTCCGAACGAAGACATGCCGCCGCTGATGAGCAGGTAATATTCATATTTCCAACTTCTTGCAAAGACCGGGACTCTTGTTTTAAATATAACAATATTCACAAGAGCCGCGTTTTCTTTTTTTTCTAGATGAATAAAGAGCGTGAAAGTACTAATGAAAAGCTGAATGTCGCATCTAAGAAAGAACAAGAATATATTTCTCGGGTAGGTTTTTCAAATGACAAATTCGCAAGAAGTGCAAAGGAATCGTTGCATGATTATAATGAAGCTGTTAAAAACGTTCTCTGGTTGTAAATATGTATTTATTATAAGCTTAAAAGCTTCATTATGTTCAATTTTGGTCGCGTTTTCAGCATCTTTAAATGTTTGTTGATTGTTTCTTCTCCCTTCCTGTATATAGTTGGAATCACTGCAAGCAGAATGTGATTTTCGAAAAGAACAGCTGGTTGCAATGCGCGGTGAGTCTCAACAGCGATCTTTTTTGAGCCGCTCTGTTTCGCAGGGTTTCGCAATATGAACTGCAGTCTGCTTGGCTGTTCCTGGGCATGGTGGAGTGCATGTCCATGGAAACCGCTGTAGAGGAAGAGTTTACTGAATGACTCGGTCAAATGTAATTAAGTTATATATCATTTTAATTGTAGCTCAAATGGAGAAACGGACCGAAGAAATGTCGAAGAAAAAGGTTCATCAAAACCACAAACAAAATGTTAACAAAGGTACAGAGTAAAAAGTTGTTCGTTAACTGGCCAGTGCTGCTCTGTTAAAAACATCGTGGATTGCAGTTATTAGTGTAAAAACAGGGGGGGGGAGATAGGGTCTCTTGTGCATAGCTTCTTGACATCGAGCCTTGAATGATTTGCCAATGTTGTTAAAAGTGTCATGTGGTTATATATATTGTGGTAGGTTGTTCCCCCTCTTATAATGTGTAAATGTCATCTTAGAAAACTCGGACGATGTATCGCTGGTCGAAGAAACGATACAAGTTCTAAAAGGTAGTCCAGTCTTTCAACCGGTCTGTATAACCTTTTAGTCTATACGGTATGTTTCATGTACTCTTTTTCTATATCAAGAAAAACTACAACGATTACATGACGAATCGAAAACGAAACAAGAAAATGTCAATCGACTTAAAGGTTAGTATGTATATCCAGTGTTTCACCACAAGAATTCATAAAATTGGTTTAGATGAAGATCCTTAGACCTTCCTAAGAAATTCTTACATGAAGTTTCCTTATTTTTGATAACCCATCTTAAGAATACCCTGCTGTTTACTCATGCGCTTCTTATGTTAATCATGATTGTATGCTCCAGGCAAGCTCGATGAATACGAGAACAAAGATGACGAGACAGAACTACCTTCTTTGAAAAGTTAGTAAATTTTTTTAAAAAAATGTGTTTCGTGCTCGTTTCCTGCGTGACGTGTTCAAGGTGATATATGAGCGTTTTACTTGTATAGATGAACTATCGAACTCTGAGCAGGATCTAAAATATGTTCAAGAAGAGATTGGGGAATTAGAAGGTATTGTTAAATATTTGATCCAACAGAATGCCTTTCTCTCCTTTCATAAAGTTTGGGGTGTATCCCTTGACACCAGGTGGACCAGAAACCCCCCTTGGAGGGTTCAGGGGGGTTATTGTCGTAATGGGGGTTAGGATGTTATCTCCAACCTATATCTCCCACCTTCCTTTGCACTTCACCAGTTACTGCACCCCGGGTAAGAGGTGCAAATTGCTGTAACTAGTCTCATGTCTAACTCTAGTTTGTATTACTATTCCTCACCGGGTGTTACTTCACTAAATTCTGTGTAAAAATAATTGGTTAATGTTAATAGAAATAGTTGCTTTAAAAAGCCGTTTCGCAGCCGACTCTGAATTACACGGTAAAATATTTACAAATCATGTAACAGCCTATATTGCTAGATTAAGTATAACAACTATAATATCAAGCCACCTATAGAAATAATACTACCCTATATCGCTAGATTAAGTATGACAACCACAATATCAAGCCACCTAAGAAATAAAATACATTTACAGTAAAAAAATTTTCAAATGGTTACCTCTGTCAGCTGTAGATGGCTTTGTTATACTATCTTAGATCATAAATACATTCAGACATATAGCATAAAGAGAATTATAACCATAGTCGAAGGATTTCACTCACTAATATATATATTCTTGGCATGCTGAACATCTACGACCTGCAAGTGATCTTAATTGCTCACATAAGAGCCTCCTCATATATGGAGGCGCCGGTAATATAATCCGTAAAGCCCGCTTCTGAACTCACTGCAAGACTCAATCAAGTTTGCCTTTGCAAACTAGTTAAACCTGACTATTGAAGTGGAGAATGCTTACTCCGAACAGAATCGAATTAATGAACAATAGACGAGATTTCTTCAATTGCCTTAATGCGTGGCGACGAGAGTCGACCTTTATAAGAATGTGATCAATATGAGGGTTCCATGAGGTTTTCTGAAAGTTGTGTGATTCTAGCAATATTGTGATCAAGGCTTGTCTTGTATATTCTAGAGCAATTAATGTCTTGTCATCTAAAAGCAATCGATAATCTGGATAATTCCGATCACAGCAACAGTCTTATTGGTAAGAAAGGAAGAATTGCAATGTATATTACAGTGCAGATACTAGGAGTATATAAAGTTCAGTATAATATGGTAAAATGCAGAGCAATACATAAAATACGGGCCTTCTAATTTACCTGTGGTTTCGTTTCAGTAAATAAAGAAAGTCATGAATGCAATACAGAACTTTCAAATCATTTGGAATGTGAGTATTATACCTATGTGTATGTCTTTGACCATGTGAAGTTTATAGTATAAATTAACAAACATTATAGCTTGATTATAACGACGTCGTCTAAACGCTCACTCGCTATTACTGAGTTAAAGAGCCATTCTTCAATCAGTGGTAAGATTATGAGCTTTTAAGCTCTTACCAAAATTGGCTATACAATGAGTGTTGAGTGCACGTGATCGTTCTGAAGGCACAGTCTCCTGTCTTTTGTTTATCACATCACTAGGACGGAGAGAAATTTGAGATTATTCGCAGCCTTCTTATCCGTAAATTTTGAGGCGGCAAAACGTACGTCTGTTTTGAGCCGAGATGTCGATGTACTCAAATTGAGTTTGTCATTCACGTTACGTTCTAGATGCCGAAACAAACACAAATTACGACGTCGATATGCTGGATGACTTAGAAGGTAAGGAATAATTATCGATTGTAAACAATGGCTACGCTCGTGAGTGAAGTAAGTGATCGATTTCCCTTGCAGCTGAGCTTCAAAATATTAAAAATCAACTCTGCCGATACAGTGGCAAACCGGACAGGGAAGAACTACCATTGGGTCATTCAAATGATAATGAAGGTCGAAGAAGTGGTATGTTAATTTCTCTGGGATTTTTTCAACATTTTCCTCGAGAGAACATAGTAAACCTTTTTTCCAAATCTTGCAGAACTGATTTTGCTGAAGTGTATGCGACATATACAGTTTATTAAGGGTATTGTCTCTTAGCTATTATAGTCCTAAGGCGCTCATATATTAAATATTTTGTTGATGTCAAAGGCATTAATTAACAGGTGTTGATGTGTTATATGACATGTAAACAAGCAGGCTTTATTGTCTTACGTGCTTGTGCAAATCATTTGCCGGTGTTACAGATTAGTTTCTATTCCAGATGAGATGGCTTGTTACAAAGAACTAGTTTCCAGTCGCAATTACACAATTACAGGTATGTCGACTAAGTCTACTGCATCATCCTGCATCTTGGAGATAAACAGGAACGTCTTTACCTCTTTATATTGTAAATGGCAGCTAATTTTGTACTTTGTGTTTCTGTCAAAAGTTTGTGATAATTTTGTGTTTCTTTAGCATTGTCAGATGGTCAAAATGATTCAGGGGAACAGACCATAGAAGAGCTTCGAGGTGAGAGAACGTAGGCTATGGAGTAACAAAGTGATATACGTGTAGTAGCTATAACAGTGTTTGCGAAAGAAGGAAAGTAATTGTACACTCTCCAGTAACTTTAATTTTCCAAATATGTTAGATCAACTACGAACAGCTGAAAGCAAAGCATCTGAAGTTAAACAAGAAATTTTTGCTCTTCGGGGTAAACGATTGCTGCTTCTTCATATTGTCTCTAACATCGACAGTCTGATATTGCAGATTGCAGATTCGGAATGTACACTAAATGTAGTCAATATCTTTTTAGACAAGTTGCTGGAAGAACAGGAAACTGCTCGAGGTCGCGAGGAAACCATCGCCCAGTTACACCGTAAGTTAATTGCCGGGCCTTGTTATTTTTTGGTTTTGTTTGCAGCAGGCATGAATTGTCATCATATTTCAGAACAAATGGAGGAGCTTACACGAAGTAGAAGTCTGACTGAACTCGAGAAGACCACTGAACATCGTGTTGCAGAGTCAGCAAAGAGCACAGCGAAACACATGCAGAAACAGGCGGCAATTAGCGCTGAGAAAGCATCGAAAAATAAAGGTACAGAATGTGGGACAGCTATACTTTATCTACTATGACTTGATTATAAGAGGGGGAAACGATGCTTTCAGGGTGGTTTAACCACGCCTGTTTTACCCTGGTCTCGTTTGTTTCGCATTCGGCCACCCCCGGAAGAAAGTAAGCCGCAGCGTTAGTTTAACCAGATTTAGCTTACAATCCCTCCCAACATTGAGATAAATGTGCAACATAGTTCACGTAAATAAGACCTTGGTGATCTGGTGAGATTTTGTGCATGTGCATATAACTACTTTAATCATGTGTAATTGCAGTTAAACTGAGAACGTTACAAGAAGAAAACAAATTTCTGCTTCAAAAAGTACAGACATTGGAAAGCGAATTGAAATGGTAATTGCCTTGGTCTCGTATATTTTTATACAGTTAGTGACTAGTGTTCTTCAATAAGGTTTGATGTTTGTGTCTGCTTGAAAGACTTTTTATGGAATCACGATGATAATAAAACTCCAGGATACGGTTATGTGAAATCCTAACAACTTTCTCACGACACGTTTTCAGTTAGATTGTGTTTAATTTGAAACCATCGATTTTTATTTTGTAACCATTCGATCTGCTATTTCTAGGTCGAAAAAGGAGAAAAAGCGTCTAACATCTGAAAGAGAGAAACGTGACCCTACTCAATTCAATCACAAAAACAGCTCGACCAACGTTGTTTCCAGACAGGTGGGAAATTTATTTTGACATGAAGTTATATGGTTAATATAATAATGCCGTTTTTCTGTATATAGTCTGCAGTATAGACGAGACTGTGTGTTTAATCACAATATAAACTCTTGAAAAATGGAAGTGGTTGTTTGCACTATGTCCGGTGGTAATTTTTATTATTTTTTAATAAACTTAATTTATATTGTAGGTTTCGCAAGAGCATGTAACAAATGCTGTAGAAGATCTTTCTCAAAATAAAGATAGCGCAAAAAGAATCGATGTTCTTGATGAGCAAAACTCGAGACTGGTGAGAAATAACCTTCAAATCTTTAAATTCCCCAAAGAAATTTACTTTATGCAAGTGAACTTTGCTTGGCTGTCCTTACGGCTTACCCTGGGGTTATCTGCGCATGAGCGGAAACTATCCTTTACTGAAGTAAACCTAGCCCAGGGATGAAAGAGTTATCCAGTTCGAGAATTTACAATACCAATTATTTATTACTTATTCAGTATTTTTCCATTCTCTTTCATTTAGAAATATTTCCTACTTCCCGTATTCTTTTTTCTTCTGGCAATGCTTGTATCCTTTGCATTTGGCATAATTGGCTCATCCCAAGATGACAGCAGTCAAAACAGCGAATAGTGACCCTCCGTGTTGTATTGCTCAGCGATACTGTAACGTGTATCTTAACATCTCTATCCGAAGTGTTCAAATGATCGCTATCTTCCTTTCTCTTACCATACCACTCTTTCCTATATCACCCTGCATGGTGTCTGTAATGTTAAGATACACATTAAAGACTGAAACATATATTTATGCCTACTGCCCAGGAAAGTCAGTAAAACTGACAGTTACGAATGATCATCAGGGCTCATTATAATGGCCGACAGGTCTCACGTTTACCTCGATTAAAATCTTTTATGACCGCAAGAATATTGAAAAAGTTATATTAGTGCAAAAAAGTAGTTTCGAGAAATAGCTGCTATTTTTGTATTATGTATTGTAACAAGACGTTAGCAATCGCAGACGGTATAATCGGGTAGCGTTATCTAGAGTCCGTGTTTTCTAAGAAATCATCGTGTGTGCGGAAGTATATCGACACAATGAAAGCTCACCGGAGGCTAGATGTTCGAAAAATGAATAATGAAAAAGCACAATTTGAAATTTAAAATTTGAAGGGTTGATTGAAAATGTTGTCGCTCAAAGTTGTCGGTGAGGTGAAAAAAGTACCAATTTTGGACGGCCATTGTCTTTCAATCAGCCGTTACATTGAGTCCGGACCATTTGCCAAAAATCACAACGAGGCTATCACTGTAAATATAGCGTTTACTACATACGATTACAGGGCTTAAACTGGGAGTATTTAGGATTTGTTACATACAATATTTCAAACTTATCAAGTTTGTACAAGTTATTTAATTGTAATCATATATGACATTGATATTATTTTTGAAATTGTACATTATGAAATAGGTGAACTTTACAAAATGCCGCTCATAAAATTCCGAAAGTTGTTCAGTGTTTTTGGAAGAGTAGAATTAGCTAGAGGGAGCGTCTCGCTGGTAGGTTTTGTTTTTATAAGTGAGATGTGAATAGGGATGTTAAAAAATGTATGGTTCTTTACTAATTAAATAATGATTTGAAATCATGCTCATTATTTGCTTCTTATACACATAGAAGTGCGGCAGCAATTCGTGAAAAACCTAGGGTGACAAACCATAGTTGCTATCAGAATGTGTTTGCACCTGAAAAGTTCAACGGCTCACATTTTATACCACCGATTCAGGCAGGTATCTCAAAGCTCTTCGTGATCTCTGCAGCTGATTGTGATAATAATGTTGACTTGCCATAACAGGCCTGAAGTTCTCTTTCTCGCGACTCAACTCAAAGTGATTCTCTAGCGATACATGACCGTCACATGCACACTGAGTTTTAAGTTTGTTCACGTTGACTTGCATGAACAAGTCAGGTGTCGTATTCGAGTGTGTCACAGGTGATATTGGCTTCTCTTCCATAATGACGTCTTCCATGTCCCGCGTGTACAACGTGTGGGATTTCGTGCAAGGCATCTTCCTTTTTCGGACTCTGTACATCGCTGCTGTGGAGCCTGTGGATGAGGGAGTCTCAGAGCTATCCGTAGAGCATGATGGGATATCCGTTTTGTGACGGCGAGTGCCGGTTATGTGATGTGGTTTTTGTCGTTGAATTTCTTCGTTTAGTTTTCTGATTAACGGTAAATAATGTTACATGAATACCCTCGCGTGAATAAATACATACATAATACAATTTACTTTATATTGAGTATGCAGTCAACGGCTGCTATTTCTTTCTGATCTTGAAATACGGAAAAAAACCTAGGAATAGTGTGAAGAAGAAATCTATTTCGAAATTGCTATAATCTTCAACTTCGCATTTCATTTTAGTACCATATTTCACAGTAGAAATAGTTACCAAAGTTTCACAGTAGAAATATTAAAGAAACAAGTACACTGAAAAGCATAATAAAATGCATCGTATGTCGATTGACGGATCGTACGTGTGTTTTCTGCTGACAAACCTTACCGTCTTTTTCGTTCGTCCCACTGTACAAAGAGAAATGCCAAAATGAAAAGGAAGATGAACAATGCAGGCAGCAATGTTTGATAGATTGCTTCTGAACGAGAAATCTGAAATGTGTACATAATGTCAGCATCTTTTCACCACCGTGACCGTGTAAACCATACAATTATGTAAACAATTTATTGCTATTCGATAAATTAGCCGTGTCTGAGGAAGAGTCAAATAAATATGTAACTAAAAAATAGGCCGAAGATTCTGTTTAGCGTCAGCGGGTCAGACTTTCTCACCAATGATAATTGCTACCATACCTGTTCCGAGGCCATAGGCAGCCCAGCATGCAAGATTGTTTAATCGTAAGGTTATAATTGGTCTTTGTATCAGACTATCAGCGTATATTTAATGGCTGTTACAATGCATGCCGTATACCTTACGAATCAACCTTGTTTGTTGGGCTCCCTATGCACAGAACTTTGCATTTTGCTGTAAAGCCTTTATAAGAGCCTATATATATATATAGGTCTCACCTTGTATTCTCTAAACACGTCCTCTGTGTATTCTGGATCATAAAAACATGCATATTTTTCACCTATCTAGACGAAGAAAATAATCCAGATGATAAGGTTTTTAGTATACAGATGAGAATAAATTTAGTTAATGTGTCAGAATTCAGCATGCAGTTAGGTAGGTTCATGCCTACATGGCTTTAAAGAGTCCCACCTGCTGACTGCATGCTTATATAATACAAAACTGGCCATTCACTTACTCTTCCATATTTCTCGTGATATTTTTCCAGACAACTTCGAGAACTTGAACACTTGGTTTTGGTAAATAAACTTCCTTTTTCAAAAGTATATGAACACTATATAAAGAGATTTGAGAAAAAAAAACATGTCATTTGTAAATTACCATTAAACTGCATGCAAGTTTTTAAAAGGCACAAACACATTACCTTGGCACAGTGAAAAAGTGTTTGTTCGTTTTCCATTAAAACAGACAACTTTATCCCTTTGGTTGTCGTGTTGTATTTGACCTACATGGCATTTTTCGAACGAAGAAAATCATCAAGAAATCAACACTAAATTTGGGAATTGGGATAGGCCATAAAATGTGTATATATTCAGTATACCATGATTTGATAACACGGAGAAAACCGCTCTGTCTTTAAGCTGCAACTTCCTTTCTTTAATATGTCAACTTTTTGAACGGTACACTCGGTCTTCTCAAAGTTCAAACCTGCAGTCATCAGAAATGAGTCATCAGAAATATGTAAATGTTTGTCGGGCACGCCTACCAACATTTGCTATTCTAGTCAAATCACTGATGTTCCGTTTCAGACTCTGCATGTGTGACCTTTCCTTGCTGTTCTGGTGTCCCTTGGGCTTGGATAAAAAAACATGCATGCAGATATACCGAATAAATGAACAATACCCTTCCTTTCTTTCTTTCAATGATGGTTATAGCGACCAAATTCGTGTTACCAGGATCAAGAAACCGGCCAGAAAGCATGTGCACCACCTGCTACCATCGCATAAACTACTAATATTTGTTCTATAAAATATTTCCTTATGGCTTACCTCTTTGATGTGGAACTGTAACATACAAAACAATAAACACCAACATAACAGCAACCCCAATAAAACACGGTACACAAAAACACAACGGACATTTCAGTTTGTCTGCTACATTCTCTCGTAAAATCTCGCGCTCGCTCAAACGAGAACGGCGAAATTTCGTTGTATCTTGTTTGTTGATATTGGAACGATTTGTCGTTAGATAAGACTTAAGGCTTAGAAACCTTGGCATTTTTACCTAGAATATGTAGACGAAATCCTTCAAGGTTCAATATATCATCTCGTACACTACCAAGAGTCAGAACAAAAATAGTTATTGTTCGTTAGTTTGTTGTCCAATGTTGCCGGATAAAGGTTTGAATTTCAACGGATATAAACTTGAATTTTTGCAGTGTATAGCAAATATAATAAAGCTCATTTAATGCAAAAGTAAATAGAAGGGCAAACACCGGCGAAAGACAAATAAGTTCAATGGCAATGATTTTCGTTCCGCATAACTACAGGAGGTCTCTATCACCCTATGCGCTTATGTAATGTTCTGCGGTCAATGTTTTTCAAGTTTGCAATGTTTTGCATAATCTTTTACAGCTAGAGAACGGTATTGTGATCTAATGTCATATCTACCGTCATCTGGTGTTGTCTATTGTAATCTATCTATTCAGTCATAATTGCGGGAACCACAACTCCGAATAAGGTTCAACGTTTCGACTTCCTGATGATGACTATCTATTCATCTACCATTAGTTATACTATTCTGCTTTTTTTAATCGAGTATATCTAGAGCTATTGGAGCCATGCCTTCCAGGGAGGTGTGAAGGATAATTTCCCCTGAAAGAAATGACTGCGGGGGGCTTTGCAAGAATCTTAGTTTTATAAAAAAGACATTCTCCAGTTTGCAGTGAGCCGTTTCTTCTGATGTTTCCCGAGATTCCAGCATATAAAAACTTTCAGCTGAAAAAAGCAAGCGCGCAAGGGTGCTTGGGGTGGTTTTGTTTAGCGAGGAAGCTAAATTTGTCAAAACCACCCCAAGCACCCCCGCGCGCTCACGTTTTTTTTAGCTCACTTCTATACAATAACTGAATGCAACATAATTTTTTACTATTAAAGCGCCTGGGTACGAGGCTGTATAAAGTATAATTCAACTTTCAAAAAGAACTTTTGAGTTCAATGGTATCAAGTTGTATCCATTACCTCATCAAATGTGAAATGGTTTAATTCTATTCGACAGCCCAGTTGCCCCAGTCCTTTCCCGCTGAGCAGTGAGCACAGCCTGGTCCCAGGCCTTGCAAGCGAGCGCTGTGAACCGCCCATAGATTTTTTCACAGGTTGTTCAGGTTGTATAATTTTTGTACAATCGCACAACATAAACAAGACTATTTGAAGTTATTTTCGGATCCATTGCAGTGGAGCAAACTTAAAACTCTTTGTTGGTTTCATTTATAAAACTAAAAACTCGTGCATTGATGGAATGGATGGTATTTTATATTGAGAATCAAGCGTAATTTAATCATGGCTTCTACTCGTGTGTTAAGGCGAGAATATACGGGCAGACTGTCTTTAAAGACCACCGATCACAGCATAAAAACTTCACTGTTGCCAAAATTTTCTGCAAAGGCTTTGCCAAAAGATTCTCCCAAAACAGAGTTGACGATCTTTGACAATGAACAATTTCTTGTTGAACTTGGCAATGTTCTGTCTTCAAATGAATGTGCTGAAATAATCAGGAATACAGAAAATTGTCTGTTCGAAGATATCAGTGATAAATATCGATTTGGCAGGCAGAGGAGTAGTTTGAGATTATTAGCACTGGACAAGGTCTTGGCAGAAAATCTTTGGCAAAGTATTAACCAGGTGTTATTTGATGAAATCAAAGATAAAGGAGTTTCCATACAGCCACTTGGTTTTGATGTGACCAGAGGAGTTTGGGATCTGGATGGATTGAATGAAGCAATGAGAGTCAACAAATATTCAGGAAAAACAAAGGGTTTTTTTGGTCCACATAAGGATGCCCAATTCTGTCCCAATGGTGATGAGCGTTCGATAATGACTTTGCTGATTTATCTCAATGAGAATTTCAAGGGTGGTGAAACTTGTTTTTACTTTCCAAAAGATTCAACAGTTTGCTCTAAAGGGGAGACAATTGAACAGGAAATCAAGTTGCATGGTGGACTGAACAAAGGGTACAAATGTGTGCAAATTGTCCCAAAAGTTGGACATGCAGTGTTAAGCAGTCAGAACATTTTGCATGAAGCTCTACCAGTCTGCAATGGCTCAAAATACATCTTGAAAACAGATGTGGTTGTGAAACGCAGTGTAAAGGAATTTGGATTTGCTGTGACAGAGCTGGAGAAGAAAGATTACATGACATGCTTGAGTTACTTCAGACAAGCACAGCAGCAAGAATTAGATGGAAATTTTAATGTGGCAAGTGATCTCTATGAGAAAGCATTGTCAATTCGTTATTGCTACCCCATTACAACCAGTGGAACACCAAATGATAGCATTAACACTAGTGGTTACACCCAATTTCCTTCAGAAGTATGGGTACATCTCTTTGATTTTCTATCAGTATATGATGTACAAAATGTTGTGTATGCATACCCAGAGTTGAGTTTAGTTATGGCCACTTGGGAACAAAGACGAAGGAACTCTGCTGTTAATTTATTGAAATCCAATGTTGGTTTCTTACCAAAGATCCGATATCAAAAGGGAGTGATAACTTCATTTGAGTTTCCAGATGCAGAATTCTTTAAAGAAAAAATGGTAGACTGCTGTCGTGTAGCTGCAATGTACACATTCTTTCTTCTTGGCCATTCACCACAAGATAATGTCTACACAGTTAGATATAATCCTGATACTCAAGAAGTTTGTATTGTTGCCCTAGAAATGCTTCTTACTGATGTGTTCTATGGTCGGAGATGTTATGGATCAGTTTACAATGTCAGACAACAAGATCCAACAAGAAGAGATCCCAAAAAAGATTTTGAAGCCAGTGTTGATAGGGATTATATGTTGTTGAAGCATGGAGCAGAGTTTACTGGAGTGGGCCTTTCTGATAGCTTTCATACAAAAAGTATGGTCCATATAACATTACAGGATGACGATAGTAGCAATCTTAGTAGTGATGAGTATATTGATTATGGTGATGATTCCAATGATATTGGTGCTTGTGATAACAATGATAGTATCAATGATAATATTAATCATCATAGTGTTGATGCTGATGATACTGGTGATGCTGATGATACTGGTGATGCTGATGATACTGGTGATGATGATGGTGATGATGATGGTGATGATGGTGATGATGATGATGGTGATGATGATAATAGTAGTAGCGATGATGGTTATGGTGAGTCAGCCAGGAGAAAGACTGGAGTCTATTATGACAATCTTTTGCCATTTTATGGTGAAGTTGATAGAAATTTTTCAATTAATCAAGTTATCCACTTTTTACTTGTGTGTGCAGACAACAATAATGCACTATTTCAGGCCGAGGATTCTGAATTGGATGAAATATTTGATGATGACAATGAACGCTTGTATAAGGACATTGTTGGCAAATATTTTAACACAATGGAAGAAGAAGCCAACTATGGATCATGTTGTACACTTGTATCAAAGTTGAACACTCCTCTGACTTTTCAACGAGGTGAAGTATGTGTCTGTTTTATGAAGGATGGCACTGACGATGCAGCAGATAAACTAGCAAATAACTGCTCAACAGAATTTTTTAATCACCTTGTGTTTGATTTTCAAAAATCACAAATGAATGTAGAAATAAAAGAAGATAAATCAGAAAAGCAATTATGGGATGAATCTCAACACCCAGAGTCTTGTGACTTGGCAATTCAAGATGACATGGCTAGCATTGGGTGTACTGGTAAAATGGTTTTGGCTAATGTCAATATCGAGCCACTCTTGTCCTCAGATACATCATTCAATCATGCTTCTTGTCAGTGTGGACACCCACGTTTTGAGCTACAACAGTTTTACAGCCTTAAACATTATTTGCACTTGACAACGTTGACATTAATTGCAAAGGAAAAAGATGGGAAGATGATTGTTTGGACTGTCTATAATGGAATTGTTGCCCTTTAGGGCATGTTACAAAACTAAAGCAATAAACAATACTGCATTTAGGGAGATATAAGTTAATGCATCTTAATTTAGGCAAGGTTTGCATTCTCGAAACTTTAGAAGAGAAACTATTAAGAAATTCTGTAGCATATTCCACCTAATTATTCATATTATGTTGAATTACTGCAATTGGCACTTGTAGTTTAGAGCTTTCACTCCTATTTTAACATAGGTTACCTGAATTATATTGAATATATACCTGACCTAGTATTAATTGGTATTTTTTTTACCACTATGCTGCTGGTTGAAAAATAGTCAAACCTTTTTTATTGTTTGATTACCCGATGAAAAAGTTTTTACACGAATCTCACAAATCGATTTTTAGCTGAAGAATTATAAATCCGAAGTTTGTCGCTATAAGCATGATGTACTTCATATCATGTGAAATCAAATTCAATAATCGCTATAACTTTGCTCGCATTTGTGTTGTTTCACAGTGGCGTAGGAAGGGGGGGGGGCACTGGGTGCACGTGCCCCCCCAAGATTTTTCAAGAGACTAAAAGTGCCCTTTTTGTGAAAAAAAATGCCTTTTTGGGAAGCGAAAAGAAACAAAAAAGTATCTACTATTTCCCAATAATCCTTAAATTGAGAGGGATTTGCGGCCATTTCAGAGACCTATATCTCAAAATTTTCTCGGGGGAGCATGCCCTAACCCTATATCTCAAAATTTTCTCGGGGGAGCATGCCCTAACGAAAAATGCTCTGCGGTCGGCGCTCCCTGAATCAAACCGTCCTTTTATTAACTATTTTAACCGTCATTTTTATTAACCAAAAGTGCCCCTAGAAGCTGGTGCCCCCCAACCTCTGGATGCTTCCTACGCCCTTGTTGTTTCATAATATTCCCTTTTAGGCCGTTTTGGACTTGATGTCTTCGTTCTTCGTGTGACGTCATAACGTGGGATACGAATAGTTAGACTAGTAAGACTACACTACACCAGTGGGTCACCAGTGGATGACACATCCAGTGGATGACACATCCAGTGGATACACACGTACCACAAAAAAGTCCTATCCATCTAAGTTTATGACGTCACTCGGTGGATATGACATTCTCACATGGTTATTAGCCAATAAGAGGCAGTAATTTTTTTAAAATAAATAATCTTAATTTCATGTTGGCTCACCGGTATAATATTAGTTTGGATAAAAGTCATAAAACTGGAAAGTGCCACCTATGGCCCGCTAAACTTGCTAAATTCATACCGTAAAAAATTTCGATACATTGCAAGCAATGCCAAACTGCCAATGGCGTGGCCAGGCTGTATTTATTCAAGATGGCTCAGGGTGTTCACGGGCATACTCCACCATGGAAATATTGATTGCAGAGATGCGATTAGTTCAGTCTGCCTCTTGGGGATAATACTTTCGTTAGAAATTGCGCGTTTTTGGAAATGCTATTTGAGATCAAAACCGTGAAAATAGTCTTGGACCATTTGCCGATGACATACGCTGTGCGCAGTTACCTTTTTGGGTTTAAAGTTTAGGCTTCAAACGCGCTAGTATACAAAAAATTTGGACCAAGGAAAGTGGTTCGTTGCTGCGAGAGGCATTTAGGGTACCAAACTACCAAAGTCACTACAATAACTCACTACATGTATGTGTATATGTCAAGAAGCTGTAATATGTAAAAGTACTCGAAGGAATATAGTTCGTCAAGACGACCAACCATATCAAAATGTAAATGCTTTTAAAATATGGGCAGAAAAATGTCGAAACTTAAGTAATCGGCGTCATTGCTACAGAGCTTCGGTGTTGTTAAAAACGGGCAAATACAGTCGCCTGAAAAGAGCTTGGGTGTATTTAATTCTAAAATATTTTTACATCGTTTTTACATCATGAATATAATTCGGTTCAACGTAATTATGCAATCGGTATGAGCAACACTGTTAAATCATCGAAATATTCAGCTGGCCAATAATGCAACTGTTTGTTTTGCTTGGAGCATTTTCTCATTGGCTGGATAAAATATATGATTTTGTTATTTAAATTAGCTTGCAAGCAATTGACGCTTTGACAATGTGCTGGGGGAAAGAAATGAATGAAAATTTACAAGCTAAACCAGAATCAATTGTTCGCTGCAATTAAGTCGTTAATTAAAGGTATGATGTGTTAAAATGTTGCAAATATGTATAAATAAAACAAATATCAGCGGTATATGCGGAAATAATAGAGTTTAATGTGTGTCAGTAAATTATTTCAAAAGTATAACTACACTACCGTTTGGTACCTGCAAAGTTTGTCGCTTTATTGCCTATATAGTTCATGCAATATGTTGTTCTCGATCAAGTAACAAAGCTTGAAACTAAATCTGAATTATTTGGAAGAGTTAGCTATTGAGTTGATTCATAAGTAAGAAATGGCCTAGTTGATTCATAAGTAAAAAACTAGTTTCATGCGGCTAGACAATAAATGTTAATAAGAGTAGTATGTATGCTACCTCGAACATAAAACGCTAGTTATGAGTGTTATTATAGTTGGAAACATAATTCCTTCAAATTTCTTATCCATTCTAGACTATATTCCCTGTTCTTTAAACATAAGTATCATTCACTATAAAAGCTAAACGGACTTATATTAGTTATCTCTGTTAAAAGGCAACCGTCTACTGGATAAGAAAACTTAATACAAAACGCTCCCTGACATTACAAAGATTTGTTGAAAGGTCTAGTGAAGCCATGCATTCGTTTAATTCATCCATTGTTACATTAAATGCAGATAGATATATAACCAAACAAACTTGTTTAATGATTACGGATTTTAAAGCTATCAATATTAAGAGTCTTGTCTTATTGATTCAGTCAAAGGACGTCGACTGAATTGGACATCATTGTTAGTCCAAATAGAGTAAGATCTGCCCTTAACTTCTGACACGTAGGGAAAATCTTGCTATGTTTGGTAGAAGTGAAGCACGTCGCTTTTTTAAGCTAGCTAAGTAACATTTTACTAGAAAGTATATTGCAGGTAAAAGATAACTCAATATAGAAAACGTTTGTATTTTTTACCAGAGAATGTTCCTCGATCTTTCCATGTTTATCAATCACCTCTTCTTGATAATAAAGATATACTGTCAGCTTAGTATATTGATAAATTAAATCCATTTCTCGCTCAGTAGGAAAAGAATGTCTTCAAGTGAAGAGGATCCTCCATCCATATTGGTGGCAACACGTGTGGACGAGTTCGATGGACCTTTACCGCAAAAAAGCGCTGTAAGTTGAATATTGTGGATTTAAACCATTGTCTTGGAAGTATGGTACTGGGTAACTTAAACTAATATGTCATATTGTTCATTTCATATACTTAATTCATTTAATTGAACAAAAAGTTTCCTAAAATCGTGCCTAATTTAAACTTTAAATTTGACCGGTCCAATTGCGGGCCGCGGTCTTGTCCTGGGTACAAGGCATTGCCTTTCAAATAAGAAATTTGAAGTAATTATGAATTTTTATGAAATTGTTGTTGATTCGCATTCGTAAACACCTCGAAATTTACACTAAAACTTCCGCTCAGTCAATATTGACTTGTAATCACATCGCCTTTGGCGACTAAATGTTAAGTATTCAAGAAGCACTTTTTATGTGAAATGGGATTAAAACATTCATGAAAACAAGTGGGTGTGGTATTCCTAGCTCGTTTACATACTGTGACGTAAATTGATCAAATTATACGATTAACGCACGATAAAATCACCGGACGGAAAACATTAGTTGCATGCTAAATAAGCGGCAAAGGGGAATGATAGAGTGCGCCTGGACATGAATGTAAACGATTCTTTCAACATTGTTAATATTCTGGGTCGGGTTATATGAGGCAAGTGACAGAACTACTCAAAAATACAAAATGTACTTTCTTGGTGAATTTCCACCGACCTTTAAAACCGCACCTAAATAATTGCAGCAAGGGTCAGCATGCCAGACCATCCCCAATTTTGAAACAGACTTAGGGTAATGTTACACCATGGACTATCCACGCTTACACGAAACAACTTTCAACATCAACTCGTAACGCAACAATGTTTTGAAAAAGGTTACGCGTCGAATATGATATATATATATATATATATATATATATATATATATATATGTATATATATATATATATATATATATATATGCCAGACCATCCCTAATTTTGAAACAGACTTAGGGTAATGTTACACCATGGACTATCCACGCTTACACGCGAAACAACTTTCAACATCAACTCGTAACGCAACAATGTTTTGAAAAAGGTTACGCGTCGAATATGATATATATATAATATATATATATTATATATATATATATATATATATATAATATATTATATATATATATATATATATATATATTATATATATATATAAACTAGTTTGTAACACAGAAATTGTTTTGGAAGCAAGCTGAAAGTTTATAAACAGTTTTTATTCCACACAACACTGTTGTTTAGATTTTTGCTTATTGTCGCGTTGCGAGTTGATGTTGAAAGTTTCGTGTGACATTAGTCATTACTTTTAGTTTAATGATTTCCCGCCCTATGTGACTGCGCATGTGAACTACCCGCGATGTTTCGGCATACTTCCCCCACCCGGATTTAATTTCTTCCGATTTTTATATTCGTGAAAAACGCTATGCATGCTGCTGGTCCACGCACTGGGGGTTAGCATTTGCTACGCTGCTTAAAACGTTGGCAGGCAGCGGCTGTAAAACGATAGCCGGCTTATAATACGCGGGAAGTCTTTTGAAATAGTTTGATATATGTTCAATTACGTGACCCTGCATGATAATTAAATTCCTTCCCTTCTCGTTATTTCTCCGATGTAAATATAAAACCAGCAGACCAGAGCAGGCGCAGCTTGAGTTAATTTGATCCCCCTAAGATGTAGAATCATGTATAGAAAATACAGACAGAATACAGTTACAGAATATTTACGTAATACCATTTTTGGGCAATTACGTTATAATTGCCACTAATTGTTAGTGTTTATGCAATCTGATTCGCCGTTAACGCCTGTTCCAAAACATATGCAACTCACAGAAAGGTGTCGGTTCAATGAAACGCCTTTTCCTTTCAATAATTCCAGTCGCTTCTAGCATCTATTCAAAATCATTGCTTCGTATTTCATTATTTGATTTAAAATACGTCCATTTCTAAAAACATGTAATTTAGGTCAAGTTATCATGTCATTGTTACAAATAATTGATGTCGCGATGACCTAGGGTTACAGTATTGATACAGAAGGTTTCTTTTTGTTATGAATAAAAGAGTAAATATTTATTGTGCACTCGTGTTTCTTTCGACGTTAGATAAGTATACTAAGCTGTGTAATTTATAATAGGACTGATTATCTTATGAGTTTATATAAGATTGTAAAAATATATACTTACCACAAACGGTGCTGGGGTCGTTTCGTCAGTGCATGAGATTTCGACACTAATATAATGTGTTCGGGGTATTGCCCTTGTAACGCACAGATGCCAGTGGCTCATTGTGTTTATAATGGTTTTACATTGCCTTGATGCATGCAATCTCGATTTTTGACCGGTGTATGTAGTGCTCTCGGATTACAATTGACAAATATTTGCAATCTCGTAACGTTCCACGCCCCAGGATTATTTATTTTTGTGATGAAACAAGTTAACTTAATTGCCGCCTCATAAATATACATTTGTATGAAAAAACAGATTGAAAAAATAGAGCATTGTGCCAAGGCAGATAATAATTTTAATTAATTTTATAAGTTTTTATCTTATATGAAACTGATTTCTGTATGTTTTAGACTGATTGTCTGACAGTGGAAAATATTTAAATTCACTGTTGCACAACATGGTCGAATTAAGTTATTCACGTCACTTGTCAACAAAAGATTGATAGATTTTGCAGGCAATCGAGAAAATTATATAAGCCATAGAGTTGCGAATAGTTTTATCAGACTACCAGACAAGTTGTGGTTGGCATTTTACCGACTTCTCGTGTATCTTTTTGGAATATGCGTTCGAAGAAATTTACTGCATAAAAAAAATCTTTAGTTTTTGAGGAATCTCTGAAATCATGTGATTTTAAGCTATAATTTTAACATTTTACATTGCATATATATTAAGTTATCGTTCTATCTATTTTTACACACAGGTCTCACATTGATAGCAGTTTTGTGTTAAAATATTGACATTTCAATGTCTTAAGAACGCAAAAGATTTCGAAAAAAATCTGCATTTCGAATCTTTACAGAAGGGCCCTGCTAGGATCTTTAAGACAGCGCACTCTGCTGTCTATATTGGCGTGTTGGTCTCCGTCATACACATGCATTAAACTGCACCGAATATAGAAGGCGACAACGACGCTGCATGTCGATAATACCAGTGACACCAAGGGAAATATCATCACTGTATTATACACAGAGTATAGGATTGTTGGTCACACAACAAAATAAGCAGAACCTTATAACCCTTTACTACTATAAAGTTCTAAAAGAAGGACAGTTTTGATCGGCTAAACGACAAAAACAAAGTAATTAGTACAAATTGGTATAGTTTCATCAGACCAAGTTGATTAATCGAGACAAATTGCGTCGCACTGAAACGATGCATTCTTTATCGATAATATATATTTCTATCATCTCTACCGCACGTTAACACAATAATCTGATACTGTGGTGTTACATCCTTTGCGTCATCACATTGCATGCATGACGCGTATATCGTGCATGATGAGGGTGAAGTAAATGAGGGTGGAGTTGTGTTTCCAGAACTGAAAATCTAATTTTCAAGAGTTGTAAGTCTAGACTAGACTCTAGTAGCCTGAAGAGTCATGAGTTGAAACGAGATGTACACGAAACCCTTTCTTTTTACATTTTCATCCATTCATTCATCATGAATTATTGAAATACTTATCCAGGTGCTGAACAGGCTCTCCGATGAGTACCTAATCTAACCTTTCAAACAAATATACCTCGCATAAAAAAATAGAGAGAGCAGATGGAATTATGGAAAACCTGGCATAGAAAATTCCGAGTCACTCCGTTCGCCGCTATATTGATCGACCTTTTAGCTAGATTTCTATGCATGGCAGTCATTCAGATTTAATATTCATTATTGAACATAGATGGTTATATGGTTAAATGCATAAAAATCCATAAATAGTAACGCTCTATATTCAGTCTCTTGGAGCATCACTAGTATTTTTTTTTAAATTCACAGTCGATATCACCACTTTAGGGAAATTGTTGTCTTCTTAACATATATAGGTGGCCCCAACATGACGTCAAAGCGCCCATGTTGGTGTACAATTTCAAAGTTTCACTGTTAATTATCAGACAATGAAATTTATAGATTTTCGTTTCGGGGCGTACACCACGGCGGACGTAGACGCGGGTGAAAACCATCTATGTACAAATAAAGTCAGATGAATCAGATCTAAACTTGAACGGTCGGCCACAAAAACAGTGGAAACCGTCCAGCTCACGATGAGAGCATGTCTGGAATGCGGAATAGGAAAAGCCAGTACCTCCTTCATCTAGGGACATCATATAATATTTCTTGATACGATATTTCTTGATATGACACAACATGTGCCACCACAAGAATTTTAGAGTGTCGTGTTTGTGGTTGGACATTCACCAGAAAAGTTTTTTTGATAGGCATGTCCGGAACTCACTTGAATGCTCACGGTCACGGAAACTGCTTCAGATAATGTTGACAAGAAATATTTTGTAGTCTATTCGATTTTTTTGGAAGAAAGATATATAGTGGTAAATTTCCATGGTGCACAGTATATGATTAGATGGAATAACCTGCTGAAAATGTGTCCTTGACCAGAACATTGACGTAGTTTAGTAAGAAAACGTTCTTCTGTTATATGTGCAAGAAAAGCTAGCAAATTAAAAGAAAAATGCATGCATAATACGCCTCCGCTTTCAAGCAGAACGCTGAACATGCCTTTGACTTTGAAGGAATGCTGCATTTACTTGGCAGTACTAATGTAACGAATACTGACTTACTTTAACTTAGGTATCAATCCTAACTACGCTTACTATTCAACCTCAACGAGTTGCGTCATTTGAGGCTAGATAAGCTGCGGATCTTTACTGTAGGATTAGCTATATAGACTAGCATATGAAACAATGTCAAAGTTTTTTGAAGGCGTCAAGTAGGCGGCCTTGAACTTTAGTTCCAGTACTTGTTATAAAGTCCTTAGCCACCCCAAAAAAACTTAGAATATGAATACATCTGATCTTTAGTAAACGAAAAATCAATTTAGACACAACATGTCAATTTTAGTTTAAAAGACGTCGTCCATTGGGTGTGTCAATATTTGAGTATCCAACCATGGATCCAACGTAGCCGTAGGGTTATGCGCCAAAAACTATTTCACAAAAGCATTTTTAGGTACATCTAATATCAGCGTTTGTATGTTTTAGCACGTTTGAAACGTCTGGGAATATTTATGTCCTCATGAACGGAGGAACGAGCGGTATTCTGCATTCCTAAATTAAGTTCGGATTTAATTGACTAAACCACAACAAGATGTTTCTAGAAGTCCAGAACAACCGTATATGCATGCACTCTCCTTGACCCTTTATTGACCGGATATGACGTCCGTCCACATCCGGCGGTTAGCCTAAAATCATATCTCGCAAGTCGCAAAACGCAACAGAAAAAAATTGATTTAATTTACAATCTCACTTGTTTAAACCATTTTAGAAGAAGCGTAGCCAGTCCAAAAAGAGCCGCCGTCGTAGCTCGTCGAAGAAGCGCAGTTTTGAAAACCAGATAAAAGGCAGACAGGTAAGGAACTCGCGTGTGAATAGTTTCAATACCAAGGGAGGGGTGGTTGGGTGCATTCTGTATTGCAAGTAAGAATTCAACAGAATATTTATTGACTTAACCACCCGTCCCTCGTTTAAAATGACAATGAGACAGCTGCCACGAATATTTTCGCACATACTGGATTCAAAATGTTATAAAACACGCAGGCTAATCTCATTAACCCTCATTCAGTCCGACCTCAACACCAAAGAGCAAGTTAGGGCTGCCTAACAGTCTTTGCCCAAAACAGCAAAACATGGCTGATACGGTAGGTTGTATATAATGTTATGACGTCTCGTATCCGGATTCGCAGTACGTTACTCCTGAATAGTTAATGATTTGAATTGTTTTGCCTGCGAATTGCGAAGCGTTTAGGGCGATTATTTGCATATCAAGTGCCGTGTCTACTCGCTCTTGTCTGCCAGGCAAACCGTTCGTTTGCGAGCTTGTTTTGTTGATCAAAGATTGCAGAAGCTAAGAAACGAACTCTAACTGTGCAACGCATATAGCAGAAGCGGTTATTGGGCAACATTCTGATATCGTGTGGCTAGGTAATGGGTGTAGTTTGACTGCGTGTTTGACCTATTTCCGATCTAAACGAATAAATCTCAGGGTGGAGCAAAGTCACCATAATAAATTCGCCCTACAACCTATGCTTGTTACTCTTTGGTAACATTATTTGTTATTCATAACCGAACCAATCTCATTTTTGTATAACAGGACAGGATGCCGGATCACGACCCAACTTCGGCAGATGCTGAATGGAAAAAAATCCAACAACGAACATTTACTCGATGGTGCAACGAACATTTAAAGGTCGCAAATATCGTGATTTACGATCTAGAGACAGATCTGTGCGATGGAATAAAACTCATTGTACTCTTAGAGGTTCTCGCACACAAACGAGTCGGCAAGTACAACAAGAAACCTAACTTTAAATCACAGAAGCTAGAAAATGTCGCCATTGCTCTCAAATTCATCGAGAATGAGAATATCAAGCTGGTCAATATCGGTAAGTGAAAGTTGTATGGTTTTGTACATTATATCTCTAAGTGCTTTGCGCTAATTAAATGCTAACTGGCAAGCCTGTTTTTGCTTGTAGACAATATAACATGGTTTGAGGTGATATAGTATACTGAGTCTAATTGATATCAGATATAATACGGACCGTATTTGTCTGTCGTGTTATTTGATCTGTAAACTCGATTCATTCAAATCTAACTTCTGCTTAAATTCAACTCTTCCAAGTTTAGACTATGGTGTTAATGTTCCATGTCATTTTGAGGTGTTTGAGAAACATAATTTTTGCAACAGAACGAAAATTGAGACGAACCCCCATTGATTATGACAGACAGAAAGTAAGCTCACACCGATTGGTTCTAGTGATTAAATCTAGATTCGATCATTCAGAGAAGAAATCCGTCTGTTTCTAAGGTCATATATTGGTATATTTTAGTGAATATTTGGTCATAGATATACTTCACATTTAGCTTGTGTTTGTGGAACTTGGTTGGTCAATTATCGCTAAAATTTATCCCTTTATATAAAGCGCACATCAGATTGAATCCACGCTTGTGTCGTCGTGGGCGTAGGTTCTGTACTACAAACATGAAATCCCGCATGCCTTTCACCTTCGTCAAAACGTCGGAAATTCGCACCCATCGTATAAATGGCTGCATTTGTATAATTTAGGATATATTATGAATATGCGTTAAAACATAAATTAATATTCGTACATAAGCTGTCGCTACTCCTTACGAATTCCAAAATATAATTTGTTACAATTTATATCGTATTTCAGCCACGTGCAATGCAATGTATTCACAGTCGTTTCCACAATGTTCGCTTCTATGTACTACAAATTCGACATTTTTGCCAAAGTGTTTATATGATATCAATTATATGTAGTTATTGACAAATTGGGGTGTATTGGTATTAGCACAATTATGGCTGGAATATAAAAAACCTATGTAATGCATAATTACGGGCGTTGATTTGAACTTCAAGTTCATTGATTCCATTTGGGATACAGATGCTTCCAGAAACTGTTGCAATTAGACAGAGTCGCAGAGGCCTATTTTCGAATTTCTCGATAAATCTGCATCAATATTTATCGTTTGAGGAGGAGCCTATGTCGACTCGGATGGTATATAATATATTGCCCTATTTTGATGATTAGATTGGCTCAAATAAGAATATTCAATTAGCCCTTTGTGGGTGTTTTCATGGTGTTTTTATAATATAAATTCCATGCTTGCTAGAAAGTTCTATTTTAACCTTAATTTACCCCTTAATTCCAGTGGGCTGCTTCAGGAAAGACATCTACATTTATTGAGACCAAATAGAAACATGATGGCTGTCGTTCTAAAGCAATTTTAATGTTGAAATTAAGACCCTTCAGACTTACCAAATAAGGTAATGTTGACATACCCGAGTAATGTCAACTATTTTAAAGTCTGCTTCTTAACTTTATTTTAAACGCATGTTGGTTACTCTTCGGCAAATTTCAATCCAATTCATGGCTTACATTGAAATTTATTCGTTTAGTTTTACCTCGAAAACATACATCGAAGTACCGACTGCATTTTACACAGGAATTTTGCTTCGTTTGATTTCTCCCTAGAAGCTTTGTTTGCTTGAATTTATTTGGTGGTCACTTCCTGTACTTAAGAATGACAATATAAGTTCGTTCGGACTATAGAATTCTCTAGACACAATTAAAGACAGATAACGTTAGCTACAAAGCGAAAAAGTCGATATTGAAAATTGTTCCATTTCCGCAATAATTGCTTTGAATTGTTTTACTAAGTAAAAAGCAACTTTTTTTTAATTAATAATTACTTTGAAATCCTTATAAGATATTAGTAGGCGTTGGAATTTCGCTTTTCCGCCGTTAACATATTTTAGAATAGTTAAAAATAGCATTGATGATTTACTGTTAGCTATATAATGGGATATCATTTTCAAATATATTGATTTCTGTTTCACGTTTTTCTTGTAGTGTTAATATTGTTGGTATAAGTTATTGAATATCTGCACTTATAAGTTGTTGGTATAAGCTATAAAATGTCTGCATTTTCATGCCATTACCAATTCAGGGTAAATAATCAAAAAAATATTATTTTAGTTTTTGTTTACAAATTGCATCTTTGGTAATTGCTACAGCAATATTGTATTCTATTTTGGTCCTCAAGGGTTCTCCTCAATTACTTAATTGCTACATATTTTGCTTTTATTTTGCCTTGATATTAGGTTAGAAAATATAGGAAATATAATATTAGAAAAATGTAATGGGCACTGGGCAGATCTTGAAATATTCCATATTCAATTCTACCTAATACTACATTTTAGTTGATGGTTTTTGACACCTGTTAATCCTATTGCTTAAATATTCATGAAAAAGATAACAATTTCTGCCCAGTGAGCCACAGTATTGTGACGTTTCACTGACTGATTGACTCCTTCAATATTGTCTGATACTTTGACCTCTGCTACATTATTTTGCCGAAGTCATATTTCACAACAAGGTTGAGTGGCAGTCCTTCCTGTATCAAATCTGAATTTGCTGCTGGTCCTGTCAACCTTAATAGCTGATCCTTTCTTCTGCTCTAACTGCTAGTATTAAAAGAAGATTAACAATTTTCCTATCACATAATATATGATCAAATCAGATCTGAATGCAATTGTTTTGTTTTGATTCATTAAAAATATTATTTCATGCTGCATGTTTTTTTAAATCATGCCGCTTTTAATTTTTTTTTATATTTTTTATGTTTATTTGTGGGCAAGATTATCATTACAGACCATCTGTACAGTCATATAATTTTATACTCTGCTACACAATTTATCTGTGAAAACACTTCAACTTTTAAATTATATATCCCTGAAGACAAACCAGTACGCTCGCTAGTGGCTACCATATGCCGGTATCCACTTTCCTTATTCTGCTAGTTCCGACCTATCACCTTTGCCCTGATCAGATAGCTAGATCAATGAACCAGATGTTCTTGCTCAGGGAAAACGTCTGCCACACTACGATTTCGTTCAACAAAGCGTCAATTTTCCGCTACCCCAATGGCAAATTTGTTGACCAATCTTATTGGCAGTAATGCCAGATTTTGATTTTCGCTTCGCGCGAATAAAATGGCATAGTTGGTGCGTTTAGGAGACCCCTTATATGTATTTATCTTTTCGAGGGTTGGGAGTGACAGCCGCGCCTTATCGCATTATCTAAGGGCTAAGGCTAAGCTGACGACCTGTAATAACTGCATCTCTTCTAGTGTGAGAAATGAACGCCGAATCATGTAGTCAATATCTGGTGAATCGCAATAGCAAGAATAACGTATTGTGCGCTATTTTAGTGTAGTTTATCTTCATGTTACAACGCTTGGGATGAAAGAGTACTACTGAACTTCGTGCATTTGAAGCATTGATGAAATGACAAAAACCGTCAAAACTCAAAATAGAAATTTAAGGCGTTTAATACCTAGGTGCGCTTCACAAGGTGTCGAACCCTTGGCCTTGATATTTAATCATTCTCTACAAATACATTAAATTTTGGCACAAAAATATTACCAAATGAGACTTAATTGTACTAAACGAGGTTTCTAACTTTCAACCTTGTGCCTTCACAGACGCCGGTGACATCGTGAAAGGAAATCTTAAACTTATTCTTGGTTTAATATGGACCTTGATTTTGAAGTACCAGATCAGTATGCCTATGGGCGACTACGAATTCGACGATGGCGGCGGAGGGGATGGCAAAAAGAAAGACAAGGGAATGACCCCCAAGCAAGCTCTGCTGGCATGGGTAAAGAGCAAAATGCCTCCAGAGATCCCAATGAATAATTTCACAACAGATTGGAATGATGGTAGGGCAATTGCGGCTTTAGTCGATGCCGTCGAACCAGGACTCTACCCAGATGTAGACCCTGAGGATCTCGACCCTAACGATGCTGTAAACAACGCGAAGAAAGCGATAGAAACTGCTGAGAAGTATCTTGGTGTCCCACCAGTAAGTGTTTACCACAGAAGGGATAAGGTTTATCCAATATTCAGCGGCATAGCGCACGTTAGGTAGGGTTAGAACAAGATTTGTAAGGGCCCAAACCGTTGTGGGCGTCTGTCATGATTTTGATATGAGTAAACCGGACCCCATAGTACCAAATATACCTCAGTGCCCCACCCGTCTTGCCATGCACTGCCGATGTATTTGCACTGTTATAGTGTTATCAGAAGGGCTCTTTCGTAATTTAAAATGGCTCCTTGGATCAACTGGCTCTTGGATGGAATACTAAAATTGATTTTCAATAATTCAAGGTTCTTGACGCAGCTGACATGTGTAATCCTAAAGTAGATGAGATGAGTATCATGACGTACGTCTCCTATTTCCCGGATGCCAAATGCAAAGCTGGCGCCCCTCACCGCCCCCAGCTCCCTGCTTCCGCCAAGTGCTCTGCCGAAGGACCCGGCATCACACCTGAAGGTCTTGTGGCTAAGCAACCTGCTCCCTTCACCGTTCTCACCGCTGGCGCCGGCAAAGGCTCACCTCAGGTCAATGTGTTTGGACCAGAACGAAGTAATATACCCGTTGAGGTGGTTGATAATGGAGATAAAACATTCTCATGCTTGTACTCACCACCTGAACCAGGTATGTCGGGAATTTTTTTATATTCATCTGTTGACAACAAGTGTTACAAATTTTTCAATGTTTTTCACAAGGTATTTACGATGTTCATATCAAATGGAAAGGTCGACATATTCCTAAAAGTCCCTTCCGTGTCAGAGTGGCCTCTGATCTGGACTCTAGCAAGTGTTACGCTGAGGGACCTGGTCTGAAGTCAGGCATTGTTGAACATCAATGGACCAATTTCGTCGTCTATACCAAAGGTGCGTGGAGTAGTTTTATGATGTTGATGATGAATATGTTTAGACTGCACCCATGTGGGGTGCATTGTTAAAATTTTTTAATAGTACACTATTTAATTTATACACAGATTTAGTGCCAAACGTAAGGTGGACTATCTTGTTAGGTGCGCTGGTGTATAAGTCACAATGAGTCAGTTGCGCTATTTTCCTACTCTATTAAGTTAGGATGCGTCGAAAAATCGATACCACAAGGCTTGTTCACGCGTATAGAGAGGCGATCGACAAATTCAGGTTCTTGATTTTGGCAGGCGAAAGTGATATTAACAACTGGGTTTATTTCGTATCACAGCAAAACCTGCCCCCGCTTGGCGCGAATAACTTCGCTTAGTGAGAATGCCTTTTTCTGTAAGCTCGCGTTGCTATTAAGATTGGAAAGTGCATCCCCACTCACTGGCATTGCCAAAGACGCACGTTATGAACAATTCAAAAAGAAACATGAATATTCCAGGTGCTGGACAAGGAAAACTTCAAGTCGACATAATCGATCCTCACCTGAGCAAAGTCGAGATGAAAATTGAAGAGAAAGGCGAAGGAGAATATCACGTGTTGTATAAACCTATGATTTATGGAAAGCACACAATCAATATTAAATTCGGTGGGCAACATATCGCTAAAAGTCCGTTCCATGTCAACGTGGTGTCATCAAAGAAAGAGGCAATACCTACCAAAGTAAAAGCGTATGGACCAGGTGAGAAACCTAGGCTACGTTCACGTTGTACGTCGCGAGATGAACAATTTCTGTTCAATGCAAATAAGTTTACTGTTTCGTAACTTGGTGTCGTTTTTGCAGTTTAAATCTTAAAGTATTTCTGTTTAGTGGACGTGAGCATATTGCCCTCGATTGTGTCGTTTTTTCTGATTGTACAATTCAGTCACGAACCTATAAACGTGTTGCTAGCACTTCCTAATCAAAATCTTGTCTTCCCAATCATAGGTTTGGAACCAAAAGGAATTGTGGCAACAACTGACGCAATTTTCACTGTCGATGGTAAAGATGCTGGTGATGGCGAGCTAAAAGTCCTTATCAAGGGACCTAAAGGAGAGGTACCTTGCGATATTAAGGACAATGGTGATGGTACCTACACTTGTACTTACAAAGCACAAGTGGCTGGTAGACATACTATTACCATTTCGTGGAGTGGTAAAGCAATACCTAAAAGTCCCTACAGGATTGAAGTGTCACCATTCGTTGATATCACTAAAATTAAAGCTTATGGTCCTGGCCTTGAGAAAGGTAGGTTGATGGCATTAAGAAACATTTTCGATGTCCATCGAAACATTTGCGTAACCACGTTTAACTGTTTTATGTGCGTCTTTTCAGGTGTCGCTGGCCAGCCGTGTAAATTCACAGTTGAAACAAACGGAGCTGCCGTTGACAGCCTTGGCTTTGCTGTTGAAGGCCCTCATCAGGCAGAAATCAAATGTCGAGATCTTGGCAATGGAAAATGTGAAGTGATCTATTATCCTACAAAACCTGGAGACTATACAGTACATATTACTTGTAACGGCAAAGATATTCCTAAAAGTCCCTTCACTGTCCCTATCACACCTGGAGGAGATGCTAGTAAGTGTTATGCTGAAGGTCCTGGACTGGAGCCCGAAGGTCTTGTTGCAGGTAAGAAAATAAAATGCATTTAGGTTTTTCTGCGTACATAGATAGTTAGATACAACCGCATTACCTTAATGAAATGGGTCTGCTAGGTTTAAATAACGTGAGAAACATGACAGTGCATGGACACTTGAAACAGTGCCGCCGAATAGAGTAAAAATAAGCCTATTGGAGTGAAGTAAAATAGTGATGAAATTGCACAATACATTACCGAGGACGAAATCGTTAAAAAGTGATTTGTTTATTCTCTTCGTAGGTGTTCCTGCTAAGTTTACGGTGTTTACGAAAGGAGCTGGAGTTGGCGAAGTTGAGGTGACTGTAAAAGACGAAAAGACTGGACGAAGCATGCCGGTCGAAATTCTTGACAACAAAGATGGAACTACATCTGTCGTATATCATCCCGACAAACCAGGCAAATACACCATTACCGTCTTATTTAATGGCAAACCTATCCCCAAGAGTCCGTTTAAGGTGAACATTAGCCTGAACAACCCGGGCAAATGCAAGGCATTCGGACCAGGGCTCGAGAAGTCGACAGTAGGTCAACCAGCAAACTTCACAATCGAAACAAAAGACGCTGGTGATGGAGGATTGGGTCTGACAATTGAGGGACCCACAGAGACTAAAATTGATTGCAAAGATAATGGAGATGGATCTTGTAATGTCACATATACTCCTGAAGAACCTGGAGATCATTTAATCAATATACTCTTTGCTGACAAGCACATTCCCGGAAGTCCGTTTACAGCTAAAGCCTCTTATCCAGTTGATGCATCTAAAGGTAATATTTAGCCGCTTGTTTATTAGCAACCGTAAAATTATTTTCAATATTCATCAATATCTCAGCCACCTAGTCATTACTGAACTAATGTCCTTGAAGTAAGAGGATGTTGCGATATTAAAGACCTATTTCACCTGGTTAATTTTAGTTGTGATTGGTGGTCCTGGCCTGGAACCTGGTGTGAAGGCAGGCTTGCCTGCAGATATTGATATCGATACGACCAAGGCAGGAGATGCTCCACTCGAAGTCGAAGTTCTTAACCCGCAAAATAAGAAGGTCAAGGTTGAAGTCGACGAGGAAGAACCTGGAAAATTTGCTGCAACCTACTATCCGGACAAGCCAGGTAGGAATATGGTGGAGCTTTAGGAATAAATTACGGTAGCTGGTTCTTGCATTCGGTGTGTTAGGACATAGTTTTGTTAGTTTGAAATCGAGCTTACTTGACTTGTAATATTATCTTGCAACATCATAGGCAAACACACAGTGAATGTGAAGTATGGAGGAAAGCATGTTCCTAAGAGTCCCGCAAAGATTGAAGTAAAACCAAAAGGTGATGCGAGCAAATGCAAGCTGAAAGGACCTGGGTTGGAGTCACCTGTGGTAAACGAGCCGACGAACTTTGATGTGGATTGCAAAAGAGCAGGTGTGTAAAAATTAAATTCGCTACAGACATTTTGCATTTGAAATATAAAGGATTTTATGCACTGGTATTATCTTATACTTGTATTCCTGTTCTATACAGGCGAAGGAGACCTTGCCCCAACTATCACAAGTCCATCGGGAGAAAAAGTCGAACCAATTGTTAAGGACAATGGAGATGGTACATATAACGTAGAGTACACGCCGACAGAGGATGGTCCCCACAAAGTTGATGTTAAATACGACGGAGACTCGATCCCCGGTACCCCTAAGGAAGTCAATGTGCTGCCAAAAACGGACACAGGAAAAGTTAAAGCATATGGCCCTGGACTCGAGGGCGCTCTTACGGGACAAAAAGCTCAGTTTACTGTGGACACCCGCGAAGCAGGTGTGTATGTACGGCAATGAGAATCTGTGCTAAATAAGAATGAGAATCCTGGCCAATCTGTGCATAAGTTTAATATACAAAACCATGCTTGGGGAGAATCATTTCGATTTCCAGATTTAAACCACATTTAGCAACTCCACAATTTCTAGGATTTAGATTTTATTACAACCCCACCTGAAATCGTAATTGGCCAAAACGTGGAATATAATTTTCTGGTTAACGTCACCTACTTAAAACAAGTCTCTATTGTAATACAGGTCCTGGTGGTCTGAGCCTTGCAATCGAAGGACCCTCGGAGGCGAAGCTCGTGTGCAAAGATAACAAAGACGGGACATGTTCTGCCACTTACGTCCCAGAAGTGCCAGGAGAGTATGATGTGCACGTGAAATATGCCGACGAACACGTGCCGGGCAGTCCTTTCAAGGTCAAGGCTGAGAGGCCTGTCGATGCAAGTAAGGTCAAATGCTTTGGTCCTGGTGTGGACAAAGCACCGTTGTTCGAAAGCGCTCCCACTCATTTTACGGTTGATACGGCTGAAGCTGGCGACGCTCCCCTGGATGTTGTCATAGAAACACCAGATAAAAAGAAGATCAAGCCAAATGAGATAAAAAAGATTGATGATAATACTTATGAAGTGGAGTACACACCTCCGAAAGAGGGTGAGTGAAGAATTGTCTTTGAGAACTTGTGTTACCAATTGTGTTGTTATTTAGTACCTTATCACTTTAAGAGTGATAAATGAGGTTAAATATTTTATTGATAGTTTAGTGTAATAGTAACTATACTGTAATTTGATTCGGATTTATACGACTATTATACCTTACAACATGTAAAACACCTTAATTTCCATTTGTTTCATAGGTCGCTATGCTGTGGATGTGAAATACGGGGACAAGCCAGTGCCTAATAGTCCTTTCAGAGTCCGAGCCGGTCCACCTTATGATGCCAGCAAGGTTAAAGTCAGTGGTCCAGGGGTAGAGAAGACTGGTATAGTTGCAGAGGAGGTTACCAAGGCTATAGTGGATACAACGGAGGCTGGCATTGCTGATCTCTCAGGTTGGTCAGGGCTTGGTTAAATATAATCAGCGAATTCATCCACTAAAAAAAAATCAAATGGATTTGCTAAGAAGATATTCACTCTTGTTTGACCGGATCTGTGTAATTACGGATTAAACTGTGTATTCATTTTGTTCATTCCACTTCGTTGTAGCTATTCTGGAGACGCCTTCAGGAAAGAAGATTGAGCCAACCATCACTCCCGTGCCTGATGAGCCTGGCAAATACGAGATCGCGTACGTACCTGAGGAGACTGGTAACAACAAACTGAACGTCAAGTATGGCAAAGATCATGTAAAGGATAGTCCATTCCGTGTTAAAGTGGCTCCAAGTGGCGATGCTAGCAAAGTGAAGGTGAGCGGCGAAGGAATTGAGAAACCCCGTGTTGGACAATTGGTCGACATCCTCTTCGATACAACTGAGGCTGGCGAAGGTTTGTTTTTATTTTGTTTTTTGATCGTAGAGGTGTCGCATTGATAAAAAACCAGACCTGATTATGAAAACGATTACGTTCAGCAACGAACTAGGAACAAGCCCTAAACGGTATGAATAAACTTTATAGGAAAACCACGTTGTAATATCAAGTCCCCATCCGGAAAAGACGTCCCAGTTAACATGATCGACAACGGCGATGGTACATACACATGTCAATGGACACCTACAGAAGAAGGTACGACCCTAATTTCTCTCATATCTCTGAGGCAGGGCCGCGTGTGTAGGTATTGTGTAGGTTGGATTGCCAGCGGAAAATTTCCGCAACAAGAAAAAAAAATTGTATGCCTAATGTTTCTAATAAAACGAATGTGTTTTATTATAAAGGTGTACACGACGTCGACGTAACGTATGGTGGCGAACCTGTCCGAGGTTCACCATTTAAGGTAAAAGCTGTGAGGCCACCGGTGATTGAAAAAATCAAATCAAATGTCATGGATGAGGTTGAAGCACTAAACCCATGCGTTGATCAACCTCTTGAGTTCGGAGTCGATCCCAGGGAAGCTGAGCCTGAGGGAGGCAAAGGTAAACTCACGTCGTCGATTGTAACACCATCAGGGAAAACTGAATACCCGCATGTCCGCGCTAACCCAGATGATACCTATGCTGTGACATATACACCAAAGGAGCCTGGTATCTACTCGCTCAGTATTATGTATGATGATGAACCAATCCCTGAAAGTCCGTTCCAATTTGAAGTTGTCGAGGGGGGCCCAGAGAGAGTTATCGCTTTTGGAAAAGGTTGGTTTTATTTGAATATTTTATGCGGGCGATATTTGGTCCGAGATTTTATATGTTATCCTTTGATTGAACGAGGCTCATCCCAACTTCAACAGGTCTTGAACGTGGCATTGTTGAAGAACCATGCGAATTTACAGTTATCACAAAGGATGCTGGGCCTGGTGGCCTATCCCTTGCTGTTGAAGGGCCGAGTAAGTCTGAGATACAATGTGTGGATAATGGCGATGGATCCTGTTCTGTCTCATATGTACCTAAAGAACCTGGTAAGTACCTGTTTGATATCTTATATCTGTTTGATTTTATCAGAATTTAAAAAAGGTACTGAAATTTTCTGTTTATATTACTTGATGGCGATTTTTCGTTGGCCATGTAGCTAATATTATTTCCCAAATGAACTTTAGGTGAATACAATGTTGTTGTCAAATTCGCGGACAAACACATCCCTGGTAGTCCGTTTGCCGCCGAGATTTTCCCGAAGGGAACTGATTTGCGTGATGTGAAAAGAGAACGGCCAGTCGTGGGCAAACCATGTGAAGTCAAACTTGATATTCCAGATGTTGATGTAGAACGTGACTTTGAAAATCTGAAAGGCACACTAAAGAGGCCTGGAAGCGACAAGGAAGAGCCAGTTGAGTTGACTAAAAATCCTGATGGAACCGTTGGTGTCACTTTTACCCCATATGAACCAGGTATGTACCTGTAAGGATTCTTTTCTATAATTTACCAGGAAATTGTTAATATTATGAAATTAATTGTAGGTGAGCATTTGATCAGCATAAAGAAACGTGGCAAACATGTTCAGAACAGTCCATTCAGCGTTATGGTCCAAGCCCCTCGCCTTGGGGACCTGTTCTCATCTGGTCATCCCGCTGAAGTCGATCTTAGTAACATCAAAGGCCTGAATCCCGAAGACTTTGACAAGCTCACAGCTACACTCCGACGACCCAAAAGCAAAGTTGATGAAAGTGTCAGACTTATTAAATACCCTGATGATGCTATTGGTGTGTCATTCGTCCCTCGTGAGCCTGGAGAACATTTCTTAACAGTGAAAAAAGATGGTCGTCCTATTCCGGGAAGTCCATTCTCGATTCTGGTTGAATCTGAGGAACCAATCAATGCTGTCAGTGCTCCAGTAGACGCAGTTCTTGACCTGCCCGGCCTGAATCTGCCCGATGATTTCAAGAAGCTCAAAGGTATCTCTTTGGGTTTTTATTTGCATTTTGAACGAGTGTTGTGAAAATTTGTGCCCATCATCCACTCTCAGCTGTTGAATTTCTTTTAATCTCTAATATCGCGTTAATTCGTTCCAGGTACTCTCAAACGTCCATCATCTAAGGAAGAAGAACCCTTAGACCTCGTCCTCAATTCCGATAACTCCCTTTCAGTATCATTTATCCCTAAGGAGACGGGAAAACATTTAGTTGGAGTAAAAAAATTCAACCGCCATGTTAATGGTAGTCCTATACCAGTGATGGTGACATCCCCAGAACCCGTGAACCGCGCTGGCGTTCCCTGCGGTGTTGGACTTGAGGATATCCCCGTTGAAGACTTGCCCAAACTGGAAGCTGGAATCCAACGTCCTGGTTCCAACATCGAAGAACCGATTCGCATCAAACAGAATTCCGATAATACTCTATCCGCGTCTTTCGTACCACACGAAGGAGGACCACATAAGCTCCACGTACGCAAGGATAAGAAACCGTTACCACAGAGCCCATATATTGTGGATGTTATGGATAAGGATAAAGTCGAGGAAGTTCATCCGGTCGGACGAACGTGTGATGTTGGTCTGGATATTCCTGGTTTGGTATTACCTGACGATTTTGATAAGCTTGAAGCGACAATCCAGAGACCAAACAGCGACAAAGAAGAACCTCTTAATCTTGAATTGTACCCTGATAACACCCTAGGTGAGTTAATATTGTAATCACAGGCCGGTATTCGCACGGACAGGACAGGAAAGTCATGTGTGTTTAAGGTCTTGAGAGTACAGAGACAATAAGCTTTTCTGAAGGTAATTTGACGAGTGGAAACAGGCCTATTAGCTGAACAACTCTTATCTGTTTTTCAACGATTATTGAATCACTGTTGCCGTAAGTGAATAAAATATTTATAAATTTACGTGTTTAACAAGTATTTTCTTTTTTCAGGAATTTCCTTCGTGCCATTAGAACCTGGTGAGCATCTTGTGCGTGTTAAGAAATCTGGGCAAGACGTTCCCGGCAGTCCTTTTGCGGTCATGGTAGAAGCTGCTGAGGCCCCGAACGCCGTCGGCAGGCCATGCGACTGTCTATTGGATATTCCTGAATTGAACTTACCTGAAGACCTACCAAAATTGAAATCGACTTTACGACGACCAGGTTCAGATGTCGAGGAACCAATCAAACTGAAAGTTCTGTCTGACAACACTCTTAGCGCTTCATTTGTTCCCAAATCTCCAGGCGAACACTTAATCACGGTGAAGAAGAACAACCGTCACGTGACCGGAAGCCCGTTCCCTGTCATGGTAACCGCTGCTGAACCTGCAAACCGGGTTGGTCAGCCTGCTGGTGTTGGTTTGGAGAACATACCTGCCGAAGATCTGCCAAGGCTTGAAGCTGGGTTACAGCGACCTGGGTCTGAAGTTGAAGAACCAGTCAGAATCAAACAAAACTCTGATGATACCCTTTCAGCGTCTTTCATTCCGCATGAGGAAGGTGTCCATAAGCTTCACGTAAGAAAAGATAAGAAACCTTTGCCAGAAAGTCCGTACTTGGTGAATGTTATCGGCAAGGATGTCGTGGAAGAGGTATAAATATGATGTGATTAATTTAATATTCACTACACGTTGACGTCTTGAAGACCTTTTTGCAAGAGACGGATTTCATTACTATTGCACAACTTTTATAGGTGCACCCCGTTGGACGCACGTGCGACGTGGGTCTTGATATACCAGGTGTGGTGTTGCCAGATGATTTCAAGAAACTATCAGCAACGTTGCAGAGACCAAGAAGTACAAAAGAAGAGCCGGTTAGTTTGGAACTGAACCCTGACAACACATTAGGTATGTCCTTTATTATTTTTTGGAGAAACTATAGATTTTAACAGTTAACAACCTCGACTATTCTAACCCCTGTCTTTTGAGCATCACTTTTCTCAGTTATTTCGAACCACTAGTTATTTGAAAGCCCGCAAAATGTAATGTAGTCTGGGTGTACGCCTTCAGTGTTTTGAAAAACAGTTATCTTTAAAAGGGAATGCAAAGTCTCTCATGATCAGGCCTTGAAGTCCCCATGTCATTTCGATTCACTCGATGATCTCTTCCAGCACATGAGATTATACCCTTGATTTTACCAACATTGATTTACTAACATTGATTCACTAACATTGATTCACTAACATTGATTCACTAACGACGAACGTTTGACGATGATTTACATGTCCTTACAAGATCATTGCCCCAAGGTCATGCATCCTTGCTAGGAATAGAGATGAACTGGTTATTGTCACCTTGACGGACCTGCGCGATCTGACTCAGTTCTCAATTTTTAATTCAAACACACGCATCTCTATTTTCATGCTCGCGCCCTTGTTTTTTCTCTTTTCTGCGCTTTATGGCGTATTCATGCGTTTTTCGTTTAACAATTAAACCAGGACGCAGTTCATTCTAAACATCCGCATTAACCTTGTATTGTATGTGATTCACATAATGTGAACATTCTCAATCGCCCTTAAACTCGCGCGTTCTCAATCCGTTCTCAATCCGTTCTCAATCGTGAAATGATCTTTTCAGCGCACATCTAAATTCTAAATACATCGAAACCCACTCGTGCTATCATCTGAAAGGCAAGCGCAAAGCATTGCAAACCACATGATTAAAATTCGTTCAATTCGCGCATTTTAATATCACGAAATTCTTTGCGCCTCCCCGCAAATGTATTCATACTTTTTGTTAAATAATAATGCATTTTTCAGATCAGATACGCAACATCTACTTCGAAGTGCTGCTAATTATTCTAACATCTAATATTCTTTCTAATCATTCTTACACCGTGTTGATTTTAAAGGTATCGTGTGCTAATGTCTCTAATTAATGTCAATGATTTTGAATGTATTTTAATTATATATATTGTGATTCTACTAATCTGATCTAATAAAACTCCAATGAATAATAAATCAATGTAACAATGAATGTAGTAGATTTTGTATGTTCATAATTACTAATTTTTATGTGAAATTATTTACACGAAATGTCAATTTACTAGTATATCATTAACACAAATTAGATACTAATCAGCAATGTATCAATATCCATGATTATCCATCGGAACCAATTTTTATCTACCCTATCCCGATATACCCAAATTATCCTGAAGTTCCTGGCCGTAATCCAGTGCAAACCATATACATCTTGACGCATTCAGACAATCGTACGTATCTATGTTGTATGACACTTTCTAACCATGTACAACCTCAATTGTCCCCATACCAGGCGTGACCTTTGTACCTAAAGAGCCTGGTACCCATTGGATTCGTGTCCGGAAGTCTGGAAAAGAGGTACCTGAAAGTCCATTCCCTGTCAAGATTGAACCCACAGAACCCGAATATGCTGTCGGTAGTCCTTGCGACGTGCCTCTTGATGTAGAAAACTTGCGACCCGAGGACTTGCCCAAATTAACGGCCACTTTGAGGAGACCTGGGTCAAAGGAAGAAGAACCAGTCCACCCCAAGATAACGTCAGATGGCAACTTGAGTGTATCATTTATTCCCAAATCCCCTGGGGAGCACTTGATCACTGTCAAGAAACGTAACCGTCCAGTACCTGGCAGTCCGTTCTCTGTCATGGTGACGGCTCCCGAACCTATCAATGAGATCGGTAAACCCTCTTGCGCGCCACTTGAAAACATTCCAGTGAAGGATCTTCCAAAACTAGACGCCGGATTGATTCGACCTGGATCAACAGTTGAGGAGCCGGTGACAATTAAACAGACGTCAGATGATAATCTGTATGCTCCCTTTATTCCACACGAGGAAGGACCACATAAAGTCAATGTTCGTAAAGATGGAAAACCTGTGCCCGAAAGTCCGTATACGGTTGACGTTCCGCCTAAAAAGGAAGAAAAACCAGTAGAGGAGGTCTACCCTGTAGGCCGACCATGTGATGTTGGTCTGGACATTCCTAGTGTGGTACTGCCTGATGACTTCAAGAAGTTAACTGGAACATTACAGAGACCAAGCAGCAAGACAGAAGAGCCTGTGAATTTGGAATTGAATCCGGATAACACATTGGGTAAGATTTTGAGAGTCCCATTGTACCTAGGTACTTTGGACCAAGTAGGTGTTCATTAAAATATCCTTTTTTTAAATTAAATATTTATTTATTTATTTATTTATTTATTTATTTATTTATTTATTAAATATTGCATTATTTATTTTTTATTAAATATTGCATTCACAATTAAATAGATTAAATTCGTTAAATAGTGTTAAGGGCTAAAGATATAATGTGTTTGCACCATTTCATAACTTTATATTGAAGGCCACAAAAATCTGTAGCCATTATAATTTTCGCAATGAAATGATAACTTTTTAACTACCAATAATGTCTAACTAAATTGCACTGTAATAAAATTAAAGTATATGTATTTGCACTTCGGGTCGAAAGATATGCGAAACTGTCGCCAACCAAGACCTTTCTCACCATACTACTCGTGACTTACACCTGCCAATGCACGGGTTTACCTTCAACTTATTATGTTCAATTGTGTCACAAATATTTTACCACACCTGAGCGAATGCAGCACTGTATTCTGTTTGTTTGTTTCAAACACCTGTTTCTGTGGTAGATCAACCACTGAATATACTTGCCATTCACCTCCACAATGCTAGCAATAAACCACTGTAAGCCATAATTATCGGTGTATTCCAATGTTGAACCCCTGTTCAACTATCATATCACTGGCATAGAAAATATACTAGCGGTGTAAACATTATACCGTTGATCCGATATGCCTAATGCACCAAATCACTGTATACGTCTTAACATTGTACAATTGTGTCCACATTGCAGTAGATATTGTGGAATTCTACCGAATGTTCCCTTTACGCTTGCATGAACCAGCAGTATACATGCACCTAATTCACCACTGTACTTGCGTGAAATAAAACTTTCTGGTATGAATTCACCATTCTCTGTGCACCCGTTGAATATTGAAATATCACCAAAAGGTTCACCATTATACGTGCACCATACGGCCTAGTTAAATGCACCATATATCGTTACTTATACGCGCATTATCACTTACCATCATGTCTAATAGGATGGTTTGACCATGCACCATCTATTTTGCAGTAGATACTGCTTATAGTTTATTATAATGCAATTAGAATTGCCTCTAGAATTGCTGTTGATGCTTGTCGAGTTTCCATGTAATGTAATTCACACATCGTGACCACTTTAATATCTATCCACAGGTGTCACTTTCGTTCCGAAAGAGCCTGGGGAGCATTTGATTCGCGTAAAGAAATCAGGTAAGGAGGTCCCAGAGAGTCCGTTCGCTGTTATGGTAGAGCCTGCCCAACCTGAATATGCGGTTGGCGCTCCTTGTGATGTGCCGCTCGATGTGCCAGACCTTAAACCTGAAGATTTGCCAAAACTGACAGCTACCCTTAAGAGACCTGGATCCAACGTTGAAGAACCTGTCCATCCTAAGATACTATCAGATGGCAGTCTGAGTGTATCATTCATCCCTAAATCGCCAGGCGAGCACTTGATTACGGTCAAGAAACGTAACCGTCCAGTACCTGGTAGTCCGTTCTCTGTCATGGTGACGGCTCCTGAGCCAAAGAACGAGATCGGTAAACCATCCAGCGTTCCTCTTGAGAACATTCCTGTGAAAGATCTTCCGAAACTTGATGCAGGTTTACTTCGACCTGGATCGACAGTCGAGGAGCCGGTGACTATCAAACAGACATCGGATGATAATCTTTATGCACCATTTATTCCACACGAGGAGGGACCACATAAAGTCAATGTCCGCAAAGATGGCAAACCTGTTCCAGACAGTCCCTACATTGTCGATGTTCCTCCCAAAGGCGAGGAACAACCCGTTGAAGAGGTCTACCCCATGAGCAGACCATGTGATGTGGGTCTCGACATCCCGAGCGTTAATCTTCCAGATGATTTCAAGAAACTAACTGCAACTTTACAGAGACCAGACAGTAAAAAGGAAGAACCCGTTACCTTGGAACTTAATCCTGATAACACACTTGGTAAGTGATTGTTTTTAGTGCAAAGTTTGAGAAACTTTGCAGTATTGTGATGAGTGGCGAAAATTCAAACGAGTCAGTAAGTCAGTCAGTCAGACAGTCAGTCAGTCAGACAGTCAGTCATAGTGTAAACTTTACGGGGGGTAGATTGATTTATGCGTATACTACCTTTTTGTATATGATCAGTAATTTAAAGTTTTTAAATCAGTTTAACTTGCTTTATTTATTAATTCTCTACATCCCTTTTGCTAAGTTCACCAAAATATTGAGGAATTTTGACCGTTACTGTAAATTTTGAAGCATTGCTTTTCCGCGGTTTGGGTTTTGTTTCAAAGGGATTTGCGCAGATTTGCCCCCGGAACACCCGATTTTTTTCCTATACGTCGCAACTGCGCATGTGCCGTCGAGCCTTCAACATTATTCACGATGTAAAGAAACGAGGAGCGACGACCATTGCTTCAAAACATTCCGGGCGTAAGAATCGTGCAATTCTTTGAGAATCTACGCAATTTATGAACTTATGTTATGAATTACGAGCATTCAATTCGACACAAATATAATTTGGAAGGTTTATTCCATAAATAGAGCTACATAAGAGGTTAGGAAGAAACGACGCTGTGTTGTTTATGTATTGATAGATCTCTAATCTCTTACGACGAATATATATTATGTCGATAGCAAGTCGATACCTGGTATTCTGCATACAGTACATAAATGATACTATACAAAACGGGCATTTTGTGCAGTAATCAAATCATTTTGGCGGTATACAGTATTGATTATAAGTATATTGTTTTGTATCGATTTACGCGTCGAAGTATCCACATCATAGACATAATATGCAGCGCGGTTTATTTACATTTTTTACAACGCAACTATTTTTGCTATTCTTATGAAATGACAGTAAATTGTTGCCATCATATAAATGTAGTGAATGTAGTCACAGTTGTTTGACGAAGAAAAGAGACTAAACTGAGAAAATCGCGCCCGGTTTATATGGGCAACTAAAATTATAATTTAATAGTGACAGTATTTGCGACTAACGTAACTTGAGTACTTTGAGTAATTTCCTTTTGATTATTGTTTAACCTAGTTCATTATATTTTTACTGGCATAAGTCAAAATGTTTATGTTGGGAAAACGTGTTGCTTAGGTATTACAGGGCATGAAAACTTTGCACTATCCTTGGATCCCTAGTTCATTTATTGTGATCGTATTTTGTCGCAAGCATTACCAATATCTGCATTATCACCACTAGCTAGCAACTCCATTATCACGTTTGCCAGTAGCATCATTATTTCCCCGCCTCCGTAGTTAGCCCCACTCCGTACTCTTCAGTAGCATCAGTATCGTCACCCACAGTAACACCATCATAAGCAAAACCTCGTGTTCCACCTATATTAACATTTTCTCCAGTGGCACTCTCATTATCGGTAGCATCGTTTATACTTACTTTCAGCAGCGCTAGCATTATTGCCATCACCAAAGGGCTTCATCTGAAGCTCGAAGCACAGCCCAGATAACTAGCCCCAGATAACCTCTACTGAGAGCAAGATGTAAGCACTCGGTGACGGACACCTACCTGGCAACCTACCTTAAGTCATTGTTTTTCCTTATTACCAAAGCTCAACAGTTTTAAACAAATCTCTACTAAAAAGATGGGTTAAATGAACAGATTAGTTTAATTAATAGAAGCCATCACCCTCATACACTTTGACTTTGATTTCTTGATTTTAATAGTTTCCTAATTTCTTCCAGGAGTTACGTTTGTGCCAAAAGGACCTGGTGAGCATTTAATCCACATTCAGAAATCTGGAAAAGAAATACCAGAAAGTCCCATATCTGTCATGATAGAACCTGCTGAACCTGAGAATGCAGTCGGCAGCCCTTGCGATGTTCCATTGGACATTCCGGGTCTCAATCTTCCAGACGACCTACCTAAAATAACAGCTACACTAAAACGACCTGGGTCTAATGTCGAAGAACCGGTGCAGCCTAAAGTAACATCAGATGGAAATTTGAGCGTATCGTTTGTTCCCAAATCCCCCGGTGAGCACTTGATCACGGTCAAGAAACGTAACCGTCCAGTACCTGGTAGTCCGTTCTCTGTCATGGTGACGGCTCCTGAACCTAAGAGCGAGATTGGTAAACCGACCAGCGTTCCGCTTGAGAACATTCCAGTAAAAGATCTTCCAAAACTTGACGCAGGTTTACTTCGACCAAAATCAACCGTTGAGGAACCTGTAACTATCAAACAGACATCAGATGATACTCTCTATGCGTCCTTTATTCCACATGAAGAAGGCCCACATAAGATAAACGTTCGTAAAGATGGCAAACCTGTTCCAGACAGTCCCTACATCGTCGATGTTCCTCCTAAAGTCGAGGAACAACCCGTTGAAGAGGTGTACCCATTGAGCAGACCATGTGATGTTGGTCTCGACATCCCGAGCGTTAACCTTCCAGATGATTTCAAAAAACTTACCGCAACTTTACAAAGACCTGGCAGTAAGAATGAAGAACCTGTAAACTTGGAACTTAATCCTGATAACACACTTGGTAAGTTACCTCAATTGAAACTTGATTGAATAACGATTATCATCATACCGATTTCGTCGCTATCGGCCTCGTAATTATAATGATCGTAATTTTTATCATCGTCATCCTAGAGAATATTGTGATCATTATTATTTAATATTTGTCATCGTAATCGCCATAATCGTAATCACAATTATAATTATCATAACATCACCATTAGTTAACTACGCCTACCATTACTCTGCAGTCATTTTATTAATGTAAATTTGGGGTAATAATTTCACATCCAAAATCCACGACTGTAATTTTACTACTTCGTGTTAATTATTAGTATAAGTCGAGTTAGGGGCATGTTAAAATTAAATTTAGCAACACCTTCGCGTATTCTTATCCGCGTTTAATCTCTATGATAGATTCGGGTAGTGAAATATACAGTTTTCAGATTATAATTTCAGGTTACTCATGCTCTTGAGTGAGAGCGAAAGATTTCGTCCGTAGACATTGTTTTATTCACCAAAAAAGAGTTGATACCTCTCGCTCTACCACAAACCCCTGTTTCACGACGTTTTTATTTATATTTTTTATTTCAGGAGTAACCTTTGTGCCAAAAGAACCTGGTGAGCATTTAATCCACATCCAGAAATCTGGAAAAGAAATACCAGAAAGTCCCATATCTGTCATGATAGAATCTGCTGAACCTGAGAATGCAGTCAATAGTCCTTGCGATGTTCCATTGGACATCCCGGGTCTCAATCTTCCAGACGACCTACCTAAAATAACAGCTACACTAAAACGACCTGGGTCTAATGTCGAAGAGCCGGTGCAGCCTAAAGTAACATCAGATGGAAATTTGAGCGTATCGTTTGTTCCCAAATCCCCCGGTGAACACTTGATCACGGTCAAGAAACGTAACCGTCCAGTACCTGGCAGTCCGTTCTCTGTCATGGTGACGGCTCCTGAACCTAAGAATGAAATTGGTAAACCGACCAGCGTTCCGCTCGAGAACATTCCAGCAAAAGATCTTCCAAAACTTGATGCAGGTTTACTCAGACCTAAGTCTACAGTTGAAGAACCTTTGACTGTGAAAAAAGCATCAGATGATACTCTTTATGCATCTTTTATTCCACACGAAGAAGGTCCGCATAAGATCAATGTCCGTAAGGATGGTAAACCCGTACCTGATAGTCCTTATATCGTCGATGTACCGTCCAAGGATGGCGAAGGTGCTGCACCAGTAGAAGAGGTTCATCCAGTAGGAAGAACCTGTGATGTTGGTCTTGATATTCCTGGAGTGACACTTCCCGATGACTTTAAGAAACTAACAGCGACATTACAGAGGCCCAAGAGCACGAAGGAGGAGCCTGTCAATTTGGAACTGAATCCAGACAACACCTTGGGTAAGATTTTACGACGGTTTGTTCACAATGCGGGGTAATCGTCACGGTTTGTTGTGGTTCCACCTTTTTTACGTGGGTTCTCGCGGTTTTACCTTTTTTTCTTCCTTTTATTTGATTGTTATCTTTATCCCGGCAATTTTGACACAAAATATGTAATAAGATTCAATGCCGAACGCATTTTATCGCTATAAAATCCTTAAACGGAGAAAAGTATAGTCAAGGTAAGGAATGGCATTATGTCAAAAAAGTTAATTGTGACGCTTTCATAGATGGCGGGAAAAAATAAAACTGTCGGAAATATGAAGCGGTATTAAACGTCTTTATCTGGCCGAGTAATCCTAGGTGATGGAAAAACATTTTATCCCCAAGATACCATTTTATGTATCCATTTATTACCAGCATCCTATTACCCTGGAGTGTACCTCTGTACCCCCACACCACGTCTCACTACGTTCCAGCTGCACCCTTTATACACGTATGCATACCTTATTATCACCATTCGTACCCAGCTACCTCGATTACTCCACCCTGAACTGTATACCTGCAGGCTCGCAATCATGCAAACCGAATTGTCTATCCTTCACACCAACCTAGCCCGCCGTGTACGCTGTACCACTCCCTCCCGATGTATCCAACGTATACATAAGAACCAGCATTCGTACATATTTATACCATGTCCCCCATCATGTACTAACCAATACCTAATCATTCCTAACCCAGGACTTTCCTTCCTTCCCGTCGAACCTGGCGAGCATTTGATCCAAGTCAGGCAGTTTGGCAAACCTTTGCTCGACTCACCTTTACCAGTCACTGTAGAAGGCGCTGATGTACCAGAAAGCGCAGTTGGCACTCCTTGTGATTTTCCATTACATGTGCCCAGTCTCAATTTGCCCGACGATCTTCCCAGATTAACAATCACAATAAAACGACCTGGTTCAACTCGCGAGGAACCAATCAAACCCAAAATACTGTCTGACAACACCCTCTGTGTATCATTCATCCCTAAATCGCCAGGTGAACACCTGATCACGGTCAAGAAACGTAACCGTCCAGTACCCGGTAGTCCGTTCTCTGTCATGGTGACGGGTCCTGAGCCAAAGAGCGAGATCGGTAAACCATCCAGTGTTCCTCTTGAGAACATTCCCGTAAAAGATCTTCCGAAACTTGATGCAGGTCTACTTCGTCCTGGATCAACAGTCGAGGAGCCGGTGACTATCAAACAGACATCAGATGATAATCTTTACGCACCTTTTGTTCCACATGAAGAAGGACCGCATAAAATCAATGTTCGTAAGGATGGCAAACCCGTACCTGGAGGCTCGTTTCTACTTGACGTGCCACCCAAAGATGTTAAAGATGACAAACGAGTCAATACCAGTCGTCCACAGCAGAGACAACCGGCAAGCCAGAGAGGTCCTTCAGATGAGAAAAAGAGCGAAGATACCGTCGATAGTATACCGCCAGTTGAAGAAGTTTATCCAGCGGGCAAACCTTGTGACGTCGGTTTAGATGTTCCTGGAGTGAAATTGCCAGATGACGCTAAGAAATTGACGGCCACGATACAGAGGCCTGGTAGCAACAAGCAAGAGCGTATCACACCTGAGATTAAACCAGATAATACACTTGGTAAGAGTGAAATGTTACTGATAAAGTCCCCGGTGATCATACGTACATCCACCTCGATCAAATCACTTTCCTATTGCTCGCCTTTTTGCGCAAGAACCTTACATTACACTTACATGTTTACCCTATTTGCACGATGTTACCAATAAAATTACCTGTAATCCCTGGTATATCCCTTTCAATCCACAATAACGCTTCCACCCATCCAAATGATTGCATCCGTACCCATCCACATCCCATCATACCTAGAAAACTCCATCGGTGAGCCGTGCAATCCCTAATAAAGACCATATCAAGCCTTACCACCGGAATATCACAGAACGTCGCATATAGACTCGCATATATATAATATATAATGCATCTAAAACCTCGAAACAAAATCCACGCTTACAACGTATTCCAGTAACTAATACCTTCGCTACGCCTTCAGAAGACCATGTTGCATTCTTACCTATACCGTTTCCTAAATCGTATAAAAAACCCATTACCGAACTCACAAATATCCTTATAATTCCCTACCCAGGCGTTTCTTTCCTACCTACGGAACCAGGAAATTACACCATTCGGCTACAAAAATCAGGCAGCGATATTCCGGAGGCTACAAAAACCATATTGGTTGCAGCCACCGAAGTAAACAACATTCCCAACAGCCCTTGTGAGTTCACAATCGACATTCCTGAGCTGAATCTGCCTGATGATTTGGCCAAACTGAAGGCAACGCTAAAAAGGCCTGGATCGAGACGAGAAGAGCCTGTGACGCTCAATGTCCTTTCAGATAACACACTGAGTTTATCGTTCCTGCCCAGAACCCCCGGTGATTACATTCTTAGCATTATGATGCGTCGTCGCCCTCTACCCGGTAGCCCATTTACAATCACGGTTACTGACGGAAAGCCTTCAAACGTCATCGGAACACCTCTTTCCCTCGCTCTTGAAAATATACCTCTCCGCGATATTCCGCGTGTACGGGTCACACTTCAAAGACCCGGAGTCGACACCGAAGAGCCAATTCAACTGAAGCAAAATTCCGATGGTAGTTTGTCGGTGACGTTCATCCCTCGCGAGCCTGGTCTGCATAAAGTTCATGTACGAAAAGATGAAAAACCACTGCCAGGAAGCCCATATGAAATCGAAGTCATTGGTGACCGAGTTTTCGACACTCCATTTAAGAAACCGTCCAAAAAAATTCCCAAAGAAGAAGCTGTGTTTACGAAGGAAGTTGCACCCTGCGAAGAAAGGCTCCCTGTCGGTCGAATGTGCGATCTCAATCTTGATATACCAGATTTCTCTCTGCCGCGCGATTTTCGTAAGTTGTCGGCAACACTTCGGAGACCGAATAGTAAGCGCGAAGAGCGTATCAATTTGGAGCTTAACCCGGATAACACTTTGGGTAAGATTTTTTATCTTCGCGGTGAGTATATAGAGTAATGACATCAAATCACCCTGCAGTTCCTTTTTTCATATTAAATCATTGTAAATATAAATTGTCTCTAAATTGAATTCTCTTTATATATTTTTATTTGCAATTTATCTTATCTTTTGATAGACTTTTTTATGGCGTTTTTGGTTAATCTTATATTGAAAACTACAGCTTTTTATGGCGTTTTTTGTTTTATTTAAAAAGATCGCGCAATAATGTTTTCATACTGATAAACAGCGATGTTAAAAACGTGCAAATGTGGTTTGCAAATGCACGCGCGTTTGATCTAAATCCGTGCAATCCTATCTCAGTCACTTCGGTAGCTCTTCTGCCTTGCCCACTTTGACAAAGAACTTTTTTTATTGTAAATAAACTTTTTCACTTTACCCTAAGTGTAAATGCAAGTGACCTGAAATTCAGGCCTCGAATGCATATTGTTTAACGTATTGTGTTAACAAGGCGTTTTACGGGGAAATTATAACTATCGTCATATAAATAGTTTACTCGCATTTTACCAGGTATTTCATTTGTGCCTATGGAACCTGGCGAGCATCTTGTCCGTGTGAAGAAGTCTGGCGAAGACGTCCCTGGCAGCCCGTTCGCTGTGATGGTAGAAGCCGCTGAGGCAGTGAACGCGGTCGGCAGGCCATGTGATTGTCATCTGGACATCCCTGGCTTGAACCTGCCTGGAGACTTGGCAAAGATCAAATCAACTCTGAAAAGGCCTGATTCCGACACGGAGGAACCCATAAAACTCAAAGTCCTCCGATAACACCCTCAGTGCATCGTTCGTTCCCAGATCACCAGGCGAACATTTGATAAGTGTGAAGAAATTCAACCGCCATCTTAGTGGAAGTCCATTCAGGTAATTCTAGTTCTAATCACACTTACCCTAGGCAAGACTTGTGATTTACTTACGATTTAGGTATACCAGACACAGGAACTGAGCTATGTCTCAATCCTAAAGTAGCATTCATTCCGGTTCCAAGCCAGATCTTTGTTTTCCGATTGGCACGTTGTCCTATTCATAATCCTTGAACTATGGTAGTGGAAACAAAATTTATTTTCCTTGCAGTGTCATGGTAACAACACCTGATACAGCCAGCCAGTCCGTGGGTCGACCATGTGGACTAGGCCTAGAGATTCCTGGACTTAAACTTCCTGAAGATTTCGACCTACTCACAGCCGTTCTCAAACGACCCGGCAGTAACACGGAGGAACCCCTGAAACTCATCTTGAATTCAGATAACACTCTAAGTGTGTCGTTCATTCCTAAAGAAACTGGTGAACATCTTATCAGCGTGTTTAAGAACAAACGTCACGTGACAGGGAGCCCGTTCTCCGTTATGGTTAGCGGACCGGGACCTGCCGATGCATCCAAGGTGAAGGCATATGGACCAGGTCAGCACCCTAATATATTTCTGTTGCACTATTTGCTTTCACATACCATTAGCGCCAAGACCAGGCAGGCATCTTTTAATTAGGGATAAGGCATCTTTCAATGCATCTCTACTTACACCTTTCGTACATGTCGTCTTAGGTTTGGAATCTGGTGTTGTTGATGAAAAGTCTGAATTCACCGTTAACACTCGTGAAGCAGGCTATGGAGGTTTGGGTCTATCAATTGAAGGACCATCTAAAGCTGAAATCAACTGTGTTGACAACGAAGACGGCACGTGTACGGTAGACTATGTCCCTACAGAACCTGGCGACTACACAATCCATGTGCGCTTTGCTGATGAGGAAATACCTGGTAGTCCATTCACGTGTAATGTTGCTCCTAAAGGTGGGAAAAGACGTCCTGTCGTTGAGGAGGGAATCTCCAGGGAAGCTGTAAGTGATGTCGAAGCTGGTGCCCCTGCACAAAGGACCTCTCAATTGTTGGACGATCTTATCTCATTCAGTCCTCAACAACCTCACGACTTTGCATTGGATCTGAAAGGATATGATGTAAAGAATTTGAAAGCTAGCGTTGAGACGCCTAGCGGAAAGAATGAGCCCGCAGAGATTGTGGAAAGCTCGAAGGATACGTACACCATCAGATTTGTGACGAAAGAAGGAGGAATATATAAGGTTTGTTGCTTTTAGAAGAAAAAATTTCCAATTTCAAATGGATCAGATGAATAATATTCACTTATTTATGCTACAGGTATTTGTGAAGAACCGAGGCCGAGATATTTCTGGAAGTCCATTCCTCGTCAAAGTGGATGCACCAAAATGGGGCGGCGCAGGCAAATGTTCCGCTGCGGGACCTGGGTTAGAACGAGGCGTCGTAAATCAACCGGCAAACTTCACTGTATGGACACGTGATGCTGGCCCAGGAGGCTTAGCGGTCGCGATTGAAGGACCAGCGAAAACGGAAATCGACTGCAAAGATAACGGTGATGGATCATGTAGTATCACGTATGTGCCCACAGAACCCGGTGAGTACACAGTGCATGTCCGATTCGCTGACGAAGATATACCAGGTGCTCCATTCACGGTGTTTGTAACAGCCGAAGAAGATGAACGATTCCGAGATCTGAGTGTGTCGGACATCGTCGAAGGCGGAATCGCTGTCGGTCAACCAGCATCATTTTCGGTCCAAACTAACGGGCCTGTCGGTGAAGTAACTGCGTCCGTTCTGTCGCCATCCGGTTCCGAGAGCCCCGCGACAGTTTCTGATCGTGGTAACGGCAGCTACGCGATAAGATTTGTGCCAAAAGAAGTCGGTGACCATCTTATCAGTGTTCGATTCGATGGTATCCATATCCCTGGCTCTCCATTCAAGGTCAAAGTCGGAGGCGGCGAAAGTTATCCTGGGAAGGTAAAGGCATACGGTCCCGGATTAGAAGGTGGCGTAGCAGGTCAGGAAACGTACTTCACAGTCGATGCCTTAAGAGCTGGCACTGGAGCGTTGTCATTGTCGGTTGACGGTCCAGCCAAGGTACGAATGAACTGTACAGAAAATCCCGACGGTACCTACAAAGTTACTTACCATCCTCTAATCGCTGGCGACTATAAAATTACCATCAAATTCGCAGACCAAAACATTCCGAAGAGTCCGTTCAATGTGACGATCACGGGAGACGGTGCCTCGGGCTTTGCCGAAAAATGCAAGCCTGTTGGATCTGGGTTACATCGAGCTGTGATCGGTGAGCCGAATGCCTTCACTGTAAATTGCAGCGATGCTGGTAGAGGTTCGTTGATGGTTGGCGTCGAAGGTCCAGCAATTCCAGCGAAAGAAATCAAAATTAAGCACACTGGAGGAAAAGTTTACGCGGTCAACTACACGCTCGAAGAACCCGGGGAATATGTGCTGAAAGTGTTGTGGGGGGAGAAACACATTCCTGGTTCTCCGTTCCATGTAACTGTATAACAATGTACGACCAAAGACCCTAGGACGGAAACCCTATAGTAATTCCTTATATGGTAGTCGCTGAAGACTGCTTAAATGAACTAGTTTTGTTAGTGTAATTTTTTACTCAATTTAATACTCCACTATAAAATGCGAAATAGCTAGGGTGTTTTCTTGATTGTGGAGTGGATAGTGAATGTTTTTGGACAGTTTTGATACTATAGTTTTTGGCATTTGTATTTACATGATTTGTTTATCCTCTGGCTCTCAGACAGTGTATTGTGGTGTTTTTAGGTTAGCTAGTATGTATTTTTCACATAAAATTTGTATCGAGAATATGATTGAATAGCAAATAATATCCTTCAATAAAAATTACTATCACTTGTTATCTTAGCGTGTCATAATAATTCACCGCAGCTGCACGTTACAGAAAATACCGTTGCCTACGTGTGATCTATCAATATCTGATTGGTCTCTCTCTTAAATTTTGGCTACGGATGAGTCGGTGTGAACATGTATCAACAATACACAATATATTAGCGCCTGGGCACACTGCAAATACTGTGTTCCTTAGTTTTGTTTTTTGGCCTTTCAATTTTAATTGATCATCAATAATTCTAGGTGTCGTTGTTGTGTTGAAACAGGTATGTCGTCATTTGCATCATTTTACGATGCATTATAGAATATAGATAGGTCTGTTTTCCATGCATATGAGTTTGTACGCGTCCCTGACATTTTTAAACATACGTATGACAATCCTGTTGCCCGGCAAAAAACACTAAAAATCATGCACAGAACTAAACGCTAGGCTATACTTGTGTCCACTTTATCTGTTGAGTGTTGTTTTAAAAGCTCTGTATAATTTAAATGTGCATATATATACGTACAATGTGCATACATAGATGTACTTATAAAAAACAGCGGTGGAAATTAGTACTGGCAGCGCAAACATAACATTGAAATTGTCAAAATTCAAAAAATACCTGATCGTGAAGAAACTAAATAATACAATGTTCTAAATGCTTCATATACAGTTGGCAATAAATAGCATTAAACCTGATTTTAGTGTGTGTCATGTTCGCATAAAAAATGCTACCAGTAGTAGTGCATAATTGATTTTGACAGTTTTAAAACGTCTCGTCGACGTCGTTAAAGAGAACAATAGTGAAATAACGTCTTGACAACTTTAAAATGTTCTCTACTAATGGTTTAGTTCGCTTGTTTAATGCGAATTCGCTGACAATTCTTCTAGGCCTAAGGCAAGGCCAGTATTTATAGGAATAAGGTAAGTTCATTTGATATGTTCACTTCGAGCTCGAATATAAAAAAGTTGACAATAATTTGCTGTTGAGAACTCTGTTGGACACCCTCTCGAACTTTATTGGAAGTATTTCGGCTGACGTCTTCGTTTCATATTTTCTTTTTTATGTGAAAATATTGTTTGTGTCCGCAGTTTCAAAAAATCGCGAGTACATTTGCTCTTTACTCCCTTTTCGGCAAAAATTTCACCAGCAAGGCGAATTATTGTTAAATAATAGAGACGCCTGAGTACTGAGTCGTTCGCTCCAGCTGGGGATTACAAAAAAATGGGAAAAAGCAGAGTACATATATATACAAAGTAGCTTTTAATACATTAAAACTAAGAACAAGGACAAACTTTGATACGAAGTGACTGGCAGTTGCGAATTCATTTTAATCAATTTGACATCTTAGTTAAACATGACATTCTCAGGTTTTTGTCAATGTAAATGTTAATCATGCATGCTAACTTTGTAGCCCCTTTATACATCGTAAAATGGCGCTTATTCGGATGAAATGGAGGTTTGATAATATACATCGATATATCGGAATTCGGAGATAAATTTCAAATTCTTTCATGCATGTAATAAACCTGCCTTTTTTCTGCGGTAAATCGTTTAAAGTTTAGATCGTTCATTTATCTTTTGAAGACCTCTGGCTATCCTCAAACAAGAGATTTTGTTCGGTCGTCTTAGGATGTTTTAAAACACCGCCGATAAAATAATAAAACCCGCAGTTGGCCATGTAGCTCAGTTGGTAGAGCATCGGACTAGTATACCGAAGGCCGCGGGTTCAAATCCTGCCGTGGTCAAGTAGAATTTTCTGCTTGCCATGGCGGGCTGCCACTCGGTGTTATCCTACTACAAATCATGGATTAGATTAAATTATCGTAAATCTTTTGAGCGTTGAATTCGACTAATTTCTACGCATGCCTCTAAATTCGGTAACTTATTTAACTTTCCAATTAGATCACAGGGGTCTTAGGAGATCGGGATATCCTTAAATGAATTGATTGCATTGCATGCATGATCTCTCGCAAGGTATACGCCAATGTGGCGCGCTGACATGTGCGGGCAACGCCCAGTCGTTACTCCCATGCATGCAAGCAGTGAACTCCAAGTAGACTGGACAGTGCAACAAAAAGAATCAGTGGCGCTTGCTACGAAGCAGGAACAATGTCGCTGAATATTCTAGAAAACTGATTTTTGCCATTGCGCCATGCAGCAGGTGGAAATTTGTTCATTTTCTCTCGCCAACTGCGCCGCACAGCTGCTGATCAGAATATTTTAGACAAATTTGTCCCGCATTCTTTCGTCGAGAACTATTTTAAAAATTTCTGCTGGGGAAGACAGTTTGCGTCACACATTAAAAGTATCTGTTAATTAGCTAACTGGAATCAATACCGTAAAGATCAGTAACAAATATTCTGTTTCTTCAGTGCCAAAGCATTATTATAGAAAGCTTAAAGGAAGGCGGTTAATGTTTGCGAATGGACTAGGAGTTTTTTAACAGATTATTTTTCACAGATATTGCAAAATATGATGAATTCGTCCCTTTAAGGCTGATCGTTCATGTTGAGATCGTAATCTATTACTATTTTATCGCCAGTGGCAGTACGGCAGTGTGTTGTTTAGACTGCAAATAGTACGCCAGATATATTTTTAGATATATAGTGAATGAAAAATATAACTTTTGCTGAACCAAACCTCAGGTAAATCACAACAGTCTGCCAACAGATTAACAGGTTTAGCAGTAAGCAGTATAATTAATAACCTGCAGTTATTATTAAAAACGCCGCAGGTAAAATAGGCGAAACCGCGAAACTGCAATTTTTACTGCCTCTTGCAACACAATCTATATATAATGAATCACAATTAAGATGATAGCAGATAGATGTATATTTTACCCAAATACATGACTAGAAAAATGACAAGAATTCGAAAACTACGGTTTAAAAGTAATGACGAAATAACTGGCTTCTGTCTTATGATTTATGTGTGTCCTTGTAGTAATATCTATTAGGTTTTAAACAATTTCCGACAACATGTATATTCTAGTAAATGTACCTTAGTTCCCATCTTTTCCGCATTCATGAGTTTCAAGCACATGCATCGATGTTTAATTCAATTACCCTTAAGTATAGTCATGACATTCGACTTGCAAAACAAGCTTATGGAACGCGGCATAATTCAACTAGAATGATAATAATATACAGTCTTTGTTTTGGTCAATTTTTCTTCATTACCTCAATTCATGAGGAAATTGCAAAACTTTATTGGTTTTTAATTACGTGTCATATACATGCGTATAGCGAATTTCTAGCCTTAGTTTCCAGTTTCCACTCATGTATGTTCGTGTCGGGAAATTAATCCTATAAGTATAAGGACGGGCGTATTTCAATTAGTTAAAGATTCCCTTAGCGATAAGCGAAAAAATCTTTAAGCAACAACTCTACTTTGACAAAAACTATAGAGTAAGTCACCATGCTAAAGGCATGATACACAATTTTCCTTACAATATGGCACACAGTTTTCCTTACAACACACTTTGGACGTTATTTTAAGGCATATTTTCCAATAAACATTCGCAGGAGCCTAGTGAGCTGTGTTATCTCAGGGATATTGCTATAAAACCCTTGTTTATACATCCGTATTTGTTTTTCTAAGATAGTTGTCTCCGTGAGACTGGGAGGAAAGAACAATGAATGATCTCCTCCGAATAACAAATATTAAATTCTCCGGCAGGATAAAATTACTTATTAGTAAATACTGCCAAAGAAAAGAGAAAGCCACTTGGAAATTATTGAAAAGTAGCAATTCGCGTATGCTTATATATTATTGTTGCAAGCATTTAACCATTGAATTGGTTAAATTTATCACGCTGTTTTCAACATAATTTTCACACAGGGTAGCAATGCGGTCGCATGGCTTGGCACTGTGCCTTTGAAAAACCCCGTTTGTTGTTTCTCTTCTCGAAGTTCATTCCAACAAGTAATCGATCAAATACTTTACGTACTTTCAGGCTGAGAAATGCTTTGATCTAGGCAAAGTATTGTTTCTTGCCTTTGCCCTCAGTGGTGCTTGTTGATCATCATGCCGGAGAAACTCACATCAGTTATTATTGCACTTGTTTACCCATTTCAAACTGCAAAGTTAGGCGGTTCCATGCATTACTATTACTATTACACTATTCCGTGATATTTTCCACCTATATAACCTAAGTTGTTGCTACCAAAGACAAAGATTCCGATTATTTTTGGCATTCTGTTTTGTGGTATTGTAGATATTTCCCTTTGAGGATTTCTCGTAGCCGTGGGTGCATGCTATTGTATTTATTCCACGCAACCACAAAATGACTAGCATGTATTAAACACTTCAATCATAAAGGACCTTGTGGCCAGCGGGCATACAGTCTTTAGCTTCGTTTGAAAGAAGGTCAATTGGTTCTTGGTCAACTTAATTACACGGTGGACTTTTTCCCCCAAGTCGAATTTAATCGGCAATTCGGCACAGGCTCTTATCTCTATAAGAGCCTGTGCCGATCTGATTGAAAAATTAGGTTTTCAATTTGATTTAGGTTGGTAAATACTTTAGGACCAGCGCCAGCCTCGAGCTCGGAGCTAACGGCCCGAAGCTAACGGCCAAATGCTGACAATATTTAATTGCGGTATAAATTTTTTCAACGCCATTTTCTATTCACTCCAGGGTGCATTGGTTTACGCAAATGTATCACCAAGTGCCATCTATAATCGAAGGTTGTTGTATTTATGGCTGTTGACAGCTTTGATAGAGCGCCATAAACTCCCGCTAATGTGGACAAAAGCTTTGGATAACGTTGTCATGTACTTCAGATAAACTCCTGTCAGATTAATCCTGTAGAATGTTGTAAACCTGCCGACAAATTAAAACGACGCGTCTGCATTGATTCGCTCAACGTACTGGGGTTAAAATATTACCCAAATTCAGTTACTTCAAAGTTATTGGAAACTGCATGGGCCACGCTGTTGACTGGTGAGTACAATTTTATGTCTGTTTTAGCCTGTTCTATGTTTTCCCGAATGCTGCTAATGTTTCATTTGGTTATTCCGTAGAAGCGAAGTTTGTGAGCGTAATTATATTTGTATAGGGATAAAGTTAGCACATTAATTACAGGTCTGTAGCTATCCAACCCCAGCGAGTTATAACCGTAAATGCAGTTACCGTTAAAGATATTCCTTGTCTTTGAATCAATTAAACCATTCTCATACGAGAAATCTTCTCACTGTTTGTACGAAACTAAAGTCTAAAGAGATGAGGGATTTAGTTAGGATGAAGACGTAACTAGTGAAGCATGCGTACGGGCAATACTATGCAACAGACCTGAAAGGCAAAACGATGTATTGCTGACAGCAATATAAATGCCAATGTAGTGGAACGAAGGACCAATATTAAACTGGAGTAAATCGGTAAAGATTTATGTTTAACACAAGAAGAGTATTTCCTACCAAACCAAACTCTCTAAAATTAGAATTTTTAGTTATTTGAAAATTATATTGGACCGAAATTAGACTCGACTAAAAGCCTCGTACATGCATGTATTGAAGAAGAAAGGATAGGAGAATACATGAAAGAATATAAATAGAAGTATGTGTATAGGTTGAAAGAGATCAAGATCAAAGCATTTTAAAATTTGATATTATGGATTAACGGAAATCTTCGCGAGATTTTAGAAGAAGGCATGCGATATTGAATATCGTGAAGCCGAGCTCGGATTTAAAGACCATATAGAGATCCTATGCATCTACCATGCATTAAATATGCTGTTCAGGTAAACATTAATTTATTGATTCCGTTTAAAACGTCCATTTTGATAGTTTAACCACTTCAACACAAACCCTATAACCTAATTAATATTGGATTTTTGTCTATCTTTACTATAGTAACGTAGTCACTCGGTTTAAGGTGAACCGTCCAACCTATATACTAAACCTACTAATGCAGTTAGTACAACAGTTGCTCAAACTTCACAAGAACACTGGCAGTGCAGCTTGAAATAAATGATCTGTTTGCACTGGTAAAATAAACGATAATTGTTTAGTATAGGTTTCTCTCTATATAGATGTACACTCGACCTGTATATAAAACAATTAACTCCGGGCCTTCAGATAACTGATTTGTAAATAAGTCAATGTAAAGTTTCATTCAAACACCTTCTATATGCTACATGTCCCAGAAGAGATGCATGCATGCGACTCTATCTTAAAATCTTGGTAAATGAGACCTTATATGTTTCTAAATTGACATTTATTTTACAAGTCCATTAGGGTACAAAAACACACAATCAAACAAATGTGTTATTTATTGGCTGCATCTTACCGCCCATTATGAAGATCGTGTTGAATTCTTTTATGAAGGCGACTTTACGAGACAATATATAATCAGCCAGGGATAACTACATAATTGTTTCCTTTTTACAATGAAAGCCAAAACTAAAATTATTGCTTTTAGATTCCATGAATGCTTCTCGTAATACAGAGAAAGAACATATAAACTGCATGTTTGAAATGGGAGAAGCTGTAACGATTAGCGAGTAGCCATGCACGAGGCGGATAAGAGTTAAATCGAGAATAAATATTTATATTTATGGTTTCATCGCAAAAGGTCTGCTTTCCGCTGTACCGTTTTTCTACGTACCTACACGTACGTAAAAGTTTAAAACCAATTAAAGCATACTTATATAAAAGCAGCGTTTGAATAGATACACGCACAGGTTGAGATTCTGTTGATACGCGCGCCCGTTCAAAAAACGCGACGGTGGAAATTCGCCCTAATTGTATACGCAGGTATATTGCTTGTTATACGCAAACTGCATAAGCAACTGTACCTGAAAGTGGCTAAATCTTTGACGCGGGTAAACGCGGTAGAACGAGAGAACTGTTCCAATTAAAATAGTCACCCTTGTAGTCACTCTAGTTTACTACCTGCTCACTATATATTCTACTCAGTAGGGCAAAAAAGGTTTGTTACGAACGTAGCCTAGTTACGAATTCGCAGCTTTGGCTCCCTCGTTGAAGGTTGTTCCACGTTCAGCTACATCAATAAAAACTAAAAAGGTAACGATTTTCTCTCTCGCTAATGTCAGTTCCTCGTTGCTGATTTTTATTATATATTTTAATAATTTTTTGCCCACAGGCCAAACTAAATTTTCCCACCAATTTATCTAATATGTCATTAAACAATACACAAATCTTTATATACGAAAGTAAAAATAAACGCATGCAGCCAGTATGGCGGCCCCCAAGAAAAACACAGTTCGACCCCCGAAGAGCGCGTAAATAGGAAATATTTAACCATTAACTTTAATCCCTTTTTGAGGATCTTTGGATTTGTTTTGTGTACGCTTTCCGTTCATTTCTTAATCTAAGTCGGTTATTATTCAACAGACTTATAAATGGATCCAACTACCATATAATATATCCGGAAATAAAGAAGTTTGAAAAGGATATACAAACTATCATAAACAATCATGTTCCTTCATTTATTAACGATTAGTAATTTACTTGGTACAGTTTAGATAGTCATACAACCATGCAGCCTTTTTTTTCAAATTTGTGGTTCAAAGAATTACAACGATAGGAACATCTATAAAGAGAGAGGCATTCAGCCAACAGTCATGAAAATGAAAATGCATGCCATGTCAAAAATATGTTCATAATTTAACTATGAAGTACGTTTTTTGCATATTTTCCCAGAATGTATTTTCATCAGCTCAGCTGTATATCGGCCATTGCAGTAACATATGAAGTTGATGCATGGCGCAATATTGCCATTAATATATGTGCTGAGCAAAATGTCTGTTATACAGCACAATGCCGTGGTACGTGCTTTGATTCCATCATTTGCGATATGTGCCGGACTCAATTGATTATTGATGCAACCTACTTACTTATGTTATTAGGCAATACCCAAGACTCGGCAAGAGATTATTTGACCACACGCGCTCCCTTATGTTTTCAAAACACTGCTTGTACCAAAATATAGCATGTCTTGTGAACACAGTGAAGTCTTTATATAAAATAAACAGTTAGAATGTATCCAGTATAACTAAACTGTCCGAGTCCAAAGAGAAAAGTCTAAAACAGGGGGTAACGCAAACCATTTTACGAAAAGTTTACCTGCGAGTCTAATTTTAGAAAAACTATAAAGACAAAAGAAATAAACTGAGTAATCTTTAAATTTCCGGCCTGTCCTCCTGTGATTAATTAAGTTATGCAAAATAGTTTGTTATTTTTACACCAGCACGATACAAATTTCATTTTTAGAGAAGAGAGCAGCCTCGTACCCAGGCGCTTTATTGGAAAACGTAAAGGCTGCATTCAGCGTAATATAGAGATCTGCGGTTAGAAGAGAGTCTACAATGTACTAGTACAAAATAAAACTCCTGACTTGCAGAGTGGTGAATTTTACTTATCATAAATAAGCGAATTTTTCAACATTGTTAAAAACTACAAACCAAATCGTTTGCCTACATTTTGCCCACAAAAAACCTAACTGACCATGCTGCCATCTGGTGCGGCGATGCTGTTATTTAAACGCAACGGAATATACAAAAAGTAAGAATGCAACTAATTAGAATTTCTGGTAGCCAACAGCTACAGTTTTGTCAGAGATCTTAGGGCTACTGTCTTTCCGCGCATTTTCCATGCACCACACGGTACCTACACACGCGTAAAGTCGAAATTATAACGTCGTGCATACATTAAATATACGTTTTAAACAAGAAAGCCAATATATATAAATGGAAAGAGCTTATAATTTCGTAAATTTCGTACACAAAGCTTTGTTAACTCAGATGTTGAAAATTAAGAAATTTAAAGCATTCAAGATTTTCCGTGGGTGTATCTGAATATGTGGACCAACACCGCGTAATCCAAACAGTAGTTTTTATAGCAAAGTTGCGTGAACGTACGATTACGAACAATGACGTCATATGCGGAAGCCAAATTAGAAGATTACTATAGTTTGGGAAAATTGGTCGTAATTAGTCAAATTAGTCAAAAATCAAGGCAGGCTGGTCTGTAAGTAGACTCAACAATTGTCTGAAGTACACAAAACTGCACATAAAACCATTTCGACCGTTTCAACCCAGCCGGGGGCCTCAGGCAGAGCAAAATATCAGACAACACGATTTTTGCGGAAGCTGCAAGCTAACTCTCTTATACGGTATAAAAAGTGTATGATCTATTTCTCTATTTGGTTTAAACTGGCCCGTAAGACCAGGCCAGCAAAGAACAACTTTTCAAGCAACGTACTGCATGACAAACTATATGATATCAGTGCTATATATTGTATATTTAAACTGCATGCGCGTGAAGGACCTTCTATGTATATATAAGCGTGCATGGGCGAATGCCCCCCTATTGCAATCTTCAATTACTCCCACTCCGCAAATATTTTTCGATCGCCAAAATGCAGGAAATCGAGCCACAGAGTTGCCTGAACACAGACCTTCGTTTCGCAACAATTTTCTGGGGAGTGCTGGCCCCCCTCCAACTCCCCATTACCACTTTTCTAGTCCTCTTCGTTCTTGCAACCCCGCGAATAATATGCGTGAGCACACAAGTTTTAATCTACAACCCCGTCCTTCACGGATTGACGGTTAGACAACTGCTAATTAAAGGCCAGAAATGTGGTATGAAAAACGCTGTTAACGGGGTTCTCCGTTAATTACGCCATACAAGTTTCTTCCTAATTATATAAAGGCTGACTGTGTGTGTAAAATGTTATCTCTGCCCAGTTCTAATAAATTCGCACGGTCATGCTGATCAGCGATAGACATAAAAGTTGCTTTGTTTGCCTCCGTAATAGACCCACAGTGTCGACAATTATTCCACTCTCAAAAGACCTTTTTATCTCTGTTCACCATATCCGGCGAACTTGCATGCATGTGCTTTACTCTTTAGACTTTACTCCATTTTCTTCGGCCAGTTGGTGTATTTCCTCCACAACTAGCATTATACATGGTAAAGGAATCTGCAAATATATTCAAACCGAGAGATGGCGGCATATTAGTGCCCATAATAACCTGGGGTGATTGGATAAACTACCTTAAAATAATAACGAAAACTCTGACATTCAACTAAAGCCATTTGTACCTCTGTAGTTAATCACAGAGCTACTGTATTTTTAAATCACTATAGAGACTATTCCTACCGGGATCCTCTGTTCGTTACACTCAGTTCGTGAAGTATACGTGGAGTTCGAATCTAATTATATTGGACTGATTAATTTTAAAGACTGTTGCACTAGGTATGTACAAATGTTTAGGGTATTTCAGTGAAGTTCATGATCAGATCTAAAGCACAATCTTAGAACCCGAAGTCGTATATCGCATTCCTAATTCATAGAGTCTTACATTTCAAGAGGAACAAGTCGTATTTATTTTGATGCGGTTTTTTCTGCACTACTCGGCAAGACTTCCACGCCTCTTTTGCGGTTTCCCTCCTGAATTCATCGTTGGGAAACTCGTAATTTCATAAATTCATGAAGAAGCGGCTTTTTTGTAGAATTAACGTAAATTAGTACTTCAATATAACAATAACTGTGAATGTTTCCAATCGCGAAATAAGTTAATTTATTATATTATGTATCCGTTTTCAAAAGCGTGTGTTCGATTAAATTTACGGTGGAGACGTTTGGAATGCAGTTGGAGTTTTGTTTCATAACGGAATTGATATAGTTGGTCAAACGCGGCATTATTTAACCTTCAATAAGTTTCCCGCCTCCCCAAACGCAGCATGAATGTCTGAGGTCCTTGTTTTCATGGGTAACTCAGTTCGATTTAGCATAATTGATTAGCAAACACGAACCATTCTGTCTCTCTTTATCAAATTAATCTGGATAAATATATTTCTCGTGGTTACCGCGTTTGCAACAAGACTATACAGAAGCCGTTCAAACTTGGATTGGCGATGAAAAATTAAGATTATAGATCCTAAATGGTGTTTTATTTCCGCAGGAATAGAGAGATTTGAAACCGGTGAAAGCTACGAGTCGCCTTTGATCTTGGATTTCAATTCTCTTCACATAGAGGTATTGTGATGATTAATTAAACGTATAGCTTTGAACATGTTGCAGCTTTTAAACATGTTGTTGGTCACATTTGAGGATTCCATTCTATAAATTGAGAAGATTTTTGTCCAAATCCTTTCCAAAGTTTATACATCGTCTTACATTAAGCATAGGCGCTATCCACACGTGAACTGTGCAAATTTTTTTGTAAGATGCAGTTTGACATGTGTCGAAAACTTATTTTTCACCAAGCCTGATTTTTAAATTCACTTCTTTGGCCGAAAATCAAACTACGTTACTATAGGCGAGTATCTTCGCTTGTGGAATGTTTCATTTAGATATAACAATTTATCACAATTTGACATGTGAAATAATACGTGAAATTTCCACATAATAGAAACGTCGATGACAATAAGTGTTTTTAATCGTTTTCTGACAAAAACCACGGCATGCGGCTTATTCTTGCTTGTAGAATGCTATCTACGGAGGTACATTGGAATTATTATTGCATTCGTGAAATATCTTGAATAGCTACCGCGTGTCCGCCGTTGCAAAAATCGTCACATAGTATTTCGGTGCATTAAATTGGATAAAACTAAATCCCATGCAGCTATTTGCCTCGATAGTCTCGATTAATAAATAGTACATCGGAATAACAACAGTTTCTTCAACGAAACATAGCCATTTCTCTTGCACACTGCATGGTATCTTCGCTCGGCTCTTTATTTAATTATATGTAGTTATCACAGGTAAAATGAACTCAAATTAACATGATAAGCATATTTGTTTCTAGGTAAAATAACATGCTACTCAAGCCTACAAGCCTATTTATTTACATTGCATTGTGCAATGTATTTGTCCTATGCAATGGTAAGTTGATTCACTATATAGGATTGTGTGTCGGGATGTGGTATTCATTGATTTCGGCGCACAAGGGCGCAATCCTTGGCAAAAAGTGGGGGACCGACTCGAAAAATTGCATGGGGGATCTTAATGTCTGCATTAATGGCGCAAATGGGGGAACATAAGGCCAGTTCACGTTTACGATTTTTGCTGCGATTTTGTGTGCGATTTTCTTCTTTTGATAGATGTGAACGAGTGCATTAGTTACATATATTTAAATAGAGTTTTTGTGCATCAACTCATTTGTAAGACGAAAATCGCACCGAAAACTGCAGCCAAAGTTGCAAGTGTTAACGGGCCTTTAAGGTTTAGCGCAAATGTACCTTTTGCGGTGAGAACATGCATGGCGTCTATAAGGCTGACTGACTATTGTTAACAAGAGACCAGTTTTGTCAAGAACATAGAAAGGTTGTTTAAACTGGGTTCTCAAGGCGCCACCGTGGTTGGCACCGAGCGACGAGACAATTGTTGAGATTAGAGAGCTCTGGAACATCCGAATTGGCCTTTTTATATTTCTTCTTATCAAATTTGGCATACTGCCTTGCTTAAATACGAATATGTGAATCGCAAAGTGAAATGATTTTATTGTATGATCACCCCCCTAAATCCTATTACTGGAGGAAAATAACCCTATATATAGTAGGGCGGCAACGCCACAACGACTTGGTCACCAAAACAACGAATATAGGATCACTGAATATGGACTTAATGAAAATGTATGAATAATGTTAACAAAGTAGTGGATGTAAGGGACTGTTTACATGGAGCGAGTTATCCCGGCTAGGCGAGGTAAAAAGCGCATCACATCAATGGCCTAAACTGATCAGTCTTCATTATTATATGCAGTTTTCACCTCGCCTAGCCGGGATAATTCGCTCAGTGTAAACAGGCCCTAAATCACAGATTTTTACTTTAGCATTTCAGCAAGCAGCAGCAATTAAGTGCCTCTTCTAACTCGATGCAGTAAACTCTTCTAGAATAGATTTTGCTGTCAAATCTCTTACCGCGTTAGAGTTCAGTGGCGTAGCCAGCCCGACGATTTTGTCCCGCTATGTAAATTTCGAGTTATTATAATTATTCATGTCTTTAGAAATCCATTGTTTTCACAGTCAGTGAAAACCAAAATATTAGCATAGCGGGACAAATCGACAGGCTGGCTACGCTACTGATAGAGTTATTTCAACCACTATAAAACGCATGCTATGATTTTTTCTGTACTACGCTTTCCTAACGAAGTATGCCTGATATTGTGTCAGTGACGCCTAAATTTTATATTGTAATTAAACAAACTTAAACTTTCTTTCCTCACAGAAAATATTGGACCCTCGATTGTGGTAAACCCAAAAGACACCATTGCTATCCCAGGCAAAAACGTTTCGCTTTTCTGCATAACAAATGGTCTCCCCAAACCCACAGTGGTATGGGAGAAAGATGACGCCATATTAACTGGGAAACACTATTCAATATCGTCAAATGGGGCATTACATATATCTGGTGCCATAGAAGCCCGAGATAAAGGAACCTATCGATGTAGGTCTACAAATGTCATTGGAACTATTGTCAGCCTTCAAGCAAAACTTGGTTTCCCGTGTAAGTATAGTAGGTTTAGCAAAAGAATATCAGATATTTCCCCCCACTGAATTGGGAGCGATGTTTTGATAGCTAGGCCAACCATTTTCTTTTACGTGAATGTAGAACTTTGCGAACTGATTTCATTTTGCATCTTGTGTAGTTCTTGACCCTTTTGCCGAACCATTCTCAAATATGCAAGCCAGGAATGGAGACCGTTTGGTCCTGAAATGCCAGATCCCAGACGCTGCGCCTTTGAACTCGAGAAGCGTTAGATGGTCGAAAAAAGATTTTCGCTATGCTGATCTACTTCCACCCCTAGAGACGTCACCTTACTATACCGTTGGTAATGATGGCGATCTCTATTTCTCCTACGTCACCAGTGCTGACACTGGTAGTTATGTGTGTGTGGTTGGGAATACAATTCTTGGACGTAGCGAAGAAAGGACGGTGAAACTGAAAGTTGGTTTGTCCCAAGGTAAATCTTAACATCAATAGAAGAACTTGTCTATAACAATCCACAAATTGCTCAAATTGATTCATTTATTATTAACCATCTTTTCGTACACGAATAGTGATATGTACAATACACTGAGTACTGAGAGAATGATTCATACTTACATTGTCATCTTGCCTGGGAATATATCATATAGTCACAAAATAATAGCGGTGAACATTTTCTTTCATGGATTTTAGTTCGAGAAAGATTGTTGAGGTTAATCCATATGAAATTATAAAATGGAAAATTTGAATTTCTAAGGCATTAAAATGAATGCCAAGCCGTTTTTGCGTTTAAATCATTTGTTGACACTTTGTTTAAATACTTCTGTTTCCCGGCCACAAAGAAAACAAAAATGACTGTCTCTATTTACATTGCAACGAAACGTTTTTGCTTTCTGACTAGAAAACATTTATGAAGTGCGTTCTCCTGGCGTCTTCAGTGCATTTAGCGAACCGAAGTTTGCTGTGGAAGGAAAGGCATTTGTTCTGGAATGTATTGGGTATGGAAGGTAGGCTGCACCTCGAAACTTCCGTCATTCTGATACAGTAGCGTAGCCAGCCTGACGATTTTGCTCCCGCTGTGTAAATTTCGAGTTAGAATAATTATTCATGTCTTTAAAAATTTATTGTTTTCACTGTCAATGTACACCAAAATATTAGCACAGTGGGACAAATCGTCAGGCTGGCTACGCTACTGTTCCAGTACCGTGTCCAGCTATACCAATTCTGGTTTCATGCTGGACTTTTCACAATGCTTAGCTTTTTGCACATTTTCCCACCAGGCCAGTACCGCATATATCACTGAAGAAATCAGGCGGCACAACTGAATTAGGGAAAACGACGACGAACAAAAGAACATACGTCATACGTGATTTCAGCGCTAAGGATGCTGGGACATATGTGTGCATAGTTCGAAATGATTACGGAGACTCCAGTGAAGTTACGACCACTGTGACTATGTTAGGTGAGGAGCCCACGCGTTGTTATTTTAAATTCAAATGCATACAAGTGCATGAGAATCATTTCAAATTATTCATTTGGGCCGGATATGAACAATTCCTTCTTTCTTGAACTCGTTTCACTCATCTGATGTCATCATTCAAGTGTTTTTAGTTTCTTACAAAGTCTTCTCTTTCCATCAGTTAAAGCACAATGGACCAGTCGTCCTAAGGACGCTTCAGTGGACGTGAACGCCAGCCTTACTTGGAAATGTAAAGCAAAAGGGGTTCCTCCTATCAAATATACATGGCTACACAATGGAGTGAACATGAAACAAGCGGATGGTTCACCTAATTATGTCATAAAGGATGGAACATTAACCTTTTCCAAGCTTCAAGTGAGTCAAAGAGGAATGTACCAGTGCCATGCATCTAACAGTGTCAGGTCACTGATTACAGCAGCTGAGCTCAATGTGAAAGGTACGCCTGGAGTAATTTTTTGGAGGGCCATAATGAAAGCAATGGTGCTCTGTAGTTTTTACAATCACTTAAACTGTTGTCAAATGTTAATCGAAATTATTTGTTTTCATAGCTGCTCCGCCAAGTTTCGACAAAGGTGGTATAGCACCGGACGAAATTACTAACGCAGTGACTACTGGGACAGCCGTGATCACCTGTCAACCCGCAGGATCCCCTAGGCCGAAAGTGACCTGGTTAAAAGGGTCAACAGCAATTGGCGAGTCCAGTGACAAGTTTAGTGTTAGTGATGACGGTACTTTACGCATATTTAAAGTTAAAAAGAATGATAGGGGGACTTATACTTGCATTGGAAGGAATCCATTTGGTGTGATAAAGAAATCCACATATCTCATGATAAAAGGTATTCTTTAATTTTCATTACTGAATGAGTAACTATCAATGTCGGGGGATTAATAGAAAAATTGTATTTTATGTCTTATCTTTAATTTCAGAGGGAATCGTCATTGTCAACTTCCCGCGTACAGCTAATGCAATAGTCGGTCACAATCTCAGTCTCACTTGTGAAGTTGAACTGGAGACAAAGTCTGTTGTCTCATTTGAATGGACGCAGAACCTCAGACAGTTCTCTGAAAGGAATATCATTATTACAAACAGTCTTCGTAAGAGTGTGTTGTTTATTAAAGAACTTACGTTGAAAAATTCCGCCATTTACAGCTGTAAAGCAATAGCAGACAGTTTAACCGGTGCTGGTAGAAGTCATGATTATGCAGATATCAGAATCAAAGTGAAAGGTAAAAAGTGACTGAAATAACCTAGAATATCATCACTTGATATCATAGCCTTAAATATCATATACTCCACCAGCAGGTCGTATTGTGATTTTTGCACAAAACCAATTGCACATGACCACGTGTGCGAGCACAGCTGTATGTAGGCTAATTGTAGGAGACTGCTATAATTACACTGGATTTAAGACAACAAATTCCCATAAGATAGATACCGGCATTCGACTGAGATGTATCATGCTAAATAAATCAAACAAAGCTTGTTTTGTTGGTTTTCAGGTCCTCCAGAAGCGCCGATTTCGATCACTGTGAGTGACGTCAAAAAACATCACGTGAACATAACATGGGCAACGTCTGCGCACACCAACAACAATAATAGCCCTGTTAAGAGAGTCATTGTAGAATACAAAACCTTGTATGAGCCAGGCATTTGGTATTCGTCCCGACATGTGTTGTTAAAAGGCGAGAATAAAGCTGAAGTCAAAATATCGCCTTGGGCGTTTTATACGTTTCGAATCATTCTGGTCAATGCTATTGGACAAAGTCAGCCTAGCCCACTAAGTGCGTTGATTCAGAGTCCTGCTGCAGGTTCGTAAAATAATGATATAGGTAATTCAGAGTAGATCAATTTTAACTAGATTTTTGGTATTTGAAACATTGAAAAACGAAACATAAAGCCCTGAACGATTTTCTTTTCTTGTAACACATGTAGCTCCAGATAAGGCGCCGTCCAACATCACAGGTCTGGGACCTAGTCCAACGGAGTTGACAATATCATGGCAGGTAAAGAATGTGCCCCAGTCAAATCGTTTAAAATGAAACAGAACTTGCCATACGTTCCATTATAAGCAGCGTGACAGAGTCTTCAAACTACTTGTGGTATGACAACTGCCTAAAATAGACAAAACACTTCTCGACATTTCGAGGGCTTTCGTCGGGAGAGTTAGTGTGGAGAGAGTTATTTACTTTCCTGACGAAGGCCCTTAGGCCGAAACGTCGAAAAGTATTTTGTCTATTTTAGGCAGTTGTTGTACCAGTGACATTTAATGCGAAGACTTTACTGTAAATATGTATTCCTACTAAATAATCGCATGTTTATTCTGTAGGGTCTGAAGCCAATAGAACACAATGGGCCTGGTCTACACTATGCCGTCTTTTATCGCCGAGTCAAAGACTCCTCGCCTATGACCCGCGTGCAGGTGAACTTGAAGAAAAAGCTGGAGTACACAGTGAAAAACACTAAATTTTATGAGCAGTTTGAATTTCAAGTTCAGGCTATAAATGCTCTCGGGGCTGGTCCACGAAGCGCTATGGTTTATGGGTACTCTGGAGAAAAATGTAAGTATTTATAATTATAGTAGGCTAATGTGATAATGTAGTCTGAGACTGATCTCTTATGTGCTAAAGGACGGAAATACTAGTTCACTTTATATTAACATTCAATGCTTTAGTGTACCTGCTAATCTAACGCCTGTATTCTAAAAGCTCACTCACACTCAAACTCATTGAGTGGGAGATCCTAATCTTCTCGTAGCGTTTGAATGGCGGTATTTCCAGCCAAATAGGGGCTTGATTTTCAGTGATTTACCTTATATCTTTCCATCTATTCAGAGAAAACTTTCTCATTGATCAGCATTAACAAAATTTATATGTCACACTCATTGAGTGAGAGTGTGAGTGAGCTTTTTGAATACAGGTGTAATCCCTAACCTTATCCGGCCGAATACGTGTAACTGTTTATTTCTTTAGCTCCAATTGGCGAACCACAGGATTTGCGCGTTCAAATTCTGAACAGTCGCTCAGCCAGGGCAACCTGGACTGGCATAAAGAAAGACAGAAGCGCAAGTAGAGGAAAATTACTTGGCTATAAGGTAACTCCACCGCTTTTCAAAACCTTTTGCGGTTATTATTGTAGTACGGTTAAGTGCCGAAGTTTCATTTCATATTTCACATACAAGGTTTATTACTGGTCCACCCAACATGGTATGCGTCCATCAGATGCACATTACGAGCCAACTGGCGATACCGTTACTATGGTAGGACTTGAGTCGTTTACAACCTATTTCTTCCAAGTGGTCGCCTACAACAGCAAAGGTGATGGACCTGGTAGTAACGTAGTTGGACCACTCTCAACTCCGGAGTCAGGTAGGATGTGGAACATATTTGTGCTGTTCACCTAAGTTAAATTACTTTTCAGAATTCGTCTATTTCAGAACTTTACAATTCGTATAATTACGCCATTTTCCCAGAAACCTCGCCCTCGTGAGCCATTAGCCTGCGACTTTCACAATTAAACAAGGCTCGTAGGCCTAAAACATGACCGTGAAGAGGTATATCGAATTTAAATCATTTTACCGACTTTTAGTTCCTGAAGCTCCCTTCAGTGTCGATATCCACGTGACCAAGCCAGAAGTGACGTTGAAATGGAAACCTCCATTGAAAAAGAACGGCATCATGGTCGGTTACCAGGTAACCGTGAGGAAACTTCCCGTTGGACAAATTAATATCATTGACGTCGGGAATCAGAGGTTGGAGCAAGAATTTGAAGCATTAGATTTGAATGGGAAATATCAGTTTGCTTTGCTTGCTCGAAATAGAGTTGGCTTTGGTCCTCCACTTGTTGTAAATATTGATTTGAATAAAGGTAGGTAATTGATGATAACAATTATTTGTGGGTTCTCACTTCTCGGACATACACTCGATAGAGAGATTCGATCCGATTTTGGTGACTTGGCGTTGTCGTTAATAGAAAACACAAGAAATCGAACCGTTTAGTTTAGTCCTTGGGCGTTGAAGTTGTGTCGTTTTCAATTATTTAACGTCCAATCACTGGATTACCGTTAGTGAATGAGAATGGGATTGGGGCTTACAACATTGTTGGCAATTCTTTGTCTATCTGGTGTTTAATTTCTCCTTTTCATTAACTTTTAGTTCCTAAGAATGCCCCTGAAGACATTTTTATAACCGTTGACAAAAAAAGAAAAACAGCTAATGTAAAGTGGTCGAAAGTTGAAGGAATGATAGATGGTTATAGGGTGAGTATATTCAGTTGAATTATACTGAAACTCGAAACAAGTGCGAATCAAAACAAATTGATCAACTATGACTACTAACTATGTCGGTTTGTAGGTAAGCTACTGGAACACTCAAGATGGTACTGAGAAATCCACCAAGTTTCAAGAAGTGGACAAGAATTCTGGCAGATCAGTAACTGTCGCAAATTTAGAAAAGCTTACTTACAAATTTCAAGTTAGAACGTATCAGGAATTCGGTGATAATCTGGTCCTTGGCCCTGAATCTAAAATACAGACTGTGACCATGAGTACTGGTAAGCTGACCTAATCAGCAGCGAGGACTATTTTAGTACGATATTGTCTTTTTCGCGCACAAAAGCATCGGAGCTTGGGAACTAGTAAGCAAGAGGCTAGGATAAAGTAGGATACACGAAGAAGGATTTCGTGAAACATCCTCGCCGAAACACGAGGATTTAACCAAGAAATTTTCTTTTACCAAATGCGAAATTCATTCTGCGAAAAAGGCTTCATCCGTAGAATTAACGACATTAAATTATATTGTCAAAAATCTGAGATACATGCACATAGGACGTTTGGGAAACATTTCAAGCTAATAGTTGAACAATCATGAAAACTGATTATCTGTCAGCCAACGCCATTGACGAGTCAGTAATCTACTATAAAAAGTATAGCGCAGAGACGCTTGGTTTAATTCGCTTGCAATACTTCATATAAATCATATTCAGTACACGAATACACACATGCTTGCATAATTTTTTAATCAAGATGAATTTCGTTTAGATAAATCGATGCCAACATCACGATCTGACAGTTGGATTCTACGTGGAGTCACGTCTTACCTCATATTATCAGCCATTCTAGCAATGCTACATGTTATGTTATAACATTAACAGAACCAAAATTCAATCAGATATCGGTAAAGTACCTGTATATCTTATGTAATAATGTAATATATGCCCAACACACTGAACACAGTGAAATCAATTATTCAGCCAAATATGCTGGCATACTTAATCGAAAGCTATTCACCTGTATAGAGGTGGGCAGATAGATAATTAATGATAGAGAATTTCCCCGTTTCTTGTGAAATGATCAAAGAGTCCTAAAGCATGGCAGGCAAATTTCTCGCTCGTACTTGTCATGCATAACTCGTAATCAGATATAAATTCTTCCTAACAAGAAACGATCGAGCCTCCCCTGAAAGATTCACATCCACTTCCAGTATCTCGAGGTTCCACAAGTTGGCAAGGAATCTCTAGCGTAGACTAGGTATACAACCTCATGAAGTTGAACTTATATACCCGTCGCTTCTGCTCACTTCATCTTATATCAGCCGAGAAACACCAACGGTATTAGATCATTTCAAAAGTTACTCTTGCACTTGACTTATATGACTGAACATATTAGTTATCGACATCGCTAGTTCTGTTCACGGGTTAAAATACACCGGATCCTTAACTATATATGATATAGTTTTAGAGGTGCAGTTAGAATATAAACTGGCCTGCCTGCATCACATATATATGGAGGATGCTTTGGTGTAGTTTACTTCTTATAGTTCATATCATTGTGGCTTGATTACGTTTTAATTGCTATATAAAAAACGAAAATTTTACCCTCTATATGTAATTAATAAATTATAATGTAGTTATATATGTATTTGTTGACTTCAGAAAACGTCTGTAAAGAGAACAATAAAGTCAAAAAACAATTCAATATATTGTGGCATGTAACTAAAGTATACTTAAAGTATATTATTATATGGCAAACGTCACTTCCGGTGAAATGGAGCTCACTGATTGGCTGAGAAGAATTTTCAGCGGTCCATTGCTTTTGGACCGGCGTTAGCGGCGATCCATCCAGATTAGAACACCATATAATTTATACTGCATGTCTTAGTGTATTCATTACTCTGTGTTTAAATAAGTGCACTGACAAAACTATATTGTTTGGTGGTGTGCAATTTTCGTCGGTGGATTTAGATGAGATGAGGTGGAATGAGGTGGGCCCCTCATTCTACAGGGTGAGTAAAAAAAAAGTCCCCCCTATTGAAATGAAGCCTTTTTTGATTTGAATGCATGATCAACGCAGTAGTGTGTAAATAGCATAGTTATTAGGTTGAGGCATTCAAATAAAGCGTCTTGCTTTCAATTGGGTTTATCATAATATTAAGGCAATCAGATTCTAACAAAGGCTTGATTTCAATAGAGGGGACTTTTTTCTGACTCACCCTGTACATAACTATAATTAAGGATAATAATTTCTGCAACATATAGCTTTGCATATTATATTACGTGAGTGAACATGGGGAAATTGGCTGTTCGTAGTTGCCAAATTTACATCCCTCAAAAGTAAAATTGTATTGCTTGTTGCATAAAATATTCCACCGTGTAACAGGGTTATATGAAAATTCCAAGTTCAGTTTCCCTTGAGTGGCAACTGTCCTCCCCATTCCTTTGTCCTTTCCTGATAGATCTGCGAATAACATTACTGATTACTAGAACTTACTATTGCTTATGTCCCGTGCTGTTCAAAAAATGTAGGCTTTTTTAGCTCCTTTGCTCAGGTTGGTTTTACCCCAAATCGTTTCCCTATAGTTTACTAAATCTACGTGGACATTAGGACATGCACGCGTGGGTGTTCGCATGTGGCTAGTGATGCAGTGCGTGCGGATTTCAGATTGTGCTTCTATACTCTTGGCTCTTGCCATTCGTTTGTGAGATGTTAATTTGCAACCGCAATTCGTGCAGACTACACCTGAAATAACTCCACGAAGAAAGAAAATAGGACATAATTGGAACATCTGAATATACGAGAGAGAAAAAGCCATATTGAACAACGAACAGGTAAAAGTTTGTATTCTTACACAATCCGGCATTTAGTTTATAATTATCGTTAAAATATCTTCTTTGAGTTGAACTAGCTATATATTGGCGTTATTTCTTAATGCCCTTGTACACGAATCGATAAGCACTTAATAACATGCAACATATCCTTGTATTGACCCAACAAACGATTCTAGTGTTCACATATCACAACTTTTTGGCACCAATTTACTGATGAGAGCGCCATCTTGGATATAGGGTACATGCCAGAATTGACTGGGAACTAGGGAACATCATTGGTGGGTAGCACACGCCACGCAACTGCAAGTCTGCAACGTCCTGTAAGTCAGTGATTAACATAAACTTCAAAACTTGTTATTGGTTTTTTTACTAAGATTCAATTACTAAGATGGTCGAATAGCCGACAGCCCTGAGCTCTACTGCTTTTATAGTGAAATATCAGAAAAAAACAAGGTCTGATATAATTATATAAGACAACTTAGAGTTCGAATCGAGACTGCTATTTTCCCCGACAAAAAAGTTGTAATAGTACTGTTTTTCTGTACTTTGATATCGTCATGAAAAAGATATCCCGAGGTTCGATGAGCCTTAAATTCTCTTTACACTAACCTCCATTGAGGAAAACTACATACATTAGCAGGCCACTGCTAGAGAACATGGTTCTTTGCTTCTGATTTACTTTATAACAAAATACGCATATTTGTATTATGATAGAAAAACATTCCAGGGCCCGTGGAGGTATGTAATAGTGTGGGAGAGCCGTAAGTGAAAATTGGAACCCCGATGTCCAAATCCAGAGTTCCTTGACTCTGAAATTTTCAGGACCTTAGTAAATAGTGATCGTGTTATACATTGATTTTTAGTTTGTAAAAAGTTAGATTTTGTGTCATTAAATCATATGGCGTATTCTGTCGTATGTTATTTTTTCGTGCGCCCTAGGTAATTATTATTACTACTTGGCTGAGTTGTATTACATGATTTTTTGCACTACCCTGCCTTGCTAAATGACCATTATGTATCAAATAACATGAATTGACTATCTCATATCTCAAATGAACGTGTGGGGGGGGGGGGATTGAACGGTGGCCTTGTAAAACTCCCAGGACGATCGTATGAAACATCGAAACTCTTAACTGCATGGTAACTTGTACAAAACTTTAGTACTTGTTGATACATATTAACTACATTAAATTTTATTTGGATAGTTAAATCGTAATTAACATTGTTTACCAAATTCGTCTTCGCGAGGATTTTGTTCTACTTTTTTCAAATTTACTTATTTACTTACTGGATTCTATTTAAGAAATAGAAAACATTTTCCGTGTTTCTATACAGTTATAGAAACACGCGTGGGAGTTTGGGAGAACGAGAAATAATCAGTGGGAAAACGAGCCCGTAGGGCGAGTTTTTCCGCGTTATTTCGAGTTCTCCCAAACTCCCACAAGTGTTTCTATAACTGTATAGAAACACAGGAAAAAATGTTTTCTATTTCTTTTATAATATAACTCAATAAAAAGATTTTGTACAAATATTATGATTCGATTCAATTACAAATTCTCATTACATCGCTTCGCTTGTCAAGTTCGGCGGGAAAATTCCCGTGTTTCTATACAGTTATAGAAACACGCTTCTCGACCAATCAGCACGCGCGTACTATAAATGTTATATTATAAAAGATTTTCTATAACATTCTGTATCATTATTTTATTACCTTTTACAACTATTGCAATAATTAATTAGATAGAAATTGTGCAATTGTGATTCCTCAAACTGAGATGCCTTCACAGTGCAAATATGCTAATAATCGTATCCAATGATCACTGTCCTTATTTCAAAGTTATTTTTTTCTTTTTTCCAAATGGTTTAACTTTAACATCCATCGGCTTTGGTTGACCTGTTTTTCCATCGATGATATAAAAGTCAACGTTATCCTTGACCTAAAAATATCATATGAGTGCAAATGAAATTAAATCATATAGGCAGTGTTCTGAAGTTCTAAAAATTTAAAGAACGAGTAAATACGGTAAGTAGCCGACTTATTCTGTATATGAGAGTTAATTGGTTACCGTTTCTTTGTCCCAAGAAGCTGTTAAATTCAGCCGAGTTGGATAATCACTCCTCAAATAGAAATAACCATGGACGCTTTGCAAAATTCGTGGCGGAATGAGATCAGAAGATTCTCTAATCTTCTCACTCACTGGCTCTGTCAACAGATCTTGTTGGAGAGGGCACACTTGCATAGAATACACATAAATGTCGTTCTCGTTGGTTGCCTTTCCAATAGCAAAATCTAAATCACCTTTGGGGTTAACGGCTGTTGGTGTGATGGGTTTACCTTGCGTTACGATATCTTCGTCTCGAACAGTTGGTACGACAGTGTGTTTCAGGGGAGGAAGTCGAGCTGTAGAAAATAAAAATTAAAGTTGGCTTGTTCTATGGGGGCCGGGGCAAATTGCTCTCCCTCTACTTCACAACTTCGAACCTCTTCAGAAATGACAATTTTTTGGAAACCAAATATAAGAACAACCACACCGTAATCAGTTACGAATTGATTTAAATTCTGTAGCACTTACAATGCAAGTTTTGCCTGCCAAATGCTGGTCCTCTGATGGCATGTAGCCATGCTCTACGCTGGGGATTCGATGGTGTTATTGCAGTGAAATACAACCATTTTACGTGCGATTTATCGTAATTTGAACGCAAATCCAAGGTTGTTGGGTGATTTTCATCCAACTTGAAGTAGCCATGTGTTGTTTCAAGTCCCTTCACGTGTGAAGCCTCCAAAAACTCGACCATGATGGTATATCTTTGTGAGAAATATTTTTTATGATATAAAAACGAGTAGGTAGAGAGATTTACAGGAGTACGTGAACGTCAAAGACGATGTGAAAATGGCAAATAAATGGCGTGACGCATCTATATATGGACATACCATTCCATTTATTCGTCATTTTCACATCGTCTTTGACGTTCACGTCCTCACGTCCTCACGTCCTAAATCTCCCTATGACGAAGCTATGCCAAAATGATTTGATGAAGCAAGTAGTTATTACGTACAACTCTCAATAGTTAGCCTCGCAATTCCGCTGTCGAGAACCAATTCCGCTCCCAACAATTAATTATCTTTTACTTGTGGGCTTATACTGAGAATAAAACCATAAACATTTAGGAATGTAAGTCACAGGATGTACGGTAGTCATCTCACCTCCACACCAGGTCAACGTTCCTTTTCTTACACGGGAGAAAGGTAAATTCGAGTTCCATGTTTTCAGTGATATCATAACAGAGTTCTTCTTGGTTCGGCTGATTTTCAATCGTGAAAGGCAACTCCGTTTGAGGGTTCTCGTACTTGAATAAATCCCAAACTCCTGAAATATTGTAATCAGTAGTATTGGAGCTAATGAAATACCTAATGAAAATATTCAAGGCCCATTCTTTTCATATGCCGAACCTAACGTTAATGAGCTAAAGTCTTTGTTTAACTTAATTTGCATTCAATTCAACGCATTTGCGCACGATGCCTAATTCGCATGAATTACCTGTAGTACCATAATGTCTTCCTTTTATGAGATAATCCAACACCACCTTTTCCCCCTCGTCTAATCTTTGGTGATTTTTCCCATCACTTTTTTGGAAAACTGTTTCCTTGAGGTGGAGACGAGGATCGATTAAGGTCACATAACCAAATACAAATTTTTCCTTGTATGGTAGGGCATCAAACGAGTTTGGACTTTTGTTTTTCTCCGCTGTAAAAACGGGATGTGTAAATGGTAAGATGATGTAACTGAAAAAGGGTGCATTGAACAGATGGGGAACTTGTCCGCGCTGACCAAAATAATCACTGGCACTTAAACAAATAAACTTAATTTTCAAAGTAGCACAGAGGAAGGGTTATTTTTAGAGAAGGCTGGAAGCGTTTGCTTTGGCGCGTTCATGTTACGTGTATATTTTTTAATTTTATTGCTGAGATATGATGAGCTTTGATATGGCTATACCAATCCGTTTTGCTACAAATTTCCCAGCTGTTGGTGCATTGTGGTTTTCGGTATTAGGATTTTCGGGTATTTTTTATACGGTGTATTTTGGTTATATAATTCTTAATAATACATGTAAACTCTCCTTCCATAACAGCTAGACTGGTTATTTAGAAGATTCAATTTTCATTCCATTGTCTAACCGATGCAGTCTTCTTTCTACGACAAATTATCGGCCTTAAACTTACCTGGGTGCGGATGCGATTGTACACCGAGTCTTGAATCTTTCCATGCCGGGGCATGCTTTCTATTGTGTTTGTGAAGGCCACCCTTTGGATCTGAGTGCAAATGCTCACTTCCCTGACTCGGCTTGGTGCCGTCTGTCAAGATATTTGCAAAAGAAGAATATCTTTCTCAATTTTCTCAAGTGAATCCCTTTTTCTAATTGTCATGGTAAATTCATGGGAAAAGTGAGGCTATAAGTTTTAAAGAATCCCAAATAACGTTCGCAGTTATATATGCTCTTATTTATGCTCTTATATATGTGGGGATTTTCGTCTTTAGATAGGAGCGAGTAAACCAGGAGATAGTGCGATGTGCCCTTAGTATATTAACATCCGGGACTTATCCGTCCATTCCCATCCATCAAAAGGTAAGATGGCAGGAAATTAAAAATTGCAAATGTAAATGCGCCTTGGGTAACTAAACATCTAAAATTAAGTTCAGTATTGCTCCCAAAGCAGAGAGGAATTTATGTGGAATTTTTAATGCTCACCGGTCTCATCTTTGGTATTACTTCTTTCGTAGAACGCGTCATTTGCAGCCATTGTATGGAAATATACGCCTCGAGCAAGAGCAGAATCAAGAAGAAACACTGCAAACTCCAAAGGGTACGTGTCAAACCAGTAATAATGCTTGTTTTCACCATTGATCATGTGTTTTGGATCATTGGTGAGTTCACCATTGCTTGGTCCACCATCCTCAATCGCCTGGTAAGAGTGATAATACCTGCCATAATAATAAAATTGTCTATAAATTTTGCAAAAGTTAAGCGTTACATTTGAGTGAATATATGAAATGTAAAACTCACATCATGTCATCGTCGGCGTACCGGGATATATGTTGGAAAAAACCAATCTATTTGCTTTACCTTTCGAGTAATTTCTGTCGTACGTGTTAGCAACTTTTTAAACCAACATCGACCTCGTTTTTTACATTCAGTTAGTTACAAGAAAGAAGCAATCAGTTTTACTGAACAATTAAGTCGTCAAAAATCAAACGAATATAGGTCTCGGATGCCCTCAATTTTACACTGGTAGTTAAATAGTTATACGTTTATACAAATGAAAGAAAGACTACGTAAAATCATTGAATATTTCCAAGCCGTGACATTTTTCTCCCCACGGCTGATCTTTTCCAAAATGTTGTTCCTCGGGCATATTAATAATGCACCATTGCATTGCATCCACGCTGTTGTCTGGGATTGTGTGAATTGCGGCTCTGTATGCCAAAGGATGAACGATGTAGTTGTATCTTGTACATTTTTCCTGAAAGGATATTTCCAAAGCCTAATTAGAAGTAAAATGTGATTGAACAACAACACACCTTCTCGCCTCACCTCATGGGACTTGAGGGCAATGATGTGCAAATAACGACCAAATGGTTGGTGTTGATACCAATATCCTCCTCGATATCTGTCATTTGGCTGAACCTGACTGTATTCCATGTCGTCTCTGTCCTCAACTTCCTCTTCGTAAGGGTGGTAATCCCAGAGATTGTTCTGTATTTCATTACCACGAAGAGCCAGGAAATACCTTGGCCATAATCAAACAATGTTGTCTCAGTCTAACATCAGATTATTCAGATAACAACGAGTTATCATTTCCTATGATGACTGCGAGTTTAGCCGCCCGCGCACTAGAGCTTAATATTAGCTGACCTAAAGACCTCTCGTGGCTGTTAGCTCAGCAAGTTGCTCCCGTTTGCGGAGAGTTTTCGTGAGGAATTCGTCTCGAAAGGCAAGTTTCTCACGTGCATGTGCAGATGGTTTTCGTGCTAAGCTAACTGCCTCGCGAGGTCGTTTGCTCAGCTGATATAGCTTTCGTGTGCAAGCGGCTTTAGCAAGTCGCGACTGGGGTTGTGCAATGTTAATAATTTGAATATTAAAAAGTTTGGTCAAAGTGCTTCAGGTAGATTCGTCAAATATGAAACACATGCTCATGATTATTTCTGAATATTTATGGTTATTCATGCTCAAAATAGGCCGTTTTCAAAGTTCCAGATGGGTTTAAATTTAAAACATATAACAATGAGTTGCTCATCGTTCTTTAGCTTCTACGATCTATTATGATACAATCAGCAGTATTTAATACCACATTAAGGCACATTTAATTTATCTAGTAAAATTGGCTTCTGCATATATTGATTATTGATACAGCAAATTTAGGAATTAGGACGGAGATGAATTTGATGAAAACATTTTGAAAATACCGAAATTATCAACCTGTTTCTGAAGAATGTTCCCTGACAAAACCATTCTTTCTGCAAGGGTACCCATCCAGTCCAATTCCATGGCTCATGATGGTGTATTGGCTTGTAGAGGTGTACCCCTCCCCCGACTCCAGCAATAAAGGGAAAGTCCATGTCGTCATTTCCTACGACATCGTAGTACTCTGCGAGTTTTTTCTCCACGACATGATAGCCCTCTTCCCACGAGTGGTCCTTGTTCGTTGGAGCACCATATTTATCGTAGTAATCTAGCGGAAGGTTTGCTTTGAATGAGGTTTGTGAGGATGGTTCAAAGTTGAACACTCTAATTGATCACATGCATGTACCAAAAAAACAAATATTTCCTTATGCCGGTTGCAACTTGCAACGTGACGTAACGTCATTTTGAGGAAGGTTGAACTCTCAAAACTTGAAATCCTACCGGAGGAAGGTTGACTCTCTTTGCAACTCTGAGTTGCATCAACTATGGTTGCATGCATACGGTTAGATTCTGTTGATGATTTGGTGTGTTTTTTCGGCATAAAATTGATTATATTCAACAACTTAGGAGGTTCTAAGCTTTTCATGCGTGTACGCACGTGCAAAAAATGCGACAGTGGAAAGCAGCCTTTAAAACGGGTGTCACAAACGCGCTCCTTGATAATTAGGTACATGTATATGCATTTGTGGATAATGTGACGTCGAATCTTTGAACTTTGAAGTTTTAAAAAATAATAAAATATAAATATAACTATACAATAAAAATATTAACGAACTTTATCGTATGCTTGTATCCAACAATTTAAATGAGTTATCGTTCCCGCTATTCTGTGGTGGATGTCATTGATCTTATATAGGAAAGGTAGATCGCACCCCTATGTGTTTATTTGCCTATTTGGACCGCCGACAATGGCCATCGCCGATGAGAACCAGGCTTTAGAGGTGCTATTCTCGCTAACCGCACAATATTTCGCACCAGGCGGAGTAAACGTCTTGTTTACTCTATCTTATAAAGTTGTCAAATATTGACTATGATAAAGTTTAGTTACCTTGATCCATATACTTTCCTTGTCCATGACGATCATACCCACGCAAGTGACAATGCAAGAAAAAAGACACTTCTGTCCCATACGCTTTTTCCACCGGTGTGTCAATGAATGCAGTACTCATATTTCTACATACGAAATCACGTACTAATGATCAAACGAAATCCTAGTAGCTTCAGCACTCAGCAGTTACTGGGATATAATAATTGTTCCGCGAGTACTGTTGTGTGAAAAAAAATATTTGCTCCGACAGAGTAAGCAAAACGATAATACGATATGACGAGAGAGATATGTGTGGTATACGTAGCTATAACTTTTCACCAATAAAGCTGGATTTGTTTTGAAAAATGTGTTGCATGACTAATTCTATTGATGTATGCATGCGGAAGAAAACATTCATTCCAAACACTCCTGGCGAAATATTGCCACAAATTCAATCCATACAAGATGTCTAACAATGCAGCATGATGCAAAAATTTAGAATAAATTATAGTGGAAGAAGACTTTCCAGACTCTCAGTCACATATCAAGTGTGTAAATTGCAATCACAGAATGCATAGGTTGGAAAGAGACATTCGCGGAACTGAACTGTTGTATGCATAAATAGCTAATTATATACAGGAATCTGTGATTCGCATCTCACGTACGTACGACTTGGGCTTATTCGTTGTGCACTAAACTGCATTAAAAAATTACTGTAGACTTCCAAGAATAGCATTTTGCATGATGAGTAGTTTGTGTATATCAACATAAACTGCATGTGTATATCAACATAAACTACCTTTGTTTTTTCTTCCGGGTTACTGTATGTCTTCTTACTTCTTGTAGATGTCTATAGGCCTGACGAAAAGTGGATCAATTCTCAGTGAAACAACTACTGATATATAGTAATAAGCTTTATATAAATAATTATTGAGTCTAATATAGGCAGGCTATCGCTGCCCTCGAAGGAAGCTTTTAACGAGACGTCCAAATTACTCTAATACTTAAAATCATTTAAAGTGTTTGCAAGTCAAATTTCTTATATATACGGATGTGTGAGTTATTTATATCCTGAAAACATCTGCAGGAACCTCTGCGCAGGAACTGCAATGTGCGGATGAGCTCGGCGGGAGGTAATTGCATGCGACGCATTCTTGACGTGTTTTCAGAGATAGGAAGTTTGTGTAATAATATAGAGCACGATATCATGCAACCACCAGCGGTTTTACGTATAAAAGGATGTTCAAGTATATAGTATATATATACAGCTAATTCAATTATAACGTTGTCCTCTGAAGGTTAAAACTCAAAACTCCAAAACTCGACCTCTACGACCGAAAAGCACACTGGGTTGGTATAAAATTGTTTAAATTGTCTCTTTAATTTATAACTATATATGGCTATAATATACAGGGTGTATAAAAAAAAAGATAATCCAACTTCAACACGCTATTGTACGTGAACTACTCAGTTTATGAACGAAATGTTTTCACTTTCGGAAAGATCATGCATGCTGGCTTTTAACTGTCGGATGACATGCTTTTGGTGCCAAATAGTGAAAAAATGAGCACATATATATATACAAGGCTGATAAAAAATGTTTGTGGCAATCGCATATTTTTACCTTTGAGCCTAATTACAGCAGTGGATAACAAAAGAAAAAACCAATTAATCACGAACATGTCACAGCTTGCTTATTGCAATTATTTACATTTACACTTTTTAAAAAGAGATTATGCGCCGATGCCTTCAACTTGACCACCATATATATCTATCGATACAAAGTTGACATTGCTTGGAATGGAATGGGGCCGGTTGTTCGAAAGGCGTTTGGCTTAAACGGTGGATAAGTTAAAAATGGAAAACAAAATTATCTATTTATTGAACAACTGAACTAAAATATTTCGATGTAAATAGTTTAATTGTCTATGAAAGTACATATTTAATGCATAAGATGCAGGTTCAGTCATTCACAAGATGTATGAGAGTGTTTTTGAACTTTGGCTTATCCACCGTTTAAGCTAAACACCTTGCGAACAACCGGCCCCTGATGTAATTTATGCCTACTTAATATGCATATGCGGGTAGTTTATTGAGAAGCAAAATTCTTCAATTAAGTCCTAAAGGACAAAATTTAAAATTAAAGCAACTTCTGTTTTACAGATTGCAGTTTCAGAGCTTGATTTAAGACGGGCAGAAACTCAGTACTGTTATATGACAATATTTTGATTCATATTTTTTATATTACCCCTTTAACAGGTTCCCCAGTAATGTCATTTCAGCAACAAACCATTATATTGCATTTATTATGTTTTAAAGCAGGTTTTCATTTGCATGATGTATAGAAAATTGCAAATAATACAATTTACATGCAGAGAATTAAGAGAGCGTTTTAAAATAATAGGCCTTAATTAATATCACGGAGGCTTTAAAATCACGCAGTAAATTTCAAACCATATTTATATGATATGTGCCAAAACTGTTATATAGGTGGTTTTGGAACTATGTCATATGATAGGTATAAAGAGAAGTCATTGCATGTTAAGTGAAGTTACGGGAGAACTCAAAAAGGAACATCTGCTGAAAATTGGAAGATTTTTGCCGCACAATGCCACAATTACAACCTTTTTTTCAGATTCCATGCATATATAAGATAATTATAGCAATGATTTGAATTCCTTTTAAAGTCGCTTCCTGTATTACATACCTTAATCCCTATATCTTCCTATTTCACATAATACCTAGCTAAATATTTACCCTATATCATACAGTTAACAATTAAACCGCGAGCATGAGTCGTATATGAGCTGATAGCCGACGAGCTGCGTATAGCATCGAGTGCCGCGCGCGGCTATCAGCCATATACGGCGAGAGCGAGTGGTTTAATTGTTTTATAATATAGGCAAATTCTGAATCTTGTCAATTTCTTCAGCCATTTTGCTTTTTCTTTAGTTTTGCCACCCACCGTATATGACCTGATATACGGAGGGTAGCTCGACCAATCAGATATAGCTCATATATAGTGAGTAGCTATATTATAATCATATTTATACTATGTTGTGAATTTTATGAGTACAATGCTAAGGATATTTTCATAACTGCATGATGAAAGATTGAATGTTCCATCACATCAGCTTGCATAGATTCAAAAATCTCACGAATCGATGTTTATACCTAGGTTTTGATCATAGAAATTTGTATGGTTTGATATAAGTGTAAAAATTTTCTGATGTGACAAAATCAGTTTCAATTTTAAAGTCTATTGAACAAATAGATAATATTAAATTGTTGTCTGTTCAGTTATAGATAAATGGTATGACGTCATTTGTGATAAGAACAACAACTGACACCAGTGAGCTATAAATAGAGCTCACTGCTGACCACTCGCCCCCGAAAAATATCTGAAATTAGACAGGAGAATAGTTTGATTTTGCTTTGGAAAATTGTTAAAGTAAAGATTTTGCAGATATCATCGCACATGATTATAGGATTAAAGAATAGTAATAATGAATGTTTACGAATGCAATGGTATGAATCTTTGCATTAGGTGAAAGATGGAATGTTCCATTTTTTACTGAATGAAAATATTCTTTTCATTGCGCAATGAAAACACTCATTATTTGTTTTAAATAACATCAAAAAAGGCCAAAATAGATGTAATGTTATTGAATTATATATTAAGTGAAGAATTTGTGTTTATAAATGATCCCATCGGCCATATTATTCGGATTCGTGACCCAATGCCCTGCGAGCACGGTACGATTAATACTGTGAGCGATTGAAGCTAGTGGAAGCAACCATGCAATGGAAAAAACTATTGCACGGAAATTCAGTGTATTTTAATGCCACGCGGTCAAAAGCAACCAAAGACATTATATCGATAAGGTGTTATATAAATGCTATTGGCTATAAAATGTGATTGGCTGACAAAATAAACAAGCAATGACTGATCAAATTCGTTAAAATTAACTGTGATGTCTGTCTTTTATAAATCATGTCTCTCGACCAATGAAATTTTCAGAATCCGTATTATACAAAAAGGCATAAACGATTTACACAAGCATTTGAAGTTTCACCTGCACGGTTATTAATTTTGATTATCACATGCATACACACAAGACCGTTTCGCTCGCATGCAGGATCTTTATTTCCAGTGTGTTTTGTAGAAATTTTCTGTCTATCGTGCGAAAAGGATATAAGTAGCATTTTTCTTTTATTCAAAAAATAAACGCAAGAAATATTAACAAATTTTTACGACATCAATCTATATTTTTTCACTAAAAAACATTGGAAATGTGTACAAATTTTAAAGCAGACAGTCTATTATTATATGGCCCTACATGCGGAACAAGCGTATTCTTGGCAGAGAACACAGCATTATTCAATTTTTCAGTGAATATACTGCCGCATGGTTCGGGTTTCTTATGACAGTTACAGTCATATATTTTGTATGTAAAAATTCAATAACCATCTAATTATAAATCCATTTTACTTTTTTATCTAAAGGCCCTTTTAGTTTTACACGGTGCAATTTTTCCTGCGACTTGCAATGCAATTCTTCAGTTTCTTCTATTGAGAGAGGTAAATTTGGCAACTACCAAACTTTTGTCTTTATTACACTCCATGGCGTTTCTTACACTATGCATATGCTTACAATTTAGAGACTCTTCACTAATTTACATCCCTAAAAAGTCGAATTCCATTGCAAGTTGCAAGAAAAATTAGGACAATTAATTAATTAAAATCACTCATTAATGCATTCACAGATATAATATACAAGATAAATTATATTCACTTTGAGTGTTTGGCGTGTTGCACTTTAATGAGCATAATGAACTCGACTGTGCCAAATGCTAAGGCAAGAGCATTCTTTGCGATAAACACGGAAGATTCGTATTGATGTGTGTGCCAAATCACAGCTCGAATAACCAGGAATGGAAGATTAATTCCGATTGTCTCGAGGAAACCAAGAATAATGGTTATCCTTGTTCTTTCTTTAACATTTCCATTTTCTCCGAATTTATTTCGAATCAGACTGAGCGATGAGAGAAGGAAGCTTAAACATGTGAAGAATACGATGCAGACCTCGGTCGCGGAGTTCAAGTCGAATTTTCCTCCGTCGATCTGGGTTATAGGTAAGGATCCAGCATTTCGATCGCGTCAAAGATATTCAAGCCCGTTAATGCAGCGAGCGATAGAATGAACTTTTGAAATGATGGGCCAATCGCAAGTTGAAGCAAAAGCATCAACAAAGCTGGGGTAATACATAGCGTACCTTTAAATAAATATACATATAAACCTCTTTAATCATCCTTCTTAATCTGAGCAAAAAACACATTCAGTAAATTTGTAGTATGGGGTATTACTATACCTTTCAATGCATTGGTAGTAAGTTCATCCTCATTTGTCAACTTTTTTGCAACTGTACTGAATATTATAGCTACCATGGCAACGTAAGCTATCATATAAGTTCCCCAAATTATCCAAACATACCATATTTCTTTTTCTACTTCGGCGTACTTTAGTTTCCAATTGCGACGCAAGAAATGTGCCGCCAAAATAGGAGCTGGTAGAAACATCAGAAAACACCAACCGAACTGGGGGTGTTTGTATACTATCAAATAAGAGACGAGAATAGCAACTTGTGTGCAGTAGAGAATACATAAGACTACCCAGCCGAGAACAACTAGGAAATGGGATCTTTCCACCCTAGTTTGGGTAGTTTCGATTGAACTATCTGCCATAGTTGAACATATATGTTTTCAGAAATGCTTTTTATTAAAGGATGATTGGACCTTTAAATCGCGTGACGACCTGAATGTGGTGTGGGTGTTTTTGTTTTGAAATCAGAAGATATATTTACGGTGTCTGTGTACGTGAAAAAAAAACAGGAAGACAAAAACCGGAACGATAGGAATTTGAAGAATTTATTCTAAGCTGGAGTTGCTACCACTTTTTGAAATTGTAAGAAAATTTTTGAAGATGGAAATTAGCATAACTGTAGATATACAATTTTTACTAATTTCCATAACTAGAAATTTTCGTACAATTTCAAAAAGTGGTAGCAAATGAAATCCAGCTTAGAATAATGTACTTCTGATCCATCATCCATATAATTATCTTCCTTTGCAATTATTTTGCTGTATGCCCAAACCTCTTCCCTATAAATGGAGCATTCTGTAGCCTTGTGCCGTTGTGCGATCGCTCAGTTTTGTTTCACGATTTGTTTTTGAATCTCTATCAAGATTTGAGAGTCTTTCCTTGCGACATGCATAATGACGTTTAATTATAGTGATAAATTTGAAATCGTTCTAAAAGTGTTTGAAAGATGTTAAACGATATATATTTATGAGCACACTATATACACTCAATTGATCGGCACAGTACGGCTAAAATGGGTACCCGTACTAATCTAAACTGTGCTCGGTCTTTGTATTGCATGGTAGTCTGAACGAACGCTAGAGATGCTAGTATTTAAAATGATTAAGTGTTTGCAAATTGCTGTCAAATTTCTTTTATACAAATGTGTGAGTTATTTATATCCTGAAAACATCCGCAGGAACTGCAATGTACGGTTGAGCCTGTTGCGAGGTCACAGAGTTGAGAATTTCAGAGTTGGAGGTCAAGATTTTCCTTCGCCCAATTTTGTGGTCTTTCTTCCACCCCAGTAATTTTCATGCTACGTAAGTTGTTTATAGTTTTATGCGATATTCGCTTCACTTAAAATAACATCTTCCCCCAAAACATTTCTTAAACCCCCAATTGCTATCCTCATTCGTTTTAACCTGGCGCCGCCACTATCAATTATATATACCTCTTGACATTTTCGATCACCGAATCATTAATAAGAAAAATAAACTACATATACAATACGAGTCAAATAAATGGTGGAATATTTAGTGGAATACAGTATATATTATGATAAAACTTACGAATAGTTAGAACAATAGATGTATCTCGAACATACGGTATATGATATGATATACTTCAAGTCAGGGCGGTTTATTCGGCGTCCTGTTTATTCAGTTTAGGTAAGATGCTGCTAGTGTATACTACTAAACGTATACTACTAAACGTATACTACTAAACTATAGCAACATAAAAGTTGTTGCTCAATTAAGTTGCGAAATTTATATCAATCAAAAGTATAAAAATTTCCTTGTTGTATAAAAATTTCCACCGTGTAAAAACCATATGAAAATTACAAGTTCAATTTCCCCTGAGTGGCAACTGTTTCCCCATTCCTTTGTCTTTTCCTGATCGACCTGCAAATAACATTACTGATTACTAGCGCTAATGAGTAATGACCCGTGCTGTTCAAAAAATGTAGACTTTCTTAGCTCCTTTGCTCGGGTTCGTTTCACCCCAAATCGTTTTTCTATCAGTTTCATAAATCCACGTGGACACACGTGGGTGTTTGTACGCTAGTGCTGCAGTGCATGCGCATTTCAGATTGTGCTCCTATACTCTTGCCATTCGTTTGTGAGATGTTTGCAGCTGATAATTCGTGCAGACCACACCTGAAATAACTCCATAAAGAAAGAATATCGGACATAATTGGAACATCTGAATATACGAGAGAGAAAAAGCCATATTAAACAATGAACAGGAAAATTTGTATTCTTACACAATCATTTATAATTATCGTTGAAATATCTTCTTTGAGTTGAACTAGCTATATATTGGCGTTATTTCTTAATGCCCTAGCATACTAATCGACAAGCGCTTAATAAAATGCAGCATATCCTTGTATTGACCCAACAAACGATTCTAGCGTTCACATATCACAACTATTTGGCACCAATTTACTGATGAGAGCGCCATCTTGGATATAGGGTACATGCCAGAATTGACTGGGAACTAGGGAACATCATTGGTGGGTAGCACACGCCACGCAATTGCAAGTCTGCAACGTTCTGTAAGTCCGTGATCAACATAAACTTCAAAACTTGTTATTGGTTTTTTTACTAAGATTTAATTACTAAGATGGTCGAATAGCTGACAGCCCTGAGCTCTACTGCTTTTATAGTGAAATATCAGAAAAAAACAAGATCTGATATATATGTAATGAGTTTATAGACAACTTAGAGTTCGAATCGAGACTGCTATTTTCCCCGACAAAAAAGTTGTAATAGTACTGTTTTTCTGCACTTCTTTGATATCGTCATGAAAAAGATATCGCGAGGTCTCTTTACACTACCCTACATTGAGCAAAACTACATACATTAGCAGGCCACTGCTAGAGAACATGGTTCTTTGCTTCTGATTTACTTTATAACAAAATACGCATATTTGTATTATGATAGAAAAACATTCCAGGGCCCGTGGAGGTATATGTAATAGTGTGGGAGAGCCGTAAGTGAAAAATAGAACCCCGATGTCCAATTAATTGACTCTCAAATTTTCAGGACCTTAGTAAACAGTAATCTTGTTATACATTTTTTTGTTTGTGAAAAATTAGATTTTGTGCCATTGAATCATATGGCGTATTCTGTCGTATGTTATTTTTTCGTGCGCCCTGGGTAATTATTATTGCAACTTGGCTGAGTTGTATTTCATGATTTTTTGCACTACCCTGCCTTGCTAAATGACCATTATGTATCAAATAACATGAATTCACTATCTCATATCTCAAATGAACGTGTGTGTGTGTGTGTGTGGGGGGGGGTGGGGGGGATTGAACGGTGGCCTTGTAAAACTCCCAGGACGATCGTATGAAACATCGAAACTCTTAACTGCATGGTAACTTGTACAAAACTTTAGTACTTGTTGATACATATTAACTACATTTAAATTTTATTTGGATAGTTAAATCGTCATTAACATCGTTTACCAAATTTGTCTTCGCGAGGATTTCGTTCTACTTTTTTCAAATTTACCTATTTACTTACTTGATTCTATAAGACTTTCTATAACATTCTGTATCATTGTTTTATTACCTTTTACAACTATTGCTATAATTAATTAAATAGAAATTAAGTGCAATCGTGATGCCACAAGCTGAGATGCCTTCACAGTGCCAATATGCCAATAATCGTATCCAATGATCACTGTCCTTATTTCAAAGTTATTTTTTTCTTTTTTCCAAATGCTTTAACTTTAATATCCATTGGCTTTGGTTGACCTGTTTTTCCATCGATGATATAAAAATTAACGTTATCCTTGACCTAAAAATATCATATGAGTGCAAATGAAATTAAATCATATAGGCAGTGTTCTGAAGTTCTAAAAATTTAACGAACGAGTAAATACGGTAAGTAGCCGACTTATTCTGTATATGAGAGTTAATTGGTTACCGTTTCTTTGTCCCAAGAACCTGTTAAATTCAGCCGAGTTGAAAAATCATTCCTCAAATAGAAATAACCATGGACGCTTTGCAAAATTCGTGGCGGAATGAGATCAGAAGATTCTCTAATCTTCTCACTCACTGGCTCTGTCAGCAGATCTTGTTGGAGAGGGCACACTTGCATAGAGTACACATAAATGTCGTTCTCGTTGGTTGCCTTTCCAATAGCAAAATCTAAATCACCTTTGGGGTTAACGGCTGTTGGTGTGATGGGTTTACCTTGCGTTACGATATCTTCGTCTCGAACAGTTGGTACGACAGTGTGTTTCAGGGGAGGAAGTCGAGCTGTAGAAAATAAAAATTAAAGTTGGCTTGTTCTATGGAGCTCCCCCTCTACTTCACAACTTCGAACCTTTTCAGAAATGACTTTTTTGTCAACCAAATATAAGAACAACCACACCGTAATTACGAATTAATTTAAATTCTGTATCGCTTACAATGCAAGTTTTGGCTGCCAAATGCTGGTCCTCTGATGGCATGTAGCCACGCTCTACGCTGGGGATTCGATGGTGTTATTGCAGTGAAATACAACCATTTTACGTGCGATATATCGTAACTTGAACGTAAATCCAAGGTTGTTGGGTGATTTTCATCCAACTTGAAGTAGCCATGTGTTGTTTCAAGTCCCTTGACGTATGAACCATCCAAAAACTCGACCATGATGGTATATCTTTGTGAGAAATCATATTCAGTTTTATGATATAAAAACGAGTAGGTAGAGAGATTTAGCAGGAGTACGTGAACGTCAAAGACGACGTGAAAATGGCAAATAAATGGCGCGACGCATCCATATATGGACATACCATGCCATTTATTCGTCATTTTCACATCGTCTTTGACGTTCACGTCCTCACGTCCTAAATCTACCTATGATGAAGCTATGCCACGATGAAGCACGTAGTTATTGCGTACAACTCTCAACAGTTAGCCAGGCAATTCCGCTGTCGAGAGTTTACCAAATTGCCAACAATCATCTTTTACTTGTGGGCTTATACTGCATGAGAATAAAACCATAAACATTTAGGAATGTAAGTCACAGGATGTACGGTAGTCATCTCACCTCCACACCAGGTCAACGTTCCTTTTCTTACACGGGAGAAAGGTAAATTCGAGTTTCATGTTTTCAGTCATATCATAACAGAGTTCTTCTTGGTTCGGCTGATTTTCAATCGTGAAAGGCAAATCCGTTTGAGAGTTCTCGTACTTGAATAAATCCCAAACTCCTAAAATATTGTAATCAGTAGTATTGGAGCTCCATTTACACTACATATTCGCACAAATTTAGGTATTATTGGTAAGGGTAAAATTGGTACGAATGAAATTGGGATCAACTATTTTCAAATTTTATCGATTTCAATTTTATCTGTACCAATGCAGTACGTGTAACCATGAAATAGCTAATGAAAATATTCAAGGCCTGTTCTTTTCATATGCCGAACCTAACGTTAATTAGCTAAAGTCTTTGTTTAACTTAATTTGCATTCAATTTTTTTTTCATTCAATTTGCATTCACTTAAGCACATTTGCACACGATACCTAACTCGCATGAATTACCTGTAGTACCATAATGTCTTCCTTTTATGAGATAATCCAACACCACCTTTTCCCCCTCGTCTAATCTTTGGTGATTTTTCTCCCCCTCGGCTAATCTTTGGTGATTTTTCCCATCACTTTTTTGGAAAACTGTTTCCTTGAGGTGGAGACTAGGATCGATCAAGGTCACATAACCAAATACAAACTTTTCCTTGTATGGTAGTGCATCAAACGAATTGGGACTTTTGTCTTTTTCCTCTGTAAAAACGGGATGTGTAAATGGTAAAATGATGTAACCGAAAGAGGGTGCATTAAACAGTTGGGGAATTTATCTGCGCTGACCAAAATAATCGCTGGTACTGAACAAATAACCTTAATTTTCAAAGTAGCACAGAGGGAGGGTCAATTTTATTGCTGAGATATGATGAGCTTTGATATGGCTATACCAATCCGTTTTGCTACAAATTCCCAGCTGTTGGTGCACTGTGGTCTTCGGTATTAGGATTTTCGGGGATTTTTATACGGTGTGTTTTGGTTATATAATTTTTAATAATACATGTAAACTCTCCTTCCATAACAGCCAGACTGGTTATTTAGAAGATTCATTCAGATTTTCATTCCATTGTCTAACCGATGCAGTCGTCTTCAGTTCTACGACAAATTATCGGCCTTAACCTTACCTGGGTGCGGGTGTGATTGTACACCGAGTCTTGCATCTTTCCATGCTGGGGCATGTTTTCTATTGTGTTTGTGAAGGCCACCCTTTGGATCTGAGTGCAAATGCTCACTTCCCTGACTCGGCTTGGTGCCGTCTGTTAAGATATTTGCAAAAGAAGAATATCTTTGTCGATTTTCGCAAGTGAATCCCTTTTTCTAATTGTCATGGTAAATTCATGAGGTTATAAAAGTGAGGCTATAAATTTCAAAGAATCCCAAATAAAGTTCGCAATTATATATGCTCTTATATATGCAGGGATTTTCGTCTTTAGATAGGAGCGCGTAAACCAGGAGATAGTTAGGATGTGCCCTTAGTGTATTAACATCCAGGTCCCAGGACTTATAGCAAGAAATTAAAAATTGCAAATGTAAATGCGCCTTGGGTAACTAAACATCTAAAATTAAGTTTAGTATTGCTCCCAAAGCAGAGAGGAATTTTCGTGGAATTTTTAATGCTCACCGGTCTCATCTTTGGTATTACTTCTTTCGTAGAACGCGTCATTTGCAGCCATTGTATGGAAATATACGCCTCGAGCAAGAGCAGAATCAAGAAGAAACACTGCAAACTCCAAAGGGTACGTGTCAAACCAGTAATAATACTTGTTTTCACCATTGATCATGTGTTTTGGATCATTGGTGAGTTCACCATTGCTCGGTCCACCATCCTCAATCGCCTGGTAAGAGTGATAATACCTGCCATAATAATAAAATTGTCTATATATTTTGCAAACGTTAAGGGTTACATTTGAGTGTATATATGAAATGAAAAACTCACATCGTGTCATCGTGGGTATGCCGGGATATATGTTGGAATAAAACAATCTATTTGCTTTACCGTTAGAGTAATTTCTGTCGTACGTGTTAGCAACTTTCTACCAACGTCGACCTCGTTTTTTACATTCAGTTAGTTCCAAGGAAGAAACAATCAGTTTTACTGAACAGTCATCAAAAATCAAACGAATAGGTCTCGGATGCACTAAAGTTAAATAGTTATATACGTTTATACAAATCAATTAATGAAAAAAAGACCTACGTAAAATCATTGAATATTTCCAGACCGTGACATTTTTCTCCCCACGGTTGATCTTTTCCAAAATGTTGTTCCTCGGGCATATTAATAATGCACCATTGCATTGCATCCACGCTGTTGTCTGGGATTGTGTGAATTGCGGCTCTGTATGCCAAGGGATGAACGATGTAGTTGTATCTTGTACATTTTTCCTGAAAGGATATTTCAAAAGCCTAATTAGAAATAAAATGCGATTAAACATCAACACACCTTCTCTCCTTACCTCATGGGACTTGAGGGCAATGATGTGCAAATAACGACCGAATGGTTGGCGTTGATACCAATATCCTCCTCGATATCTGTCATTTGGCTCAACCTGACTGTATTCCATGTCATCTCTGTCCTCAATTTCCTCTTCGTAAGGGTGGTAATCCCAGAGATTGTTCTGTATTTCATTACCACGAAGAGCCAGGAAATACCTTGGCCATAATCAAACAATGTTATCTTAGTCAAACATCAGATAACAATGAATTAATTCGTCTCGAGAGGCAAGTTTCTCGCGTGTGCGGATGGTTTTCGGGCTGAGCTAACTGCCTCGCGAGGGCGTTAGCTCAGCTGATAGCTCTCGTGTGTGGCGGGCTTTAGCAAGTCGCGACTGGGGTTGTGCAATGTTAATAATTTGCAATATTAAAAAGTTCTGGTCAAAGTGCTTTACTATTGGTCAAAGTTGCGCATTTGCTGCATCAAATTCAGGGTAGATTCGTCAAATATGAGACACATGCATGCTGGATTATTTCTGAAGATTTATGGTTATTCATGCTGAAAATAGGGCGTTTCCAAAGATCCAAAGGGTTGAAATTTAAAACATATAACAATGATTTGCTTATCTCTAACTGTAATTAAGATTGGCGTCTGCATATATTGATACAGCATGTTTAGGAACTAGATTCACGGGGGGAATTTGATGAAAACATTTTGAAAATACCGAAATTATCAACCTGTTTCTGAAGAATTTTCCCTGACAACACCATTCTTTCTGCAAGGGTACCCATCCAGTCCAATTCCATGGCTCATGATCGTGTATTGGCTTGTAGAGGTGCGCCCCTCCCCCGACTCCAGCAATAAAGGGAAAGTCCATGTCATCCTTTCCCACGACATCGTAGTACCCGTAGAGTTTTCTCTCCACGACATGATAGCCCTCTTCCCACGAGTGGTCCTTGTTCGTTGGAGCACCATATTTATCGTAGTAATCTTGAAAGAATATATTGGCGCATGTGACCCTCTTGAAGTGAAACAGGGCCATTGCTTTGATTTTTCCACATTTATTTATTGCTTTTTCTTATATACAAATTTCTAGTTTTTTGAAACCTTGGGTAATTGCTTTGAGAAAATATTTAGGCCTCTCGTCTCGAAACAATGAAAATCCCAACCTTGTTCCCAGGGCCATTTTTGACTTTATAGGGGAAAATCAATTTGAATTTTTTTTAGGTTTTTTTTCAAAATGATGGATCAGTAGAGACTGAGTCCTACTGTTTTAGAAATTTCAGCAATCAGTTTATAAATGCATTGCTCTATAGACGATTGAATAGTTGCATACGGTTAGATTCTGCTGCATGATGATTTGGTGTTTTCTCTGGCATAAAAATGGTTATTCAACAACTTAGGAGGTTTTAAGCTTGCGTGTACGTGCGTGCAAAAAACGCGACAGTGGAAAGGAGCCCTTAAACGGGTGTCACAAACGCGCGCTCCTTGATAAATAGGTACATGTATATGCATTAATTGCATTTGTGGATAATGTGACGTCGAATCTTTGAGGTTTTAAATAACAAAATATACTCATATATGGCGGAACTATACAATAAAAATATTGACGAACTTTATCGTATGCGCGCTTGTATCCAACAATTTAAATGAGTTATCTTTCCCGCTATTCTATGGTGGATGTCATTGATCTTAAGAAAGGTAGATCATGCATTTTTGTATAATAGAGCATATAACTAGTAATTCTATGAAATTGTCAGAGTTTCAACGCACTCCTATGTGTTTATTTGCCTATTTGGGCTCGCAAAATATAATCGTCAATGATCGCCGAACCAGGCTTTAGAGGTGCCATTCTCGCTAACCGCACAATATTTTGCACCAGGCGGAGTAAACGTCTTGTTTACTCTATCTTATAAAGTTGTTATTTTTTGTCAAATATTGACTATAATAAAGTTTAGTTACCTTGATCCATATACTTTCCTTGTCCGTGACGATCATACCCACGCAAGTGACAATGCAAGAAAAAAGACACTTCTGTCCCATACGCTTTCTCCACCGCCACCGGTGTGTCAATGAATGCAGTACTCATATTTCTACATACAAAATCACGCACTAATGACCAAACGAAATCCAAGTAGCTTCAGCAGTTACTGGGATATAATAATTGTTCCGTGTACTGTTGTGTGGAAAAAACATTAAGCGGCTAAACGTCATGTCGAGAGAGATATGTGTGGTATAGCTATGACTTTTCGCCTATAAAGCTGGATTTGTTTTGAAAAATGTGTTGGCTGTTGCATGAATAATTGTTATTGATATTATTAATTGCTATTGATGCATGCATGCGGAAGAAAACATTCATTCCAAACATGCTGCGTGTTGCACTTTAATAATGAGCATAATGAACTCGACTCATGCCAAATGCTAAGGCAAGAGCATTCTTTGAGATAACACGAGAAATGGAAGATTAATTCCGATTGTCTCGAGGAAACCAAGAATAATGGTTATCCTTGTTCTTTCTTTAACATTCCCATGCATTTAACATTCCCATAATTTTACAGGAATCTGTGATTTGCATCTTAGGTATACGTACGACTTGGGCTTATTCGTTGTGCACTAAACTGCATTAAAAAATTACTGTAGACTTCCAAAAATAAGCATTTTGCATGATGAGAAGTTTGTGTATACCAACATAAACTGTACCTTTGTTTTTTCTTCCAGGTTACTGTATGTCTTCTTACTTCTTGTAGATGTCTATAGGCCTTACGAAAAGTGAATTAATTCTCAGTGAAACAACTACTGATATATAGTAATAAGCCTTATATACATATATATAATTATTGAATCTAATATAGGCAGGCTATCGCTGCCTGTAAGGTTGTATATAATACTGCGCGTATTATACTCCCCACTTCGAAGGAGCTTTTCACGAGACGTGTAATACTAAGTGTTTGCAATGATGCACGTCAAATTTCTTATATACGGATGTGTGAGTTATTTATATCTTGAAAACATCCGCAGGAACCTCTGCGCAGGAACTGCAATATATACGGATGAGCTCGGCGGGAGGTATATAGTTGAGACGCATTCTTGACGTGTTTTCAGAGATATGAAATGAATTACATAAAAAATGGTATAGATAAGAAGTGAACAGTATTAGCTCTCATAAACCTATTAGCCCTCATAAAATAATTTGAATGAAAGTTTGTACCCACTAGCATTTTTACGTAAAAAATGGTGCTCAAGTATATAGTATATATATACAGCTAATTCAATTTAATACAAGGTTGTCCTCTGGGTCTGATTGTATCAAGCCCGTTTAGCTTATACGGTGGTTAAGTTCAAAATAGAAAGCAAGTTTATCGTTTCATTCAAGAAGCAAACAAAATGTTTTTAACCTTAATACAAAGATACTGTTTACAACTACATATTCAGTGCATAAAATTCAAGTTGACTCATTCAAGAGAGATGTAAGAGTGTTATTTAATTTTGACTTATCCACCGTTTAAGCCAAACGGGCTTGATATACAACCGGGCCCTGAAGGTTAAAACTCAAAACTCCAAAACCTCGACCTCTACGACCGAAAAGCACACTGGGTTGGTATAAAAGTTGTTTAAATCGTCTCTTTAATTTCTGTCTATGAACGAAATTTTTTCACATTCGGAAAGATCAGGCTTTTAAGTATCGGATGACATGCTTATGGCGCCAAATGGTGAAGAACTGATGAGCACATACGAGACTGATAAAAAATGTTAGTGGCGATCGCATATTTAAGCCTAATCAAAGCAGTGCATGACAAAAGAAAAAAACAATCACGAACATGTCACAGCTTGCACTGGTTTTACATGTTTAATGAAATTATTTACATTTACACTTCTTAAAAAGAGATTATGCGCCGATGCCTTCAACTTGACCACCATGTCTATCGATACAATCGCATTGTTTGGAATGTTCTCCTGATGTAATTTATGTCTACCTAATATGCATATGCGACTTGCAATGCAATTCTTCTTTCGAGAGATATAAATTTGGCAACTACCAAACTTTTGTCTTTATTACACTCCATGGCGTTTCACTAGTTTCCAAGACTCTTCACTAGTTTACATCTCTTAAAACTAGAATTGCATTGCATGCAAGTTGCAATAAAATGGCATCGCTAGTTTACATCTCTTAAAACTAGAATTGCATCAGTGCATGCAAGTTGCAATAAAATTGCATCGTAACATACATGGCCTCAAAGATGGACAATTAAAATCATTCATTCATTCATTCACAGATATACGGATTCAAATTTTCCGGATACGGCTTAAAACCGAGTACATTTTCTATCGGATTCGTTGCTGCATGTGAAACAGCAACATGAATCCGGTACTAAAACATTCCGCTTTTGTGATGAATCCGGAAACTTTCGCTCTAGTGTAAACGGGTCTCAAAGTGAATAAAATTTATCTTGTATATTAAAAATAAAGTTTGTGGAAACTTCGTATTCAGAAACATTTGAATCCAGAAAATTTTCTTGTGTTAACGCTTTGAACGACGAATCCGAAGAAATTCAATATGACGACCAAACAATTTGTGCGATCGCTCAGTTTTGTTTCACGGTTTGCTTTTGATTCTCTATCAAGATTTGAGAGTCTTTCCTTGCGACATGAATAATGACGTTTAATTATAGTGATGAATTTGAAATCGTTCCAAAAATCGTTTGAAAGCAGTTAAACGATATTTATGAGCACCGTTTACGCTACATACACTCAATTGTCGGCACGGTACGGCTAAAATGGGTACCCGTACTAATCTAAACCGTTCTCAGCCTTTGTATTGGTAGTCTGAACGAACGCGAGAGAAAACAGCCATCAGCCGCTTCTTGAAATAAATTTAGTGCAGTATAAACCGCGAGAAAATGGATCAACACATGGAATGACTGCCAAATTCAACTTGTTATATCCTAAGCCTAAGATTTGTTCTGTAATATACCAAACTAGGGATTTTAGATTGAATCTAATAGCTACTGACATTATTGAATCGAATGTATATAGGTTATAACTCTGCCTGTAGGTATATGCCGCGCTTATTAATTATTATATGCCCAATTCGAAGAGAGCTTCTCACGAGACGGCAGTATGTGTTTTGTGCAAATTGCTGTCAAAATTTCTTATAATTTATACAAATGTTTGAGTTATTTATATCCTGAAAACATCCGCAGGAAATGCAATGTACGGTTGAGCCTGATGCGAGGTCACAGAGTTGAGAATTTCAGAGTTGGAGGTGTAGATTTTCCTCCCCCCAATTTTGTCTTTCCCCCCACCCCAGTAATTTTCATGCTACGTAAGTAGTTTATAGTTTTATGCGATATTCGCTTCACTTAAAATAACATCTTCCCCCAAAACATTTCTTAAACCTCCAATTGCTATCCTCATTCGTTTTAACCTGGCGCCGTCACTATCAAATATATATACCTTTTGACACTTAGTTTTCGGTCACCGAATCATTAATAAGAAACACAAACTACGTATACAATACAAGTCAAATAAATGGTGGAATATTTAGTGGAATATTTATTATGATAAAACTCACGAATAATTAGAACAATAGATGTATCTCAAACATACGGTAAATATGATATAGTTCAAGTCAGGGCGGTTTATTCGGCGTCCTGTTTATTCAGTTTAGATCGATAAGGCGCTGTGATCTCGGGTACCAGGGAAACCCTATAGCCCTGAGTTCTTCTGTAGAAGTAATTTCACATACGTTAATTTCACAAACGCAAGTGTTTATATATATATATATATATATATATATATATATATATATATATATATATATATATATATATATATATATAAAAGGTGCCCCCCCCATGCAGTGGACAGGGGCACCAAACGCAAGTGTTTATATATATATATATATATATATATATATATATATATATATATAAAAGGTAGCCCCCCCCCCATGCAGTGGACAGGGGCACCATAGGAAGTTTGTGTACCCATACTTAAATGTATCTAATATAACATTGTTATCGTGCAAAATGGAATTATTATGTCTTTAACCTGGCGCCGTCACTATCAATTATATATACCTCTTGACATTTTCGGTCACCGAATGTTATCTGAAGGTTAAAACTCAAAACTCCAAAACCTCGACATCTACGACCGAAAAGCACATTGGGTTGGTATAAAAATTGTTTAAATCGTCTCTTTAATTTCTGTCTATGAACGAAATTTTTTCACTTTCGGAAAGATCAGGCTTTTAACTATCGCATGACATGCTTATGGTGCCAAATGGTGAAGAACTGATGAGCACATACGAGACTGATAAAAAATGTTAGTGGCGATCGCATATTTGAGCCTAATTAAAGCAGTGCATGACAAAAGGAAAAAACAATCACGAACATGTCACAGCTTGCACTGGTTTTACAACATGTTTATTGAAATTATTTACATTTACACTTCTTAAAAAGAGATTATCCGCCGATGCCTTCAACTTGACCACCGTGTCTATCGATACAATCGCATTGTTTGGAATGTTCTTCTGATGTAATTTTTGCCTACCTAATATGCATATGCGACTTGCAATGCAATTCTTCTTTTGAGATATATAAATTTCGCAACTACCAAATTTTTGTCTTTATTATACACTCCATGGCGTTTCACTAGTTTCCAAGACTCTTCACTAGTTTACATCTCTTAAAACTAGAATTGCATTGCATGCAAGTTGCAATAAAATTGCATCGTAACATGGCTTAAAGATGGACAATTAAAATCATTAATTCATTCACAGATATAATGTACAAGATAAATTTTATTCACTTTGAGTGTTTGGCGTGTTGCACTTTAATGAGCATAATGAACTCGACTGTGCCAAATGCTAAGGCAAGAGCATTCTTTGCGATAAACACGGAAGATTCGTATTGATGTGTGTGCCAAATCACAGCTCGAATAACCAGGAATGGAAAATTAATTCCGATTGTCTCGAGGAAACCAAGAATAATGGTTATCCTTGTTCTTTCTTTAACATTCCCATTTTCTCCGAATTTATTTCGAATCAGACTGAGCGATGAGAGAAGGAAGCTTAAACATGTGAAGAATACGATGCAGACCTCGGTCGCGGAGTTCAAGTCGAATTTTCCTCCGTCGATCTGGGTTAGGTAAGGATCCAGCATTTCGATCGCGTCAAAGATATTCAAGCCCGTTAATGCAGCGAGCGATAGAATGAACTTTTGAAATGATGGGCCAATCGCAAGTTGGAGCAAAAGCATCAACAAAGCTGAGGTAATACATAGCGTACCTTTAAATGAATATAATATATAAACCTCTTTAATCATCCTTCTTAATCTGAGTAAAAAACATACATGATGCAGTAAATTTGTAGTATGGGGTATTAGTATACCTTTCAATGCATTGGTAGTAAGTTCATCCTCATTTGTCAACTTTTTTGCAACTGTACTGAATATTATAGCTACCATAGCAACGTAAGCTATCATATAAGTTCCCCAAATTATCCAAACATACCATATTTCTTTTTCTACTTCGGCGTACTTTAGTTCCCAATTGCGACGCAAGAAATGCACCGCCAAAATAGGAGCTGGTAGAAACATCAGGAAACACCAACCGAACTGGGGGTGTTGGTATACTATCAAATAAGAGACGAGAATAGCAACTTGTGTGCAGTAGAGAATACATAAGACTACCCAGCCGAGAAAAACTAGGAGATGGGATCTTTCCACCCTAGTTTGGGTAGTTTCAATTGAACTATCTGCCGTAGTTGAACATATATGTTTTCAGAAATGCTTTTTATCAAAGGATTATTTGACCTTTAAATCGCGTGACACTCTAAAGACGAACTGAGTGTGGTATGGGTGTTTTTGTTTTGGAACCAGAAGATATACTATACGGTGTCTGGGCATGTCGTGAAAAAAAAACAGGAAGACGAAAACCGGAACGATAGGAATTTGAAGAATTTATTCTAAGCTAGAGTTGCTACCACTTTTTGAAATTGTAAGAAAATTTTTGAAAATGGAAATTAGCATAACTGTAGATATACCATTTTTACTAATTTCCAAAACTAGAAATTTTCGTACAATTTCACAAAGTGGTAGCAAATGAAATCCAGCTTAGAATAATGTACTTCAGTGATCCATCATCCATATAATTTTCTTCCTTAGCAATTATTTTGCTGGATGCCCAAACCTCCTCTCTATACAGTTTTGTTTCACGATTTGTTTTTGATTCTCTATCAAGATTTGAGAGTCTTAATTTCCTTGCGACATGCATAATGACGTTTAATTATAGTGATAACTTTGAAATCGTTTTAAAAACGTTTGAAAGCAGTTAATTAAACGATATTTATGAGCACCGTTTACACTATATACACTCAATTGATCGGCACGGTACGGCCGTAAAATGGGTACCCGTACTAATCTAAACCGGGCTCGGCCTAGTATTGGTAGTCTGCATGAACGAACTCGAGAGAAAACAGCCATCAGCCGTTTCTTGCAATGAATTGAGTGTAGTATAAACCGCAAGAAAATGGACCAACACATAAAGAATAACCGCCAAATTCAACTTGCTAAATCCTACGCCTAAATTTGATCTGTAATATACCAAACTTCAGGGGATTTTAGATTGAATCTAATAGCTACATTATTAAAGCTGTTATATAGGTTATAACTCAGCCATGCTGTAGGTAAATGCCGCGCTTATTAATTATTATATGCCCAATTCGAAGAAAGCTTCTCACGAGACGGCTAGTATTCAAGTAGTTTGCAAATTGCTGCGAAATTCCTTATATACAAATGTGTGAGTTATTTATATCCTGAAAACATCCGCAGGAACTTCAATGTACGGTTGAGCCTAATACGAGGTCACAGAGTTGAGAATTTCAGAGTTGGAGGTCAAGATTTTTCCTCCCCCCCAATTTTGTTGTCTTTCTCCCACCCCAGTAATTTTCATGCTACGTGAGTAGTTTATAGTTTTTGATATTCGCTTCACTTACAATAAGATCTTCCCCCAAAACATTTCTTAAACCCCCAATTGCCATCCTCATTCGTTTTAACCTGGCGCCGCCACTATCAATTATATATACCTCTTGACATTTTCGATCACGGAATCATTAATAAGAAACATAAACTACATATACAATACGAGTCGAATAAATGGTGGAATATTTAGTGGAATATTTATTATGATAAAACTTATGAATTGTTAGAAAAATAGATGTATCTCACAGAGTTGCAAAAAAGCTGCGGGTACGCGGTTACCACCCGGAGGAAGGTTTGCTTTCAATGAGGTTTGTGAGGAAGGTTCAAAGTTGAACACTCTAATTGATCACATGCATGTACCAAAAACCAAATATTTCTTTATCCTGGTTGCCACTTGACTAAGTGACGTAACGTCATTTTGAGGAAGGTTTTCAAAACTTGAAATCCTACCGGAGGAAGGTTGAACTCTTTTTGCAACTCTGGTATCTCAAACATACGGTATATGATACGATATACTTCAAGTCAGGGCGGTTTATTCGGCGTCCTGTGCGCTGTGCCAGGGAAACCCTCGGGTGCCAGGGAAATCCTAGAGCCCTGAGTTCCCTCTGTAGAAGTAATTTCACATACCGTTTCACATACGTTAATTTTACAACCGCAAGTGTTTATATATATAAGAGGTAGCCCCCCCCCCATGCAATGGACAGGGACACCCTGTTTACGTATAAGTGTATCTATAGTGATAGGGGCATATTTTATCTATGTAAACAGATACTAAGTTTGTATAGCTATGCATGCTTACATATATCTTATATAACATTGTTTTCATGCAACTCCAAATTATTAAGTCGTGATAAAAATCAACTTTTAGGCTGCAACTTGTGATATAAGCCAACAGTCTTCTTCTTAATTTGTTTGATTGAAAGCTGACTTTTTTTCTTTACAAGTATCTTGGGTTTTTCGTCCATCGGTTTTGGTTGACCAGTTTCTCCATCAATAATGTAAAAGTTTACATCACCTTTTAACTTAAAAATAAAGTTCAATTAGAATTCAGCAGCTACCATAAGCACATCCTCGTTCCCAGGTTTTTCGTGTACCGCAGTAACCTGGGAACGAGGATGCCACAGTGGATTCAAATAAGTCTTATTTGAGTTCACTGGGGTGCCATTAGCACAGCGCTATTATATTGTATATATAGCGGTCTGTAAGTACGCAAACTTATAGAGCAACCTATTCTAAGATTTCTGACGGAGTCTGGAGAAGTGTAGTATTTATAACACAGTGGAATTTACAGTAAACAAAAACATTTAAAAAAATTCGGTATAACACAGTCAGCTCTTAGGGACGGAATTTTAACTTAACTTTACGAACACGTTTTGTACTATAATCAATGCCTATATAACTTCATAGCAAATATGCTGGTTGTCCTCCATGTATACTACCAAACTATAGCAACATAAAAGTTATTGCTCAAATTTAAATTGCTTATATTATATCCTTGTATGTGAACATTTATACCGCGGTATACTAATATACAGCAGATCATCTGTTTGGAGCAAATTAGGAAATACAATAATTACAATAGTTGATTACCGTTTCTTTGTCCCAAGAGGCCGTCATATTCAGTCGTGTGGGATAGTCATTTCTCAACTGGAAAAATCCATGGACGCTTTGCGAAATACGTGGTGGGATGTGGTCAGACGATTTGTCAATGTTTACGCTCACTGGCATTGTTGTAAGATCTTGTTGGAGAGGGCAAACTTGCATAAAGTATGCATATATGTCGTTCCCGTTTGTTGCCTTTCCTAGAACAAAATCTAAGTCGCCTTCTGAAGATACCGTAACTTTTGTTGGTTTGATACATTTTTCTGGAGTGACTGTATGATTCTTATCCCTTTTCGTTGGTACAATATAATGTTTCATACGACAAATTCTGGCTGCAATTGCAAAAAATCACGCGTCGTTACCTTCTGGCATACTGTCGGTGGCATATTTATTCATCATGTCTAAAATATCCACCTTATTATTTCATGAAAGTAAAGTCTTATCAGTAAACGAGTGCTATTTGAAGTCTGACAACTACAAATCGTGAAAAATCTAACTTTATGTGACGTTATAATTGGGCATATGTCTTACCATACAAATGTGGATCACCAAATGCTGGTCCTTTGATGGCATGCATCCAGGCTCTACGTTGTGGATTCTTTGGTGTTATTGCCGAAAAGTACAACCACTTTACATGAGGTTTATCGTAACAACTTAGATCGACATGGGTTGAGTTCTTTTCATCCAACTTAAAGTAGCCATGATCTGTTTTAAGCTTCATAACTGATTCTTCATTTACATACTCGTGCATAATGGTGTACCTTTGTGACAAAAGCAGATATTTTTACCGATGTGTGATAGCATTTTATAAATACCATGCATTCAATGAATATGTGTCCGAGCGTTGAAGATCATGTTTGGATAAAATGCAAACGCCTTTATTCGAATTTTATATTTTTTTATACGACATTATATGAAACTTGTGTAAACTCCGAAATAAAAGTTGTAAATTCACAGCAACCAGGTATTTAATCCATCGTTCTTATCGCCCCACGGGTTTTAAAGGGGCGTGGGGACTGGGGTTTGATGTTACACCCACAATAAACCACAATGATTAAAAGTTGGTCAGTGCTTTTTTGGGTTAGAAAAATACATCATCAAATTTACATAAAATGGATTATTTTTGAATAACTTCTTAGATATAGTCAAAATAGCCACGATTTTTCCTATGATCTAGATACCTAGAACTTAAATTTCTCGCTCAGAACCAACAACAGTTGGGGATGCCAGTTTTTAATCAACTTCCCACACCTTTGCCTTATGCATCAAAATAGATGAAAATCGGACATACTCGTTTTGAAAAGGGAAGTAAGTAGAGAGGTTAAGATACCCCGGTTTTAGTATACGGGTACTGGTAGCCATAATTTGTTCATTGGAATTTCTTGTTGTTTGCACGTTTCATGTTTCAAATCATTTTTACCTAAGTAGGCTAAGGTCTACTGGAAAGAATTGTAGAGTTAATCTTCGAAAAAATCGAGAAACACTGATGGAGATTCATTGAACAAAATAAGGCTATCCGTACACCGGAACCGGGGTTGATGATCCGCTCTGTGTGGTAATACTTTAATTATTCAAAACCAGAGCAACGATAAGAGCGAGGGATTTTCTACTTTTTACTTATTTACTTTTTACCTCCAAACTATGTCAATGTTCTTTTCTCGACAAGGCGGGAAAGTGAATACCAGTTCCATGTCAAGAGTTAGATCATAACAGAGCTCGTTTGGGTCTGGCTGATTGCGAATTTTAAGGGGCAACACCGCCGGGTGGTTAATGTTCTTGAACTCAAATTTTTCCCAAATTCCTGAAATCATCATGCGAGAATAACCTGTAATTGCTAGGTTTTTTCTATGTTTGCTCTAAGAATTAAATAAGTAGGTTCTGAGCATGGATCTGTTATCTAAATATCTAAAACGTTTTTGCAGGTGCATGTGTACCTGTGGTAGCGTAATATCTTCCTTTATTCAGATAATCTAACACAACGTTTTCTGCATCATCCAATCCCTTATCCAGAATGCGTTGGGCGCCATTGCGCTCCTTAAAAACTGTGTTCTTTATGACCTCAGTTGGATCGAATAGTGTCACAAAGCCAAATACAAATTTATCTTTGTACGGAAGTTGACTTACAAAATCTAAAGTTAAAACACATGCAGTGTATAAAAATACAAAAATGAGATGTAAATCACTGTTCTGTGTTGCTACGGATATTCTTATCTAGTGAGATTAATAGGTACCAACGATCAAATTCGGTTAGAGTTAGCTGGTGTCGCGAGCTCCTGGAAAGAATTGTCATTAGTAGAAGTTGGTGATTGTTAGGTTTGAAATGCATCATGGGACTCTTATTGGAACTTGAGCAGAAAGCTCTCCTCAAAGCTCAGCACACTCGAGAATCATGAATATTTAACAACTCACCCAACAGATCTGTCTTGGAAGTGTCTTCGAAGTGTTTTGGGGGTTTGCCATCTATAAAGTCATGGAAATATGTACTCAAAACGTATATAATATACATCCAATATTCCACTGAAATTAGTGATTGAAATGCTTGATAAGTCCGATGTATACTGCATGGGTGTATAAAAGGAACAAAAGTGCTCAAAATGCTCTTAGGTTGTTCTCCAAGGTTATGTGATTTTCAGGTGACCTGTTACTCAGGGGCGTAATTTGAACGATAATTGGGGGGGGGGTGTGATAACACTAATAAGCTCTTACACTAACAAAAGAAATCCGTCGGGCAGAACTGAATATATGAATATTCATGAATATTATCGTTTTAGTTAGGCCACTGCTATTGCTACAAAAGTGAACCTGTCTTTGTGATTTCCATAGAAATTGCTTTTGGCCCACGCCGCCTTGCGTCTTTTGATGGCGAATCGCAATTCATGTTATGTTTGTGAAGATTGTCCTTTGGATCTGATTCTCTGATTAGTTTAGTCTTTCTTCCGTCTGAAATAAAGCATTAGCTTTCTAAACTACGTCTTTGTCAATAGCTATATTTAGACATTCACTAGCTTTGTATTGGTGCCAGCACAGTTGCCTGCACATTTTGCCCTGAAACATTTGAACGATCTTTTTTTACTATATCCAGGCTTCACACCTTGCAACGATCAGTGGCGTAGCTAGCATTGATAATTGGGGGGGGCCCATATTCATATAGTCATGATGACAGACTGTAAAGACAATCGATTTCAAAAGAAATTAATCCTGCGTAACATGAATATATGAACATGCCCCGCCCCCCCTCCTCATTATTGTTCTGGCTACGCCACTGGCAACGATGCCTACCTGGCTCATCGATAATGTTTTCTTCAGGAGATCTTTCGTAGAACGCGTCATTGGCAGCCATTGTATGGAAATAGACGCCTCGAGCAAGAGCAGAATCAAGAAGAAACACTGCAAACTCCAAAGGGTATGTGTCAAACCAGTAATAATACTTGTTTCCTTTTTCATCTTCACTGAGTTCACCATTGTTCGGCCCATCCTCCTCAATCTTTTTATAGGAGTGAGCGTACCTGGATAATGGTGAGAGAATTTATTAGTATTTGCGGGATGGATTTATATAATGAGTCAATAAAAAAACCCGCCGACCACGTCTCAGTATCCCCCCGTAAATGTAAAAAAAACTTGTTGAAATCTGGCTACGTAGTTCCTAGGTTTTGGTCTAAAAGATGTTAACGTCTTTAAAGGGTACTCTTGCGTAACATCTTATCATCTCAGCATTATTAATCAACTATCAAATTCTTATTAATTAAGGGTCCAAACAAGATGCAATAATTAAGGGGGTGCATAATCAGCAGGCATTAGGGCTGCTTTCCACTGTCGCGTTTTTTGCACGCACGTACACACACGTATAATTAACCAGAGAAAACACAGTAAATCGTCAACAGAGTCCAACCCTGTGCATCTGTTCAATCATTGAATTCATAAGTATCATTTATTTTAAGCTTTTACGTGCGTATATAAACGTACAAAAAAACGCGACAGTGGAAAGCAGCCCTTAGTTCACAAATGAAATCCGTCGGGCAAAGCGAATATATGAATATGCACTCCCCCATTATCCCATTTAGCTCAGTCCTTACTGTGCATAGAGACGATTAATCTGCACCCAAATAACTGATACTTACGTAAAATCATTGAATATTTCCAGGCCGTGACATTTTTCGCCCCACGGCTGATCTTTTCCAAAATGTTCTTCCTCGGGCATATTAATAATGCACCATTGCATTGCATCCACGCTGTTGTCTGGGATTGTGTGAATTGAGGCTCTGTATGCCAAGGGATGAACGATGTAGTTGTATCTCTTAACTTTCTCAGTCTGAAAGTCGATTCAGCGTCGTATTAAGAACTGAACAAAAACTGGTTTAGATTGTTGGTGTACTGTACTGTGTGCTATAATTTGAGATACTGAGAAGGAGGAGACAGTTTGTCTTGAGTGTACATGATCTGTTAAAAATACTCATATTGTCTCAGCTGTAGGAAATAAAACTTACATGTGACTTTAATGCAATGATATGCAGATAGCGACCAAAAGGTTGACCATGAAACCAATAACCTCCTTTGTATCTGTCATTTGGTTGCACCTGACTGTACACCATTTCGTCGACACCTTCATCTTCTTTTTGTACGTCTTCATATGGGTCATAATCCCACAAATTGTTCTGTATTTCATTACCACGAAGAGCCAGGAAATACCTTCAGGAAGAACACGCAGTCTTAGAGAGGTTACAGCAAAGGATAAAGCCAGTGGCGTAGCCAACTTGATAAGTGGAGTAGACATATTCATATATTTGTGTTTTACATTTTTCATTTCTTTTCAAATTGATTGTTTTTGCGGCCTGTGAACATGAATATATGAATATGTCCACCCCACTTATCGATGCTGACGACGCCACTGGATAAAGAGAATTTTCGGCAACCATCTGAGCAGAAGAATTATTTGAGAATCATGTTAAATGTGATTGATCATTTGCCTCTACACCACCCTCACATTGTTAGTCCTTTCTTGCATCTGTCTGGTTAGCTTATAGTTTTAAGAATCTTTTTAAATTTTGTCAGTTCTTTTACCAATGTCTGACTAGTTGATTTATTTATATATGGCCTATTGCCCAAAACATCTTGAACTTTACTGTGGTATGTGCTATATATCCGAGACTAAAGGCCATGTTACACGGTGCAATTTTTCTTGCAACTTGCAATGCAATTCTACTTTGAAGAGATTTAAATTAGTGAAGAGGCTTTAAAATGTAAGTGTAAGAAACGCCATGGAGTGTAATGAAGAAAGAAGATTGGTAGTTGCCAAATTTACATATCTCAAAAGAAGAATTGCATTGCAAGTTGCAGGAAAAATTGCACCGTGTAACAGGGCCTTAAGGGCCTGTTTATATGGAGTGATTTATCCCGGCTAAGCGAGATGAAAACTGCATAATTTTAATGAAAGACTAATGACGTTAAGCCTTTGATGTGATGCGCTTTTTACCTCACCTAGCCGGGATAACTCGCTCCATGTAAACAGGCCCAAAGAAACAGATTTACACATACAAAAACAAACCCAAGTTAGGTAAAATTTGAGAGTTTGTAAACCTGTTGCTGAAAAACCTTCCCTGGCAAAGCCATTGTTTCTGCAGGGGTACCCATCCAGTCCAATTCCACGGCTCATGGTCGTGCCATTTTTTATACAGATGCACCCCTCCGCCACCACCAGCAAAAACGGGGAAATCCAGCTCTTCAATAGCCATCACGCTATCGTTTATACCAGCTAGTTTTTTCTCAAGCACATGATAACCTTCTTCCCATGAGTTGTCCTTGCTCGTTGGGGCGCCGTATTTATCGTAGTATGCTAAAAAAACGGCATGTTGCCTGTGAGGCGTTGCAAGTATCATAGGCTGTTTACCCATATTTTTTACTATAGACTGTCGGTTTTAGTTCTCGTTTCGTTTGGTTTAGGGACCGGTCATTATTAATGTCCCAATGTTATCGTGACAGCGTTAAACAGAGTCGGCTCTGATTTCAACAATGAAGTTGAGAACGATGTTTCTACAACAGGCCCTCTTCCACTGGTTGTAAGGTCACGTTGAGAAAATGTTACACGAACAAACTTTCAACGTCAACTCGCAACGCAACAATAAGCAAAAATCTAAACAACAATGTTGTGTGGAATAAAAACAGTTCATAAACTTTCAACTTGTTTCCAAAACAATTTCTGTGTTACAAACTAGCTCATATATATACAGTATCATATTCAACGCGTAAACCTTTTTTAAAACATTGTTGCGTTGCGGGTTGATGTTGAAACTTAAAAGTTGTTTCGGGTAACATTACCTTTACGGTCGGACATAATTAAAGGCTATTATCCGTTACCGTCTGTTCCACCCGCACGGGCGAAGCATACAAAAATAGGCATTTTAGTTGAAAAGAAAAAATTAGCTATCAAAGGTTGGGCCGGGTAACAATTTTTTTATCAAACCTTGAGAGTTTTTCTTCAGTCCTACCCCCTATATTAATATTAGAGAGTTTGGGAAATACAACAGCAATGGCAAAATATATTCACCTAATATTGTGGTATTCAAAGAAAATACGAGTTAGTATTCACTTGATTTGCCCCTTCAAGTTTCCTCAAACAGTTATTAGGGACTTTAATTTACGCATGTAGGACGCGAACGTGACGACGACGGCTATCAATACTATAGGTCATTGAAAAGAAATGAATAATTAGACTCATGATGGGTTTTAGACGTCGTCTTCGTTCTGTTTACAACGGGAAAACGTCGTTTTTTACGTCCGATGCGCGATTCGATTTCGCTTGCATGATACGGCAATTCCTCCAAGAGGAACAAATAAACCGTTCTTTTCCTGCTGTTCGATTAAGTTTAGATTGAATTGGGGTAAGAATATATTTAATCCATGTAAATTCTGGTCCTATTTTAATAATACCGCTGCTATTTCGCCGTTTAACAAGATGTGGTCGTTTACGGGCGCGTCGACACATCGCAGTTAATTTGCACAGGATTGAAGATTTAATATAAGCACGAATCCTAAAGTGTAAGACAAAGTGAACGTATCATGCGGTTTATTTACACTTTTGAACAATTGAACTTCTATACTTTTTAAAGTACGATGTGCTTCTGAATTTCGCGATCGAACAACATTTAGGTTCGCCAGGCATCTAAATGAATATGAACTGTATTGTTTATGTTCAGAAGCTTTATATTGAAGACTGGCACGTGCGCCGCACGCCGGCCAATTAACGCGGAACGCCACTACAGGCGTCTTTTTTAATAATATAAGTATGCGACACTGGTGGAAATCGCGATGCCGTTCCATGCAGCTACGCAATGTGCAACGTTAAAGGCCACGTAATTTACATTTTTTGTTGTCTTTAAGGATCAATGTAGTTGTTGATCTGTTAATGAATGAGCACGTTGCGGTTGCCGTAGCCGTTGTATTTCTCAAACTCTCGAATGACCAGGGTGCTTTCCTTTAAGCAGCCAAAATGGTCAGACCGATCATATCTTAATTAAATTGAAATAGAGTAGTACGTTAAGAATATAGCGGTGAAACTGCATTTCCCGTGCCAACCGCCAGGCAGATGTAAATAACGATATACTTTAATGCAGAGTTCTTGAAACACCCTAAAATACCGGTAGTCTGTCTGTACCGAAATACAACAGGACCGGTCTGACCGTTTTTACCATATAAAGGAAAGCGCCCTTGGCCTTACAAGAAAAGGCTAAATTGGCACTATAGTGTTGATATATATACCGTTGTCTGGGACAATTCCCTCTCCATGGCGATCATACCCACGCAAGTGACAATGTAAAAAGAGGGATACCTCTGTCCCATACGCTTTTTCTACTGGTGTCTTGAAGTTGTTGAAAGTTGTTGAGCAACTTGCTTTCGATTTAACATTCTCCATCTTCCTTGACAAAGTGAAAGACTGAGAGTTTTCCCGGCCAGGTTACTAAGCCAAGTCTGAGCAGTTTCCAATATGGCGGATAATTCAGTAATGAACAGTCCCAAAAATATGTCGTTAAAATTTTTTCGCCTGTTAGTAAGTAAAAGTTTTAAGTTATTTAAAACATTCGTAGGTCGTGTTTTATCAGGTATAAAACACTTTGCTTCGCGTCATATTTTATATGCGATGAAAAACTCCTTACTCATGTTATTAAATTTTAAATAGTATATACTGTAATATAGTAATACTATATTACAGTATATACTATTAAACATGTATACCTTTGTAAATCAATGTAAAGATCAGTTAAGAGATCTGTATGTAAGTTAATGCATTAATGAGCACGCTGGACGATCTGTATGAAAGTTAATTTTATTCCATTAACGAGGCAAATTTTTTATTTATTTCACAAGTATGTTAAAAATGTAATGCCCAAGACATGCAGATCTGTAAAGGGGAATACGCATACATATCTGTCATGAGTATTGTAATTAGTACATAGAGGTTACCGGTAATACAAACTAGATGCTCTGCTAGCAATGGTATTGAGCGCTTTTCAGTTTCATGCTAAAACAGTAAACTTTCTGGTCTTGGTTGTCAAGCAAAGTACTGTACAGTTTATATTGTACTATTGTATTCTATCACAGTCAAGTTTATTGATTTGCAATGTATTAACTTTGTTATATTCTTACCAGATTTAGGAGCAAGTAGTTTTTGTTAAGATAAGTCAACTAGATATGGTTAAATATGTGCAGAGTATATAGATTAACCCATTAAGCTCCAGAGCTCCTTAAAGACAGTCAGAGAGTATATTTAACAGTTATCCTGCGAACTCAAGTTGTATATGAGCTGATAGCCAATGAGGTGCCGAGTTGGCTATATACGACGAGAGTGAGCAGAATAACTGTTTTATTATATACATAAACTTTGTCGCCCTTTCGGTCCATTTTGGTGTGCTATTATCAACTAGGCTTGGATTTCTATTTCACTCAACTCCCCAAATCTTTCCGCTATTTTGTTTACTTTCTCTACTAGACAGATATGAGCTAATATCTGTCTAGTAGCCAACCAATGAAATTGCAGCATACCTCATATCTGGTGCTTGTGTATATAATAATAATATATATATTATAATATATATATATATATATATATTATATATATATATATAATATATATATATATATATAATATATATACTGTCGTTGTCAAAAAGGTTGTCCTGAGCAAGTATATGTATATATCGATCACGTGACATTATTATGCATCAACACGCGTGGGATTGTACAAGCGTGTTAATTGCGAGTTCGAGTATAGCAAGGTGAACGATTAAAAAATGCCAAGACCAATATTCGGATGATTTAAGTTGGAGAATGGTTTATCAACGACTGTTCTACGAAAGAATCATCGACGAAATTGCAGCACAGCTATTTGTTTGTTCAAAAACCGTCTATGGTACTCTCAGCACCTTTTGGAACACGGGTGATGTGAAGCCTTGCCGTATGGGTCGCCCAACAGCGAGCGTATCTTTATTCTTACACGAAGAATATATTATCATGGACTGTTTACTGCGTGCGCCGCAAATATAGTTGAATGAGATAGCAAGCTATATCATTAATGCTACTGGCTCTGCATTTGGCCCGAAGACACTGTGCCGAGCTCTCTATAGGCTTGGAATAACACGCAAAAAGGTACGAACATTATGACATTATTTAAGTTGGAATATATACTTAATACCGCACGCTGGAAATCATATAACTATATTAATAAGACGCAAGCCATTCCATCTTTTTCCAATTTATTATAAGATTCTAGTTGTTCTTTATCAACTCTTCAAGCCAGATTTTCTTTTTCAGATACAGAGAATTGCCCTTCAGCGAAGAGACGATATTGGGCTACAATTCATGGCCGAAATCAGCCTTTTTGACCCGTTTTCCTCGATGAAACAGGCATTGTATGTACTAAATAATACCTTACTGTAACTGGATTGCACAAACTAGTAGATCTTTTATTTATTTGGTTCTACGTTTTAAGGGATAAACGAATTGCTCGGTAATATGGATATAGTGCTAGTGGGATACCGCTTGTTGTGAGCGACTATAGCTATGCACGGTGGACACCTCGCTATTCCATTATCTCGGCAATATCGTGTGATGGACTTCTTGCGAACTGCATTTTTGTTAAAGAATCCTGAAGAAAGATTTGAAACACGCTCCTTTATCCATTTTCTTGATGAACAGCTTTTACCAGCTATGAATCGATTTGATGGGGAAAACCCGCGATCCGTTCTCGTTATATGGTTGAGATTTGAATATAATTAATGCAAATTCGCTTTTCTAACATATGTCTCAAGGGATGACTGAATTTGTGATCATGTTTTGATCTATTAATATCTGTTTAAACAAAACTTGTTGATGCACAAAGATGCAACTGCTAAAACTAGTAATATATGCATATTTGTTAACAGATAACCACCCAACACATCATGTACAAGAAGTTGTAGAACGAGTGTACGACAGTCCTGATTTGAATCCTATTGAAGAGGTTTACATATAGCTTGCTATCTCATTCAACTATATTTGCGGCGTTCGCAGTAAACAGTCCATGATAATATATTCTTCGTGTAAGAATAAAGATACGCTCGCTGTTGGGCGACCCATACGGCAAGGCTTCACATCACCCGTGTTCCAAAAGGTGCTGAGAGTACCATAGACGGTTTTTGAACAAACAAATAGCTGTGCTGCAATTTCGTCGATGATTCTTTCGTAGAACAGTCGTTGATAAACCATTCTCCACCTTAAATCATCCGAATATGGTCTTAGCATTTTCTAATCGTTCACCTTGCTATACACGAACTCGCAATTAACACGCTGTACAATCCCACGCGTGTTGATGCATAATAATGTCACGTGATCGATATATACATATACTTGCTCAGGACAACCTTTTTGACAACGACAGTATATATATATATATATATATATATATAATATATATATATATATATATATATATATGCATGCATGGATAGCATTACATAGCTCTAATTTCGTACTGGTTTGACGTGTGTACCTGCACTCATCAGTGCTACGTCAAAATGTATTTTACGAAGAACCTTTTAGTGCACAAGGAATAAGCCAAAGTCGTACGTACCTGAGATGCGAATCACAAATTCCTGTATATGTCTTAGCTATATATACATACAACAGTTCGGTCCAGCAAATGTATCTTTCAAACATATCTGTCATTGCGTTATAACTAAATTTACACACTTGATATACGATTGGGAGTCTCGAAAGTCTTCTTCTACTATAATTTATTATAAATTTTGACATCGATATTATACAGAATTCGGTCAAGATAGTTTAAGTCATATTAAGAATATTACATATCGAAAGTTATAAAGACGTTATAGTATCAAAGAATAAATAATTGAAAAGTAATGGGTTTCACAATCTTATATAGCTATATATATATAAAAATTACTGTAGACTTCCAAGAATAAGCATTTTGCATGATGAGTAGTTTGTGTATATCAACATGAACTGCATGTACCTTTGTTTTTCTTGCGGGTTACTGTATGTCTTCTTACTTCTTGTAGATGTCTATATATAGTAATAATCCTTTATATAATTTTTTGAATCTAATAAATGATAATTATAAAGGCTATCGCTACCTGTAAGGTTGTATATACTGCGCGTATTATATTCCCCACTTCGAAGGAAGCTTTTCACGAGACGTCTAATTCCTCTTATAGTTAAAGTCGATTTAAAGTGTTTGTACGTCAAATTTCTTATATACGGACGTGTGAGTTATTTATATCCTGAAAACATCCGCAGGAACTGCAATGTACGGTTGAGCCTGATGGGAGGTCACAGAGTTGAGAACTTCGGAGTTGGAGGTCAAGATATACCCCCCCCCCCAATTTTGTCTTTCCCCCCAGATCTTTTCATGCTACGTAAGTAGTTTATAGTTTTATGCGATATTCGCTTCAATTACACTAAAATCTTCCCCAAAAACATTTATTTTCTTAAACCCCCAATTGCTATCCTCATTCGTTTTAATCTCACGCCGTCACTATCAATTATATATACCTCTTGACATTTTCGGTCACCGAATCATTAATAAGAAACATAAACTACATATACAATACGAGTCAAATAAATGGTGGAATATTTAGTGGGATATTTATTATGATAAAACTTGCGAATAGTTAAAAACAATAGATGTATTTCAAACATACGGTATATGATATAATGATATACTAAGGGCAGGGCGGTTTATTCGGCGTCCTGTGCGCTGTGCCAGGGAAACCCTCGGGTGCCAGGGAAGTCCTAGAGCCCTGAGTTCCCTCAGGAGAAGTGATTTCACATACGTTTTCACAAACGTTAATTTCACAAACGCAAGTGTTTATATATATGAGATGTAGCCCCCCCCCCCTATGCAGTGGACAGGGACACCCTGTTTACGTATAAGTGTAACTATACTGATATAGCGGCATATTTTATCTATGTAAACAGATTGTAAGTTTGTATAGCTATGCTTAAATATATCTAAGATAACATTGTTCTCGTGCAATTACGAATTATTACTGAGCTTAAGCAAGTGACGTTTTTGACAACACGTACGTTGACCGGAAGTAAAGTTTTTTTTTTTCACCAATCACAATCCTTGACCCAGTTTTTTGGCGTTACTCATGCTGTTTGTGTTGTCAAAAACGTCGCTTGCTTAAGCTCACTATTAAGTCTTTGACGACTGAAAGCTTACTTTTTTTCTTTACTAGTTTTTCGTCCATCGGCTTTGGTTGACCAGTTTCTCCATCAATAATGTAAAAGTTTACATCACCATTTAACTTAAAAATAAAGTTAATTTAAGTAATAAAGTAAATAAAGTATTATATCCTTGTATGTGAACATTTATACCGCGGTATGCTAATATACAACAGATCATCTGTTTGGAGCAAATTAGGAAATACAACAATTACAATGGTTGATTACCGTTTCTTTGTCCCAAGAGGCCGTCATATTCAGTCGTGTGGGATAGTCATTTCTCAACTGGAAAAATCCATGGACGCTTTGCGAAATACGTGGTGGGATGTGGTCAGAAGATTTGTGAATGTTTACGCTCACTGGCATTGTTGTAAGATCTTGTTGGAGAGGACAAACTTGCATAAAGTATGCATATATGTCGTTCTCGTTTGTTACCTTTCCCAGAACAAAATCTAAGTCGCCTTCTGAAGATACCGTAACTTTTGTTGGTTCGATATAATTTCCTGGAGTGACTGTGTGATTCTCACATCTTTTCGTTGGTACAATGTAATGTTCCATACTACAAAGTCTGGCTGCAATTGCAAAAAATCACGAGTCATTACCCTCTGGCATACTGTCGGTGGCATATTTATTCATCATGCCGAAAATATCCACCTTATTATTTCATGAAGTAAAGTCTTATCAGTAAACGAGTGCTATTTGAAGTCGGACAACTACAAATCGTGAAAAATCTAACTTTATGATGACGTTATAATTGGGCGTATGTCTTACCATACAAATGTGGATCACCAAATGCTGGTCCCCTGATGGCATGCATCCAGGCTCTCCGTTGTGGATTCTTTGGTGTTATTGCGGAAAAGTACAACCACTTTACATGAGGTTTATCGTAACAACTTAGATCGACATGGGTTGAGTTCTTTTCATCCAACTTAAAGTAGCCATGATCTGTTTTAAGCTTCATAACTGATTCTTCATTTACATACTCGTACATAATGGTGTACCTTTGTGACAAAAGCAGATATTTTACCGATGTGTGATAGCATTTTATAAATACCATTCAATAAATATGTGTCCGAGCGTTGAAAATCATGTTTGGATAAAATGCAAACGCCTTTATTCGAATTTTTTTATACGACGTTATATGAAACTTGTGTAAACTCCGAAATAAATGTTGTAAATTCACAGCAACCAGGTATTTCATCCATCGTTCTTATCGCCCCACGGGTTGTAATTATGAAAGGGGACTGGGGTGGGATGTTACACCCACAATAAACCACAATGATTAAAAGTTGGTCAGTGCTTTTTTGGGTTAGAAAAATACAGCATCAAATTTATCCAAAATGGATTGTTTTTGAATAACTTCTTAACAATATAGCCATGATTGTTCCTATGATCTAAAGGCCTAGAATTTAAATTTTTCGTTCAGCACCAACCATAGTTGGGGAAGCCAATTTTCTAATATTATTAACCAACTTCCCACACCTTTAATTAGGCTGCATCAAATTAGATGAAAATCGGACACTCGTTTTGAAAAGGGAAGTAATTGTAATGATCCGCTCTGTGTCGTTATTACTTTAATTATTCAAAACCAGAGCAACGATAAGAGCGATGGATTTTCTACTTTTTACTTATTTACTTTTTACCTCCAAACTATGTCAACGTTCTTTTCCCGACAAGGCGGGAAAGTGAATACCAGTTCCATACGCGTGTCAAGAGTTAGATCATAACAGAGCTCGTTTGGATCTGGCTGATTGCGAATTTTAAGGGGCAACACCGCCGGGTGGTTAATGTTCTTGAACTCAAATTTTTCCCAAATTCCTGAAATCATCATGCGAGAATAACCTGTAATGGCTAGGTTTTTTCTATGTTTGATCTAAGAATTAAATAGGTAGGTTCTGAGCATGGATCTGTTAACTAAATATCTAAAACGTTTTTGCAGGTGCATGTGTACCTGTGGTAGCGTAATATCTTCCTTTATTTAGATAATCTAACACAATGTTTTCTGCATCATCTAATCCCTTATCCAGAATGCGTTGGGTTCCATTGTGCTCCTTAAAAACTGTGTTCTTTATGACCTCAGTTGGATCGAATAGTGTCACAAAGCCAAATACAAATTTATCTTTGTACGGAAGTTGACTTACAAAATCTAAAGTTAAAGCACATGCAGTGTATAAAAATACAAAAATTAGATGTAAATCACTGTTATGTGTTACTACGGAATATTGGATACTATAATTCAGATCTCACTTGGTACCTAATATTCTCATGTAGTGAGTTTAATAGGTACCAACGATCAAATTCGGTTAGAGTTAGCTGGTCTCGCGAGCTCCTGGAAGGAATTTTTATTAGCAGAAGTTGGTGATTGTTAGGTTGGAAATGCATCATGGGACTCTTATTGGAACTTATTATTATTATTATTATACATAAAACATACTCCCAATAGGGCTTTTCAGTATGTACTAACAAGGCTAAAAATAGGTATATTTCTATCTACAATTACGTTATTGACTATGCTATGTTTATAAAATATGTTTACAATTAAGAGAAATCCTAGTTGTATAGTTATACTAAGATTTTAATACTTTAACTAAGATAGGTTTCCGTTAACGTTATTTGTTAACATATTTTTCTTTAAGTGCTTCTTAAATGTTTTAAAAGGTAGTTTTTTAAAATCTTTATCTAGAATGTTCCAGATTTTTATTGCTCTATAGCAAAAACTTCTTTGACCTGATGTTGTTTTACATGGGGGAATGTCAAGGTCGTCTTTATTCCGGGTGTTCTTGTTGTGAACTGCATTTCGTTTTAAAAACTGGTCGCATAAGTACGGCGGTGCAAGTTCGTTCATGCATTTATAAGCCATTAGTGTATCTCTGTACTGTAAATGTTCCTTGACTGGGAGCCAACCGATCGCCTGTAGTACTGGTGTTATGTGGTCGTATTTCCTTGTATTTGTTATAATCCTACAAGCAAAATTTTGTACTTTTTCGAGTTTTTTTATGTTTGTTGCCGATGTATTCGACCACACCGTAGAGCAGTAATACAATCTGCTCATCACTAGGGCATTGACAATCGTGTGGAGGGTTTCGCTATCGAAGCTGTCCTTTACTCTATTTATTTGGTACAGTTTTGCCATTGAAGATGATATGACGTGTCGTATATGATGATCATAACTTAAATAACTGTCCATGAATAGCCCTAGGTCTTTGGCGTAAGAGGAAGGTGTGATCTCTTTTCCTAGGAACGAGATAACCAGTCCTTCAGTAAGGTTTCCGATTAACTGTCGAGTGCCTATTAGCATTAATTTTGTCTTTTCAGGGTTAATTAACAGCTTATTTGTGAAACACCATGTTGCAATCCTCTTAAGATCCTCTTCTATGTTACTTTTTGCATCGATTATATTCGTGATTGGAAAGGACATGAATATTTTCGAATCATCCACAAATGATTCTAACTTAGCTGTTTTTGGTGCTGTTGGAAGGTCGTTTATATAGATGCAAAATAACAGAGGTGACAATATTGCCCCTTGTGGGACGCCATGAGTGATTGAAAGAGTTTCTGATACTGAAGAGCCAATGCGTACGTATTGCTTTCTGTCTGAAAGGTAGCTTCTAAACCAATTTAGAGCCTTACGAGATACTCCAATATTGCTTAGTTTTTGAAGCAATATTGTGTGGTCGATGCTATCGAAGGCTTTGGACAGATCTAACAGAATAAGGGCAGATAGCTCTTTGTTATCCATTGCGTTCAGGAAAAAATCGTTTACTAATATATTGAGGGTTTCCGTTGAATGGTACTTTCTGTTTCCACTCTGGTGTGCCGTAAGGTGGCCGGTCCGATTTAAAAAACTCGTGAATTGATTTAAGGCCGCTTTCTCACATACCTTCGAGATTACATTGAGCATTGAGAGGGGACGGTTGTTGGAGGCTATTTCGTGATCCCCTTCTTTTAATATTGGTATGATTTCTGCTATTTTCCAGGCTTCTGGAAACGTATTAGTTGTAAATGAACTGTTGATGATATCCGTCAGGGGGCCTAAGATTACTTGGAGGCAGTCTTTAATAGTTCTCATACTGATTTTGTCGGGACCTGGTGATTTATTTGATGGCATAGATGTTAGTATGCGTTCAATTTCCGCACAGGTAACAGGTATGAAGTGGAATGACTCTTCGATCGGACATTGTAGGTTCTTGATTTCACAGGCAGACGTGGAAGATATATTGATGTTATTATCTAAGGCCAGTTGCGTAGCTGTTTCGGCGGCTGTTATCCCTACTGACTGGAAAAAACTGTTAAAATCGTTGGCAACCTCTTCCTGGTTTTTGCTGTATATTGGGGTTGTTTTGTCTCTAGACGGAATGCGGCTATGAATTACTTTCCAAAGTGACCCAGGTTTGTCTTTTATGTGTATTAACTTCAGTGCGGACGTAGTCTTTCTCTGCGACTTTTAAGGTGGATTTGATTGATTTTTGGACTGTTTTAAAGTTCTTCCAGTCCTCCATTTCTCGTGTCTGTTTGTATCGACGATGTAGCTGGTCTCTGTAGATCATTTGTTTTTTGATGTCAGCAGTAACAAATGGACAGGAGCGACGTCGAATCTTGACCTCTTTAATTGGAGCATGGACAGCCAAAGTAGTAGAGAGGACATCATTAAGTTTTCTGAGTTTTGAATTGACATTGGAATCGAAAAAGATAGAAATGAGTTCTTGTGATCTTGTACCAAGATGGGTAATGAACTTTGAACTATCATAGCTTTTATAGCTTCGCGTCAGGATGCTCTGTACTGATGGCTTAGGAAGTTTCATGTTTAACGCGGTGTATACTGGTAGGTGGTCGCTTATGAGTGTGTCCATAACACCACTTTGATGGACAAGGTTGGGTGATGAAGTTATGATTACGTCAATTAGTGATTCACAAGTGTTTGTGATCCTGGTTGGTGAAGTGATCAATTGCTTTAAGTTCATCTCGTACATGAAGTTTTCCAATGCTGTGGTCTCAGCGGTGACCTTCATGGTGTTGCAATTGAGGTCTCCCAAAATAAATATGGGTTTGTCCTGCATGGCGGCTTGCATATAACTTGCTTTTAGGTTGTTTTCTAGGCAGGACGGCGGGCAGTCTGGTGGTCTATATGATACACAGAGCAGGATAGATCTTAACTTTTTAGTCTGAAGTTTGAGCCAAAGCTGCTGGAAGTAATCGATGGAAACTGATGATATTTCCTTCAGTACGGTGACCTTAATATCACTCCGAATGTACGCAGCTACCCCTCCTCCTCTTTTGTGAAGGCGGTCTTGGCGGTAAATTTTATAGCCCTCCAAGTTGATCTCGGCATTTGGTATGGTTGTGTTTAACCAAGTCTCTGATAATGTTATTGCCTCAATCCTTGTCTTTGAAAGCTCTCCTCAAAGCTCAGCACACTCGAGAATCATGAATATTTAACAACTCACTCGACAGATCTGTCTTG